AATATTTTTAACAAAAAATTGACAAAGCAAAAAAAAGGTGAAAAACGTGCGAAATGTGCTGTTAAACCAGTTGTTGGTGGTTTCTTAAAATGTCAAATGGTTAGCGAAGCAGTGGTGGAAATAACTGCCCATTAGTCATAACAGCTGCTGCACAAATTATGACTGTTTTGGTTCCAAAACCGCTCTAGATTTTGGTCTTAAAAACAGGGAAGTTTCCACTTACGTTATGAGATTCTTTCCGAGAAATAAATTTTGATGTTCAATATCAGCGACCGTCTGATCTCGAGTAACGACGATAAAAACAAGAATTTCAAGGACTTTTGCTTCGTTCACCAAACCTCGTCGAATGGATGAATTGAGAGATAAAACGTCGCCGCATATTGTTGTAAGAAAGCACAAGCTCATTTACATGATCTCAAAAATAAAACCATTTGCTTGCTGTTTGAGTTTGTGTCGAATGAAAAGAAAAACGTGAAAAGCCTTGAACAGATTTCTATTTCATATGAATGAGCTTTGCTTCTGTGACTTGTGTTTGTTTGACCACTTTTTGTATGATTAAATATTTTATTCGAGAGGCGAGTGGTGGTGTTGTTAAAAGCAGTAAGAAAAATCTCGTTTTGCACTAACTCAACACATGATGTGGTGGGAGTTTTAAACGACTAAATGGTGCGAGTTTTGACTTAAATAAAATTACATATGAAAAACCATAACTGTCAAGTAGCTATTTATGAAATAATTAAACTTCTTTCACATGCTCAAATATTCATGCGATGCAAGAGCATTGAACTAACTTAAACTGCAATTGATCTTTGAGCCTTTCTACCTGCAACTTTTCATTTCATTGAAACATTCAGAAGGATGGAAAAGGTCATGAAATTATGGAGCAACATTAAAAAAATATTTTACATGAATTTTTCTTAATCTTGTCATCAAAAACTTTTGACGAATTAAATTTAATAAAAACTTTTAGAGCGGATTATAATTTTTTCTTTAAATGCAATGCCATGTCAAGCCTCAACATCTCAAATAACAATGCTTGGAAGGAATTATGCAATCGAATTCGACGTGTGAACGAGTAACGGCTTGTTAAATTGAGATAATTCGTTTGTTGTTTCTTTCTCAAAAATGTCAGCAGCTGAAATGTTAATTAGTGAGACATCTACGAGAGTGAGTTAATAATACGAGTGAAGAATATTAATCGCTAATGAGTGCATTTACAGTCTTTGTAAACAAGCAAATATCTCACGGGATTGCTGACAAGTTAAAATAAATGAAGATACTTAAAACTTGAAACCTAAATAAATACCCAAAGTCTTAGAAATAATTTTAATTACCTATTGAAGTTGTCCTTGATGCTCGATTCATCAAAATCTTAAGAAACAAAAAAAAACTTCATGTTGTGGGACGAGACAGGTTATTTTATCATTATGAATTAAGCATTCATCTTAATGTGTTGTGTCTGTGAATCACCTGATGAAGATGCGTCGTCATTTTTGATCTTTGATATTTCAATTTTCAATCAGCACAAAGAAAACAACTTTTCGAGTTGAATCGTAAAATATTTTTATAGAACTGTTATTCGTCGTACAACAAAACTCGTAGAAATCGAAAGTAAACTTAATTAAACATGACCAGTGAAGTTTTGGCTGTTTAACCAAAACTTCTCCTTCTTTACTTGCTGTATATGTAAGCAATGTCGGTTACCTTTTACTGATGTGAATCGATTTTCGATTTCATTGCCTTTAATTGCTCGGAGATATATTTGGAGCACATTGAATTACTTTAACTTTTTGGGTCTTAAGCGGTCTTTTCATTTTGGTTGGTGATAATTACTTCTCGATATGCTTCGTAATTACAAGTCGCTGAGTGGTAATTTTTTTTCTCAACATTCAATTTAAATACAAAAAACTAAAATTAAAAGTGAAAACTTTTGATATGAAAAGTTTCTTTTTGACACTTTTTTTTCTCTTCAAAAGCTGATTAACTTTTCCTTTTGTTTTGAAAAAGTTTTCAAGAAATAAATTTAAAATCTTATCGATGAATCATTGCAGTGAATTGAGAAGAAAACAATCATAAGAGTTATGCACGATTTTTTCACTTCACACCTTCATCGTTCATCTTAAGTCATGTCAAACAATCTTTCAACTTAATCGCATTTAATGTTAAACATTTCGTGAACACGCGCCTTCAAAAACTCTTATTTTATGTTTTAGTGGAAAAGAAATAATTTGATCGTAAGCAGTCCGCCTAAAAAATATGATTTGAATAATTTATGGTGCTATGTCAGTTGCGTAATGTCCATGGATATATAATTTTATTTTATTTTTTGTGGATTTTTTAATTTGTAAAAGATTAACTTTGACAAATTGTTTAAATCCATGACAAGCCTAAAGGACTTGCGGCATACGTAAGATTGAGTGCATTTTAAAAGCAATAAAGTAACGAAAGAAGAAAAAATCGTTACGACGTCTTATGATATCCAAACGCCATAAAATGTCAATGAAATTCGATAAATATCTGGTTTATGCATCTTGACATCGTTAAAATTGTTTCTTGACACCTCAATTATGCTTATAAACGACATCTTTGTTGTGACATTCGACACCATCTCGAAAAAATAATTTACATGCAAATCTTGTTACGTCATTAAAATCTTTTGTTTTAAAACCTAAAATTAATGCTGTTGGGCTCTGAGTATGACTTTTGTTTGTATGAAAAGCTTTGGTTGGTAAGCGACATGTCGAGTCTTACATAAGTTAATACCATATATACACAAACTTATTAAAGTTACGCTATTTCCAACACTAAATAGATTTGCGTAATTAATGTATCTATGTAGATTAACACTTTGTGATGCATTGAAAGCGAGCGAGTTTGCATCATTTGAATGATCGCTTGCAAAATTACGCGTTAATTCATGACTTCTCATTTAAACCGAATATTATGAGTCATCATTTAAATAAATTATGTTATTTCATTAATTTAAGTTTTATAACGCTAATATATCGAAATAATGCTACTTTAAATAAATATTTGTAAAGCTTCCATCATAATTTATCGATTACTTTTAACCTTGATTTCACTTTATTGGCAATGAATTAAAATGACTTGCAAGTGAACTCACAACATCAGTTTCATTTCTTGTGGCAGCAGTCAATCGGAAGTGGAAACAAGTTTAAGATTTCTACATTCACATTCTCGTTTATAATAAATGCATGAGTTCTCTTTAAGTCAATTAGTCGTTTCAAGACACGAAATTATTACTTCCGCATATCCATTAAAGAAATTATTTTACCTGACTGCAAAAATATCCAAAAATAATTAGTTTTGATTCATGGCGAGATGTTTTTAACTGCTTTTGATATTCTTTCACCTTCATTAGCTTCTCATTTCATATTTGAGTATCTTTAGACACTTGAACACTTCTGTTTACCAACGGTGTGTGCAAGGTTGGCAAATAGATCGCTTCAAAGTTTGAAAGAAGCGAGAGAAGAATTCAATTGTTTTGCATTTATTCAAATTCTTTCAAATCTTTCATTGTTTGCCCAGGATAGCCGCTCAAAACAATCAAAGTTGAATGTATCTTTGAATATTTTCGGAAATTTGAATTCCTTAGCAGGACATCCTGTGTTTAATGATGACTAATGAGTTTGTTTTCCGTTAAACGTTTAACAAGCAGCAAATGAACTTGCGTTGTCGCGACAATCTGGAAGTAACTTTAACCACCACCTGTTATTGTTATTGATGAGCTGAAATGGTAATAAAACAATATTTTAATAGCACAACCTTCCATAATTTGCATAAACTATTCAAACTTCAACATTAATTGACTTCGATTTCATTGTTGCTATTCATTGAGTGTGTTAAACAAATCAACACAAACTGCTTCCATTTCAGAGGGATTGATAAATTTTGACGAGAAGACGCGTGTTTTCATAATTCATTTGACATTCAACATGATAATTTCTCTACTGTTTCGGTTTGTTTTGAAAGTTTTTTATACCTTGTTTTGATTTTTTTTTGTTGTTTGTGCCTTACGATGCCGAAAAAAATATTCAAATTTCTCGTCTCAATGAATTCCGTGCGAAAATCATAAGAAAAAAAAGTTTAATAAACTCGAAATTGATCTGTTGAAAGATTGCGAAGATGAAGCTTCAAGAACATCAAGAAATAAAACCAGAATGAAAATGTTTTGAGTTCAAGTTCAAATGCAAATGAATTTTCATGACGACGCGCAGAAATTTCACTTCCACTCTCATCCATCGAAACAAGTTTTCATTTGTGGTTTGAGTGATGCGGTGAAATTTCTATTTTTCTCAGTTGAAGTTGTCTGAAAGCTCGTCTTGAAGATGGCTTTTAAATCACGTAGATAATGAAACTGCGGGAAGTCGACATTAAAAACTTAAGAAAAATATTTTAATGGATTTACGAATGAAATGAAATTTTTATTGATAATGTCAAAATTTGGAGTAAATTGTTGGAACTTTTGACCTTGTGTAGAGAAACTTTTCCCTTGGCTTTCCTTCATTTCATTAAAATTCACTTTGCTTTTGCTTTCATTATGGAGAAAGCATTGTCGATGCTTCTTTTGATTTTATCATCTTAAACGCAAATTTGTCAAATAAATTGATTTGTTTAATTAGTCGATCAATTAGCCTGTCATGTGATGACAAAAAAAAATATCAGCAAGTCATAATGGATAATTAATTATAGTTATTCAACTTTAAAAGATGTTGGAACCGGGAAGAATTTGAATAGAACTTCAGAAGTTAAGCAATAAAAAAACTTCAAAGCTGAGGTTGAAGCTGACTCAGATTCAGGTGAATGGACGTGAACCTTCTCGCTGTGATTAAAATTCTTTTCTGAACCGCACCCAAGTCGAACACAACAGCACTTATCAAGGTTGTTCTAGCAACAGTTTACATAAAAAATATTTTTATTATTATTTCTAATTCAGTTTTAATATAAAAGAACGAAAAGTTTCATAAAATTCTCCAATAAATTTTTTCTTCTTTTGAAATTATAACGTGCGAGTTTTCTTCGGAAAAACGCTTTTCTTCTTGGCTTTAGAGACTTCAACAGTCATGTGAATGGTTCATCTAAAGATGGTAATGACGAGCGCTTCTTTGAACCAATTGGCATATCGTAATAGTCGTCACCAGTGACATAAGTAAATCTTCGTAATGCTGACCTTGCACGATCTGAAATAAATTTATCAACTTGCGCCCACACTGAGACAAATCGCATGAGGTTGTCGAGATCTTTGTTGACTCTTTCAGCTCTTTCAAGATCACTTTCACTTTCAAGACGTTCTATGAAGTTTGGTTTTTTGAATCCAGGAAGTGTCGGGAAACGTGGAGCTGGCGTAATGAAATCAAGTGGATCATCAGCTCGTCTTACATTTCTTTGTTTCTCATTTAGCAACTCGAAACGATGATCGTAGTCAGTTTGAAAAAGCAAATCTTCATCAGAGTAATCAGAGTAGAAATGTTGATCAAGTTGCGAAGGCCTTTTGTAGCTTACTTGATTGCATGAAGTTTTCGACTTGCAACTTTTCTGATAATCGTCGTTATTCACAAGAATTTTCACATTAAATGGAAATTTCGGTTTAGAACGGGATTCGAGTGTGAAAATCTTTTCAACGATGGGAAAATCGTTGTCATAACTCTCAGTCGCTTTCCATTCTTCAATATGTTCCAGAAGTTTACTTTCCGCGCTCTGAATATCTTCAACATTACTTTCTTCACTTTGCTTTGTGGTCACTCCAGATGTAATTGTAAGAGTTGGAGCTTCGTCATAAGCTTGTGTTGCAATCTCGATAACTTTCTTAGGAGTAGTCTCGTCAGTTTGAATGGTTTGAAAGTTATTGGAAAATGTCGAGATGTCATTTGCTGGTTCGGTTTTTAAATGTGTTGAGTGATCTTCAACTATCGACGTTGTTATAATGTCAAAACTGTTCACTTCGTCACTGGCTTCTGACTTATTCTCATCTTCATTCATTTGATAATCTCTGATGTATTCATTTCCTATCACTGGCACCTCAATTTCGATTACGTCACTCCTTTCAATCTCATTATGTAGATCGTCTTCAGATGATTCAACATATTGCCGAATCGGAAGAAGATTCAATTTATTTAAATTGAATATCGATGAGATACGAGGCACCTCTTTCACTTCCTTCTTTTCATTCTCGATTGTCTGATTAATCACATCAGAAAGATCTTGAAGTTGAGCATCGTTGAAAATTTCTCTGCTTTTCTCAACGTAAAGTGATTTTGCGGTGTAAATCTGAAAGCGAATAATCGGACGATTAGTTAATGGAAGTCACTTCAAATATCTTAATTAGAAATCAAAAGAAAAAATAATGAATCAACACTGAACCATGGTGAAGAATGTTATCGAAATGATCGAAACCATTAGCGTATAGTAAACCACATGATACACAACAATCCGTCGCTTCATGTACTTCATGGATTTTATCGAATAAATTACTTTCATTTTTTATTTCTTTAAATTATCAGACTATGAAGTTGCACGGATTGAAGTTACTTATGATATTCACTAACCACTGAATACAATACTAAAACGCCAATCCCAATTCTCATTCTGAACAATCGAATTCAACTAACGACATGGGAAATTGCTAAAAGCATTTAACTTCGAGGTAGTGGCGAACATGCTGATCAAAGTAATTCTTACATGACAGACATGTTGTGGTTGTGACAGCGAATTCTATTTTTCTGTTGACTCAACAGTAAACAAGGAAGAGTGTAAGCTCACATAATATTTGTGAACTCGAAAACAAACACACACATAATTGTTATATATGGTTAATTCAATAAGATAGTAAAGTAGGAAGTCTCGTCGCGATTTCTTGGATAGATTCAAACACGCTGAGATGTCATAAATGTGACGAACAACAATGATGAATGTACATGAGGGAAATGATCTAAAAATTTGCATAACAAATTTCGTTGAACTTCTTGTCATGTTTTTAAATATTTTTCTTCACTTGCGACTATTTGAACGTTGCCGACGTCATTTTATTTGCACAACAAGTTTTTTTTTCTCATGTCTTATGCAATGAATTAGAAGCGTAGAATTGTTGTCGCCTACAATTTTGTGTTTACTCATCCAAAGTAAATTTTATGTGTTGATAATTGAAAGTCAATGTCTAATTAAAGATCTGAATTTTATATCGTTTAAAGTATGGAATTTTATTTAACTTAGAAGTGTTAGAAGTATTTAATTCATTTGGTGTGTTGGGAAATAACAACTCGATTATAAAATATTTCAACTTCAAAGCTTGTCTTTCTACAACTGCAATGTGGAATTTTCTCGATTTTATTTCAACGAAAATTGCTTGAATGAAGTTGCTGATCAAGAAAATATGTCGATAGGATATTTGTAAAAGAAGAATTTCAAGTCTAATGTCATAACAGATTTTAGCAGTCTATGTTGAAATAATTCTCCAATGAAATTAAATTAATTATTAATAATCAATCATAATTCAATCATAATTAGATCCTTTTGATATCATGTAAACTTCATAAAGCAACTCGATATTCAGACTAAATCAGTCTAATTTGTTAAATGCGATTACATCACAAACTATTCGCGACATAAAACTATTAAGTCACACTCAAATAATTTTTATAGCTCGTTAATTGAATGGTTGAGTTTATTTCTCTGAGTTACATCAACATGTGAGGTTTTTCAATGAACAAACATATCACTCGGATAATATTAACTAGAAATTTTCCAATAACAATAAAGAAGTTTTAGCAACAGCAAGTTGAAAATGGAAATGTCAAAAAGTCACCCCAAAGCTGTAAACTTGCTTTTAAACATCGACTGAAGCTTGACTTGAATACATGCTGCGACCGATCGACTTCCAAACTGGTAGCGACAAGAACGAGTTAATAATCGATTCACTTCCATTTTAACATCCAAAAATTATTTAAGTAACTCCCAAAGCGAAAGCATTACGATGGAAAGTGATGTAAAGCACATTTGGTATGCTTGTGGTTGCTTGAGTTGTTTTCACACTGTTGTAATGAATAATGAAGAAAGATTACAAGGAAGATCGTAGCGATTGATAAGATCAACAAACAAAGATAATAAATATTGAACAACTTGAGGCTATTAAGCATTTCATCAACCTTGCTGATATTTATCGTTTTACTTTTCATGTAATGCAGGAAGTGATTGTCTGAAGTCTTTCATTCAACTACGATCTTATTCTTACTTAAGTTGCGTCTTGCAGTGCAAAGAATTTTTTCATGCATAAAATGGAATAAGAAAAAAAAGTGACACTTGCATGTCTTTATAAGTATCACAAAGATAAACACAGAAATGTCGGAAACTAAGTATTAAAGATTTTTTTAAAAAGAAATCTTCAAGTCACTGACTTACATCTTGCAATTGCTGATATAATTTTAAGCAGTAAAAGTTAAATTTGAATGCTTTTAATATTTAATACTTGAAATTAGCATTAATTAACTCATCCAAGATGCAAGTTGTGAGATCAAAATAATTTCTATCGAAGTTAATGGCGCCTTCTTACATTAACTATCAAATCGAGTATCTAAACGAGCGATTTAAGAGAGTTCCGTGTCGTTAAACAAATTAAATGGAATGAAATGTGATGTTAATAAATTAGCATGAAACCTGTGCTGAAAATTGCGACCCACGATGTTTGAATCTTTCCGGAACTTTATAAACTACTCGTCTAATTCAAAGTTGAATAAATTTCCATCGAGAAGACTGATTTGAGGCTTCGTCCATGTATCGTAATTTCAATTACCCAAGTTTCACTTTTAGCTGAAAGCTGTGCGAAATTTCAACTTGTCTCAGTAGATTTGCTTGGATGGATCAACGATTAGCGTAATAAAAAGTGATTCATTGATCGATCACACGGCAGTAGTCACAAAATTTCCTCGCACTAATCGTAAAAACTTTCTTCACCAAATGTGGTTTGAGTTTGAACGATAAATCCTGAAAGCATTAACATAAAAATTTATTTGCGGATATTTACTTTTTATTTGAGGGATCGCCCTCGCTGAAACTTACTAAATAATCTTAAATTACTTAACGATAAGAGTATGCAAATAATGTTTAGGCGACTTTCCTATTTATCGCGTTTCTTCATGATCCATGATCCATTCACAGCAACATAATCGTGGAAGCATTCAATGAATTCCGGAAAAAAATGATTCAATGCGGGAAGTTAGGAAACAATCGAAAGAAATGCAAGAAATGTAAATTTATTATGAAAATGGATTTTTTATCAAAGAAATTGTCTTTGTTTTCGATAACGATGGTTGTTCAGCGTAACAGCTTGACGCTCCTTAGTTGCTACTCGCCATAATCATTATAAACGCTCTGATCTGGCTAAATTTATTGCTATTCGCTTTTATATGTTTGAACTGTTTTATACAGCACGAGCTTCTAAGCTAGTTATTGGATAACACTTGTTGATAGTTTTTCTTCGCAAGCATTCCATCGATAAAGAGAAAGAAACTAATGATGATAATGCCAGATAATAATCCGTTGACAAGCGTATAGCTTTCACGTAAATCATCAGTTATTTCGTATTTATGTTGAATCATATTTCGCGTAACGCTATGGCTCAACAATAATTCAATATTTGTATAAGTTTTAATGTAAATAACATAAAATTGCGAAGAAAAGTTTAGCTTTCGATGGAAACGGATTTGGGATGATTTTTTTGTTTTGCGTAAAGAGCTCAAAGCAAATATTTCGAGTAATAATGCCATGAGAAAAACCCTCAAGCCCAATAAATACTGAAATTACGGTTTGTTGTGTATTGTGTCAACGTCCCTGAACTAAAACTCTTTTTCCGTTCAAATGTGGTTTTTCTTCTTCTTCTGAAATTTTCAGCAACGTCAATACGAACAAATCTCCAACAGTAAACAATGCTCGTAACTTCACATGAATCAGCTTTTATTGCATGCTGCTGACATAATTTAAAACTTTACTTACGCTGATTGATTGGAAATTTTGTTTCTGTTTTCAAGTTCAACTTCATTATCAAACCTTTAAGACAACAAAAATTGATTGCTTTGAAGATTGAAAATGAGTATGAAATTCAAACACAAACATGTTCCTTCAATTGGTTTTCATGGTCAGAAATGTCGTACGATTGTGGGTTTTTTTTCTTTTGGTTTCTTGGTAACACAAAGCTTATAATATTTCATTCGACTCCTACCTATAAATAGACATGACAATTAAAACTAGTCCGGAGTTGAAATCAATTTTTCATAGCTTATAATGGAACTTTTGTTATGCAAAGTAAAGAAGAATGACCACTAGAATTACAAAGATTTCCGGGATCATTCATCAGATTGTTGATGAAGCCGACAACTGTCAACATGACTCATGAAACATCTTAAATTATTAATTAGCAAAACAAACAGATATTTAGGTGAGTTCATTAAACTACTTAAGACAATGTCTCAGATCAATCAAGGAAATCAACAAAGACAAATTCGCAAGGAATTAAATCATTTCTTTCGATTGTAATTTTAACGATTAAGATTAATGAAAAGTCTTTCTCGTTGGGGATTTTCAACCACGGAAACATTCGTTTGTTTTTGTTATTTTTCTTGTTATTCACATTATTGAGTTACGCGTCTAACAGCGAGTTGCAAATTCCTTTCATTTTCAACAGAGTCGTGAGAAAGTTACAATTGCTTTTAAATTGAATCATTGAGCTTTCATGTTTTCAGCATAAAATATTTTATCTAAATATCAACATAACATTGAAAAAATATCTTAAATACTTTGTTGTGTGTTTGGATTCCTTTACTGAGGTTGAAATGATATCTTACAATGTGAAAGTTTAATTGCAATGAAGATTTAAAGCATCGAAGTAATTCACCTTTCAATTCTCAAATGAAACATAAAAGTGAATGTTGCAAATTTCATTGATATATGTTTGATTATTTTTTGCAATCACGATGAACTCAGTTATGTATGAATAGTTAAGTAAATTTGTTATTTACAAAAACTTTTAATTATTTTTTCCTGAAATACTTCTTCATAATGATTTTAAAGTAGCTTTGTCAGATCATGTAGTAATCGATGAAGTTTAAAGCGCTAATGTAGTTAAATAGAATGATTTAATCGTTTTTAATCATGAGCTTTGTTGAAGGTTGTCGCTAGTGGAAGTTTTATGTTTTCTCACATTAGTTATGAGGCATGAGTCATGACGGTGACATTGTCATTGGTACATTGCAATTGTAAAGTATCAATTATCAACAATTGTCTTTAAAAATGGTTATGATGAGAGAAACAAACTCAAAAGCACGCGTTGTTTGAACAGCCATGGCATTCATGCTTCGAAGCAGTCGTTTCCCTTCGTAAATTTTAACAATAAAATTTCATTTAAACTAATGACAAGTCTTCAAAAACTAACATGATAAGTTTAAACCTGAATCTTAAAAACTTGAATATAATCAGCTGCTTTTTTCGCATTTGTACATTGGAAAGAATTTAATTAATTCCACTTAAATAAAGCGACAATCTAAACATAATCAATGAATAACTTACATGTGGAAATCTTTAAGCTTATGCATTACCGCAAATCGAAGGACCATTACACAATCACTTTGGAATAAAAACCAAAAAAATAATTGCGCAATGTTATCGACAATTATATTTTTTGCTCAATTTCATGTAGCATAAACGAGAAAAGAAAAAAATAATCAAAAGAAAATTGGTTCACTTGTTTGACCGCGTTTTAATGCAATAAATTTTCGAATGTCTTTTTCGCCTATAAATACATGTCGTGCTTCTTTCAATTTTACTCTCGATTCAATCTTTTCCTTTAAAGAATACAAAATAATAAGAAAGAAGGTGAATGGAGTGAAACTTTATGCAATTTCCATAATTACTCTTCTTTTGTTGTTTTAATTTACAATCCGATTTTGGTCTTCATGACGTAATTGCACTTCTCAATTGCAATTGTTCAATTCAATTAATTAATTTTTCAAATGTTATTTATCTTGTAAGAGTAACGTCAGTTGTAGGATGAGTCCACATAAAAAATCATGCAACTTAATGCATTTCATGATATGATTTTAATTATAAACTCGAGTCATGTTGTGAGTTGCAGAAGCATCTTGATTCACGACATCTCATCATGCATGGTTGACTTATTATCGTAACCTTAATAAATCTTCATAATTATCTCAGCATAAATAGCGATGCGGACTTAATCTTATCTGATGACATCTCACAAACGACTCTTCGTATAAATAAAAAGAAGGTTAATTACCGTTTACAAATATGCGCATCAAATAAACGTCACGTTTGCATAGATTATTCAGATCATTGATTTATTAATGACAACAAAATTATTCTTCTTCTCCTTTCAGCTTCCACCACGATTGATTCGATTGGCGTTTGCCGTTTGCCTCCTCGTTCTCATATTTTCACATTTTACTGACAGTGCTCAAGGTAAGCAAGACATGGTTTACTTCAACAAAGCTTGAAAGTAGACACCGGTGCGAATTTAACATCCATTTTAAATACCCTCGTGATACACTTGCTGTGAATTGAAAGCTAAGCATGAAAAGTACACAAAACATTACTTCCATTGTCAATTTCAATCCTAAAGAAGAATTAAAATCATAAATTAAATTTCAATCACACCAGATTTTCTCACTTTTTCTTTCTTGAGCTTTTTTTTTGTAATAAAACAATTATTCAACATTTTATTCACATGCACGTTGCTTGCATTGCGCCATAATTGGATTTTATGAGTCATTGTGTTACTTTGAATAAAAACTTTTTTATTTTTCCAATTGTGACTTACAATAATCTCGGTAATGCTTTTTTATTTGAACAGAAAAGAGAAGAATAAGAAGACCAACAGGGGCAGCAGCAGCAAAACTATTAGAAAAGAATTCGTCACTTAGAAATATTACGAGAAGTTCATCGAAGAAGGCACAAGACAGATCAGATTTATCACCAGCACCATCAACAAACAGGTTCAATGTACGTGCACGTAAAAGGCCATCATTATTAGCAACTTCATCGAGTGATGTTAAATCAACATCGATTAAAGAAAGCAAGAAAGATAAAGATGGCTATAAGATCGTTTGTTATTACACGAATTGGTCACAATATCGTGTGAAGATCGGAAAGTTCATTCCTGAAGACATTCCAGCTGATCTCTGCACACACATCATCTTCGCCTTCGGTTGGTTGAAGAAAGGGAAATTGAGTTCATTTGAAAGTAATGACGAAACCAAAGATGGAAAGATTGGATTGTATTCAAGAATTATTGGACTCAAGAAATCAAATCCAAGTCTCAAGGTTTGATTGAAGCTTCACTTGATTGATTTGCCTTCAAATTAAAATCAAATCGTTTCTATTTTTAAAGATTCTCTTGGCCATCGGAGGTTGGTCATTTGGAACACAAAAGTTCAAGGAGATGTCAGGATCACGTTATGCCCGTCAAACTTTTATTTACTCAGCAATTCCTTATTTGAGACAGCGTGGATTTGATGGTAGGTTTGTCTTCAACATTTTAAGTAACTTTAAATAATTTTAATTATCACTTAGGACTTGATCTTGATTGGGAGTATCCAAAAGGCGGTGATGACAAGAAGAATTTCGTGCTTTTGTTGAAAGAACTTAAAGAAGCTTTTGAAGCTGAATCACAAGAAGTTAAACAATCAAGACTTCTTCTCTCAGCAGCTGTTCCAGTTGGACCAGATAATGTTCGTGGTGGTTATGACGTGCCAGCTGTTGCCAGTTACCTTGACTTCATCAACTTAATGGCTTATGATTTCCATGGTAAATGGGAACGTGAGACTGGTCATAACGCTCCACTTTACGCTCCATCAACTGACTCTGAATGGCGCAAACAACTGTCAGTCGACAATGCAGCAAATTTGTGGGTCAAGATGGGCGCACCAAAGGAAAAATTAATCATCGGAATGCCAACTTATGGAAGGTCATTCACATTGTCAGACACTGACAGACATGGACCAAACTCACCAGCAACTGGAGGTGGGAAAGAAGGTGTTTACACTAAAGAAAGTGGATTCCTTGCTTATTATGAAATTTGTGAGATGCTCAACAACGGTGCAGTTTATGTTTGGGATGAAGAAATGAAAGTTCCTTATATGGTTGATGGCGATCAATGGGTTGGATTCGATGACGAAAAAGCAATCCGAAACAAGATGCAATGGATCAAAACTGGTGGATTTGGCGGTGCAATGGTGTGGACTGTTGACATGGATGATTTCACTGGAACGACATGTGGTAACAATGTTAAATATCCTTTGATTGGTGCTATGCGTGAAGAGTTGCGTGGAGTGTCACGTGGAAAGGATGCCAAAGATGTTGATTGGGAAAAAGTTGCTGCTTCGTTTGAAGATTTGCCAGTAAGTTCCATCACTTCTATATTAATTTTTCTGCAAGCTAATCTTGTAATGTTTTCTAGGAAAAACCAGAACCAATTCCAATTGACATCTCAGAAATCTTGACGAAAGTTCAAAAGTCAGAAAAGAAAAGTCATAAGAAAATCAAATCCAGCGTTGCTAAAATTGAAGCAAAAAGTAAGCTAAAAATACTTTTGATTGAATTTCTTTTATATTTAATTCCATTTAATCTTTAAAGGACGACCAGCACAAGTCTTCTGTTATCTTACAAGTTGGTCAGCAAAACGACCTGGCGCTGGAAAGTTTGAGCCGAAAAATGTCGATGCTAAACTTTGTACACATTTGGTTTATGCTTTTGCCACACTTAAAGATCATAAATTGAGTGAAGCTAACGACAACGATCCAGACATGTACGATGAAGTTCTTGCTTTACGTGACAACAATCCCGACTTACAAGTTTTACTTGCTATTGGCGGTTGGGCATTCGGATCGACACCATTCAAAGAATTGACATCAAATGTTTTCCGAATGAATCAATTTGTGTACGAAGCCATCGATTTCCTTCGTGAATATCAATTCAATGGTCTTGATGTCGATTGGGAATATCCACGAGGCGCTGACGATCGAAAGGCTTATGTTGACTTGTTACGTGAACTTCGTGTTGCATTTGAAGGAGAAGCAAAGATCTCAGGTCAACCGAGACTTCTTTTAACAGCTGCCGTGCCAGCATCATTCGAAGCTATTGCTGCTGGATATGACGTACCAGAAATCTCGAAATATCTCGACTTTATCAACGTCATGACTTACGATTTCCATGGTCAATGTGAACGTCAAGTTGGACACAATTCTCCACTCTTCCCATTAGAATCAGCTTCTGGTCATCAGAAGAAATTGACAGTTGATTACAGTGCACGTGAATGGGTGAAACAAGGCGCACCAAAAGAGAAACTTCTCATTGGAATGCCAACTTATGGAAGATCATTTAATCTCGTTAATGAAACACAATTCGATATTGGAGCGCCTGCAAGTGGTGGCGGTGCTGTTGGAAAATTCACTAACGAAGCTGGTTTCTTGTCTTATTATGAAGTTTGCAGTTTCCTTGCACAACCCAACACAACACTTGTTTGGGATTCTGAACAACAAGTTCCATTTGCTTATCGCAAAGATCAATGGGTTGGATTTGATGATGAACGTTCATTAAAAACCAAGGTGAGAAATTTCAAATAAACCAAACAAAAAATGTAAAGTTTGACAAATGTTTGTTTGTCGTTTTAGATGGAATGGTTGAAGGAAAGCGGATATGGCGGTATCATGGTATGGTCAATCGACATGGATGATTTCAATGGTCGTTGTGGATCAGGAAAGTTTCCATTATTGAATTCTCTCGTCACTGAACTTGAAGGATACAAAGTTGATCTTGAATATGATGGGCCATATGAATCTTATAATCCACGTGGAAAATACACAACCAAAGATCGTAAGAAACTTAAATAAAGTTAATGAACAAAATTGTTGATTGAAATTTCATTTCTTCCAGCGAATGTAATAACATGTGCTGAACAAGAAGGTCACATCAGTTATCATAAAGATTTAGCCGATTGCACGCACTATTATATGTGTGAAGGCGAACGAAAACATCACATGCCATGTCCAGCTCAATTAGTCTTCAATCCAGACCAAAATGTTTGTGATTGGCCAGAAAATGTCGAAGGCTGTCAACAATTTACTCCGGTAAATTACTAGTCATTAATTCTTTTCATTCCTTTAACTTTTTTTTTGCTTTCACAGGCACCACCAGCAAAATAATTTCCATAAATTTTACGATGGAAAGATTTTGATTTCTTTAATGTTTAGGTGATAAAAATCTCGAAAAATATTTTGTAAATATTCAGTCTTCTGAATCTGCAGTAATTTTTCTTTATTTTTTGTTTTTTGTTTTAAATTTTCATTTAATAAGCTTCTAAATTATTTTCATCTCACACCATAAAGAGCTTTCATTCGCTCAAGTCTTGAAGTGTTTCCTGCCATTTTCTTCAAACGACTATTGGGAAAGAATTTTTTTCTTCTTCTCATTAAACAGCAAACTGCCCCCTTGACAACAAAATACTTAAATTGTGGAAAATACTCAAAGCAACAATTGAGCAATCAAAATATCTTTAACTTAATTTAATTAGTTATTTAATCTTTTATTTTATTTTTTTTCTGCGATGATAAATTCTGTATCGGAAAATGAAAGAAAATTAATTGTCTTAACAGTTAAGAAGATTTAACTTGTGAAACAGAAGAATAAAAAGAGAAAAAGTTTGAAAAATCATTCAAGTTTGTATTTTCATTAAACTTTAAATTATTTAATAAAAATAAAAATAATCCTTAAAGATTCTGATGACTAAAAATTCTCATAAATGCTTTCAATGTCATTTTGTATAATAAACAACAATAAACATAACGAGACTTTGTAAAACAAGAACAGAAACAATGAAAGAAAAACCTGCTGAGCTTTGCCAAAATTGTTAAAGAAATAAAAGAAGCAACTCGGAAGAAGTCGACAGTTTAAAGTTAGAAATTCAAAGAGTCGGAATGTCTGTTAAATTAATCGTTCTTATATTTGCATTAACCATAACAATCATTGCTGCGAATCCAGCAAAAAATAAGAAAAGTAATTACATTGAACAGGAGAAGTCATGTCGACAGGTTTGCGGACTTTGTGATTGCGATGGATTTTATTGTGAAGACGAATGCATTTGTGAATGCAATTTGGAAGAAGATGAAAGTAAGAATTACATTTTTAGAAATGTTTAATTAAATTTTATAATTTAAACTCGTGTTGACATTAGATCTCCAGTGCATTGCTGATATGAAAAAGGAATGTGATGCCAATGGATTGGAATATGAACTTATAATGCAAGATTCAACAAAAGAACGTTTCCTACGTGAAACAAAAGGAAGTTCATTTGACTTAAAGAAACATCTTTTGAATCTCAAACAAAAGCGAAACAGTGATGGTGAAGAACCAGAAGTTGGAGCTGCATTACCAGCTCAACATGAACCTATTGTAGCTGCACCAGCTCCCGAAGAGCCAGAACCTGTTGTTGGAGCGCCACTTACTGCTTTGTCAACTTCAAAAACAGGTCTGAAAGCACTGAAAGCACTTTCGGGATTAGGCGACTTAGGATTAGGTGGAAAATCTGCTGCATCAGGAAAGAATTTAATAGCACGGGAAGGTCTTGAAAATCTGTCATCTTCCAAACTTCTTGTTTTGTTAAGAGAAAGATTCAACGATCCAATTGAAAAAGCAGCAATTCCTGCAGCTCCTGCACTTCCCGCATTTCCTGCATTGCAAAAACTTGCTGTACTTCCACCAGTAGCAGACACACCAATTGTAAAACCTTTCGCTGACTTTGGAAAAATATCATTCGCTTCAGAAGCAGCTGAAAAAGCAGCCGTTGTTAGTCCTTTCGCTGGTTTTGGTAAAGCTGCAGCAATACCACCGCCACCAGCAATTAAACCTTTCTCTTTACCTGCTCTTCCTGTACAACCAGCTCATCTATTTGATTAAGTAAACCCAAATTATGCCAGCAAAACAATTTTTTACTGTGACTTCTCAATAAAAAAATTATTTAATTAAAAAATGTCTTTCAGTTAGTTGAAGTTTAAGTTTTCTTTGTTTAGATGGAAATTCAGATGGAATTGTTATGGAAATAAATTTTTTGTTCATCACAATGCGTGCGTTTTCTATAAACTTTTAGCAATAATGTTTTTAATTTAAGTTGAGAATTTGTTCGATGAATCTTAAGTCATTAAATTTAATTTGCAATGGAAAGTCGTAATAGAAATTTTTTTTCTGTGATATTGCTTTGCATATTTCTGATGATAATTTCTGCATTGGTTGGATTCTATTTAAGGAATTTGATTACTGTAAATTCTGAAACGTCTTCACAATCAGTTATAATGAATATGGAAGTGACAACAGCTCGAATTGTTCCTGAGAAGAATCATGATGGGATTATGCAGGCGCCTCTTGGAACTGTCATTGATATTGCAAAAGAAATTCCAAAATTCTTCTTTCTGTTGGGATCTAAATTGCTAATTCGTCAGGAAGAAAATACATCAATAGTAACAAATGTGTTCTCAGTAACTGAGCAGAATTGAAGCAATTGAACATTATGCTTAACGCAGTATTAAAAGAATTTATTGTTGATTGTTGACACTCACCTGACATATGTTTGAAAATGTTGAAATGACATTGATTTTTTTCAAATAAACTTTTATAATTTATAAATTTTTAAATATTCAGTCAACAAACGTGTCTTTGTTAAAAGTAAAAAGTTTTTGTTGATCGTGATAAAAGCAGTGAAAATGTGAAGAATTTCATCAATTCACATTAAAACTTAACTTAAGAATCATGAAAATTTTGGTCGCTTTTCTTGGAGTTTGCTTTGTGCAAACAATTCTTGCATCATCAGCACTTCCTGAGAGTAATTCAATTGACAAGACTGAAGAAAAATCACCAACTGATTCAGATTACAAACCAGTACAAAATGTTGTCGCTGCAGTTTATCAAAGAGCCATGCTTCAAGCACTTCAAGCCAAAGTTACTGAGCTTCATAAAAAGCTTTCAACTGGAGAAAATGCTGTGCCAGCAGCAATGGACATTTTAAAAATTACACTTTTGTCTCATCCAGCTCAGGAAGCTGTTCGTCGAGCTGCTGAACATATCATAAATGCAATGGCACCTGAACTAAAAAAGTTCACAAATGATGAGAATTATCCAATAGAATCAAGAACAACAACACCAAATCCTTCCAATAAGCAGTAATGTTAATTCTTTCATTTTGATCTTTAATGATGCACCAAATTTAATATTGAAAATAAAAAAGAACTTAAAATTGTCACTTTTAAGGCAAAAGTTTATCGCTTCTTTCCTTTGCTCTTTTTTCCTCCAGTTTGCTGTTGACTTGTAGATTGTGCTGGCAATTCACCTCCTTTCGGATTAGCAATTCGAGATTTAAGTTGTGGAATCATTCCACCAATATATTTTAAAATTTCTCTTCTTGTTGCTAAATCAGGATTGATTGGAGTTCCATCTTCATGTTTGATTTGAACCCGAACTCGTCCTCGATGAAGTATTTCCTAAAAGTATTTAATTTGTTATCGCACAAGTCTACGAATCAATTTTTAGTTTTTCTTACTTTGCTCCTTTCTTTCGGATAAATTTTGTTCTCGATAACAAGATTCATGTTTGCGGCAGTGAGAACATCTTTAATTTCTTGATAGGTAGGATTTTCTATGCAATATTCTTTTGGTACTTTTCGACCTTCTTGTACACTTTTCTTTGCATCGAGATATGCTGGATATATGCAAATGAATCTACAAAAAAAGAATTTATTATGAATAAATTTTTCTGAGTTACATTTTGAATTTTAATTCAAAAATACCTTTCACGATCTGTATGTTTCAAGCTTGGATGGAAAGGTGTAAGAGGAACATGAGCTTGAGCCATAATTCAATCTTATCAGTACGCAGGATACAATAGAATTCACTTTTTATTATTATTCAACTTTAAAGTCGAATCCACGTTACCAAAATATTGCAAACAAACTGAATTCAAACCGAACATTCACTTTCTGAACAGTCTGGAATTTTTCGCTTCAATTCGAAATTCATTCAATTCTTGTTCATGTGCTTTCAAATCATTCCATGTCCAATAACAATAAACAAATATCAAATTATTATATTGAAAATTCATTTAATGTCATCCACAAGAGCTGTTATTCCAATTCAAGGAAGAAAATTAAATAAAATTTCGAATCATGTCAGACTGTCAAAACTTAGTCGACTCCATTCTTCATAGAAATCATAGCTATTAAGAATTCTTGAATTAAATTTCCACCAAATCATTTAAAAATTAGTTTCAATTCAATCCTCCCACTGATCGCATGGAGAAATTCAATATGAACGATTTCAATGAAATTCTTGAAAAGTGTAAAGATCAATCGCAACAGAAAAAGCAAGATCAGGTGAGACATGAAAACTTGTTTGTAATCAACTGTTTTTATTGTGATTTTCTGATGATTAACATAAACTTCATGTGTAAATGACGATGCGACTTATTTTTAGACACTGCTACAACCATTTGTGTACATTCAACAAATTCCAGGAAAGCAAGTTCGCTCAAAACTCGGACTTGCTTTTAATTTCTGGCTAAACATCCCTCAAGACAAGCTCGCCGCGATCAGTGAAGTTGTTCAAATGCTTCATAACTCCAGCTTGCTGTAAGTTCACCTTGATTTTTTCTTCGTTGAATATCGCTGTTTACGTAAAATTAATGTAATAACAATCAAGTTTAAGCATCGTTCGCTATGACGAAGATCGTTATGATTCAAATATTTGTTTACATTAGAGGATCAATTGCACAAACAAACAGCTTCAAATAACAAATCATTGTCAGTTTGCTATTTTTCTAACGCTTTTGATGTTTTTCTTAATTTCAAACATTTCCAGTATTGATGACATTGAGGATAACTCTATTTTAAGAAGAGGAATTCCTGTCGCTCATTCAATTTACGGTGTTGCTAGCACAATCAACTCTGCCAATTACGTATTGTTCCTAGCATTAGAAAAAGTTCAACTTCTTGGTCATCCTGATGCGACAAAAGTATACACTGAACAGTTACTCGAACTTCATCGTGGACAAGGAATGGAAATTTACTGGCGAGATAATTTTCTTTGTCCAGAAGAATCCGAGTACAAGCTCATGACAATCAGGAAAACTGGTGGACTCTTCATGCTAGCAATCAGATTAATGCTTCTTTTTAGTGATAACAAAAAAGATTTTACTAAACTTACAGCCTTACTCGGTGAGTGACAAATGATTTTTTTTTTCTTCTTTTTCATAATTTCTTAACTTTTTTATCATTATCTTAGGTTTATATTTTCAAATACGTGATGACTATTGTAACTTAAGCCTTAAAGAGTACTCGGAGAATAAGAGCTTTTGTGAAGATTTAACAGAAGGAAAGTTTAGTTTTCCAATAATTCACGCCATTCAAACACAGAATGAGGATAAACAAGTTCTTCGTAAGTATTTCTCTATCTTTAATCTCACATTTGACAATGAACTAAGTTCAATGACTTTTAAGATATTCTGAGACAAAGAACACGTGACGTTGAAGTGAAGAAGTATTGCGTTTCATTGCTTGAGAAGCTTGGAAGTTTCAAGTACACACGTGAAACTCTTGAAGCTTTAGATAAAGAAGCAAGAAACGAAGTTCAACTGCTTGGTCCAAATCCAATAATGAATGCATTGCTCGATGAATTACTGAGTTGGAGGACAAGTAGCGATTGAGAAAAGCTTAATGATCGCCCTCCAATCAAGAAACCACGATTGAAATAATTTCTAAGTTAAGTTTTATTTTTCTCATTAAATTTGATGGCAAGAAATCCGATTTTTTAAATTGTGAATCATTCTTGGATACGAACCTGAAACATACGACTTTTATTATCGTATCTCGAATGTCTGTAATTGAACAAATTAGCAAAAATGTTCTTTTTATATATCAGTATCAATTAAAAGTTAAGTTCGGTTGGTAAATAACTGAAAAAAGAATTTTTTATTTTTCTATTTCTTTATAAATCGAATATTTTCCAATGTTCTTTATTTGATGTTTTAATTAAATGTCTTCTCAAAGAGAATGAATGCCAATTGAAAGCAATTCGTTGTCGTAATGAAACTCAAGAATATAAAATAAATTGATTGATTGATGTTAACTAATTGTATTGTTTAAGAAGCATATAATCGAATTTAAATGTAAGATTGCACTCAAATATATAAAGAAACTATTTAAAATGAAGTTCTAGTCGTAAACACGATTAATAAATCTATTTTTTTAAAGCATGCTTTTAAATACAAAGTATTGGAAGCCTCAAAATCGAGATAATCGCACAATGTGGCCAAAGCCTGATACTTTCTAAGAAACATCTCGTAAGACTTCAATAAACAGTAAATATTTAAGTTGATAAAATGTCTGGTGGTTAATTAAAACATAACTTTTGATAGAATAAAAATGTTGCACAATTTTTCTTTTCTAAGAAATCTTTATGAAATAAAAAAAAGTCTTTTATTTAAAACATCAACATGTGGAATGCGAAATTGTCGTTTTTTAATGGAGAATCTTTCATATTTTTTTTATTTCGATTTCTTCCCGAAGCACAACGTCGTTAATGAGTCTTTCCAGCTTTCATTACTTTTCGAATTATCGGCATAAAATAATTTATGAATCAGCACATCGTTACTTCTTGGTAGCATCAAAGTAATTGGAAGATGTTCTTTAAGCACTGAATGATGAATGACCAATGATTGAAGTGACGAGAATTCCTTCGATTGTCGTTTAAATCGAAATCCTTTCTGTGTTCTTTCGATTAAGTAATGTGAAAGTTTTGGTGGCTCCAATGGTGTAATCCGCATTGATATTTAATGCAAAATATTTTTTATTTGATTCACTTTGTCGGACAAGAAATGATCCTGGAATTTGTTGGAGAAGAATTTCGAGAGAAATTTCTCGTGGTAAGCCAGCTTGGAACCAAGAAACATCTTTTAATTCATCTTGTTCCTTCTGAGTCAGTAGCGGAATTTTCTCAGGCCACACTGAAGTGTAAATTATTCCATTCGACACTAAATTGCGATAATTCTCATTTGAATAATTTCTACTTAAAGTGCAGTCAAGCGATGGTGCAGACGGACGTTGTTCTGAATTTATATTCTTTGGAACCAACAATTCTATGCACTCTGATTTTTTCCGACTCATTATTAATCCATTTGACCGTTCATATCGCAGTGCAAACTGGCAAAGACTGCCGCATATTGATTTACTGATGCAAACTAATGAAATGTTCAAAGGGTTGATGAAGTTGTAAGTGTGAAAAATTACGTGCTTAAGTGGTGAACGCGCCATTCTAGACATCTTTCATAGTGATGTTTTATAGTTGTGTAATAATTAATTTCTTATGGTTGTTAAATCATCTAACAGCTTGAAATCTAATAAAAACAAGTTTCCCATTGACATGTTTAATTAATAAAGTGAAAGATAAATAATTTTCTATTTATTTATTTTATTTTATTGCAACTCAAAATGATATCCACAAAACAAAATTAAATCAAATAAAAAAACATACACAAAAGATAAAAGTCAAGTAAAATCTAAAACAAACATCAAATTCAATTTTCTGCATTCGAAGCATAAGATTTGTTTTTCAATTATTGACTAGTTGAAATTGAAATTTAATTAAAAATAATTGAATAACAAGTTTGGGAAGTTAGAGTAAGCAGTACAAATGGGGAGAACATTTATTGGATTGTTATTCAAAAGCTTCGAGAAATGAAAGCAACAAGTTGACTGCATGTTTGCTTTTCCTCTGTCGCTTAAGTATGATAACGAAATAAAGTTTTTCCTTCATTTCCCCTCGATTTTTCCCTTCAATTAGATGTTTAAGACGTGACTGCTTTTGATAGCAGAGAGAAAAAGAGAAAAAAAATAATTAAATAATGTTTAAACGACGACGTCGACAATCAGCAAAATAAGAGGGAAACGCAGATATTTTATACAATATTATCACTTCGTTGATGAATATACAAGCAAGCAAAAAAATAATTGAAATAATTTATTTAACTTTCATTATTTTCTTCTTCTTTCAACACGGACGTTTTCTGGTTTCCTTTCGCCACCCACCGACCCACCGACCCACCAAAACAACTATAAATTTCACTTAAATCCATAATTTTCATTTAATAAACCACAGATTGTCTAAGTCGTCCAACTCGTGACGTTGTTGAATCTCATGTTGACGTGGTAAATTTAATGGGATGGGAAGAAGTTCTTTCATAACAGAGTGATGTGTAATCAGCGCTCGTAATGATGAAAATTCCTTCGTGAATCCCTGTAAGTCAGCAACAAAGAAAAAAAAGAAGAAAAAGGAAAAACGAGAAAGTTTTGTAATTAAAAAAGATTTTTAATGAATTATGAGATTGTGAAGCAGAAAACGAATTGTTATTAAATGGTTTAATCGCTTACCTTGATTTTGAAGCCGCGTTGCGTTCGCATAATTAAGTAATGTGCTACCTTAGGGGCTGGTGGCGGCACACGCAATGAGAGTGCAAAGCAACCCATTTTCGATTCACTTTGACGAACAAGAAATGCTCCCGGATTTTGTCTTGAAAGAATTTCAAGTGAAATTTCCCGTGGAAGGCCGGCTTGAAACCATGGAGCGCCTTTCAAATCATTCTGTTCAGTTAAGCTTAAGGCATCATTTCGTAATGGTAGAATTGGTGGAATGAGATTCACTCCATTAGTGGGAGAAGGTGGTTCACTGCTAAAGTTTTTCTTATAATCAAACTCACAAAAGTTCGTCTCATTATAATTAGTGCTCGCATTGTTATAACACGTGTTGAAGTTTGTTGACTTTTCGCTTGCATGGACAGTCGCCGATGTTGTTATAATGTTCGACGACGTCTCTGATGATGAACGTTTAAGTGTGGTGAGGGGAATTGCGTTGTTGATTGATGACAATGGATAATGCATTTGAAATGTTTGACGATTAAATGATTGCTTGCATGAGTCACCGAATCTATTTGTTATGAGCTTTTCGGAATCACAAATTGCTTCGTTCACGTAGCCGTCGGAAATTGTTTGTATCGAGTCTGATGATGTGTTGGATGACGTTTTGTTATGGACCAATGGTCGACTATCATCAGTGAATCTCAAAATTCCCATTGCCAAACGCTTCACCTTTAAGAGAAACGAAAGCAACACCTGAATATTAATTGAGATTGCAATTCACTGAATCCCTAACTATGGATAGTACTTACTAATGGTGGCTTTTCGAGAATCCTTCGACAGTTGTTGAGTTCAGTTGGTGAATTTCCTTCGTCAGAACTTGTTGTCGATGGCGCTTCTACGTAATTGTCGTTGAGATTTCTTTGAAAAAGATTGAACTTCAAGGCATTGATGTTCGACGAAGAGTGAAAGGTGGGTTTGGGTTGAGTGATGACGTTTGTTGGACTCAATGCATTACGTTCAAATTGCATTCTGAAAATAATGATGAATGGAGAAATTATAAGTTGAGTCATTAAATTATCACAGACTTTAATTGAGATGTTTTGTTGCTAATTAAATTAGTTCATTCATCCGGATTTCCCACCCACTCAATTCAATTCAGACATAAAAAAGAAAGAGCGAAACATATTCAATTGGTAATCGATTCAATTTGTGTTTAAATATTTGAAAACTCATGAGAATTGAAAATTGTTTGCTGAACGACTTTTCAAGTATATTTGCTTAAGCTCTTATTCAAGTTTGCTTAAAAAATTCTATTCGATTGAGTTGTTTAATTTCAAATTTAACTTTAAGCTTTTTCTTGCCATTCGTGAATACTTAAATTTGATAAAGAAGAAATTTTTCTATTGTTGCATTGTGAAAAAGTTTTTCTCTTATTGTGAAAAACTTGCTGTTTATGTAACCGAAAATTTTGTCTTGTAGTTAAAAGAAGTTGTTAGCTATCTGCCATCTTTCTGAATTAAAGTACTCAACATGGCAAATTTATTTAATTCAAAAGTTTTCCTTGTTCATGAGTATTTCTTAATTGGAATTTTCTTTGAATTTTCATTTTCTGTTTTGAATGCCTTTCGAGTGTTTGTCTCCCTTTTCAATGTCCAAGTGCTTTGGTGCCTAGCGGGTATTTCTATCAATGCTATTTTCCGACAAACCACCCTTCAATTTCACTCTCCATATTTATTTATTTTTCATAAAAAGAAAGGAAATTTCATTTCCTCTGGATGAATACTCGAGAGTTGATAATATTAAATAATAAGTTGAAGAAAAATGTTCGAATAAATAATGGAATTGGTCGAGAAGAAAACTTCCGTCTTTACTCGATTGTTCGCAACAACAAAAGAGTTCATTGTATTGTTATAATTCGAATTGAAACTAATTGAACATCTTTTTCAATCAATTCCATGGTTAATTTATTTAACAGCATGAAAACAAGAAATTTAATGTCACATATCATCCCCGAACCAATCAAAGACTCCTTCAGACATTTATTTATTCATTCATAATTTTTTTCCTTTTTTATATTAAGAAATACGATTGCTTCAAATTACTTTTTAAACAATAAAAATTCCACGGATTTCTTTTTACCCATGATGAAATCATCAACTTTCTTCTTCTTTTTTAAATAAGGAATGTAAAAAAAAGTCATGAAGCGCGAACAAAATTTATTATCATCTTGATACGAAATTGCATCAGAAAATATTTTTGGGTAAAAAGATGAAAAACTTCTAAAAGATGTTTTGATAATGAAAGCAAATTTTTTGTTTTCACTTGTTCGCGAAGAACTTCATTACATCTTGATTAAGAACACGAAGGTATGCGCTAGAAGTTTATCGAGCAGAAAATGTGCTTGAGTCTTCATAATTTAATTATAGCTTCCTTCGTCTTCACTTTGTAAATTTATTTGGAAGTAATTCGTCAAATATCAGTTGAATGATTCTTCCTTTCCCCCTCAGCTTGCTACTTACGACTTAATTGTACAATAACACTTGTGTTCAAAGTTCTTTAACTCAATATTCGCTTTCGAATTACACAGGAAGATTCTCCTTCACTCAAATAGAAACAAATTGTGGTTAATTTAATGTGAGTTGTTTCTGTTTGTCTTCTCAATCGCATTTATTTTTATACATTAAACATTCTTGTCGTTGAAGAATTTCCAATAAAAGAAATTTTCGAGGGATATTCTTGTCGAAAACAAGATCATCGGAAAATGTATTCAGTTGACCCTTAGATTCCAAACTTGGAAGTTCTTGCAGAGTTTGCTAGCAAAACAATATTAATTTTATAAATATTTCTAGATAAGAGACGTTTATCTTTCTCCATTTATTCCTTGATAAATATTTTTCAATAAATCCTATAAAAAGATGAGAAAAGGATTCTTGGAATTCTTCAATACTCGAACCTTTTCAAATAACAAGCATTCTATCTTAAAGCAACGTCAGGTGTCTTCAATGATTCTTCGAAATTCCTTAACTTGCCGCCCCCGCACTTTTCATGAAATCTGCATTTTGTTGTTTTCTCCCCTTTTTTCCGGCCATCAAGCATAATGTTTCGTGACGACGCATTATTCTGTATCAAACGAGGGTTTCTCCGGCAATTTCGAGAATTGAATCGAAAGCGTGTTACTGGCAACATAATTTTTTAACAGAGAAGAAAAGAATAATATTCCGCATTTTAAAGGAAAAGCACATTCGTCTTCCGTTCAAATGGGACGATACAAATGTAACTCATAAACTAAAGTTGGGGAGATTCTCAACAGCAACTGATTTTTATATTTTTTTTTTCATTCTTTCTCCATCGGAAAGAAAACGTCCATAAATTTTCACCAGAAAGATTATTGTAAAAGTTTTTTTCTCTTTTGCTTCTTATTTCTTCGAAGTTTCTTCCATCAGACCGGAAGGAAAGTCTTCGCTGTCAATAAATAACATAGCGAAACTCTTTGATATTGTTCAGACATTCGAGTACATGCTCATCCTTAAAAATTAAATTTTATGAGCGTGTGCTTTAGCAAAAAATTTATGGATTTTTAAACGGATCGCAAGGCAGATTTATGAGTGTTTATTGTTCAATTCAAGACGGTGCCGTCCTCGATATTTTCATCTTCTTTTCTTTTACTTCTTGCCAAAACGTGATTTATTTGCTTTTAGCAGCGAAATGAGGGAAGAAATTCTTTCATTGAGATTCTTTTGAGTGAAAGTGGATTGAGAACATCACCCAGGTGATATTCAACTGCTTAAAATTCTTTTTTACACTTCAATTGGTACACAGATGTATGTTTGAATGAATAAATGCAAAGTGTAGAGATATGTGAAGTCTCTCAAGTACAAAATCATTTCCATATATTCCCTCGTCATCGTGAATTATATTGACATTAATACTGGATGAATTCTGAACTCACTTCAACAACTTGTTTCTATGTTCATGCAGAATAAGATGAGAGCGAGAGAAGACAGCACGAAATCATCATGTTCAACCCTCTCTCGAGTAATCAATGATCTGAAATCTTGCAAATTGATTTTGTGATTTGCAAAACACTGAAGGGTTCCAAAGCAAAATCACTTCGATGTTTTCACTTAGAATTCTGTAGCAAGAAAACTAAGGGGAAGAAATTTTTATATCAATTTCAAATGCAATTTCATGCTTCTTTATCTAATCAATTGGAGGAATGTCAACAACGTTCGTTTATTCGTTGTCTTGTGGTTGGTGGAAATATTTTTCTTTGCATAATCAGCAAGAATTTACTCTTTTGCATGACCTTTCATTGACTCAGTTTCAATTTCTTCAGCGCCCTCATTTCTTCTCCTCCACAAGGAAAGTAAGATTTTATTACAAATGTTGTAACATGTTGTTTCATCGCAACTAAATGAGCTTTAATGTCGTGTCAGAGTTCAACAAGGAGAATTGAAATGACTACAAAAACAAAACAAGAAAAATCTCTGAAAGATTGTCATGAAATCGCGTTCGCTCTTAAAAATAAAACATTTTTTATTATCGAGGCATATTGCAGCGAAGCTATTAAAAATAAAAATCCGAACTTTATTGTTTTAATTCGCCATCAAAAATGGAAATAATTTTTATACATTTTTTGTCGTCGGATGTCATTATTTTGTAAATTTAATAACAGAGCGTCAGCTTTCACAACACGTTAAATGAAAATTTCATGAGATGAAGGCGTCGATAAGGTGTTTTTCGTTAGACAGCAGCGTCAATAGCCTTTTGTCTAAACATTTAGCGTTCAAATATTCATTTCGGGATGTTGCACATTCACTGTCTGATATTTTCTTTATTCCAATAAAATTAAACATTTTGCATCCTTAAAAAGATTCTTCGACGTGCAAAAGTCATCAAATAAATTTTCGAAAATCAATTGACAGTCAAATAGCCCCCCCAACGGTATTGATCGGAATTTCCAATCAACAGTGGAGGTTTCTCTTTAACATCAAAATAAACTCATTCACATAATGATGAACAATTTATTGTTGCAAAAGTTTTTTCAAATTTTGTCTGAAACCCCAGGCCAGGATAATTCAAGTCAGACTATTTCATAAACTGACTGTTTGTATGCCACTTTAATGGCTTTGTCTTGCTCGCTCAGCGTTTAATAAAAGTGTCAATGTTTATTTACGAAATTTCATTTAATAAATTTCATTATATTGCATTGGATCTCGTTACAGCAAACCGTGACGATGATGATGATATTGTTTGTATTTCATGAGCTCAGTTCACTCTCGTTTCGGTTGAATGTGCTTCAATGACACCAAACAAGGAAAGTGAAAGAAAGAAAAATGAAAACAACAAAATATTAATTACATTTTGCTCGATTCTTTCAAAATAAACAACGATATGATACTTTGTGATTCACAAGAATTATTACGAAATTAATATGCTGCTGAGTTGGACACGAGAATCAATTGAAACAAATTAATTTTGACTTCAAAACTTCATCTCCAGACCAGCATCTCGTCAGTTTGTTTGTCATTCAATTCAAAGCAAATTGATGAAAATTCTATGAAGTAATGAGAAAGGTTGTCATAGTTTTAGAAATTTATTTTTAAATTCTCTCGTCATTGTCGTGAAATAATTAATGACGAGTTAATTAAAAGTTGTTGATGTGTTAACAAAATGTCATAGAAACAAATGAAATTATGAAAGAATTTTATCATTTAATGTTGATTATAATGAATTGTCTCTGCCTGCCCTGTCAGTCCTCTGTCGTCTCGAATGAACATAAATGTTAACAGCCAATAATAATTTTTATTATAAGTAGGAAGTGAGTTGAGTATTCTTCATGCTTCGAAAATCCCTTTTTATTGCATCATAGACATTAACTGGACTTTTATCCTAAGTGGATAAAAGAAAGCTTAGTCGTCGTTACGAAAACTTAAGAACTGAGAGAGGGAAATTGTGAATTATAAATGTGCATTAAACAAAAACTTCTGCAACGAGTCCGAGTGCATTTTATTTTAATGCAGAAAATTTATTTCATGGCAGAGAAAGCATGAAAGGACATTTCATTACGTAACTCTTAAATGAAAATCTCGTTTTACTTTCTTCACTTTAAAAGAGTCTTTGCACCATTGCAATGCATTGAGTGTTATGTTGAGAAAATGTTGAAATTATTCAACAATAGCCAAAACATCATTTCAGGAATTTTTAATTATAATCTCCAACAAAAATTTCTCCACCCTCATACATTTTAAATAAAACCAAACGAAGATGGAATAAAATGCGATTTGCAAGGATGTTTCGTATCATGGGTTTAATTTTGATTCCTCGAGGTATGAACAGGGAAGGTTGCTCATTGTATAAATTATGTGGCTGCTGTGCAACAAAAGATTTCAAAATATTTGCTCCTTCTTGTTGGAATTCCAATAGTTCATTGTTCGTATTTACAATTTTCGGATAAAAATTGCTTGCTTTTAAATAAAAAAAATCTCCTGGCATCGCAAACATTACATTTAGATACCAACATTGCAATGTTTGGATGGTCAGTTGAATAGAAAAATTGAATACTTAGAAATTCCTTTAAATAACTCTATTTTTGATCCAGACCACCACCGACTTTGCATGAAAAATTCGCAACGAGTGAAACATTGCCAAGAGAAGAAGATTAAAAATTTGCCATGGTCGAAAATAATTAAAAATGTAAAGCTTCTTACTTTCGTCTGTTGCATTCATTACAAAGCTGGCAACTGATGGTGAACATACGTGGATGGCGGCAACCTTAAATTAACAGCTCTTAAGTGGATTTGCATCAATTCATATGACGTAAGGAATCAGAAATTTTTAAAAAATTCACATTCGTGTTTAATTAATGATTCAGTGCTGATGACATGAAACATGCAAGCCGCGCGCTTCTGCTTGATGAAAAGTTTTTGCGATTAAATTTCTGTCTTCTTAATTATCTCACTAATTGATTTTTTCGATTTTCTGTATAAATTGATTATTCTCGATTCACTCATCGGATTTCAATCGATCGATAATTTGCATTTTTTATTTCTTTCATAATGAAATTATTGTGAAAAAAATGGGATCAGCAGAAAAAAATTAACATCATCAACAGTGGAGAGAATCAAGCTATAAAAAGTCGTGGTGGCGATTTGGTAAAACGACCTGGTAAATGGTAATGCGAGAACAGAAACCAGATTGGACACCTGACATAAAATTTTATATTTCAAATTCAGATTTCATTCGACAGTAAATTTAGAACTGACGACTTCAATTTTGTTCTTCGCTTTTATACTTTCAATAGCAAATTGAAATTGCCAGAAATTCATTTTAACGACGAAACATTTATGAATGCTTCAAAGTAATTCGCTTATTTAACCTTGCACACCTCTCAATAAGAATCCACAACCGCACAATTTAAAATGGTGCAACAAACAATTCAAAATGAATTCATAATAACAAAACCTTCATCAATATGAGTCAAAAGTTTTGACTTCATTTATTGATATCAACGTTGATTGCAGAGAAATTTGCATTAAATCGATTTTTTTTCATCGACATGTCCTTTGATGTTTTCCACAATAAATTACGAGAGATTTTCTGACGCAGTTTGGTTTACGCTGTGATGCATCCGATTTTCCATATAAATAACTTATTCGTCCCGCAGTTTAAAACAAAAAAAAAGGAATAAATAAATAAAGTAATAAATTCGGATGAACATCAAAAATACACGAGGGGGTAATGGAGATGGGAAGAGTTGTAGCACCAGTTGCATGATGACACGGAATGGAACGAGAAATCGGCTGCACTTTGAACATGAACATTTATGGTCTCGAATTTCAGCTAATAAGTGCTCATGCTCTCGATACAGTAATAAAATGCATATTTCCACAGCACATTTAATCATGAGCAGTTTAAAGTAAGGTATAAATTAAAATTCTTTCATTTATGCTTAGCCGGTGGCTTTTGTTGTGTGCTGTGGCCTCATCACAAGTGCACACGATTTCCATTGCGGAAAAGTAAACAAAGTAACCATCAAACACAATATCCGAATGCTATTTTGCATAAATATGCATGTCGCTTTCGACAAAGTTCACGAAAAAATAAAAATATGCAAAATAAAAGCCGGGAATTCATTTCAGCTGGTCGCCAGAGAACAAAACAGTCAAGCAGCAAAAAGTGATTCAAGTTGTGGAATTTTAAAATCAACGCTGCATGTGAGAGTTCAAGAAGGAAAAAGAAAAGTCGACGGGAAGCAAATAAACAATAAAGAGAAGAAGGAATATCGAGTCGAACGTGCATGATTGGATGCTTGATTGGGTCTGTGAGAATGTTTGCGGTTTATTGATATTTGATTAAAGTTCTTCTTTGTTTTTGTTTTCTCCTCTCAAATAATCTTCGAAATCATTTCGGCTTCGTCTAAAAGGTAAAATCTTCAACTTTAACTCAATATAATCGATAGACTCGCTTATTTACATCAATTATCAAGGGTTTCAATCGAACATCTTCAACCACATTGAATTACTATCAATTTGAGGCTAAACATTGTTGCGGTTTGTCGTTTACAGACTTTGAGATTTTCCTTTTGATGTTTTAGGAAATTTTAACAAATTTTAACATGTCTGAATGTGAAAACATAAAAGATTAGTTTAGGATGGTTTACAAAGTATTTCGAATAAAGTAAATCAATAAAAATTTCTCATATTGGTCAATTAAGAATATTTCAACAAATTTTGTGTTGTTTTTTGCACAACGATTCATCATTGAAGTAAACAAAATCCAGCAAACGATTGAAAAATTCAACCCTCTTGTGCTAATCAAATAAAATGTCTCTCTGACTGCAAAGCCATTGAAATGAACTCCGTAGATCGAATTTCCAAATGAAAATGTCAAAACTGTGCCCATATGGTTTGGTTTTATGTTGTTTTCCATCATGTCTGTGAAAGTGCATCGAAACAAAAAGCTTTTGTGAGTGTCGGAAATTTATGTTGAAATTCTTTTGTAAATTCTAATGAATAGAACATGAATTGAGATTCTCATTGCAACCTTTTAACATCTGTAGCATCAAGTTTTGGTGTAGGTTGAGTTTGGAATTAAGATACAAGTAACTTGTTCAAAGCTTACGATGAAAACTTTTGTCATAATTTCTTTACATGATCTCTAAAGAAACAACATAAATTGCATGCTTTGGAAACATCTATTCAGAATATGCACATAAATATGTGTAAGTTGCTCATTTACAAAATAAAGATTCCAAGTCAAACTCAAACATGTGTGAACAGCAGGAAATCTATGAAATGTTCTTTGCAACTATGTGGACACATTGTTAACATATAACCGACTTGACATACATTTCCCTCTTCGATGATGGTGTTGTACAATTTTCGGAAGTCATATAATCGGAGAATCATAACCAAACCAACCCACCATCATTGACACATTAAAATGTCAAGTTTTCGAGGAAGTATTTCCATTACATACAAAGATTCTCAATTCAAGAATCGTTTTTCAATTCTTGTTAAACTTTAAAAGCATCCAAACAATGAGTTCAACTGCAAAAAATTGAACAATTTGCAATCAACAACAAGAGATTTAAGATTTATGGATGGCAAGATTGTGAAGAGAATAAGAACAGTTTTTCCATTCATGAAAGATACTTTACATTGTATCATCATTTGTTTAGCAACAAATTACATGCTGAGAAGCATAAAGAAAAAGAAAATACCGGTAGAAAGACGAAAGACAAAAAAAAGAAGAACTGACACACATTTTCTGCATTCATCCGTGCGCACACACCGCGATTATGTCGACCATAAAAATAGTTAATAATCTTTTAGGTTTGAGTGTTTCATGGTTGAGGAATAAATCAGTCGCGATTAATGATCGCGATTAAAAGTGATGGAGTCGTAAAATATCGTAATACTCACTACACTACACTCAGTGCATGGCTAACAGGCGAATAATTAAATTCTCATGATCGTCTTTCTCGCAGAATAGACACGGAAAATGGCGCAGTTAATTCCCTGTTAAGCATCTTTACAAAACCGCCGTATAAATAATTATTTTATATATGTTTCAAAATGATTCTCGGCTTGTTTCGTTGCCGCTTTTCTTCTTGGCTCTTGCAGCTTCAAGTAATTAATGTCTATGATGAATACATAAATAAGCGAGCTGAATTTGAAGAAAAAAAAAACAAATGTGGAAAAAATGAGAGCTGCTTGTTTGCAAATGAAGGCATTTAACGATCTTATAACTTATGCATTATGTGTAGAATTTTGTTGGAATCTTTTCTTCTTTTTCTCTTCATTTATTTTATGAAATAAATTGAAGGACGTGAAGAGTAGAGTCAACCTGCATTCAATTGTTTTTAAATATGCGATGCAAACGGTTATTCGAGTGCAACTTCCCCATTAAACAACATTTTATTAAAATTCAAAAGAAATGTAATAATTTTTGTTATTTAGAATTGATTCGTATCTCACTTGGCGAGTTTGTTTTGTTTTTTTCTTGCTTTTCTCTTTTTCAGCTGACTTAAATAAATTATCATGTAACGTTCTTCCCTCGAAACTTTATCTCTTGCTTTGCTAAGTTACTGACTGCAATGTTTCACTTGCATCAATAATTTATATCTAAAACAATCATTAACAAGCATAGAGTGCAAGAGAAAATGTTTATGTATGTCGGAATGGCAGGTGGGAGGCTAGTAAAGTGGCCGTGTAATTGATTCGCCTTTTCTTCTTATTTGCATCAAATCGATTCTGACTGGTTCAGAGGTTGAACAAATGCATTAAATCGAATCAAAATGCCAAGCCTTGATTCACATAAACGTTAATGTTAATCGTGTGAGTCGATATGCAAATAAAAGCACTTAATCAGCGAGAGTCGACGAGAAAAAAAGAAAAAAGTTTTTTTATTGATCACCTCATAATATTAATGTTGCTTTTTAAAAAAATGTTGTGGTAATTAAAACTTTAACATTTCCAGCAATTTCTCATTCGATTCATTGGCAAGTGCAACAAACTAAGTAAACAAAATTTTTCCATTAAATTCTTCTCTTTTTTTATTATCTTTTTTTTCTCTTACAATTGTTATAAAAATGAAATTTAAGAGAAAAAAAAAGAAGCAAAAAAAAAATAAATTGAAGAATTCTTGAAAAACAAAAAAAAAAGCTCATAACATACTCTGCATGACTTAGAAATGCGATTTAATGAAATATTTTATTACTCATTTTTTGTTAAATTACGACCCATATGCTAAGCGAGTGAGTGAGATGAGAATGAAAGGTACGTGTGCTTGTATCAGCAGTAGAAGAATTTACTTCTCCTTTTTAGCATAAAACCTCCATTGCAATGATCTGTTTATGAATAAATTACCGGCTGAATTATTAAATATTCAGCAAGTGTATGCAATATTTTACACTTGCCGATATCCTGGAGCGGTTTTATGGAAGTCGAGGATGGATGAGCTGAAACCTGAAACAGTTTTTGAAAAGCTTTTTAGTATTCCTAAAATCCAAATTTTTTTCTTCCATAATTTAGTCATTTTGTGTTCGAATAAGAAAAGCCTCAACTTGATCATCGATAACTGAGGTTAATCAAATTCCTTTGCATTTTCATTTTATTGCAATTTGCAACCTCAACTTCAACCCAACGAAGCGGTTGCATTCATTGCTTCAATCTTTCTTTCTTTTTTCAATAAACATCTTTCGAAAGCAGTTGAGTAACAAGAAGGAAGGAAATTGCAGCAAATTTATGAAATTTATGCACACAAGTTGAACGTGGAGATAAATTTCATTCGAAGAAGGAAAGAAAGCATCGACAAGTTGATATTAAATATATTCATAAGTTAAATAAAAAAATATTATCGAAACTCGCTCACGAGAAGATCATTGGAGAGACTACAATAAAGTTGAATCATGCACTTTAACACTTAATGCATCCAGAATTATAAATTTCAGGGAATGAAGATTAAAACTGGAAGTTTGTGTAATAAATTCTCAGATATGGAACTGAAATGAATGCAAATTCCAAGCCCTGACGCAATTACTTGCTAAAAAATAGCGTAACTAGTAAATAAAAATCACTCACAGAAAAATTGCATGCCTGTGAATGAGAAGTGAGGGTTAGAGATTGGATGATGATAAGCTTAGTCAGCTTCTTCATATTCAGAAGCTACTTAACTTGATTCTTTATCTTCTCTTTCATCCGCATCATGAATGCGTTGTGAAAATATTATTTCTGTGTAGTTGATTAAATGGAATGAAAGGAATTCGAGTCGCACAACTAATGATCCCCCATGGGCATCGAGCTCATCGGTTCTTTTAATGTCATTCCGTTGTCATCGTACAAAGTAAGTAGTTTCATAATCTCATGCAAGATGTTTTCACAAACCTAACTGACGATTGATCTTTCTTCTTTTGAGTCAAAGTACGATTCTTCTTTTGTATTTTAATGACTGCTATTGACCGTTCTTTGTCACAGCATGAAATCAAGTTCCGCAACTTCTCATAATGTCATTGATCACATTTGCGATTCTTCTTAACTTTGTTTCGTCTCGATATTCGATCTTCAAAATTGAAGAAATGATAAACTTAACCCAACATTCATTGTTGCTTCTCTCGTCTTATTCGACAACACCAAATAAAAAGAATTTAAACGAATGATCGATCAAAAGAATTGAATTATTGTTGACTTCAAATGGTCTTAGTTCGAGAAGTTTTACTTCTCATGGCGCCATTGAAAAGCGTTGAGTTTCTCACTGGGATATTTTTCTCATTGAATCGCAACAGTTTTTGTCATTTTGCGGTATTCCTGTGCTTATTCACTTTACCTTCTTTCTGATTTTGCATGACAGATATCGTTGATTTCTCATACATGTAATTAAACTTAATTCTTTACTTCTTCGAGGCAGGCCGTGTTAAAAAAAAGCTAACAAAACAGGAGAAAAAGAACAAAATTCAGTGAACACAACACAAGAAAAAATAAATTAAAAAAGTGACGAATCGTGATGATTTAATTGAAGTTTAAAGTAATTAAAATTCTTTCTTTCGTTTTATTTACTACCTTCCTCCACCTTCGTTTATCAAACTGAACCGATCCATTTCGTCTTTCTCATTGCATCAGTTTTGTCGTGTCGTATCAACAAAAACAAGAAACGACGAGAATGAAAATGAGGAGACAAACAAAGAACAGCGGGCGGGGGCATCGTCATAAAATTACAATCAACTCTAATTAAATTTATCCATGATACTGTCACTTTGAGTCATCTCTCTTCGTCTTCATCGTCGTTGCTTTTCATTACAAAATTTATTTAATGAAATTAAAGCAAAACAGTGAGAGAGCATCGAACAAAGTTATTTTGATGGGAGATTGTAATAAAATTGCCTTCGCCAGGATCGTGTATAATTTTACTCTGTGCAATTGATTGCATCAAGTTTCTCATGTGCTTGGGTTGTCGGTTCGATGTCGAAATCAGTTATAAATAAACTTCTCTCATTTCATTTATTTCTCATTCTTTCTATAAACTTGTGCATAATTATCGGCTAATTCGAGGTAAAACAAATATGTTTTATGGTTCTTTAATGCTTTGACATAGCAATACACAAAGTGAATTGTGAAATCATAAAAGCATCTGAATCTGAAGCTTATAATAATCATAATAATTTAGAGCAGTTTTTATCTTTTCTTGTTTTTTATTCAATTCGAGCTCTCGTTATTGCTTTTGCAAACCTTGGAAAAAGTTGAAAAATTTACTTCTAAGCAGCATTGCATTCAACTGCTTATACTAAATTATCTACTTCATGATGTTTCCTTCATTTCGAAGAATTATTCTCATTCTTCAATGTTGATAGATAAATATTTATGCAAAACTTTTTCTATTGAAAAGCACATCAAAAGAAAATTTTTGCCGAGAAATTTAAAATCAATTTTTTTTAATTGAAGAAATTTTTCTTAAAGTCTTCTTCTTTCAAATTTCCACAAAGCAAACAAGAAAGTTTCTGCAATCTTTATTCAGTAGAATGACAGTAAACAAAAGCTTTTTTATGAAAGTTTCAAAAGCTTTTTAATTATATGTCAGACTGTAGAAAAACAAAATTTCGTCTACAAAATTTCCATTTCTTTGCTTATTCTTCCAATTCACGATCTAAATCATTTCGTTTGAGTGTCAATAGCATTTATTTTGCTGCATGTGATGAATACTTAATTATTTTCGTTTATTCTTTTTAACTTTTAATAGCATTTAATGAAGACAATCATCCTTCGTGATGCACGGAATGGGAAAAAGCAATCGTAAGCCATCCATTAATCCGTGCAATTTTAAAATAGTGATTGAAGCTTCATTTACTGAAATAGATGTCAAAGAATCCTGAAATCAACCCCCACGTTAACTTCTTTAACTCATCATAGCTCAGCACAATTTTTCGTGGTTTCATAAAGTTCTGCAAATGATTTTCATGAAATAATTACACGATTTTCCTCGACCAAAACGTAGCAAATGTAGCTAAAGCAATTATCTTCTATTTACTTAGACGCCCATCGTAATTTAGAATAATTTATATGATTGTTAATTACGTTATAATATCGCAGAAAGCGAAAAGAAATGAAAAGAAAAGAGCGCAACATTAAATATTTGCACTTAATTCTCGTAAAATCGTCCATCATAATCTTTTTAATTGCCGTTAAACAGACGAAGTTTAATTTATTACATTTCATTTATTAATCGTCTTTAATCTTTGCATATATATGTATTCATTATGGTTGAGTAGATAACATAAAAGGCATGGGAAAAATTTAGCTAGGAGGATAATTAACCGTGTTAAATTTTCCTTTCGTTCTTCAGAATTAAACTAGTTAAATCTATTTTTTTAATAGTTTGATAAAAGAAGTGCATAAATTCACGAAGCAGATACATTTCTGTTACGAAAAAGTTAATGCATGTACAGTTCATGTAGTTTTTGTCGGTGGAGATTTATTTTGCAAGTGAGTAATGTTCTCTCTCTGCTAAGAACTTACATAGCTATTACCAGTGAAAAAGGAAGGAGAAAAAATGAAATGCAAACGAGAGCAATGTTGAACTCATACGTGAAACATGAAACGAAACTACATGTCGCTACATGAAAGAAGCAAAAGTAAAGAGTTGAGAGATTATGAAGAAAATGAAATTGTAAAAATATAGCACGGCAGGAAAGTTGGAAACTGTAACATTTTGTTTGCTAAATTATTGCAGTTGCTTTTCTTCATAATCTACATTCATAAGATTATTTGATTTAAAATAAAATTTCAGCGGAGTCTCGACTTGAGATTATTTCAAAAAGATGATTACGAACAGCTAATGGAGCAATTAGGAAATTGGAGAAATAAAATATGGAAAGTTACGTCAAATTATTCCAGGAATCCAAATAAATGCTCATCGTAATTTGCAATTGCGGAAATTATTTTATTATACTTATCATCAGCTTCAGATATAACTTCGTGGCCAATTAATTATGTAGATACGTTAAAATATATTTACATGCCCAATTAATTAACTTTTTTCAATCCAATTAAGATTCTTCATGGATGAAAAATTGAAAACAAACATGAGAAAAGTTCAGCATTGAAATATGCTTCATAACCAGACTGCCAATTATTTATTTCATAAATGAAAATTGTTATGCTTTTCAATGATTTATTCCGTCAATTTCACAATAATTTTTAGTTTTATATTTCTTTATGATTGAAAATTTGTGAGTAGGGATAAGTGAATATGCTTTTGAAATATATTTCTCTCGACATTTAACTTAGAATGGATCATAAACATTCCAAGTTATTCTATCTCTGTCTTCCAGTAGCGGTTTTTATTTCTTTTTAAATTATTTATAGTTGAAAACAAGTTGAATCTCTGCAATAATAAATGTATGCAGCAAGTACTTTTGTGCAGAATGCTTGTTGTAAACTGCAGGTATCCGTTGAAGGAATCGTGTTAAATAAAATAAAAGCTTGACTCTTACCTTTCCGCCATCACAAGTCAAATCTACACAAATCGTCAACGTAAATCTTTTTAAATATCGCGACATGTCTAATTGAAAGTATTGCAAATGTATTTTGTAAGTCAACCCACCCGATGAGACTTTCTAGTAGAGAAAAAGATTTATTTCCTCATCATTTGCGACTTCTACCGAACATTTCTTCTTCTGGTCATTTGTGCTTCTTTTAAATGTCTTTTATCATATTTCTTCTTCTCTCTCTCGATTGCCGGCGGTAGGAATGGACAACACACGTCGACCACATCAACCTCTCATATTTACCATGAAAATTATGTATTATTTGATTATGTTCGATCGCACGGGCACATTATAGAGGAAGAATGAAAAACAATTTCTCTTCGTGACTCGTCTGTCAAATTGAATTTCATGAAAATTATTTATTTTATTAGTAAACTAGTGATTTTGATTTCATTTCAGATCGCGGTGGGTTTTACTTATTATTCTGAATTTCAATTTAACAACACGGGAACTGTAGCAGAAATTGAGTTCATTTGAATATATGATGATTTTGTGGTCGATTATCGATTAGGTAACAAGAAGTTGTCATCGATAGAAAGCATTTTTTGTTATAAAAAATTCATAAGAAGTTCAAGTCGATCAAATAACTTTGAATAAAGATAAAAATTATTGATTTTTGATTAAACATCTTCGTTTTTGTTTTTGGTGTTTTTGAAAGTTGGTAGCTAACAGCTTAGACCTCTTTTGAGATTATAAAGTAACTTAATTCCATAACAAATTCCAGATCTAACGACACAGTAAAAATTAATGGCTCGAAAACATTCCACATCTTATATCGGAGGGGAAAAAAATGTTTTTTAAAGTGTCCATAAATTTATTTTCAGATTTTCGACGAGCTTCTTGCTTTGCTTGTTCCGATAACAATTTTTCATTTATTTCTGCCAGCAGTTTAGACAAAATTACCTTGATATCAAAAAACATTGAGGAAGTACTTAAGAATGTTGGGAAATATTTTTTCTTTCATTCTAATCTAAATGCTTTTAGTGTAAATCATCTTACAGTAGCTTTTGTTCGACAAATTTGAGTTTTTCCACTTAGCGCTTTTCCCTTGTTAATAATTATCCATCGTTCTAATGACAGCAAATGAATGCTGAAGTTTCTAATCAAAATTAAAAGAAGAAGTAAAAATTGAGAACGTCACACAATCAAAAAGAAATTAACGAATAAAGGAGAATGAAATAAATAAAAAGAAGAATAAAAAAATGTTTTTAGTTTTGAATTACATGAAAATGAAATTACCAGAATTGAGAAGACTGACGGAAAGCAAACAATGAATTCCGCTGTTTCCATAAATAGAGACTTCATTTGGACAAATCATGAAGAAGCAGAATTGTTGTCTAGGTAGGAAATATTTTAAGAAATTTAAAAAAAAAAGCCTGAGAAGCTTCTGTGACTGGACTTAAATCTCTTAGACACTCACGAATCGACCATTAAGCTGCTGTTCCTACCTAAAAAATATCCCACAGACAAACAACTTCTTACGCACAGCTTGTTGAACCAATTTGTTCACGTTTCCATTATTTTCAGAAGCATAATTAGCATCATAAGAAGTAAATGTTTATTTTTGATGCCTTCACGGTCTATGACCATCGTACAGCGTGCAGCACAACAAAGCACAGCGCACTCTCACACTTCCTGTCTCATTCAAGTGTCACTCAATGAATTGGACGTTACTTTTTGAGGTTTTCGTTTGAATGAAATGGGAAGCATTAAGAATGTAATGACGCGACTCTTCAACGAATGATGAAAGTGCATTTGAGAATATTAATTTTCATATTTAATGAAAAAAGCATTTTTAAGGCATCGCAGATATTTGTAAGCGAGCTGAAAGCCTACAAGTAAAACTGAACGTTAAAACCGGAAGATGGTCGTCAAAGACATTTCTCGTTCAAAACAATGTCATAATATTTGCAGTCCGAGTAAATATTTAAAGAAATACAACAGCAGAAATGCAAAATTACTTGTAAGTAAGATCAAGAGAAGCATTAGTGTTTTTCCGTGTTAAAATATTTCTCACAATTTCTTCTTTTGCGCATAACATAAAAAGGACAAGTTTGTGAGTCAAGCGGCAGGTTATCGGAACCTATCGTTGGATCATTTGATGTTAATACAACAAGAAAAGGTTTACAATTGTTTCCAATTACGATCGACTACTCTTATGCTGAAAAAATGTTTCAATTCGTAAGATTTTTTCGACTTTCAAAGTTTATTTTTTTGTTTTAATGGAAGACATACATATGCGATTGAATTTATGTTTAAATCTCTTTAAATTCCTATAAGTAAACTTCAGAAGCGCAACAGAAGTTTTGCACACACCACAATTATTTTCTCGCCTTTCTTTTCTCAATTTCGAAGAGAATTTCGTTTGGTGTTAAAAGGCAGAATGCCAATAAGAATTGGTATTTGGATTGTCTTCACTTCGCCCGACCAATTGTGTGATGTGTTTGTTGTATTATCATCACATATGATGATATTTTATATACAATGAAAGAAATAAATGAATAAATAAAGCGACAGAGAAGGATCGTAAAGAAAGTTTAATTGTATAATTAAATAAATTCAAAACTTTTCATCAGATCATGGAACTCACTCCAAAACTAGAATCATTTTGTCAGCAAGTAAGCTGAATGTCCAATGCAACTTTGATCTGAAAACTCCAAATGAATTTGATTAATTATCCTTACAATTCATCTTCAACCGCTTTCTCGCTAAAACCTTGAAAATCTTTTACATTAAAATTCATAACATGAAACCACGTACTTGAAATTACCGAAAAATTGCATTAAATCGAAAATTACTAAAGTTCACGCATTTATTACCATCGGCTAAACGACTTTAATTTGCTAAGGGTCACTGCAGTGAAAGCATGGAAAATTAATCTCTTTTATGTTGCAGTCAGCGGGGCTTCGGTCCGTGTTCCGAGATCCGTTTAAGGTCCGTTTCCTGTTCCGGAACAAGCTCCTCTTCCTGTTCCGGAACAGATTTATCGTTTGCGGAACGGTCCGTTTTTGTTCCGGAACAAGTTCATGGTCCCCTTAAGGTCCGTTTCCTGTTCCGGAACAGGAAAAAGGTTCCGGACCGAAGCCCTGGCAGTCAGAACTTTCTTTCAGTTTTGAGAATGGGAACGAACGTTGAGAAAATTTTAAACTTTTGTAAATAAATTCACAACAATGTAAACATCTGCTTAAACATTTGCATTCACATCATCAGTCTGATCATTTTGTAATTTTATTTTTATTACATTTTGATGGTTTCGCGTTTTGACTTATTGTCGATCAATAAATTTTATTGTCAAGGATGAACTTCTCGAGACAGAAAATAAACTTCCATGTTGTAATCAAACATTTCTCTCTAGTCATCCGAAACTTATTAACCGTTCTCCAGGTTCATTGTTGGCCATAAAAACGTTCAATTGAGGGGATATAAAGCAATCTCAAAATGAGACTTTGTCTCAAGCCACAAGTTGAAGCAACAAACAAAAAAAAAACACGATGAAGTAAGAAGACCAAGTAAAATAAAAAAAGGAAAGATTTTAAGGAATAACAACGTGACACAAAGATTTATTGAATGCAATAAAAGAAATAAATATCGCGGTTATTTTTCTGTTGCGAAATCAAAAAATTTATTTACGATGCGCGGACGATTTTTACATTTTCAATGCATTTCAGTCGCGAAACTTAATATTTGAACATTCCAAGAAGTGATATGAGAAAGCTGTTGATTACTTTTGAGCATCTTAAAAATTCGTTTAGGTTTCTTAATATTTTAATTTTCGTTTGTAGATGAGGAAATTATTTATTTTTGTACAGGAAGCGTGTGGGGTCGATGCGGAAATGACATAAGTGAAAGAGAGAGAAAAATATGTTTGTTAATTATGTTGAATTGCCTGAAGATTGATTTATTCCATTACCTTCAGCCATAAAACTTTCCAATCCCAAAATTAAAGTTGATAAGGAAGAATTCTTTTGAATACGTTTTGGCACAAGAAATATCTTAAAGGCTTCCAATATAAATAAAACTGTGAAATTGAAATTGCAATTAAGTCATTAAATGAATATTTTTCTTTTATGCCTTCTTTCAAGAACCCTGAGAGTCGAGTTAATGAACAGAACAACATAATGAAAAAGCCATTAAAATCAACAACGTTTGCCGAATGCATTCATATCTTTGGAGTTTCTTCATTTTCGTCTGTAAATTTTTTAATTTATTTTTGTTTGCTTAATCAGTGTTAAATGGAGGATTTCGTCTTTTTTTCGTATACTTTTTTCCTGCTCGCATTGCTTCGGGATGTTTTAGTGTAGACGTTGATATTTCGGATGACTGATTATGCTCTAAGACAGCATAAAAATTCATGTTTAAATTATGCGATTGGTCAGTCTTTTGATAGTGGAATTATTTCAATTCATGAGAAGAAACCAAACCAGTTCATTTAAACGTCTTGAAGGTAAAGTAAGTTTTAAAACTTTGATCTGTCACTCTTCCTTATGCGCGTTTTTATCAGATTTTGGTCTTTGTAAGAAAGCATTTAAGAACACATTCCAGTTTTAAATTTTCGATAAAGCCTCAAGCTGCTGAGCCTTTGAGAGCATTTAAAAAAGAAAACGACTAAAAGTTTCCCTTGATCAATAAATTTGTTCATTGTAAACCGACATCGTGAAAGAAAAGAGTAGAAACCCGAAAAATATTAATTTTTCACACCATCCACAGAAGAAGAGATTTCAACGCTGACGTGGAATAAATTCTGCTGAAAAGCGTTCTTGGGTTAATTTGACGTTTTGCGAAAGATTTTTTTTTAAATGCTGCAATGCAGCTTGGAAGAAGAATCGATTGGATTGGAGCTTCGGAAAAGAAGTAAAAAAAAGGCCAAAGAAAAGTTCGCAAATATTAAAAGAGTCTTGATTAAATATTTGTTTTCACATCAAAACGAGGAACGGCAACTCCAAAATAAAAAACGAACGAAAAAATCAGAGAAAAAAGGTTTCGCAAGTTGTATAAACAGATGAATATTTATTCACTCTCTGGGAAAAATCTTTTTCTTGAAAATCTCCAGCAGAGGCAATAAAAAGATTTTCGCACAGGCTGGGATTGAGATGACGGGTTAACGGAGGTTTCTCGATCACGACTCATAACAGACATCAACAACACTCCCAAATACCATGCGCTTCACTCGGTCAAACTCAATGAATCATAAACGCATATTATTTTCCTGTGAACAAAGAAACTTCATCATCGTCGTCCATCGACACAAGAATCATGATACAAACAAAAACGACGACTGATGAGGTAATTTATTGGAAATTGTAATTTGATCTTCCATTTGCATATATTTAATAAAGAAAAAAAAACTTCTCTGTTCGAGCTTTAAATCGATTATAAGTCGAAACATCGAAAAGAAATGAAAAACAATCGAATACAACAACGACAACGAGATGTTTTTAGAGCGATAAACGATGGCAGAAAAAAATTGCTTATGAGGGGGGCAGAAGTTAGATAGGCAAATGACAGATGAAATAAAGAATTTGATATTGAATAGGAGAAAGGAGAAAAATAAAAGTTGTTCAAGTTGGTCGTTTTGTCCCCATTTCTCTCTCGTGTTTTAGCTTTTTCGACAAATCTCTCGAGCTGAACGAAACGAAAAGAAAGTTTAAATCTTAATGGCTATCAATATAAAATATAACTGGGAATGTATCATTTGATTTGCTTATCATGTTTCTGGCAGTAGCATTGGGAAAGAAGAATGAGTATGAGTTGCGGATTTATAATGGGAATAGTTATGAAATGTGATTAACGTGTGGTGGTGGCATGAGAAAGAAATAAAATTAAAAAATTGCCGTTCGACAAGAATTTTCTGGAATGTCATTTCAATTTTTCAAACCATAATTGCAACCCGACCGACCGCTCGTTATAAATTGAATTGTCTGACGATAAAATAAATTAGCAGCTGCTAAATTGTTTTGAAAGGTCACATAAATAGCCCATTCATCCGTCCCATTGGGAATCAAAGTACATACAAAGCTAACGTTCAAATGAACAGCCCAAAATGAGAGATGAAATAAAGATGTTGCGCTTATTTGATCCATCAAAATGCTTCTTCATGAAATTCTTTATCCATCTCGTTATTTTCCTCGTTATTTTTTTTATCTTCTCTTTGGTTTGTTTAAATAAGAGTTTGGATGAAGTTGGGATGACTATTGCTTGAATTTTGTCAAAGATTTCCCGTATTTATTTACTTACAAAAGCAGCGTAGACAGCCAACGAACGAAAAAGATTCTCAAATATATCGCAAAGCAGCGAGTTTATTTAATTTTTAAAAAATATAATCCAAAAAGCAAAGAAAGCATTACAAAAAAAGAGCACGAAACCCCGAAAAAAAAAGCAGCAAAGAAGCGACCCGTCATGTGCTTCATGCGGCTTAAGCATCGCTTTGTCCATCAGTCGATCCAATGGATTTTTTTTCCCTCGGAACATAATTTCTTTATCTTGTTCACGATACTCCCGTCCCCTCCGTCAATCTGTTGAAGTTTGATGTTTAATTGAAATCTAAAAAGAGCGAACGAAAGACGAGCATAAGAAACAATACACGCTCTTACTCGAATTCAAAGCTATTTCAATTAAATAAAGTGAAATAAAAACCAGTAGATAGATGGAAACTATTTCTTATTCCTCTTCTCTTATTTGGCATGATTTCTTTTTTAAGTAAAGAAATACTTTTGGAATGGATTTAAATGTTAAATGTTAAATAGAGAAGGAAGAAAATTAATTCTTTCAATCACCAGTCGTTTACTATTTCACTCCTTTCTTTTCTATCTTCAAGAAGTTTCATTAAAACAATTTATTATAATTACAACAATGATTGATATTTCTTTGAGCTTTCTGCCAGCTTGAGAAGCTAGCGAAGACGTGGTCAAAGTGGAAGAAGGCAGAGATCGAGAGCTGTTCAGCACTGATGGTGGTATTTTTAATCGTATTTTACACAATCTCGCCTTAACGTTTATCGTTCTAAACTCTGGCATAAAAATAACTTCAACTTCTTCTTTCTCCATCGCTCATTTCTCTTCAAATGCTTGTTGGATAAATTCAATTAATTCATTTCTAATTGCTTCAGCGTCTAATCTTCTGGAACCGATCTGGAATGTTCGCTTCCTCGGGTCGGCAGTGGTTACTTTTTTTCCTTCTTTTTTTCTACTTCAAAGCCTTCAAAGTCAAAGTCCGAAGCTTCCTACATCTCTCCAATTACGAAAATGAATTTATTTATTACTTATTTACTTCTCTCCATTCTCATCTATCTTCGCTTGAATCAAAAATCATTTGAAATCAATAACATTCTTTTTATTTGTTGTGTTGCGCTTCAAGTTTTCAGTTTTCAAATGACAATCGACATCAAACATGTTGAATCGAATGACAGAAACAGGCAACGGGAGACATAAAATGCAGTGGGATCGCATGTGAATCCACATGAACTTTATTCCTTTTCATTTTTTTCATTGAAGTTCGGCCAGCGTCTTTACCGTTATTATCAATGAAAAATTCTTTAATTCTTCTTGTTGCACTTACAAACTTTAAACACATAAATTTCTATCAGAAATATTTCAACATTGTTGTTATAAAAACATTAATAAAAAATATGTAAAAAAACTCTCGAAAAAAAAGGCAGGTTGGGGACTTTACTTATTGCAGTTCATATATTTGCTGTTCTTACAGCTTCACCGTCGGTCGATGTCTCTCAATGGACAAAGAGCTATAAATTATATGCCATGATGGTAACTGTGCTATGTGTATGTTAAATTCGCCCGTTTTTATCCCTCTTGCTGTTGCCTTGATAACTTAACTTGAACAACAAAAACAGGCACAGTTAAAATTCGCAAAATTAAAAGTTCACTGACGATTGTGGTCGTAGAAAAAGCAAAGAAAGAAATTCAGCGCAAATCGGTCGACATTTGAAAAGAAAAATTATTTATTTTATTAAATAATATCGACAATACAAAAGCCTCAGCCTTTTTTTTCATTTTCTATAGCAAGTAATTTACAAAGAATAAAAGATTAGAATAGGAAGCATAAGTTTGTAAAACAATTTAGAAGACAGCAAACAACAAAACTAACCGTTTGACTGTTGAACAAAGAAAACTCGACTTTATAGCGCAATTAAAATGCATTTTTTAGCCTGTGAAGCTCACACAAAAAAAAAGAAATGAAACGAAACTTGAATATAGCCAACGGAGTGGAGCTAATGTGCGAGAAGAAGAGAAGGCAAGTATAGTGGAACAAATTAAATGTTCTAGACGATTGAATGAGGTTCTTGGAAATTAAGTTTCGGCTCCAACACCAGCCACTAGAAGCTCTTAGCTATGTTCATGTTGTAATTACTTACAAATTTGCAATGAACAGAAACATTCATTTATCAATTTCCTTCCTTCTGGAAATGTGCATTAAAAAAGCATGAAGCGAAATTAAGTAAGTTGAGCGAGAACATAAATATTTTAGAGCGACACTGTTGGCTTGAATATCTGCAGTGTGCAGCATAAAAATGAAGCATAAACGGAGCATAGAATCATCTGCATAACGCCCTCGCATTATGTTAAAAAAGCTTCCAAGTGACACGTTAACATGATGAACGAAGTTGCGCTGCTTGTAATATGAACGACACCACCAAAAACAAAAAAAACTCGTGGGCTTCAAAATGGGTAACACAACCGTGAAGACGAAAACAAAAAGTGTAAAAAGGTGAGATGTTTAAGGTGTTATCGGAGAACTTCCATCAGTTGTAATATATTTTTATCTTTTTCTCCGCTTTAACTGCTGCTTAACCTTATCCCATGGTGCAAATGCGACAAGCTCACATCGATCTAGGAGCAAACACGATTTCTTTCCCACTTTCATAAATACTTTTTTATTCTTCTTAAACCATCGTTTCTGAAATCAATTTCTCAGCGCATTTTCTTATGTAGGACAAAAGATATGTGCAAGATTAAATGTTGCGAACTAGATGATGTTAAAGATGACTCAGATATGAGATGACTCGAGAAATTTAATTGAAAAATCTTTCTTTCTCGTTGTCGACAAGAAGCTCGAAGAAGGTCAAGCAATGTGGCTTTGAGAATTAAGAAATTAGTTAATTTCAACGTTTATTTCATTAAAATATCTTACAAAGAAAGAAAGATGTCTTGATAATATCTTCGAAATAAATATTTCATTCCACTGCTCATAATCATAAACTCAATAAAATAAAAAAACAAAAATTAACATTTTCTTAATAAATTACCTCACTAATCCCTCGAGAATCGTTCCGTTCAACAAACACTCTCTTCACACAATGCACAAATGATAATTATAGACTAAAAACATTTCTTATACAAAGAGGAATTGAAGGTAAATTTATTTACCCAAAGTCTTCAATAAATCTTTTCACATTCTCTCGCTGGGATCAAATTGAAGAAACATCGTAAAAGATATCGAAAATTTGTTTTCATATTTTTTTTTTGTAGAAAAACGATGGGGGGAAGAAGAAGGGAATGCCCATTATTATTCAATTCTGGATCAATTCACTACTAATTTATCGTAAATGCATTTTTTATTCATGCTTTGTAAGTCTCGCATTCAATGCTTCAACCATTATAATGATGTCGAAGGTGTGTAAAGTGAATTTATATTTTATTTGTCTATTCTCTTCTCATAATTTTATCACAATCGTGATTATAATGTTCATTCAAATTGTCTCTTTCTTTTATAAAGATAAAAGTTATGTTTTGTATAATTAAAGTTCAACCGCAGGAGTTTCAACAACATATTGAAGTGAAGTTAATAAACACATTTTTGCTTTTAAATATTTATAATGAAGAGAAATTTAACCAAACAGAATTTAAATTTTCTTGTGCTGAAATAATTCAACATTTGACAAACAGAAAATGACGAAAAACAAAGTCGTGCGTAGGAAACACTTGTTGACACCCACGCGTTCATTATGTCAAACGATTTGTGCAGAAATTTATCGATGTTGAAAACTTTTTTTTTCTCTTTCCTTCATTTAACATTGCATGAAGTTTTATTCATTTTAGGATGGAATTTATGATGTCGTATCGTGACTTAATGTGTGACATAAACATTGAACAAGTCCTTTAAGTCCGGACATATCTTTTGTTTGCTGATCGAGAAACACCTTTCACTTAATTAAATAATAACTCAATCTAGAGATAGCGACGGTTTGTGGCGACTATAAATTCTCAAAGTTTTCTACTCCCCATAAAATTAACTTTTATCTTATAGATCCACTTAGATTTCCAATTAAGTTTTATTACCCAACAAACCCCGAAGAATCTTTGATAAATCCATCATCACTTATCGCACTAATGCTTTTAAATCAGTAATAAATTAGTTTTGATACTGAAATCCATCTTTTTCCTCTACTCTTACCTTTCATTAAGTTTGTTCTGATAGAAAATATTCTCGTTTTTGATTTGTAGCCTTTCACTGTCGCTTGCTGCTGTTCGTCGTCGTTAATCCCAAAAGAATCAAGAGCACTTAAAAATACTTCTTTAATTTAGTTCCACTTTAAGAATTTTCGTTCAACAGAAACTAATAAACAATTTTATAAACTTTTTTTTATTCCTCGATGCTTCTAATTAAAGAATTGAAGCCGAACAACTTGAAATTCCAATTCTAATATTCCTTTGTCCTGTTGAGATTTAAATTCGGTGATTGCAGATGGAATCTTTTAAACAAATAAATTTTTTTCCTTGTAATTTGTTGTTGATTTCATCTAATTCTTGATTATTTAAATTTCAATATCTTTCTTTTCCTTGTTTTGTCTTGTGTCTTTATTTAATCGAAGGTCTAACTCATGAAGGAATGAAAGTCAGTTGGATGCTGTCTATCTAGTCGATGAGATCAGATGAAGATGATGGAATTTTTTCGAAGACAAGAAAAACAAACTTCAAAATCACTCAGCGCAATCTCGAGACACGAATATCTCACTTAATTATTTGTTTCTTCAACAAACCACGGATACTTATTTGAATGGAATGGAAAAGATCGAAACGAAAAGGAACCGTCACGATCGAAGGTAGAATTCAGACTGAAGAGTTAGTGGTTCATTCAAGCACTCGCATGAAGTCTTTTTCTTTATTTAATTTAAGCTTCACATGGTTTCATGCCTTTAAAACCACTGGAAGTATTTTTCTCGATTCTCTTATGTTCATCACCTTCGTTCATTCCCTCAACTCGACTCGACTCGATTCAAATGTTTATACGCGGAAAAAGGAATGAAAAAAAGAAAGAATCACGGGTCGCAGCTCAAGAAGCGCACCCAAATAAAAGAGAAGGAAGAAAAAATTAAAGATCATTAAGTGAGAGATTGGAATCTATGAAGAAAAAAAAGAAGGAAAAAATCGAATATCGTTGATTATATTACGATGAAAAGTAGCTTCGACTTTCTATAGGAGTTTTATGGATTTTTGATTTCGTATTAAAACTTGGATATGGAACTAATCGATTATTTCGATTCGACAAATTCCTACTATGATCATAGAACAATCTTTTAAATAATTAGTGAATGAATGAAATTACAGAAACATTTTCACTGGTTCTTTTCCGGTCGAATAATTTGAAAACAAAATTTCCATTGTTGTTGTCTTAATCGCGAAAAATTTCAATTTTTTATGGTTTCTTCAATACTTTTATTCGATCATAACTCGGTGAGAATCTTTTGGTTTTTTGATTTTCCGCTTATTTCAACTCTCTTTCGCCATCGGGAGAAGTAAACGCGCGGTTGGTGATCGAGGCTTCCACTGGAATGAACGTTCTCTTGTCTTTTCTCTCAGGTCTGTCTGTTTATCTCGAGATGTTTATTAAAAAGCTTAGAAATATTTTTTTTCTTAAGCTGATCATTCGAAGCATGTTAAATCGTCAATTTGGACTATTCAGTGGTATCATTAGCCGCATTTGGTGATTTCAGAATGGAAATGAGAATCGTTTAAAGATATTTCAAGTCATCGCTATTCTGTGAAAGCAAATGATGAGTTAAATCAACTTTCTTCAAGCGTGCCATATGATGATTGCCAATTATAGAGAATTTATTTTCACAAGCAAGAAGAAAATCTCAACATCCGCTTGATAAGCATCACAAAATAATTTTTACTCGAAAAAGGAGAGGAAAAAAAATCGCCTAACCGTTTAAAAAATTAAATTTTATTATGCAATTTTTTTTCTTTTTGGAGTTTTCTGTAAAATGAACACGCAGTTTTTCGATTACTTGCATGAAGAAAGCAACACCTAAATGGTTAATAAACTACATTTAATGATCTGATGTCCTTTAAAAAATGATCTTCATCTGATAAATGAATGGAAATTGCTGTCAGTCTAGTTTTATTAATTTTTTGTCACGAAAGGTGTTCGTTTATGAACGAACAAACTGAAAGTGAGAAAGGAAATTAAACAAAATGCCCATTGAACAGAACGACATGCAATAAATGCAATTAATGAGATAGTGTGACTTTTGGCACCGTCTGAAATGATTCGACTTGTTCCATTATCTCCTTCTTTGTTACTTCTTTTAATTATTCAAGTTGACTTTTTTATTATTATTATTATTTTCTTATACTTCTTTGCTGTTCACTCAATAATTTTTCATCGCTTTGTAAAAACAGGCGCTTGACGAGATGGTTCGTGAGATGGCTTTTAACTTTCTTCCTTAAATTCACCGCATTACATACTTTTCGCGTTGAATCCGAGAATAAGAAATCAACGAAAATTGAATGCGCAAAAATCATGTTCGTGTGAGGTCCGAAAAATAAGCGAAAGCGAAAAAATTGCTTTTATATACCAAAAGACTTTAAATTGCTTTTTCCTCGATTGAAGAGAAAAACGATTCTCGATTCTCAATTCTCGATTTCATCCTTCGTTTTGTGTCGTTTATCTAAACAATCTCATCAACATCAGACCGCTAAATTTATTCGTTAGAGCTCCAGTGATGTCTAATTTCACAAACATGCCTTCTATTCCATTCACAACGATGTTGATTGCCTCTTTTTACATCTTCGTTAATAGACATCGCTCTGCTTTTCTGTGAGATACTTTTTTATTCTTTCAAATGCTTATGCGAATGATGGAAAACAAACATCTTATTGATTTACAGCTAACATTTACCGCCTCCTTCTTACTTAACTAACTAACCACAATGTTCAGAATGGGAAACGAAGAATCATCTTATGAGTGACTTGGTTGGCGTATTAAACAAACAAAAATCAATAAGCAACGAAGCTGTTGAAAGAATTGTTAAAAACGAGTGAGTGAGAGAGAAAGCATGCGTAAAAAGCATTAAAAATTTAATAAAACCGCCAAACGAAAGCTATCGGTAGCTTGCTAATCCTCATTTTGTTGAAAAGCCCCCAATGAAAAAAAAAAGTATAATAAACACATCTTTAGCCTTTCAATGCTCCTGCTTGCTGTTTATCGTTTGATCTGAGTAAAAAAGTTTTTATTTATTGATAGTCCGCGAATGATTCTACCAAGTTTTACGTTTGAGAATTCCGACGACTTTTTACTTCTCTTTATTTTTATTCCGTTGATGCTGAATGGACGATGAATTTTTTGGAATAAATCGACAAGAAGGCGAAGAAGTTTTTGTGTTTTTTTTTGAAAAGAAGTCGCGTTTTGATCGTGCGCCTTCATCATATCATTCAAACCGAATATGTCGGAAGAAGAAAGATTTATCTTGAATCGCGACAGTTAAATGTAGCAACAGCAGCTGAAAGATCAAAAAATAATAAAAAAAGAGAAACCAAAACTGAAAAAGTCTTTTGAGAATTTCAACTTTTTGCATTTGTCGATGAAATGCTTAAAATTTTTTCGGGATGGGAAGAAAAAAACATTCCGAAGTGAGATGATCGTTTCAAATGCATTTTTATGAAGATTTCTTTTTCGGAGGATCGATGAACCAATATTAATATTTTAACATATCATTTAAATATCTTTTTCTTCTCCTTCATTCTTCAGAATGTTGTCAGAACAGAACCTGAAAAGTGTTTTAAATAAATCGCTTTCGTATCTTTCGGTTGAGATATTCTCATTATGCAATCTCTTCAACTCGTGACAAATTTCTTGACAAGACCATTAAATAAAATTTGAAAAGAGTAACAACAACCATGCGGTGGTCATCGAATGAGATTATCTTGTAGAATAACGTCTTTAACTAATGGCGAAAACATTTAGTGATGTGGTGATTCGTTTATCAAAGAACGTCCGAACGTTTTATTAACTTCTCAAAACTAATTGAAGGATATCGTTACGAAAATAAAGCTGTAACAGATGATTCGTGCATTTTAAACTTCTTTTCTGAATTCCACGATTATTATTTCTCGTAAATGTAAAAGTAAGGAGATTAAGGAATGTTTCGTCAGATGTGGGCTCAGAGATAATTACTTGAAAAGGAAAAAAAAACAGCAGAACTGTGTAATTGAAAACGATCACTGAAAGACGAAGAAAGAATTTTTTTCGGTATCAATTTAATCGTTGACGGAATGACGAGATGATTCGAGGAAACCTTTTACAAACTTTAATTGATATAGATACAGAGATAAGTAATTAAAGCACAAAAAAGTCGAAGAACTGAAGATGTTGAGTAGAAATGAATCCCCTTGAGCTGGATCATGTCACTGCAAATGTCTTTCGTTTCGATTTTTCGACGGAAATTGAGCCTGCAGAGCAAGAAACAAGAGAAAATCGTTACACAAAAAAAAGTACACAAAACGCAATGTGAAACTCGCTCAAGTAGAAACAAAATATCAGAATTCCACTTCAACATGTTTTTGAAATGCAATAAAATCATTTTAAAACTTTGGTAATAAAAATCGAATGAAAGAAGCAATAAAATGTAGATTTTGGTTGAGGGAAAGAAATAAAAGTTTCCTCAACTTAGGATCGATGAGAATGTTTTGTTGGTAGAAAGTCGTTGAAATTAAAGTTCGAAGAACAGTTTTTAAGAAAACTTTCCTTGAAGAAATCCTCGCGTGAAACTTTCTCAGAAATTTAAATTGAAAGATCCGCTTAAGCTGCTTTCAAAGCTTTCACTCATAAGCTAATAAGATTTTCTATTAAAATATTTGTTTTTAAGAACTTCAATTCAATTTCGGAATGAGGCGACAGACTATTGCATCATAGAAAAAGTTAAATATTTTTATTCAGACGTAAACATTTCGCTCGTAAAACATCTAAATGGAAAATGGAAGCACATTAAACAATTGAAACGAGTAAAATAAGAACCACATGTTGAATATTCAAACCGCTTCTGTTCTCATTCATTGCACAACTTTCATCATTTTCCTTCCAAGTTTGAAACACAATCTGGCATTGCATGTTTATTACCTAAACCAGTGAGAACATTCAGCAGATAAATAAACGCAAACGCAAACGACAAACTCATATCAGCTTTTCTACTTGAATAACTTTTGATAAAAGTATTTAATTTGACTTTCTTAACTGCACAATGTCGCATTATATATCATTACGTGAATAATGACAATGACATGACGATATCGACTGTTTATTTGTTATTCCTTTATTCACTGATCTTTTCTCAGTTGTGCATATCTCGAGCTTACGTCCCAAAGCTATTTATTATAAATGGTCGAGTTAATGATGTTGGATGGGAGTGAGGAATCTTCAAGAACGTTTTAAATTTTGTGAAACAATTTCCTAATCCCCATCGGTTTGAATATTCATGGAAAATTCACAATTAAGCTGCAAATATTTGCAAAGAGAATTATCAAGATTAAGTATGTAAAACTTCTATTTTCATTTTTGAAATCCAACATGATGACTTCAAGTAGAAATTCATCCTAAAACCATCCAATCAGCCCCAAGAAAAGTCGTCAAACATAGATACAGTTGAAGTGAATATCTGACAGAAAAGAGGCAGAACATTGAGATGGAGGAGAAAAACAAACATGATTCTGATGCCAATCGACCAAAGTAAGAAAATAAAATAAGACAGAAAAGAAATATCTCAAATGTTACTCCTTTTGGGCAGCAAATAAAAGAAATTACATGCTCCGCTTTTTTTCCATCTCTCTTTGCCATCTTTCGCTAACTTAAATTCTTAAATGTAAAGAGAGATCTTGAAAAATTTAAACGCTGATCTGATGTATTTGCATCTTGACATCAAATTAAATGATGATTGCTCATAGGATGGTCAGTTGGCTGGGCAAATTATATTTTATAGCTTAATTCAACAGTATCTCGCTTTGGCTTGTTTTATTCACGGCGGTGGTCTTATCGAATGCGGGCCAACATCAATGAATGAAAACTGATAATTTACTTTATTTTTCTCATCTTTCCATGTTCCCAATTTGAAAGCGAAACTCATGGAATAATTTAATGAATTTTTTTTATGCTTTTTTGTTTTTATTAAATGCGAAATGTCATTGTGATGATCGAGAAATGTTGACAAAGAACAGTGTCTCTGATGAAGAATGGTTTGATTTATAGCAGAGAAGTTTAAGTCGCTTTAAGGCTATAAAAACGACGAGATTGCTACTGCTTTAAGCTGAATACTTAAATAATAATAATAATACCTGCAATAAATAATATTATAAGCATAAAAAGTATGATTTATGAAACAACAAAGATTAATCAATTCCAAAAAGAAAACAAAATTAAATTATTGCGAATTCAAAGTTCGCTGCTTTCATTTCTCGCTGATGAAAATTTCGCATTGTTTTTGATGAAGTCATTATCGGTCTCCGTCTTCTGTAAGGCCGTCAGGTATTTAACTCTTTCATCGAGCACCAGTTTTACATCGATTGAGTTCTTATCAGCGATTTCCAATGCTCGATTCCATCGATGTAATCGAATACAAAATTGAATTGCTTCCGCAATTTTCCTATTATGTAACAGAATGGTTTCAGCTTCTTCAACTCTTGCTCCATTCATGATGGCATTCTCAGCCATTTGTTCATTCTCGTTCAAATCTTTTACGAAATTCATGTAATCAACTTTGTCAATTTGCAATGCTGATGAATAAGCTTCTTCGCTGATATCAAGTTGATTGCGTTTCGATGATAATGCAGCTAAACAAGCCCACAGCAATGTACTTTGCCCCATCCGACAGATTTTTAATGCTTTCGCCCACTGATTCTCACTTACAAGCTTGTGAATTAAAATGCAATAAATCTTCGCTGTGACAGTGAAGTTTGAACCGGACGCACAGAACGTGATGGTTAATCCATCAAAATTAACCAGCGAAATGTTTCTTCCGAACTCTGTCGTGTCATACGACAAGGTCGTTAATGCAATCAACGATGGATCGGTACAAGCTTCTCCTGGACAGTACCAGATACTGTAACAGGAGTCATGCAATCCAACAAGCACATTACACTCACTCGACCACATAACACTCGTTAATTGAGTTCCAATCTTATGCAAATTATAATCAGATCCGCTTCGTATTGATGTCAAATACAAGTCACGATTTGAATCAATGAAAGTAAGATATTGATCGTCACCAGAACTGGCTCGATTGACACTAATGTCTGTGATAAGTTGTTTATGTTTCACTTGATAAGCATCTTCTTGACGTGAAGCACCAGGCAATAGATCGAAGATATGCACGATTGTTTGATCAGAAAAATCTCTTACAGCAAGAACATCAACGCCAAGTGATATTGTTTGATGTGTCAAATGAAAAACTTGTGCTTGCGATCCAGAATAACGTGGATTAAGATGAAGTCGACCTGTGTATGTGTAGATCCATATCGAAGCATTATCAACAACTAGAAAGTTTCTGAAAGAAATGGAATCGTAATGAAATGATGAATCAATTATAATTATGTAATTTTCACTTCTTCGCCAACAAGATAATTCGCACGTCTGCACGCTCGATGATAATCGGTGTGTTTATATAGTTTTCATTGAAGATATGTAATTGATTAGCAGTTGATACGACTAAGTGACCATAGCCTAGTTCCCATTTAATTATGCGATCCGAGAAATCCAATGTGTCAGTCGTATTATTAACGATGTCTTTCATGACAATCACTCGCCTTCCAGTTATCATTGCTTTCAAATTCTTGTAAATAATTTCCCTCTCAACGACGTGACCGAAAACAATGTTGCCGGAGCTTGATCCGGAGAGAATTTGTGTACCGTCGGGAGACCATGAGACATTCATTAACGATCCAACAGGTTTGTCTTCAAATCGAGTGACATTATGACTCCACTTAAGTGAGAGAAAGAAATAAACAGAGAATGATTTATGTTGGATTGTGCAACGTATTGATTAATATTTAAGTGTAGGACTTACGCCGCTTGAATGACAAAGTTTCAACATATTAAAACCTCCAACAGCAAGAAGATTCCCATCAGGGCTGAAATCGATTGTCGTAATCGGATAATCGTCAGGTGCGCTCGTGTAAAGATTTGTGCCTTGAGTGTCCCAAATCTTGTAACGAGTATCTTCACCAGCTGAAGCGATGTGTTCTGATTCTGGTGACCATGATAACGCAAGAACTAATCCATCATGAGCTTGCCATTTAATCAGTTTACTGTTTGCTGCTAAAGGTTTTAAGGCGATTGCGTTGCCTTGACAATAAGCGATTGTCAGTGAGTTTGGTGACCAGCGGGCACAAACAATCAAACCTTCATTCTGAATAACTGTTGATCTCAACATTCCAGCTCGAGAGAAGATTTTTATGATTCCATCTTCCCCCGCCGTAAGCAATCCCGAACCGTCAGAACTCCATCGACATGATGTGATTGCAGCGTTGTGTGCTGAAATGCTTCTCTCAACTCTCGCACCTTTGTTAAGAATTATGAAACGTCCGTCCGTTGATGAAATGAGTAAATTTTCATTACTCTTCCCACCCGACTTTGCAATCAACCAATTGAAGTCAGAAGGAACAAAGTCGGGAATCTTTGCAACTTGAACAAACTCACGACTTGATGTTGTCCATTTTACGATCTGACAGTCATCACTTCAAAAGATTTCAATGTTTATTATTGACACAAGTAATTAAAAAGTCCTTTAATAGAGAAAAGTTTAAGTTACCCGCATGAATAAACTTCGTTGTTGCTACTCCAACCAACACAAGTTATCGTGCTTTTATATATGGCTTCTTTGTTTAAATAAATTTTAAATTTCATCTTGCTCTCTTATCTTTAAACTCCTTGCTTTTGCTTGCTTATTCCACAATATCGTTTATTGCATAAAAAAGGATTTTTCTCTCTCTTCTTTACTCTTTTATGCTTGTTAACACAATGAATGAATGAATGAATCCTTTTTTTCTCGCTACTTATTCTTGTTGTGTTCCTCTATGTTGTTGACTTCCCTGTTGCTATAGCAAAAACACTTTGTGCACTCAACGGTTACATGGAAACGAAAACATTTCAATATTAGCTACAACAAGTGAATTTTTATGAAATAAAGAAAAAGCAGGTGGCTTGGTTACACGAGGGAGAAGAATTTTTCTGCCAACTTTCACTCATGATATGCTTTTGATATAAACGCTTAATCACAAGAAGAACGAGGAAAATTATTTGACGCTAGATAAGCAAACTTTTTTATGATGTTTGTGAATTCCCTTACCTGCTTCATTCCCTTGTTGGCGGATGCGAAGCAAAAGCGCTGAAGGTGTTTTTCCTTCTCAGACTCTTCACATATTTTTTATTTGTTAAATATTTGCAATTAAAATTTACATTTAATTCAATCTTGGTTTTTGGGTGTTTGCAACATTAATTTTACTGTTATCTTATACATTACGAAGCGAAAATATGCTGAATTATGTTTTAAATGTTTTAAAATATGTTAATTGAAATTATTTGTGGGTGGATTGAGAAACGACTTCCAACATTTACTCAAATTATCTGCTTGGCATTCAATGGATATGTTTGCATTAAAATTTAAGAGAAGATAAATTATTTCCACTTCTGGTATGCTTCAAAAACTTTTCTTTTCGATGATCTATCGATTAAACGCTAATCTTCGTATCATATTTCAGTTCTCACTGAGAAAGTCGCACTCTTAATAACGAACTTGTATTGTTTCCGCAATACTCTAGGGAAACGAGGGAAAGGAGAAAGAAGAAATATAAATTATTAATGGCATAATAATGTTCGGAAAAAGTTTGACATGAAAAATTCATAACACGAATTATGTATCATTTCCAGCATCAATATTTTGCGAGTAAAAGTAGAAGGAAAAGCGCGAATGTTAAGGAAAACTTGGCCTACATAAATTGTGCCTCCGCTTATGCTTCTCGATATCAAGAAAAAGAAGTTGATGTCGATCAAATTTACTTAATTGACCGGATAATTTATTTATATTTTTCTTTCTTTTCTCTGTGCCTGGCCTCGAGGAACTTTTATGTTCTCAAAAAGAAAAAAAGGAACGAAGACGACCCAAAACATGAAAAAGCTCTTCGAAAAGATGTTTCTAATGACGAAACATCGGACAATGTTGTGTTGAAGAACTTTTAATGCAAGCAATCAATTTTAATTAAATGTAGCCATTGTTTAACCCAAATCAATCAGATCAAATTAATCACCGCTACAGTTAACCGTTTGCCAATCTCTGACTCTTCCACTTCCCTCTCTCTCTCATTTTCCTTCGCTCATTTGGGACATTTTCCAATAGATTTTCATTATCTCTCCCTTGGTTTACAGTTAAGTAGAAAGAAAAAAAAACATAAATAAAGTTTCAAGGACAACACGTGAAAATTGACATGAATATGATTTGAATTAAATGGAAAATTTATGAAAAAAGATTTTGAGTGAATTTTCCATTTAATCATTCACTTGAATGCTTATTTTTCAGTTAAAGAAAATATTTTCGAATAGAACATTAAACAATGCAATAAAATATCACATCAATTGAAGTCATGCGCAGAAATGTCACAAACATAAAGCACGTTGCTTTGTTGCCTTCTCATACTTCCAACCCCAACTCTTTACACGTTTTTATTTCTTTCTGCAGGAGATTATCTCGAAATTCATGAATGAAAGTGATGTTTGTTGGAAAAGTCTCTCACTGGAAAAGAAATATCCTGAATTGTATGTGCACATGGTGCCATAGTAATGTCAGTTAGTAAGTTTTTCCAGTTCTCTCTGTGTATAAATTACGGTAAGGATCAGAATTTCACTTCAGTGTGACAACAGTTTTCATTCGGGAAACACCGCTTTTCTCGTGTGGCTGGAGAAAAACATTTTATGAAATAAAATCTGGAGCAGAACAAAAAGCGTAATAAATTTCCGTAGAAAAACAATGAAAAAGCAGTGAGACAACAAAGAGAAAGTGTAATTAAATGAGAATTTCGTGGTATGAATTGAGTGAAAATTGTGGAAAATAAATTTTTGTTTTCTCTCGTAATGTGCAAAAATTAATGCGCTCATCAATTCCCTTTTGAATACAATGAGTCAAAAGTGAAAAACGGCAGACGCCGAAAAAGAAAAACGCCAAACAAAACGAAAAAATTACAAAAAGAGGCAAAGGATTATTAATGAAGCATTTTAAGTGAACGGGCTCGGCAACGGATCGTTAAGCAACATTTTCCAGTCAATGCCGGGGGTAAATATTCAAAATAAATATATTCAAAAGCTTAAAATACAAAAAAGGAAGAAAAGTTTTCCGTGTCAAAATTGTTATTGTTTAATTAAGTACAAACTGTGGAGAAGACAATGAGGCTTAAAACATTCTCGTTTTGCGACTTTCGATGCTTTTTATTCAGTCTTCCTTTCTCTTCTTATTATCCGTTACAGTTTGTTGTAAAATATTCGAGCAAGATCATGTAGCGTGGATTGCGGAGACGAATAAACAATTTTCGTATGTGACATGTAATGCGATAATAAGGAAAAAAGGAAAAGGTTTCTGTCGTTATCTTACACCCCCGCAATGAGAGGCAAAATTGTTGACAATGAACTTTCAAACCATAAGGTTTTTCATAAATTTTCTTTTTCCTCTGAATATCTAAGAAGAGAATATGAAGGAAGTGTTTCGAAAGGGATTTAAAGATTTTTCTTGCTTGTTGTATCGTGGGGCGGGTGGAAGAAAATTTTAAGGGGCGAACGAACGAACGACTTCTTCCAGAGACATTCATTCAAGCAACATTCCGGAACAAAGAAAAGTCATTAATTAAGTTTCGCTCATGAATGAATGTCCTGAGTGAATTATACAACTGACTGAAAGTTGATTAATTATGATTACGGGACAATGTTAAAAGACCATTAATTTTTTTCCGCATGTATTCGTGCCACCCACGCTTCTCTTATTCTTCTTTTTCCCGTTTGTCAATAAATTTCTCAATGATAAATTACCAAATAGTCAATAACTTTAATGGGAAGTTTGCAAGGGTCTCATTCATTCTTTTTTATTTCCGTCAAACTGTTTCGAACAATTTCAAAAGGAAGCTCCATTAAAAGCTGATTAAAATTTGTTCATCTCATCACAGCGTCAAATTCTTATGTCGTAAGATTTTAATTGTCTTAAAAGTTTTTGACGTTAATTGTCTTAAGAAGATTGTAACAAGATTCACAAAATGTTTTCACAATGAGTGATGGTAAAATGTCTGAAAATATTTCATTACGCAATTTATGGTTCATTTCGAAATATGGAGACATTTCTTGAGAAAACAGAAAAAAGTAAAGAAATGGCTTCAACACATGCAACTCACGATATATTAAATCATTTTGCTATACTGAAATGTATGAGAAAGCAACGGAAATTAAATAATTTTACGACGGAAAATGCTTTCTTCGTCATGTTCCTTTTTTTTCTCTCGTCTGCTGTTTCGTTTATGCACAAAAGTAAATGGAATAGAAATGGATAACATTAATAAATTTTTGGAATCATTAAACAATTTTTCGTTTCCCCCATTTCATTGCCCGACAGTTTTGAATTTCATTTCTTTTATTACCACGCGAGTTTGTTTCCTTCTCTCTTTTTATTGTTGTGCAGAATTTTAAGCAATATCTATTTATTCTAATGCGATTTTGACACAAATAAGTATCGGAAGAAGTTCAAGCACTGCTCGGAATTTTCAATGTGTCGAAGCATTTAAGCGAAAGAAGTTTAGGAAGCTTCGTTCCATTAAATCGCCTTTAAAATAATTTTCTACATTTCTCCCTTGTTGGTTGTTTTCTTTACCAGCTTTCAGCTATCTTATCGAACACCATGTGCTTCATGGACTTTATTAATCCCTTTCAACTCGTTAAGCTTTCTAATTTTGTTTAATTATTTTTTTATGATAATTTTTCCTTTCATGTTCTGCGATAATTGGTGGAAATTGTTTTTTGAGTCGCTGAAAACTTTTCTACTCCTACTTTCAACTCTCCATCTCACTTCTTTCTACTTTCTTGTAACTGAAATTTAACAAAAACAAGAAAGAAGAAAAAAGAAACGGTTTACTTGTCGCAGATTTTAGCGATATTTTAAAAGTAATTTTATGAATTTTACGACGAAAGCTGTCGAACACGAACACGGTAGGGTGGAAAAATAGAAAGTAGAAATAAAAATATTTCATTATATCGACGTTGAAACGACGATGAGGGAAGGAGAGAAAGGCAAGAAGGCAGTAAAATTTCCTTTTCTACTATTCAATGTATTATAATTACTCCCACAAGTTCAATTAAATGGAATTCTCATTAACTTTTATTGCCTTGGTAAATTGTTTCTTGAAAGAAAGGAGCTTTCGACTAGCTTAGTTAATAATAATTGTATTATAATTTATTTTTCAACATTATAGCGCTTATCTTTGTAGATTAAGTTCTACACTTTCATATCGAATTGAATTTCCTTTTCTTTATTTTGTTTTTGTTTTTTTACATTGCATCGACAGAAACTGAGACACAAAGAAAATAATTTCTGCCTTTTTATGGATGAGATGTGCTCAAATTTTCATTTCTTCTTATCTCGTTCTAAGCAGAATTCTATTATTCGAGTGAAGGCACGTAAGAAAGAAAAAATAAGCAGCTCAAATGCTATGATAAGAAATTTCCCAAGATTAAATTAGCATTTCTTTTGAGCTTTTTATAATTAAAAGGGAAATCCGGAGAAAATTAAAAAATTTCAATTTCAAAAGGAAATGTTTATTGACTTTCTTCTTTACAAATATCTTAGAAAAAGAAGAATTTTTATTTCCGCTTAAAGTAATAAGCATTAGATGAAATTGTTCAACGTGCAAAACTCCTGCCGGCACTCGAATAAAAACTTTTCCTATTTTCACATCGTGATGGAAGAAGTTCCCATTGAAAGAGCCTTCAAGATATTTTCTGTGTCATTTTTGCTTTCACTTTTTATTTTATTCCATTCTTCTTCCGAGGAGTGAAAAGGAAAATTATCAAGAAAAGAAAGAAAAATTGTACAAAAATTTATTTAATACCTCTCAGATTGTCTCCAAAGTTTTAAGTTTATTTGGAAGTTTCCTTCTTTCTTTTTTATTCCTTTTTGAAGAAAGTTGTTGAACTTGTAAGAATTCTTGAACAAACTTGAAATAGAATTAAATTGTTAGGTGAATAATTTCATTTGAAACAATGTTGATTATGTGTCAGTCTAGGTTTATTGTTGATACGCTTCAAAGTGAACTTTATTTTTGTATATGATTGTAATAAGATTCTCCTTCATGATACTTTATGTGTGCTGTCTATATGTTGAGCGGAAAAGCTTGAAAAAGAAAAATTCTTCTCTTTTCCCGATGCATGTTACTGATATGTTTCAAAGCTTTTCATGATGATAACAAGCTCAGGAAAACATTTTTCCTTTTTCTTGGTGAAAAGCTTTTTTCGCTCGTTGAGATTCACATCTTAAGGTTCTAATCAGATCATCTCGAAATGTTCTCAGAAGTTCTGCCAGAGAAAATAATCTCAGCACACAAATCGCCCAAAAAATTGGAAATCTAATTATATTAATCTAAAAATATCGATTCAATGTCCGTTGTAGCAAAGGAAATGGCCGACGGGAAAGACATTTCGAGGAAATCCATAAATGAAAAAAAATGTAATTTTCGTCCCTTTCTTCCAAATCGATATCAATTTCATCATGATTGTCGATAAATTTCTTACGAATCGTGTACGACACAACAGAAAAAAAGGAAAGGAAAATCAAGAAAATTAAATGCAGAGCAAAATAAAAGTAAATAACTGATTCGGATCGTGAAATTGTTTCCAATACATTTCAAAAGCATGTTGGTATGTCTGAGGTATCCAATCCATTCCCATTGAGTTCTTCTCCGTCATTTCCTCGAAAAAAAGCTTTTTCCTTCCCTCATCTGATGTCTTCGTCTGGATTTTATGTTGTGAAAATTCTATTTTATTTATTTATTGTTCAAGGTTCATATCAGCTTCGTGAAACTATTTGAAATTGTCTGCTGGTGGAATTGTTTGTAACAAACATTTCTGCTTTACCAAATCAAAGTCTTAATTTGAAATGTTTTTTCTCGGGAGAGTTTGAAAATGGGCTGACCAGAGAATGTTCACAAATTATTGATTTGTTCAGAAGAAATGAAATATTTTCCGACCAGGGAATTTTCAGCCATGCAATTTTAAGATTCGCTCATGATTTTCATTTCGATGTTTTCATTTCAGCTTCTTTGAACAATTTTTCATTTTCTTCTACTGAAAATGCATAAAACGAATAGTTTTAAGTTTCCAATGAATGATGTAACAGAAACATATTTCGTTGAAGCTTATGTCGGCTTGTGATCTCAGAGAATCTTTGCAGGAAAATTCATTTCCTCAAAGCTTCATTTCCCAGCATATTCTGCAGTTTTACTTGTTGTTTGCAATGAAGATTAAACATTAAACTGTAGGAAGCCAGGTTTGTTTACAGCGAATGTCTTTGAAAGAAACCTCAGAAAATGTTGCAAAAAATAAACAAAAAAAGCTTTCATCAAGAAGCGGGCTTTCAGTTGTGGCGGGTAACTGAACTATTTATTTAATAAACTTCCTTTCATCCGCTCCACTGGCTTTTACAGAATAAACATGAAAAAGTAGGGCAATGAAAATGCAGAAAAAAGGAAACGAATTACTTTTCACTATGAGGCGAGAAAATCACGGCAGTCGGCAACAAAAGTCGCAACAGCCGTGAGAGTGATGAAGAGTTTTTCTTCTTCCTTTTAGATTGTTCTTTGAGGAAGTAAATTTATGGCTTTCAATAAAAGCTTGGCGTAAATTAATGAACTGTTTATTTTGCGATTATTTCCTCCAGTCAGCTTCTGATTAACAATAAATACATATTCATTTATCAGCTCCTTTCATATCCACATTTGGTCTTTCAACTTCCTTCCCTTCACTATTATTGCAATCGAACGACTGCTGCTGCTGCTGCTTTTACTTATACACACACATATTCCGGATGTGTTATAAAAGGAGAATTGTTATTTATTGCATTTCATTTTGGAACTAATTGCATCAATTTCGAGTGGATGACTCTCAAATAAATTGCCCCATTCAGAGTCCTAGAGAGTGAACAACGAGCAAGCGAATGACTGTAAGTTGAGAGAAGTCAATTCTCGTTATAAAAGGATAAGTCGAGAATTCTATCTTCACATTGCTTTTCTCTCCAATGTTTCCCTCATGGTTTAAGCGATTTTAATGTCATTCAAGAGCAACAGAAGCACATAATGGTTGGTTGCATGATGTAGTCAGATTACATGAGGAAAAAAGTCATTTAAAACATTCCTTAATTGAGTTATTTTTAATTAAAGTTGTTTCTTTTTTATTTTAATCTCAATTATGATGAGGATATCTAAAATCTCTGGTCGTCATGTTTCTTTTTTCTGCCAATTTCCACGTAATTGTCATTACCATATCAACAATAATTAAAACAATTTTCTTCTCGATTCGAATCTAAATATTTCCACGGATAGAAAAACTTTTTTTCTCTTAAATTCTTCAAGTTCATTCAACAACAAAATTTCAACAAACTTGTTCAAGTGCATTCGAATCCAACCAAGGAAGCCTTTTTTGTACTTTTATTTTCTGTCAGTTACATTTGTCGATGGTTGGTAACGATGTTGAGAAAGGCAAAGCAATTGGAATGTTATGGGGTTGAAATGACATCATAAAATCATGTACACAACCAACTATTATAACAATAAATGATAACAGCCAATTTCATGCACACGAAAGATGATTCTACATTCTACATTTTGCCGTCAAAAGGCAATAAAACGAGCAAGCATAACCATACGTAAATGATAGAATAGGAGAAGAAAATGGCAATGGAAAATATGGTGTAAGAGTAGGAGGTTTTGAAATGTAATCTGTTTAAGACATTTCTACCATTATAAACAGGAAAATCTTGTCGAATCAAGAAATCACTTCAAATCTTTCTTCTGCAATTGTGAAACATCATAAAACTACTGTCGCATTAATATGCACTTCGCCATTCTGTTACGACATCAAATATGTGGAAAGCGAACTCAACTATAGAGTGTAAAAAATGTAATAAAGACAAAATGCAGAAAATGACAAACTTTTATTGCAATGAAACGTGGCGAAAGCCTTGGCTTCAGCTCGTTGCTGAATCTGAGCAGCCATATGTGTGTGTATTTGTTTTTATCTATGAATGTATGTGATGTGGCAATTTGCATAATGGAAAAAGATATCCCAGGTTGTTTCCAACTCTTCTCACCCTTTTCTCCCCACCACAGCACTCGACAACTTTCTCTTCTTTTTTTCCCGAGGACGAACTCGCAACTCGCTCTGCCACTTCCCTTTCCTCATAACTATTTAATTTATTACCATCAACTCCAGTCGTTTGCTTCCTTCCCAAGCTTGGATTTACATTTAATGATTGTTTTTCTCTCTATCCCTGCTTTATTCTGTTCTCTTTTTTTCTCTATCAAGCACTAAAAAATCGCTTTTTGTTTCGTTCAGAAGGGGATAAAAATTATTCGCTTTTACCTCGGTCACCCCAACTTCAATGTTTCTTCTGTTTCCTTCCTTTTCCTCTGTTTTTTTTTTTCACTTGTTCGTCAATTTATATGGGAAAAAAAGTTTTTCGTTCATCATGTCTTGTGTTCGAGGAAAAATCGAAAGGAAAAACTTAAAACAATCCTCTCATGATGTGTGTATATGCGGACGTAAGAAGCTTTGAAAGTCATTTTTAACACACTCCATTTATTATCAAAACTAGGATTAAATACGAAAGAAGGAATGAAATGAAGAAAGTTGGGAAAAAGGAAAATTCTTTTGTGTAAGACGATGATTAGATGATTTTTTTCTTTCTTGAGTAGATATTTTAACTGAACTGATTCAGTAATGAAAAGTCAGATTTCTTTGCGAAGGAAAAACAAAAAAAAACTTTCCAAATCATTCTCATAACAATGACTTCCAAAACGAGATTTCTCAAACCATTAAAAAAGGAAGAAGTCTTAAATTTCTTGATTTACTCGGAATGTCTGTTTAATGAAAGATGAAAATTTTATTTCATAAACTTTTTAAATGAAACTTTAATTTCTCTGCGAATCGTTAAAAATAATTTCTTCTTTTTTTTCGTCTTTTTGTATTCAAATAAATATAAAAGAAAAGCAAAGTTCACTCATTGTTCCTGTTTGTGATTTTTCTTATTTTACTTTTCAACTTTTCGCTTCAAAAACAAAAAAGCTTCTCTCATGTATCACAAAACTTTTCTTTTCCCAGTAGTGATGAAGCTTTTCGCTTTTTTTTGTGACTTTTCTCAATGTGAAATGCGAAAAGTTTTTTTAATAAACGTTGAAGTATTCTTCTGTTAAAAAGATGTTCGCTTAATGAATGCGCGGTGGAGAAAGTTCTGCTTTGCTAGGTACTTGAAGCAAGCGACTTTCACCATTATTCGCTCTCATGCTAATAGTTTCGTTTTGTCAGAAGTTTCCTGTAATGCTCTTTGTCAAAAATGGTAATTCCTTTAATTAACATTTTTTCCGGTCTCGCTTGTAAGAGCAATCTCAGCTTTTCTTTCCATTCTACTTAACAAACTTATTCTTCAAAATTTTTCTACAGTTGATGAAAATTTAATAAAAAAATTTTATTCATAAAAGTTTTTAATTAAAATGCAATTTTTTAACTCTCTTACAGAATATAACAAAACTACTTTGCTTCAACCTATAACAACAAGAAAATAAAGAAGAGAATTAAATAAAGCTGACTAAAAGCTTCAGTTACGGCCAACGAACATTAAGAGAAAAGAACAAAAGGAGAACAAAAAAGAAATTGAATTTTAACTTGCACAACAGCAAGTTTTTCTTGTGTTTTTCTGAGAGGAAATGAGTGCTGGAAAGTTCCAGCTATTCATAAGTAAATTGAAATGGAAAATATTGCGACTCAACTATAGATGTTGCATACAAATGGCCTCATTATAACCAGCCAGAATTTGCAACTGAATGGCTTTTGCATTTAAATTTTAATCAGAAGCATTGTGGACGACTGCAAGCAAGAAGAAATTTTCTAATAATTCGTTGCTCTCCAGTGCAAAAATCACTTCATCAGAGAACAAGTTACAGAATATGCAAAACAGTGAAGCCAATCCAAAAATTGAAAGGCCTCGACATTTGCAATTGAAGACGACATTTTACGACGAGAACGTCAACATTACATTCGCTTCATCTTCAGACGATGAAAGCTCACCCGAAATGAATTGCAAGAAAGTTATCGACAAACCGACGTTGGTAAGTTTTTTTTTCATTCCTTTTGTTACATTTGTAACGACGATGAAAGAAACTTTTATCCCATGTTTAACAAATAAATTTTTCTCGTTTCTGTCACATACTAAAATCAGGTTAAACGTCTAACAATGGGATTACTGAGGATAAATGACCAAGAAAGTCGACCACTAGGTAAGGCCATAGCCCGCATATATGAAAGCAAAATGGACATAAATCTTTATCCGTTAACTTGAGCTTTGTAACAATTATTTAATCTCATAAATTTCTTTTCCATTTTTCTTCCTTTTTTCTCTCTCTTCAAAAATAGTCACGAATCGCTCGTCACCAAATTCACCCTCGCGTAAAAATTACTTTTATCATTACATCAATGCGGGTATTTATGATGTTGATAATAAATTCGGTGATTCCTGTCGACAATCGCTAACATCTATCGTGTTAGATTCAGAGAGTGAAAGCAATCGAAACACAATTGAGTTTGATTTTAAGCGTAATGTTATAAGGGAGACAAGCAGTGCAAATTGCAGTCCCAAGAAATTCCTTTTATCTTCAATCAAACGCACAGATAGTCTCAACGCTAATCATCATAACACATACCATCAGATTGATGAAGACATCGAGGAACTTGAATTGAAGGAGGCGCCATGGTTTCATTCAGGAATGCCAAGACAAATGTCACTTGAAATCTTAGCACAACAAAGTCCCGGGGATTTTTTTGTTAGGAGGTGTAATAATAAAAACGGTAGCTTCACATTGTCTTTGAGAGTTCCTGGAGCATCACATAAGATTGCACATTATTTAATCGTTAAGACTCAAAGAGGTTATAAGATTAAGGTGAGATTTACAACATGAAAAATTTATTTGATTTATATTCAAATTTTATTCTTGTCACATACGCGTAGGGTTTTCATAAGGAATTTTCCTCTCTTCGTGCTTTAATCACGCACCATTCTGTGATGCCTGAATCTCTGCCAGTTCCTTTAGCGCTCCCACGCCCCCTCAACATCAACCGAAAGTGCAAAAACATTGATGACTATGATACTTATGCGAGACTTAAAGATTTAAGATCAATATTCTCGGATCTTGATGTTAGTACATAATCTTTGGTTGACAAAGTCGACAGATTAAATTAACCCATCTGATTCTAATGGTTATTAAACTAGCGGCACAAGATTCAAAAGATTATTAAAATGTTTGTAAATAGTTTCAGTTGAAATGTTGCATAAGAATCAGGCGCAACTTTAATATTTTCTAAAAATATTTAAAATGAAAGGAAACAAAAAAACTTTCACTTGGTTAGAAAGATCGGAAAGTAAAAGAAAAAAAATATGTTGAAGCATAAAAGTTGAAGAAAATAAAATTATGTTAAGATATTTATTTAAATATTTTGTGAGTTTTATTTTGATGTTGAAATAATTTCTGATAAACTTTGAGATTAGTCATCAAATAGTAATTTCAGTTGTAACATGGAAATGTAAACATACATTGACTTTCTGCTGAAATGTACACTTTCTTTCTAAGTAAACATCTCTAAGTTTACATAAAATATTTAGAAGCAATCATCGATGAATCCCAGATCAAATCATCCGCCTTCAATCATGTTACATCTGTCTGCGACTGTCACATAATTTCTCCAATTTTAAGAACGTAGGTAAACATGTTTTTCCTTTTTCATGATTTATTGATTTCTTTTTCAAAGTGATTTATTTAGCTTTTATTGGAAAATCTTGAGAAAGTCAGGCGAGTAAACATCTCGAATATGGTTTCTCTCGAAGGCATTTATAAACCTTTTATAAGTAGAGCAGAAAGCAGCAGATATTTTATTATGACGGCAAAAAGGGAGATAAATGGCTCTTATTATTGCCATTTTATTTTCTTCTTCTCTAACATCAACTAGGAGCATAACGAAGCTTTTTTTTACGAATGATTTATTTTCATCTGGAAATATTCATTTCACTGAATTTTCACCGCCACTTTCAAAACCGAAGAATCCACATGCAAGAATGTTAAAAAAAGATTTTCACTTTTACAACCGTGTGAAATATCGCCAGGCGACTTAAATGTAAAAGAGTGTAAAAGTTTTTATTTTTATTTTCCAAGAACACTCCCAAACCACTTTCCGTGATTCTACAATAAAGTATCTCCAGCTCTTTCACGATACTTACAACAAATGACTAATACAATTTACATTCAGCCGGATTTTTTACAACAAATGCGTGTTAATTCGCTATTAGCACCAACCAAAAAAAAGCCTGAATCACTAATGACTTCTTGTTTTTACCACACACTTCACAAACACACATTTAAACAACAAACATATTTCTGTTCATCTTGTCCACCCACGCAAACTGTAATGCTATTAATTGTGATTGCTGTTGTTAGTTGGGGTAAGTGAAACGTTTCTATTCAGCGACCCACAAAAAAAAATTTTTTTTTCGTTTGGCAAATTTCCTGTCGCCTAATTAAAAAAGTATCGATCAATGCTGCTTTGAAGTGTGTAATATTTCAACCTTTTAAATGTATCGTATCAAAATATTAGTCTGTAGGCGAGGGAAGGAAGAAAGAAAGCGAGGAAAAAAGAAATCAGAAATGTAAACTGAATGGGTGTGAACAGTGCGAAAATTTATGCTGCTATTATGAGAAATGGAAGGAAGTGGTCGGACTGCGGTGATTTATGCTGAATTTTGGCTCGTGTACTATGCGACAAGCAGGAAACGTGTGCAATCAGACGCCAAACGAATTTATTGATCGTGTGAAATTAATCATGAAATAAATTTTTGTCTGCATTCAATAAAAGTTTGAATAAGAAAAATAAATTGTATTGAAAAGTTCACAAAACTTTAAGCACACAAAGATGATGATAATAAAGTCAACAACAATTTCACACGAAATAAATAAAAATATTTGAGAGAGAAGAGAGCGAAGGAAGCAAGTCAGGGATGGAAACTTTTATCAATTTCAATTTTTCTTGAATTTTTTTTCACAAAAGATTTTCCAATAAAAATATTTGAAGTGAGAAATTAAGTTTTAATGTCACTTCCCAACCCTGACACAAACAGAAATGTTATCACAAGATTATGATTATTATTCACATTTAATGCTTATGATGATAATTCTCAAGTCAGTATTCTCATTGCTCTCAAGTTTAAAGCATCTGCGCCTAATATTTATTTATTTACGTTGAGATGTTGTTGAAGACTTCATTGTTCCTTATTACACTTTTGGGAGTCGTTAGCGGGAGGTCGCTTGTGACTACCAACTTGGATCTTTTGCAGACACCTCCACTCAATAACGAGCCGATTATCGGTGTTTTATCTCAAGAGATCTCTTATTACCTTGATGGAAAATATCCCGGACTGTACGAAAGCTACATCGCCGCATCGTACGTGAAGTTTGTCGAAGGTGGTGGAGCCCGAGTAGTTCCAATTTGGTAAGTAACATGACAACACGAAAATATGTTTCTGTGTTTGACGCGTTCGAGCGAGGTTTTTGCGTGCGAACAACTCTAATGACATTGCAGAACAGAAACAAAGAAAGTCCCAGTTGAATGAGTCAAGCGAGTGAATTTATAGCTTCTCTCAAATAAGCTCGAACCATTTGCCTTCGCTCTGGGACCTGAATCGATTTTTCATCTAAAAAAAGGGCGAAGGGCGAACATGAAGCCCAATTTCCTTCTGACTTTATTTTATTTTCTTTTTTTTTGTCGTCTCATCTGAAATCACCAACTTTGTCACTCGACATTAAGCGATGGCGTTGATTAATTAACTGAAAACTTTTTATTTCTTTACTTTTTAATCGACACGTAGGATCGGAAAACCACGCGATTATTATGAAAGCATCATGTCGAAACTCAATGGGTGAGTTAAAATTCTTGTAATTGCATTGTTGAAAAATTAATTCAAGGAACATTTCCATCTACTTGATACCTGTTGGGATGATGAATTATATTTATCGCCTTTAAATTTTAAAGAGTGCTTTTGCCTGGGGGAGCAACGTGGTTTAATCAGTCTAATGGATACGCTGATGCTGGTCGACATATTTACGGTATCGCGTTAGAAATGAATGAACGTGGAGATTACTTCCCAGTTTGGGGAACATGTCTCGGCTTTGAACTTCTCACGTATCTTGCCGCCGATGGAAACGAACATCGAGCTCATTGCTCGTCAAGTAATCAAGCATTGCCGCTTGTGTTCAAAGATGATTTCAAAACAAGTCGAATGTTTATGAATGCTCCGGAAACGGTTGTAAAAATCCTTGAGAACGAACCAGTTACAGCAAACTTTCATCAATATTGCGTCACTGAGAAGGTAAAGTTTGTTGTTTCGACTTTTTTTTTATTGTTGCCTAACATGCTATCGTAACAAAAGAAATATTTTTATGAAACTTTCAGAACTTAACAGACTATAACCTCGATAAGGAATGGCGTGTTATGTCGACGAATAGTGATTGGAATGACTTTGAGTTCATTTCGACTATTGAGCATCGTTTTTATCCATTTTATGGCGTTCAGTTTCATCCGGAAAAAAATCTTTACGAGTGGGTTCGAAACAAGAATATTTCGCACACAAGTCATGCGATTTTTGTTTCTCAATACTTTGCTGAGTTCTTCGTAAATGAAGCGAGAAAGAGTTTACATCACTTTGAAGATTCAAAGACCGAAGACCAATATGTGATATATAACTTCCCGCCCACATTCACTGGATCTAAAGGATCTTCCTTTGAACAATCTTACATGTTTCCAGTTGAAATTGCTTATAATGTTGAATTGAATGAAGATAATTCAGCTATCAATGGTATTACTTGTAACTTCTTAACTCTCCTCTTGACCTTAACAGTATTAAAGATGACTTGGTAAACCTTTTACAACAAATCTTTTTTCCATCTTTATTTACAGCTCTTGTCGGTGATTTTATTGAGTTTTGAGTTGCTGTTTGCTCGACACTTCTAATGACTTGGCAGAACAAATAAATGAGTTTCGACAAGCAATTAAATTTAATCTTATCGCAATAGACAAAAATACAATTTTCGAGTCTACTGATCGCTTTTTTATCTTATCTAAAATAAATTATAAACCGTTTAAAAAAATTATCACATTTTTGTTTGATTTAATTTTACGACGTCTCAAGTTACTACCAAAAAGTAGGAAAAATTAATTTTCAACAACATCCAATAAACATCTGTTGAATTACTTTAAAATTCCAGTGAAAAGATTATTAAAATTTTTATTCTTTTATCCTCTCAATCGCTTCTTACATCATTCTATCGGAATAAAATAAATCTTCAAATTAAATGCCAATCGTAAGTCATAATAAAAGCTCTCGTAATGAGGTTAATAAGAATTGCAAATATCTTGAGATTTTCCGCTCAATCTTTCCATATTTACTTTCATAAGAAAAGTTATGAAAAGAATTCGACGAAATATTGTAATTTATTCAATTTTGAATAATTCAAATCCTATTGAAATCTTTTGAAGAGTTTGATGTAAAATCGAGAAAATTTTATTTTAAAAAATTCATAAGGAAGCAAATATTTAATGTCATCTATTTTAATAGCTCATGCTGTCAAAGCAACTGAAAGACGAAGTCTTAAAGAAGGGAAACTAATGATGAACATTGTGAAGTTGCATTAAGAAGATGAACGGAAGGAGAAGCTAATGAATTTTTTAATAAAAGTTATGAAATCCTTTAGAGTAAACTTTCGATAAATCGAATTTAATTGCAAGTTCAATTTGAATTTCGCTTCCAATACATGTCTTGAAACTCAATTCAATTGCATATCTTGCTTGTTTTGAACCCTCTTACTTCAAATGCATTTCAAGATATGAAATACTCGAAAATTTAATCCCCATTGGCAATCATCTTTTCTTAACCCTTTAAGACTGACGATAATACAACATAATGTTGTATGTTTACCGTGAATTAACAGCAAACGAAACAAGACAATGTCCCCGACTCGACAACTTTTCATTTATCATTTTTCTCTCTCGAATTCAAGAAGAAAAGTTTCATTGTTATCAGACACTTTTGTTCTAGTTTCTTATTCTCACCCCTCACTTCTAATGCTTTTTCTCGTCGACAATTATGTATCTAAAGGAGAAAAAAGAAATAGCCACAAGAAGATTATAGCGTCAGAGTACAAAGCAGCAAGAAGAAGAAAAAAAGACTTTTATTCTCTATCATAAAAATTGAAGTTGAAGTTGAGTGAACGAAAGTATGGAAAAGAAGAAAAAATTTCTTCGGAAGGCAGAAAAATGATACACCGAGTTACAAAGGGCTTTGAGCGTAATTTATCTTCTTCATCGTCCGAAAGAAATCTCTCAATTTTTATTATTACATTCGTTTCGACTAATTCAATTGCGTTTTGGGGAAAGGAAGGAAGGAAGGAAAATATTTTTTTCCACATTTCATCTTCAATTTCATTCTCTGGGAGAGTTTCATTTATTTAATTAAATTTATTTGAGCTGCTTATGTGGATTCGTAATCCACTTACAGTGTTCTAAACGTTCTTCCATTTCAATTATGAATCGTTGGTAGTTTAAAGTTGTGCCGGGTTTGTTTGGATGACGATGAATTACATTTGTTTGGGACGAATAATTTTTGTTAGTGCTTTAAGAATATTCACGCTGAAATTCCGTTCACTAAATCAAATATTCTGTGAAATTTCCCAGAACATCACATCTCTTCGTCTAAAATTTGCTCACCACTTAACTTTTAAAGCTTTCATCTAGATAAATATGAGCTAGAAGAGAAACAGATCCTTCAACTTTTACCTAAATGAAAGCCATGAAATAAAATAGGAGATGATGATGATGAAGGAAATGTTTAAACAACAAACAGAGTATGATGCAGATGAAATATTTATTTATATATGCAGAGGATGATGAAAAACCTCTTCTAGCGTTTTTAAATAAAACTTTAGTTAAATAAAGCAATAAAAAATATTTTCAATTCACCATTCGGCACATACGAAAAGATCTTTAGCTGGATAAGAATTCTTTTGAGATAAGCCAACAAATGTTTTTATTATGTTCGGATTACGTGCTCATATTTAGATATTTTTGAATGCTGAAGAATCAATAAAAGTTTTAAGTCTATCGAGAATTTTTTTTTTGATTTTCAATGAGCCGCGTCTGCTTCTTAATCTGCAAAATACTTGCTCGAGTTCTTTTCAGCTCATTCACTGAAAATGGAAACATCACGAATGATAATATTAAATATTTTTTATCTTTTATCAGTTATTTTCTACTAACAAATATTCAACGTAAAGATTGTGATGATGGGAAAAAGTTTGAAGTTGAAATCGGAAGTAAAATTAAAACTTTCGAAGGGAAGGAATATTTTTCGAAATGAAAATAATATGCAAATGAAATGAGCTTCGGTAAAGCCCCTTCAGTAATTTACAACAAAATTCCATCACTCCACGAAAGCAAAGCACCATGCACTAAGCCTAGGCGTACTTCTAGTAATCCCATCGCTGATAAACATCAGGCAAATTCCAACCACATTTACAAAACTTTTCCCAGGCCATCAAAGAACTATAAAAAGAAGCGTGGAAATGGAAAGAAAAAAAAGCAAAGAAAAAGTTTGAGAACAAAAGCAAAGCCACTCAGATTATCTTTCATATCTTACACATACTTTTTCTCTCATACATTTTTTACGCAAATAAAACATGCTAAATCCATAAAAAAATATATCGCCACGACTTGTGATTCTACTTGTTCATTCATTTGAGCTTCACACGGATAAGAAGAAATTTATTCGCTTCGATAGCAGAAAATCGTAAAAAGCACACGCCAAAAGAATGCTGATCGATTTTCCCTCAAACTTAAATTACATTGAAATACTCGCACACTTCTTTTTATGCTCTAAAATATGAAAACTTTTCACATTTCCTTTAATTTTCTTTGATGCGAAATGATAGTAAAATGATATGATGCGTCCCATGGCATGAATAAACTTTTTTCCCACTCGCTTCTGTTTGCTTTCATATCAATATTCATAAACATAAATGGTATGGGCTGCTAAAGATATATGATGTCGCTTTCAACTTATATTTCTCTCCCAACATATATCTACATTCACTTCTACGTCTACCATTTATTCATTTATAAACATCAGCAGAAAATGGAATGAAAAAAGAAAAATATTTGAAAAATCTAAGTCAGGGCTTAAAGCGATTTAAATCATGAAAATGTTTGTGTTGTTTGAAGCTGCTGTCAAGCCCTGCAGCCCTTTTTTCCAATCGAATAGCAAAAGCAGTTTTCTTTACACAATTTATCCATTCTATTGAATTGTAGGATGGCAAAAGGAAGCATAAGAAAGAAAAACTACCTTAAATACAGCCACTACACAATTTCCAAAGCTCTTTTCCCTTTTACTCTGCCATTTGAAGTCAATATCCTATCAATGAATGACTTCGTCCCCTCATGCTCACATTCCCATTCCATTTCAATATTTACCGTTTGCCGAGCAGCAAATTTATTTCCATTAAAGTCAATAAGAAGCTCCACATAATAATTTATCAGTAAAAGAGTGAAGCAAGCCTGCTTCTGGTTTCTTTCTAACATGAACATTATGCAGTAAGTCGTTGTCATTTAATGAAATTCAAATGAATGTATCGTCGAGCTATGCTTCTTCTTCCTTCTATTCATTACAAATCCGCACTTTCATTTCCTTCTCTCACCACCAACATTTTTCGTTTCCTTTTATTTATGATGTGAATGAATGACGGAAAGTAGAAAATCTATTTAATTATGTAATAAAGTTTTATGATAGTTATTTATGTGGATTACATGATGGTCGATGAATTACATAAAAGGAAATGAACTTAATTGGAATTCAGCTTAAGAACTATTCATTGTCCCTCATTCCTTTTTAGAAATGTTTAAGTCATGGATAATTGAATTTTAATCCCAACGATGTCTCCATTGATAACCATACGAAGACAGCGCGGAAACTTTTTCAATTCCAAAAGTCAATATTTCGTTTTCGATGCATAAGAAACAAGAAAACAGACGACAGCAGGGGAGAAAAGTAAATGAAAATATTTTATAGGCGCATAAGACACAAAACAAAACATAAGCCGTTTGGTTTCAGTCACCATCTGTTTCATTGTCTGTGTTTTTTTTCCTGTAAATCAATTAAGTCATTGCTGTATGTGGAGCTTCTCTTAAAATCCCATCCGCAATAGAATAAAGTCATATAAACTGTCGAGTATGTTCAACTTTCTCTCGACTATTCCAACATGATAATATTCAATCTGCAGGGCTAGTCACGAAATGAAGATAAGGATGATATAAAGAGGATTTTAATTAACTTTACTACAAAAGCCCTTCAGTTGTCGTTTATTTTTTTTCTTTCTCTTTCTTCATCGTTTTCGCCTGAACTACTCGACTTGTGTTCCATGAACTGTTGGATACAAAGGATCGAAATATGAATGAGTCAGAGAAGAAAGCAAGCAATGTGAGTTTAATAAAATCTTTAACGTGGAATATAAACATGTCAGTATTTAAATCAGACGACAACAAGGCAAATGAAGAATTTGAATATTTCTGAGTGAAGAACTTTTCCACTATATGCAAAGTTTCTAGGATTTAAATGAAAATGATTTCTTACTTTCAATAAAATTATTTTTCTATTCAATAACACATCGTAACTGACGAATGAAGTCATTTTAATGTTCCCAATTTTAAATATTCACAGAGTTGTTTCCATCGTTGTAAACTTTCTTGTTTTGCAAGTGCTTTAGAGTAAATTTTTTCTTAAGTTTTTTAAGTAAGGAAAATTTAGTGTTGGTAAATGACAATGTCAATTGTTTCGCAATTTTAATGTTGTCATTTGTGATGAGAATTCATAAAAAACTTAAAAATGAAAATTAATTCATCACATGGCATGTCAATTTCAAACACTAAACGGGAGACATTTTCCTCGTTGAAAATTGAAGAAAATTGTAAGAAGTTCTTCATCTACTTTTCCTTCTCATCCTCATAGATTATCCTACCCATATTACATGTTAAAACTTTGAAAGAAGACGATGGCAGAGAGTTGAGATGAACAAATTCAATATATTTTCCATTTTCCGGTGCGAGCTTTGGAAGGAGAAATAAAAGTTTTAGTTTCGTTGAAGTTTTATTTTCTTCAGCGTTAGATTTATCCGAAGAAGAAAGAAGAATGTGAAGCCTCCAGGAAATTCAATTTCGGTTGCACTCCATCAGACATGACAGATGATGAAGTTCACTTAGTGAATGGAAACTTCACATCCATTATAAGTTTTCCAGAATGAAAAAAAATCTTGAAAAATAAATTGGCAGGCTTTTTACACAACATTTTATTTAATTATCACATTCTTTGAAGTTTCGTCTTTCACGAGTAAACTTTTAACGATTTTCTAAATGATTTCATTTATAAATATTTTCATTGAACGCCAATAGCCTGAAGATGATCTTTTAAAAGCATTCATCGTCTTGACTATGAAAAATGTTGAAAGATTTTGAGCTAAGCAAGCATAGTAAGCACCAGCAGCATTAAAGAAAAAAAGAGGAAAATCATCGTTAAAAACTACCGACAAACAGCCATTACGATGAGTGCACTTAGGGAAAAGTTTATGTCTCAATGTGTATTCTTCCCATCCCGATGTCCTAAGTGGTCGATTAAGATGAAATCATGAACCTTTCGCCCGCCCGCTCGCTGCTACGAATTGTTTGGAAGGATTTTTTTTGCTGAAGATCCTTTAAGTATTCCCCAAACATTTAACTTTTGAATCTTTAATCTTGTACATGCATAGCGGGCTTGAGGGAAGTTTTAATGACTTTACGTGTTCAAAGGGAGTAAAATAATCATAAAGTAATATCCACATCATTATGTCATATATGATGCTTCAATAATCTGCTCGCAAACCTGCAGAAAAATGAATGAACACACAAAGCAACGACTTGTTGCACAATTTACTCCGACAATGAATCAGAATCTGTACAAAAATTATCGAAAACAAATTTTTCTTTTCTCGTTTAACATTTCGATTCTGTTCCGTTATGTTATGTTGATGTTGTGAGTGGGAGGGAAGAAAGGGAGGAGAATAAAGGGTGGAAGATTGAAATATTCATTTACCACGCCACAAGCAAATCGAAAACATTTGGAAAAAAAGAGAAATAACATCATTGATAGGAAGTTGCATAATTCAGTTGAATGTGTTCATATGTTCGTTTGGAAAGAGAAATGAAATCGAGGTAACTAATTTGCATTGATTTCAGATTTCGTTCGTTTGCAAATCACCTGAATGAAAGAGTGAGAAAGAGAGAGAATTCCATTTCCATAGGAAATAAAAGAAAATTTTGCGGGGAAAATCTAATCAAACGGTATGAAAATAAAGAAAGAAAAAAATCATGCAAAATAAAATTGCGGAAATGAAATTGAAGGCGGTAAAGGGGAGAAGGAAGACAAGGAAGGATATCTCATCGAAAAGAAAATATTTTCTAAAGAAATTTTCCACGTTTCCCGTTAAAAAGGTTTGGAAATTCCGGCCATAAAGAACTTTCCGCATGTCTTGAGGCGAAGATCAAATGCCACAAAAGTACCAAAAAGTAAAAAGGAAAATATTTAAATCAAGATTTTGTTGAAAAGAAGATTTTTCGTTTATCTGTGGATTACGATTCTAATGTAAGCCAAGGGCGAGGAGTTCACATGCGGCTGTCTTGTAGTTTGGAAAACTGGGTTACGACAACTTTTTCATACCAACAACCATTAAATGCAACTTCCCAAGAAACACTTTTGAAAGGCTTTTGGCTTTACAGAAAAGTTTTTATTACCGAAAATCTTATTTTAAACTTTATGAACCTCTGAGATAATCTCGAGAGAAATTCAACTTCCGAAAAAGCTTGAAGAAAATTTCCTTTTAAGAAAATTCGATTTCGGTACAAAGATAAGCTTTGAATGACTAAGCCGAGAGTTCTCTTTGATTTGTTATTCGGTTCACTGTCGCGACTCGCGATAAACACGCTTTATACAATGTCAACGGCGAAGTAAAATGTCTTGTTTCTAATCAAGTTATCAACCTTGTAAAGTAATGTTCGACTAATTAAGAAATACATGAAAAATTGCCGAGTATGCTCATCAATATAAAAGCACACATCACATGACGATTTCAATCACAGTTTTCTTTAGGTCTTCAAAGCAAAACTTCGTTACAGAAGAGAAGGAAAAAAGCCTTTTCCTGTTGCCAAAATGTTGAAAAGCTATTTAACCTCATTCATTCTATTTGTAGGTTGTGCAAACTCAATTCTGAGTCAACAAGTTCGTCCATTGCCAAGTAAACGAAAACTTCGAGAGAAAAAAACTTTTTTTTCCTTCTCGTTTCACAAATGCTGATAACAAAATTTTCGTCTGATTTAATTAAAGATCCCGTGATCAACATTCAATGCGGTCAATGGAGTGGAGTTAGGAGAACTGGTCTCTTGTCGCCTCGAATGAATCAACAAGTGCCGACAACTTGCACATATCGAATCAGTGCGATTAGCTTCCAAATCTGTCAAATGCGTTTTGAATTCAGGCAATTTTCATTGGCGCCTCCAACTCTTAGTAACAATGGAATTAACTCAAATGGAGCGGCTTTCCAAATGTGTAATGATGAACATATGACTGTTGGAAATATCACATTGTGTGGTGAAAATACCGGACAACATAGTAAGAAACTCTTAAATGAAGAAAGAAAATCAATTTCAATTTTCTTTTATCTTTAGTCTACGTTCCGATTAACCCGAGACAAGGAGAACGTCAACTAACCGTGACAATCACCACAAGAGGTGGAAACGGATTTACACGTCCAGAATGGAATATTGCGGTTCATCAACTTGAATGTCCATTAGGTCAATCGAGATCTCTCAATGTTATTCAAGCTTCAACAGCTCAGAAACTTAAACTAAATGAAACTGTTCGAACACCGAGAACTTTAGTGTCCGATTGGTTGGCGCCGCCTGGATGTCTTCAATATTATGTTCAGCCATCGGGACAAATTGACAGCTTCAACTTTAATAATGGACAAGGTCAGTGACTTGCTTGTATTAACATTTTATCTGGGTTGAGTTTTTGACACGCAATGACCGAGGATAATTTCATTTCTAGGCCCTTATATTGGTGACATGAATTATGCAATTTGCTTCCGTCGTCAAAGGGGAGATCAAGCCATAAAGTAAGTTTCTTGATGAATAAATAAATGAAAGATGGGACATGACTTCTTCTCTTTAGATTCATAACAACGTTCTTTCAAATGAACACTGGAAATCCTGCCAACCAAGGCTTCGATGATGATTGCTTTGGTCAAGAAGAAACACTTTTAAGGTCTGAAGATCATTTATTCATTCCCAATGCATCTTTGGAGACGAGAATTGACAACGTTCCTGTGACATTAAGGCCACGACTATTCTGCGGCAGAAGTCTCAGTTCTTCAACTGTCACCAGCACTCCACCCGGTCCATTCATGATTGCATTCAATTCCGACCGAGTTTATTCCCCATCAGATGAAATTGGTTTTCGAATGCAATACGAAATTGTTTAAACATGACAAGCAATTTTTTTTTACTTTTTTTGAGACATAAATTTACATGGCATCGAAAGAAGCAAAAATCGAATAAATAAATTTCTAATCCCAAATCCAATTCAATCTATTTTTTGTGGAAAGCTTTTTACTGTCCACTCGTCTCCACATAAAACAGAAGTTGAAGTTGTAAAAATCAGTAAAACAAACTGAAAGCAAATGAAATGACTTTTTAATAGTTTTTTGTCGCTGTGATTTTTTTTCGTGCAGTCACCAGCATCGTTGGTGAATGGTGACTCCATTGAGAGATTCTGCAGCACTATAAAGGAGTCTATGCAGTTTTATGATCACTACCAGCATAAGCTCAATGCTGTAAAAATTCAATTTAATTTTCATGGATATTGTGCAATCGTTTCATGGGCTCACAATAGCAGAACATCGTAGCATTAACAGATGCTGGTATGGTTAAAAATTTCCCACCTGCTTCCTTCACAACTTTTAAAATGTTCTCCATTAAATATTTCATTCCATCTCACCATCAAAATTTAATTTTCATTCAACCCGAAAAACCTAAAAATGTAAAATTTTTATTGGTCGCTTTTTGCTGGCGAATTTTTTTTAAATATTTCCGAATCTATTGAATTGGTTTTTATCAGTGAACAGTTATGGAAATATTGGATTTATTTCTGAGTGCCCCGCACTTTTGTTTCAGAAATTCTTAATGAAAAAATGGATTAGAATGAATTTTTTGTTGTGAAGCGCTGACCACGGGTCGAGACATGCACTTCAATTAATGTTTTTGTTTTATGATTCAATGGATGGATGTCTAGTCGAGTTTTTACATCATTCATCGACGTTATATGCTTTCATGCTATCTGCTTACAAAATCATAAAATAAAATGACATCAAAGTCAGTTCATTAAATTACTGATAACTGCTGTACCCGATTCATGTTCATGATAATTCAATTTGTACTTAGATAGATTCATGATAACGAAATTAAACTCAATTAATTTAAATTAACTTTTCCCTTTCACTTCACTGTTTCCTTTCCCAACTGAGATATAAATTAATTAATTTGTTTCAAGTTGAAGTTGAAATGTTGATAAATTTCACTTTTCACTCTATGGAAACGCTTTTTATAATTGATATCGAAAGCGACGCTACTTGAACGAAGCAAAAATAAATGCTAATCATAAATTATGTTTCTCAATTTGAGGAGAATTGCGGGGGCGAAAACATATAGCAACGAAACCAACTTTGTAATTGCTTTTTAATAAGTTGTAAAACTTTTCCTTGAACTTGATTTTTGCCAACAACTTTGAAGATGGGAAATGGCGGGACGATTCACGATTAATGTGAATTTTGATGTCGGTTAGACATTTGACATTATTTAAAAAGAGAATAAAAACTTAAGTTTTAGATAATTCCCAGAAGTTAAAGTTGACATTGGGTTGGATCAAACTTTTATTACTTATCCCTTTTAAAGAGCTTTCTATCGCATCATGCATGAGATGAAATCTGAAAGTCATGAATAATCATTTTAAAATTTGACAACTCACATTGGCACAACACACAACATCGTTTTATCAACATTCATTTTCTAATTTTACATTTCCCATCCTTTCCCCAACCACTGTGCGGCTCACGATACTCGATTCTGACGAAAAACAAAACTTTTCTCGCTGCGGCAAATCTGTTTATGAAATTTTAATTAACTTCGCTGTTGGAAACAAGTGTAAGACGATGATGATGTTGATGATCTAAGGTTTTTTCATGTGTCGATTGTTGATTGCTGCCGCTCTTCCTGTAAGCATTTCACTGAGAAAATGAAGGCGTTGAGATGAGTATCGATTTGCACTTAAATAAGTCAGCGTAAGCTATTAATTGCTTTCCATCTAGAGAAGCAAGAAGAGAGCAGAAACATCAATTCTGTCGCTGTTTGAATTCATTCCCCAAATAGATAATCCAGCCGGATCATGATTCTGCAATTTATTATTCCGTTCATGTAATCCCAGTTAAAACTACTTAGAGTGTTGATATTTGCACCCGTTCTCGCACAATTGAACACAAATCTATGCTCGTTTTTGTGCCACTCTTCGATGTTCTGCTTTGTTCTGTTTATACTCTCTGGAATCATGAAACAAAAGACATGCTGCACACTCAAAACAGCAACTAGAATCTTTTTTTTTTCTCCTTTTTGCTTTGTTTCACTCGATGAACGTTACCAGAATATTAAATGGAGATTTATTCGGTAAATAAAGTTGAGTCGCTCGTATGAATGATGTTGATGGTGAAGCCAAAAGCAAAAGGAGAAAAGGAAAAAAAAACTTTTCCTTGTGATATTTCCCTTCGACTTAACGCGTTTGAACTCGAAGAAGAGAAATTTTCACCTCGACGCATATCACGATTTGTGCAAATCGTGGGATAAACGTGAAAAGTGATTTTGACCCAATTTTTGTGATACGAATATCAGAAAACAATCTGTTTTCTTTGATTTATTTCCATCAGATTTTCCGCATTTTCCTGTTTGTTTTGCTTTCATACTTTTCTTATAAATTCTGTCGTTTGATACAAGTCTCGTGTTTAAAATCCATTTATACATTCAAAATCCTATTTCGTTGATCAAAGTCGCGAAACGAAACGGGCAAAGCAATGAAAAGATTTGCAATCAGAGCTGGAAATTAGTGAAAATCTTTTTTCATAATTTTTATTATGCGTGCGGAATTTTTACTTGACAGTTCCAAGCCCTGGTTAAAGTATAAATTCGTTCTTTTATATAAATTTCCAAGAGCATGTTTGACGGCTTTACAATTCAAGCTATGATTGAAAATCGATTGAAGTCGCTAATGCATTTTAAAAAGCACTTAAATTTTGATGTAACTTGACTTTGGCCGTAAATTGATGATGCCAATTGATGATGTTCACTAAATCTGGAAAAAAAATTTATGATTTTTCGAGCGAACATAAAAATTTACTCGAATTACGATTAAATATATATTTCGATGGAATTTTGATTTTTTGTTGAATATTTTGAATAAGTAATGGAATCACAAATTCACATGTAGTGAGATGAAAATAATTCTCATTATTTCAAGCTTCTCAGAAAACAAAAAAGTTTCAGAAATCGCAACATGAATTCTTCCCAAAAAATAAGTAAAATCCAAGTTTAATTGACTCAGAACTTCTCTGAACTTGAATGAGTAAACAAACAAATTAATTCATTTTGTTGTGTTGATTTTGTTGAATGAGATTATGTGTTTGTGAAAACAAGGGCCACTCATACATCACTCAATGCGTGCTCTGTAAATATGTTTCGTTCATTCCGTTCAACAGATAAGAATTCATTGATGAAGATTATTTTTCCAAGAAGAGCAGAATAATGAGAAGATTCTCTATCTAGGAAGTCCAGAGATGAACTCAGGGTTTGTGATTGTTTCCCACGTTCATTTAAATGACTCATAAAGTCATCATCATGTATAAAATCTTCCAATTCGTTCTCTCATAAACCATTCAATTAAAAAAATAAATCGTATTGATTGCATGATGTGAATTCTGAATCGTAAATAAAAACAACACATATAAACTGATACCCTGATCTGTTTCCTCCATTTATTAATAATTTGTTGTAGCATCGAGCATCGAGACTTTCTTTGTGTGCCTCTTGTCAGTATTTTTTTGAGAGTCGTCGGGAAAAGTCTTAAAAAAAGTTTAAACAGTAAAATAAAGTGATTTGATAATGAAGCGAGTAATTTTCATTACGTTTGCATATTTTTGTGCACAAGTCATGTGTCAGAATGAAAATGAAGAAGGAAAGACAACTGAAAAGATTCGGCCATCGATGTTAAGTATGTTGAGCAAGTATATAGAAATGAATGGTACAATTGATGAAGTTATAAAAGGTTCAATGACCGAGAGTTACGGAGGCGTGTGGCTGAACGCGACTGCAAGGCCCATCAACGGCATGTGTGAAACCGAAGAGACTTATGTGGAGGAAGTGACAATTACCGACCGCATCCCATATCAAGTTGAAGTCGATGTATGGTGTTGGCCTGCAGTGCGATGCACAGAATACGAGACACATCATCGAGAAGAGATTCGCAAAGAAAACGTTACAAAGACAAGGTTAGTTAGCTTCACTAATAATTACACTTTTTATTTAGTTTACAAGCGCATGTTAGAGAAACTTCGACATGAACTTTGACATGAATTATTTAGATTTCAATCACTGATAACAAACAAACATTCATTAAAGTTTTGAAACAAATCAAAGCAAAAAAAATATTATAATTTCCTTGTAGGAAAATTCCACGATGTTGTGAACATTACGAAATGAATCCGGAAACGAAAGAGTGCGAGGCCATCTGTATGACGCCATGTGAAAACTTTGGCACCTGTTCAACACCTGATGTTTGTAAATGTGAATATGGCTACGAAGGACAATATTGTGAAACTGGTAAATGATGTGGAAAATGATTAAATGACAACGAAGAAGATTTTTTTTGTTGTTTCCACACTTCAGTGAGTTTCATGAACTTCTCTTTTTTCTTCTATTAATAGACACACTGCCCGAGGGAGTATTGACGGGACCAAACGTGTGTGAGCGAGAAGAGATGCGAGAAGAAGTTGTGAGAGTGATGGAGCAGGAACTTGTTGAAATGGAAGTTAAGGAATGGTGTTGGCCGAAGATTCGTTGCTCGAAGTATAAAATGGAAGCAGTTCCAGTTGAAAAGCTTCAGAAATTCATTAAACCACATCGTGTCCAATTCTGTTGTGATGGATATGCTAAAAACTTTAAAGGCAATCGATGTTTTCCTGTGCAATTCGTCGAAGATAATCAACAGCAAATTGAAGTTAATTAAAGCTTTCTAAACTTTGTATAACATTTGAGAAATTTAAATAAATTTTCCATTTCTAAGAAAAGAATTTTCTTTTTCTGTTGTATAATTAAATATGTGTAACAAATGTACAATTTGAACGTCAAATGATTGTTGGTAATTCCAAGGAAGTGCATGCTCAACAACCGTTAAGAAAATAAATATTCATGGCTCCAGACTTTTGCAACAATCTTTCTCGGGAAACTCGGAACCCTTTCAAGCTTAATCGTTTATATCTCAATTTAATTCGTGGAAATCTAACTTCCGTTTGAATTTTTTCACTAACAAGATGTGGAAAAGTTTTCCCCCTTCGAACTCACGCAATTTCACGGCAATAAAGCAGACTCAAAAAGTTTAACTATTAAAATAGAAAACTGACGCTCCATTCCGTTTCGAGAAAGAATTTTTCGTGTCGTGTCGACATTGGCTGCACTTTTTCTTCCCTTTTATAAAAGAGAAAATTTAATAACTTTCAATTTTTCATGTTCAAAAGTTGACGTGAAGAAATTTTCATATCAGCATTTCAATCGAGCTCCTTTAATAGTGTCGCTTTGAATTAATGTCACAGTTGATGAAATAGAACCGCGAAGGAAATGGCAAAGTGCTCGTTTAGTTCGTGCTCACAGAAAATTATCCTTTAAACATTTGACTTCTTTTTTTCTGTTCATGGTTACGAGACGACAAAGTAGTAGTCGCATGAAAAATTTATTACATCGAAAAGACGTCACAATGTGGACATGAAGTTCTCCTCTAACATTTTTTAATTTCGCATTTTTCGCTCTCGTTTATGCAAATTAAATCACGATTCGAGTTTTCCTTTTTCGTTCATTCATTTCGTGAAGTTTTTCTGCCTGTCTCCATTCAGTGAATGTGCGCCTTCTGTAAACGATTTGAATCTGTTGTTGGCGAATGGTGTAATGGAAAATTGACATTAAACGTTCGTGGGTAAATAGCATCCCAATCGACTGTCAATGAATGCTAATGTAATGATTGCTTCGTAAGATTCCTTTTCTTTCCTCTGATTTAATTTGTCCCTTCGGGGGAATCTATTAAAATAATCTTCAACTAATGCAAACAAACAAACAAAGCAAACTCATACCACATTTCCAAATTCTTTTATTTTGTCTCGTAACAGATCAATTTCACTCTCCATTTGAGTTTTCACTGAAATCTAAAGCGAAGAGAAAGAAATCCAATAAATAAAGTTCTCCTTTTCCTAATGCAAATTTTATTATTTCTGATTTGATTACTTGTTAATGTATCCTTTTCCCTTTTGTTTCATTCTCTTTTCTTCTTGTCGTGCATAATTTTTTTCTTCTTCTTTTTTATTTTTATTTATTTTTTTTTGCGAACGATGAAAAACACGAAAAAAACTTTCAAAGCAAATCGTTTAGTGGGGGAGAAAGGAAATTATGGCAGTTTTTCCTTGACGCTTATATTCTTTTTTTTATTGATTTTTTTTCTATTTTTATGAAAATGTTTCATGGTAAAATTCAATGTTGAATGACAAGAACAAAAAATGTTTAGGAAAGTCAACAACCAGCATGTTAATAATTTCTTTTTGATTAAACTTAATTTTCTTTCTTTTTTCATAAACAACCCCAGAAAAAGAAATAAAAAATGTTTTCTAAGAATCATGAATCATTTTCAATGTCAATAGAATTGATGATGTCGAAATGATTAGAAAATTATTTTTATGTCTTAAAGACGCAAGCAAAAAAAAGTTCCATTTATTAATTGAGTGGAAATTCTTTTAAGATTATCTTTCAAAACGATATTGCAGAATCCATAAAACTTTACGATAATCACTTTGTTGTTCGAGCGTAAACTCGCAAACTATCGCTCCACATGAGCATATAAATTTTTACAGCGAAATGATTCATGCGTTTGCTTCAAGGCATTGTAAAAGTTCTTCGATAAAATATTTATTCGGAGCTTCAACAAAACACTTTCCGAGGGTTGCGATAAGAAAGGAAGTATTGGAAATATATATGCTTTTGTCTTGAATGTTTGTGACATCAACTGAGATGTTAGTTCCTTCACAATCCCACATTTCTCTCACCCTCAGAGATGTTAAAAACAGTAGAAATATGAATCATTCCCGCACAGTGATTGCAAAATATAAATAACGTTGAAATGGTACCAAAAACAAGACAAGAAGGGGAAGGAAATGTGAATGATATGCACAGCTAGATTCAACTTAACTCACTCTACCGATGATTCTTTATTTCATCTGCAAACACCAGAATATATTTATTGAAGATGGAAAAGAAAGGAAATCTACAAAATCAATTCCACTGAATTTCCTGCTGATAAAATAATGAAAATATTTAGAGAAAAAGAAATCTGACAACATAACAACAATAGCAGGCAGAAGAAAGCATAAACACAAACATAAATATATATGAATATGAAATGTTAGAGACAACAAGAAAGCCAGAGAACATTGAAATTATTTATAGTGTGTAAGTAGCAGCTCGCCGTCTTCTTCCCATAACAATTTCATGCAATTGCGCTCCATTGAGAGTGAGAGAGTGGAAATAAAACTACAGTTTAATTTTTATTTTATTACGGTTTCGTTTAGGGAATTGAAGCCATGGAGATCACTGGCATGAACATACATGTCTTTACTAGAGGGCCTTATAATTCTATTAGGACGCCAACTGTGTACTCAGATTTCCATTCTGTCTGGGATTTCACATTTTACCCGCCGATGTGGTTAGTACTTAATGCCATAAGGCTTAATAAACACGCACATCGGGGTTGGGGCGGTGAATGTTGTTTCATTTTATTGTTTGCGAGTCGTAAATTTAAGCCGTAGGATCAGTGTTGCTATTTGGGATTTACAATATTTTTTAAGTGTTTTTCTACTCTTTATTGCTCGGATGTTGATTTGAACCTTTTATTATCGCCTATGAGTTATGCAACATTAATTTCGCCTGAATTTTAGGCAACTTCACCCTCGCTAAATTTTTTCGCTAGCATTTTAAACAACCTAAAAACTTCATTCTTAAAGCCATTGAAAGATGATATATTGAGCTCGTGACTGACTCACGGATAATGTTGAAAATTGATAACTTACGCTTAGCTATATTTTCAATTTGCATTTTTCACCGTTGTTGAATCCAACAAGCAACCAGCCAACCAGCCAACCCCATTCAATTCACTTTTTCCCTAAAATCATGTTGCAGGAATTTATGCGAATCTCATGAACCGTAACTTCATTAATGTTTCCTGCGCAAAGAAATTTATGTTTGGTGATTTCGCCTGTTATCAGAGAACTTCTTTCTTTAGAATTCATAGCATAACTGAACTGAAAACTGTAGAAGGGGAGAAGAAAAAAAATCGCAAATGGGTGGGTGTAAGAATTCCCCCACACCAATGCCATGTAAATTAATATGGAATATGGAAAGAAAAGAAGTTTCATGTTACGATAAAATTTTCAATTCTAAAACTTGGCGAAGTAACAAAATGCTTTTCATTGAGAGGTAACAGTTTGAGCGTCTTCATTACTTTTTCATGAATACATTACCGATAAATTACCTTTCAAATAACACACTGAAGATTTTCCTTCACTCCCGCAACGAAAACACTTTTCCATTACAATTATTACAAGCTTTTCCATTTTTCACCAAGCACCCGTAAGCCGACAGAAAAATAATTACAGTGAATGGGTTTTAGTTTACCATCAAGCTTTTTCCATCTGAATGATGATATCAACCGAAACATTTTCATCCTGCTTGTCAGCTACTTGAAGGTGAAGCATGAAGCAGAGAGGCAATAAAAAGTCGGTTGTAGTATTACACAACAGGCAGCAGAGAGTCTTACTTACGCTAAAAGGAGTATGCTGTGCGTTAGGTTTAAATTAACATTATAATTAATGAATGTTTTTTGCGTGTATGGTGTGTGCCATTGAGCCTAGAATGTAATTAATTACTGTATTTAATATCTCTTAATGTGTACACTTTCATGCTGTTCGGCTATAAGCAAAAACTCTTTTCATGAGACACAACAAACTTCATGCGATGCATCGGCAGCGTGGAGATCGTCAGAGTTTATTTGAAGCTTTGATTCTTATCGAAATGAGAATCTCTTAATTAAGCCCACACAACAGTTCCATGTTTGTTCGAATAAAATTACCAGTTTATGAGACGTTCGTATAATTAATTTCAGTCCATGCATCTCTCTTTCTAAGTAATCACGTCAGCTAATTGGACAGCAAGTATGTTTAAGTCTCAAATAATATCTTCATATATTTAACCACAAACAACTACTGTTCATTGTTTAATATTTATGGAAATGTGGAGAGATGTTTCACCAACTAATTGTAGATCAATTATAATAATTGTATGTCTACGCTTGTCGTTGATGCACTCAATTCATGAAATTCAATTTCGAATCGTCATGCGATGATGAAAATTGATTTTATTCCTTTCTTCACTATCACAACAAAAAATGACAGCAGATATAAATAGAAATTATTCCTTCAATATTTTATGATCACGAAGGAAAATTTCAACAATAATTTCCCTAAAATCGAGTTCAAAGTCATAAAACGAAAGTTTCGTTGAATCGTATAGAAAGTTGCAGAAGAAGAAATGCCAGCATTAAAATGCTTTCAAGACAATTTTTCGCATGTAAAAGGAGAAGAAAAATATTCAACACTTGGTCTAATAAGTATTCAACAAACTTTCTTCAACAAGGAAAGTTTATAGAGAAGAAAATTTTTGAAAAACAAGGAAAAGGTAGAAAATGAAAATGAAGGGAAAGAAAAGAATTTAAATGAAGCACTTCCTAATTATGCGAAAAGAAAGAAAAGAAGACAAAAAATCCTCAAGCGGCTTTTAACGTAATAAATTGAGAGGTTTTAGTTATGTCTTTAGTAATTTCTGAGCGAGAGAAGGGAAGGGAATTGAAATACCCCTAGCCAACCTCGAGCCATCAGTAGCAGTTAAAGCACCAAGAAAACAACAAAAAATATCTCAAATTCCATCTTTCCCTGCCATCAAAAGTCCCGTACTCATTTCCCTCAAGGCTCAACGATAACACCGACTCGGTGTAAGGAGAAAAACATTGAAAAAAAAAAGTGAAAGCTTGTTTATATCATCCTCGAAACATAAAACTTTTCCATCTCACTTCTTTTCTTTCCTGATACCGTTTGTATTTCCGGAGCACGGTGGGCGCTTTTCAGTGAAAATCCCTTTGTGTGATAAAACAACTGGAGGGATTTAATTGTGTATATTTATACAAAAGCTTTAAGTTGTTGATGATTATTTAAAGTCTTGCGGTATTTCATACGTCAACTTTCGAGATGAAGGCAAAAGTGTCGGGTGGGAGTGTAAAAAGGGGTTAATTGGTTCTCAACGGAAGAAGCCAAGGACAAGGGATCATGAACACATTCAGAAACTCGTCGCAAATTCACTTCACACATTCTACAATCGAGAATTTCACTCCGGATGGGGCTTTGAAATTTTAATAAAGCTTTTACGTCAAAGCCACTTCCAAATGTTTATGGTTAGAAGGAAATGTGTTGTATGTATATATGTACAGTAATTTAAAGGGAGGTTGGGGATATTAAAGACTAAAAAGATGAAAATTGGCAGTAAAATTTGAATAATTTCAGATCAAGTGCTGTGAAATGAAGCGACGAAATGTTTTCATAATGAGATTAAAATTGTGGAAAAAATTAGCGAAAATTTTAATCGTTCCTCGTTCGCGAAAAGCTTTTCTGACTTTCTCTCTCTCCTCTTTGTATCTAATTAAATTGTTTTGGTAAAATGAAGTTGAAACATTAAAGAAAAATGTTGGGACAGAAATGAAATTTTATTATGGAATTTTTTTTTATTTATTTAAATCATCTGGTCAACATGGTTGCAGCTTTTACTCATGAATGATTATGAGGCATCTTTTCCCCTTCTTAATGATTCAACGCATTCGTCCTTTTTATATTTTGTTATGCAAAAATGTTTCGGGTCGTCTTCTCTTTTATAATATCAAAACAAATGGTGGATCAAAAGATCAGAATTGCTTTCGTTCTCTTCAGTTAAATGTAGAAATATTTTCATGATTTCCGCTTTCGGGTTAGAGAAGAGAAAATTTCCATACAATCACAAAGGAAAATAATAAAAATCGATTGGAAACTTTCCCCTGAAGTGCGAATGTTGAAAAGTTTAATCTTTTGGGGAATCTAAAATGATGTTAAAGCGATAATGCTGAGATTCTTCCCTTCACCTTGACCTCGAAACTTTCTACAAAAGTGAAATCGAAATTCCTTATCAAGCTTGAACATTTTCGAGACACAGAAAAGGAAAAGTTTTTGCTTTCAACAAAAAACCCGATGGATGATGAGATTGTAGCGGGAATCTTCTTGATGGACTTTTATTTCATTCTTAGCAGACTTTTAGGGCTTCATTTCAAAAACTTTCCCTATTGGAAATTATCTGCGATCATCGCTTAGAGTCGTTGAATAAATAACAAGCGATAAGCAATTAATTTTGATGTTCCATAAATTATTCATATCAGAATGGATATTATTCACGATAAAAGTCATAGTCATTGGTTGCCTTTCTTTCGTTTTTGTTATTATGTTTCATAAATTTATGTATTTCAAAGTAGATAATTTAACATTATACAAAATTTTATAAGCTACTGAAAGTTTAACCCAGATTGATATGATTTAAAGTTTGAGTCAATATTTTCCAACATTAATTTACGTGATTTTATATTGCGCTCGATTTATTGTTGATATCAATAAACGCTTATCACTGTGATAACTACACTGACGATGTAACGAAATTTCTATATTTATTAATCTTTAGACCACTTCAAGTATAAAAGCAAATGTTGAGCCGTCGAATTTTCAAAGTTTAATAAGCGTTGAAAGGAAAATGAAGCAAGTGATTGTGTTGATAACATTTTTAATAGTTTTAAGTGGAAATTTTCCATGTGAAGCTAAGGAATGGTACGAAACTGCTTCCTTTTATCAAATCTACCCACAAACATTTTTGGACACTGGCGTGAATGGAGAGAAAGAAGGATTTGGTGATCTTAGAGGAATTCAACAGAAATTGGATTACATCGAAGGTCTTGGATTTGAATGCATCTGGTTGACGCCCATTTTCAAAACGAGTTATCGATCTTTTGGATATGACATCGTGGATTATAAGGAAGTTGATTCACGTTTCGGTACAAATCAAGATTTGAAAAATCTTATAGATGCGGTACATGCTAAAGGAATGAAAATTATTCTTGACTTTGTTCCAAATCATTGTTCAAGTGACAATGAATTTTTCAACAAATCAATCAACGCAGTAGAAGATTATGATGATTGGTTCTTGTGGACAAACGTCACAAACTATAAAGATGAAGACGAAAAACCGAAACCATCGAATTGGCAAAGAATTGGTGGGCCACCAGGATCAGCTTGGAATAATATTGAAGAGAAGCCAGAAAGGGGCTTTTTTTATGCACAATTCTCTGAACATATGCCAGACTTCAATCTTCGTAATGAAAATGTTACTAAATATTTAGAAAGTGTCATGAAATTCTGGCTAGATTTGAGCATTGACGGCTTTCGAATTGACGCAATATCACATGGATTTGAAGCTTTACCTAATGAAGAAGGAATATATCCGGATGAAGATGTAAATCCTGCTGAAAATAACACGTCAAACTTCAACCATTTAATTCACACCCACACACAAGATCAACCTGAGCTGTTTGATCTCATTTATTCGTGGCGAAAATTTTTGGACGATTATCAAGTAGAAAAAAATGGTGAAGCTCGGTAAGATTAAGCCAAAATTTCGAGTGTTAATCGCTTACTCATGTTATTGCCGATAATCTTGAAATTAATCATTTCCAATGAAAAAAAAAACTTAATTATCGATTAATGATAAGAGAAATTGCCATTTGATTCGAACGTTGTTCACATTAAAAAAAAAAATTCTTATCAACGTTTTTTTTTGACAGAATTATTATGACAGAAAGTTATTCGAGTAACGATGTGATTAAAAAGTATTACTTATCTGCTGATGGAAAACATGAGGGAGCACATCTTCCATTTAACTTTCAAATGATAAATAAAATTAAAGCGAATTCGAATGCTACAGATTTTGTTGATATGGTTACTGATTGGTTGGACAATGTTGTGCCACCAGGAAAAGTCACCAATTGGGTTGTAAGTTACGTAATATTCATTATCAATATCAATTAATTTTATATGATCAATTTCATTAGATTGGTAATCATGATCAAGAGCGAGTAGCAACACGATTTGGAATCGAACGTGTTGATATTCTTAACACTTTAGTGACGATGCTTCCTGGAACTTCGGTTACATATTATGGTGAAGAAATTGGAATGGAAGATTCATGTGCTGAGTATGCTGAAACAAAGGATGATCCAGCAACGAAATGTGATACGCAAAGTACGATAAGAACTTCTGATGCATGGCATCGAGCACCAATGGCATGGGATAATTCGACTAATGGCGGATTTTCATCTGCTAAACCGTGGATGCCTGCAAGTGACAAATTTGCAACTGTGAATGTCAAGGCTCAAGAAGGAGTTGATAAAAGTCACTTGGAAATTCATCGACAACTCTTGCACTTAAGAAAGGAAAAAGCGTTCAAGGAAAGCGACAAATTTGACATAAAAACTTTAAATACAAACTCTTTTGCTTTCATACGGTAAGTTTCTATCGATCCTAAGTCCCTTTGTTGTCATACTAAAATCTTCAAATACTTTCACAGTGAACTTGATGATAAAAACGAGAAAAGTTATTTCGTTATCATTAATTTCGGAGGTTCAGCAGAAACCGTGGACATTAAATCTAAATTTCCTGATTTGCCAGACACGATAACTGTGGAAATCACCGGCGGAGTTTCAGAATATGCGAAAGACGAACAAATCTATATCGGTGAAGAGTTTGAGTTGAAAAAGTTTGAATCTATAGTTGCCTTCTACAACAGTTCAATGAACCTCATCGTCAGTAAAATTTTGTTCATGTTTTTCATAATAATTTGTGTTATCGTCAATTTGAATTTCTAAAACTGTAAAAAAACTTAATTTTATTTACCTTAAAAAGCTTTATATTTATTTAATTACTTAACTGTTAAAAATTTAAGCATGAATTCTCCACTTCATCGGTGGACTTTTCGACAAGGAAAGCTTAAAAACTAGTGAAACAAACTCACACATGAAACAACAGATAAAAGTCTCTGATTATTAAAAAACTTTTCTCATAAATTTTCCGAGAATATTCGCTTCCACATCATAAAATATGATAAAACACAAAACACTATCGTTTTATGAAAATTTCGAGAGAAAAATTTTTGTAGCGCATTTGTTGTTAAATATTCCACCCACACATTGTTTCGCCCGCATCTTGACACATTCGTACTGACCGTACAATGTGATGCTGCAAGGGGGAGAGAATATTTATGTTATTAGGATATTAAGTTTTCTATTGATTTCCTTCTTTTATTTCCTCTACAATCGGGTGATTCTCTCTTCTTATTATCGACAAAAACATTCTCAAGTGAAATGGCAAAAGTCAAAAGAAGTTTTCTTATCACAGTCAAATTGTTATTGGCTTCGTTGTCATTTATTTAATATAAAGATGTGAAAGATTCTTTTTCTTTTCTAAATCGTTGTTCTTATCAAAACTATTTCCTCATGGTTAAAGTAATAAAGATAAGGAAATAAATTGTGTTAAGTTTTTCTTTCCATATCGCTTGAATGAAGAGATGAAATTTTATGGCAAAAGTGCTTAAGAAATACGACGAGTCTGTTGCCATAAAATGTCTTTTCCAACTTGACTTAAATTAATCTTATAATCTTATAAGAAAACAGATTAACTGAAGTAGGTAGAATTTGATTCTCCCTTGTAGATCTAGGAAAGAAGTTCTCAAAGTTCCAAGTACTGTCGGTTCACAATGAAGTACAGAAATTTTATGCAATAATGAAATGCTTGAACATGCTCAAAACTCTTAGCTCAAGGATCGACACAACTTTGTTCTAATTATTCAATTTAAAACAATTTTGCCATTTCCGCCTTTGGCATGAAACGAAATCAAATTTTCGTGTTTAATTGGGATGTTTTTCAAGTTATTACGGAGGGCAGTTTTGTTATTTAATTTATATCAAAAAACGAGGGGGAAAAAGTTTTATTCATGATAATCATCATTTTATTGTTATCATCATTCAGACAACTTTGCAACGACCTAAAGCAAATTAAAATTTTTACAATGAGATATTTTAGCAAATTAATCACCCGAAGTTTATCAAGTGATGATTATTTTCCAATTTACTTTTCCTTCGTTACTTAGTAATGTTCATTCGTTATGCTTGTTAACTGTTACCATCAACAGAATCAGGAAAAGCTTATTTAATATCCTCTTACACCTTTTTCCAACTCCCTTATTTTTCTCTCATTGTAGTTTAAATTTGTAAGCCGTGAATGAAATAACAAGAGACCTGATACATAAAAAAGGGTTCGTCAACTTTACGAAATGATTTTCTATTTTACTTTTATTTCAACAGGGATTGAAAATGTTAAAGTTCGTTACGATAAGCTTGGACATTGTCAGGTTGCTTTTGGTAATTTAAAACAGTCCATTAGAGAATTCTTTTTTAAAAATGTGACAAAGTTACTGAAAATCATGTCATGCCACTCACATAATGTAGAGAAAAAATCGATTTAAGTTGAAGAAAAAAAGGTGAAAATAAGACAAAAGACATTAAACAGCCGAATCTGATATCTGCGTAGCAAATTCATTAGAATTATTTTATCAAAAAGAGAGTCCTTAGCTCGTAATTAAAAGATGAAACATTTTTCAACCCCATTTTCATGTAGAGCTAAGTAGATAGCGAGGAAAAGAAGTAAAAAGAGGGTTTTCACCTGAAAGGCTTCATTGTGAGATGATAATCGTGATGATAAGGATACAAATTTGTAAGCTTCTTGTAAAGTGAGACGCTAACGCCGTCAGTAGCACGCAAAAGAGTGAAAGAGAAATCCATTGAACAACAACATCGCGGTGAAGCACGAAACACGTTGAAAAACGTAGAAAGGGATGAGAACGAGGCTTTTACGATTGCTATGTGAAGCAGGTGTAAAAATTGGGCATTAATTCGTTTTACCTTTTTTTCCACTCACTTCACGAGATTTTATTTTGAAAAATTGGTTTCGGGTATCAAGAGAATAATCATGATTTAATCCTCAGCGTAAACATGCAATGTGAAGTGTGAGATGAAATGCTGTTTATTAAAAACTTGTAACATGCGACGATGGTTTATAAATATTTAGAAATCTGATTAAAAAGTTTCACCAACTTTTATTTACTTTCAGTTAAATTGGATTTCTTTCTTTTTTATGCATAAGTTTTATTTCTCGGGGGAGTTTATGCATAAATGACAACAATATGTTAAAAAGTTTTGTTGTAGATTGATGATAAAAAATATTTCATTTTATAACAAATTGAGAGATGTTGGGAAAGTTTTTTCAACACCTTTTGGTATTCGTTCGATCATCGGAAGAGACGTGATATCACTAATAAACAATTCTTTAATTTAAAAGTCGCATCGATAATACAAATTCTTGTCGATTTTTTATAATTTGAATGCTAAGCAACATTTTCTCTACTCGTTGAGTGTCTTGCATTCAAGACAAGCAAACGAACATTGCTTGGCTTCTTTGATAAATATGAAACAATATTTCATAAGGAAGATGAAAAACATCTGCTTCTTTCATCTTTTCTGTTGTCTTAGCCTTCACTTCTCTCACCGCTGCTACGTTGGTTGATGTTGTCTCCTTTAAACAAATATCCTTGTTGATTTCTTTTCGGTTTGTTATGTCTTTCGAGTCTTTGAACAAGTCAAAAAAGAAAGAAAGAATGTAAGTAAATATCATCTAAAGTGGTGAAAGAGAAATCAACAAATTGTTTCATGTTACTTGATGCTGTGCGATGATGAAAGGTGGTCGTTTGTTTTGTGATCAATTTTTAATATCGTCTTTCATCAGACAGGAAGAACAGAACGTACAACAAACATCAACTTAATTAAAGTTTAACTGGAAAGATGAACGAGTTGAAAGGAAGCGATCGTAATATTTCAAAGGCAAAGTTATTTATGCAAATGCAAATTGATGTTTCACGATAAATGTCTGACAGCATTTACCTCATGACTTTAGCCATTAATAAACAAAACGAATGCTTCCTTTCGTTGTTGGTTGCTTACGCAAAAGATATGTGAAACCACAAAGAGAAAATATATGCTTCATGTAAATTAATACGGTCGGTCCTTTCATCCCTTTTCGCATCCTTAAACCATCCATCAATCATTAGAACTTGTTGTTAGTGTTGCTTGTTTGTTAAAAGATATTGAAATGATTTTACAATTTTTACTGATGTTTGTTGAACGAAGGAGGGATGGATGGATGATGACATCGCTATCTATTCATGCCAGCCAGCGAATGTTTCCTAATGGATTTGAAACCGTTGAAGAATAAAAAATATTTCAATAGGGAAATATCTAAATTGATCGATTTTAAATACATTAGGCGAACATTAGCAAACAATTACTTTGCGAATCAAAAGTCTTCCCCTATCGAAATGGTGAAGCGATGGGCAATGCAAATATTTTCACCCACTACGTTGTGGCTATAGATAATGGGAAATTTTATTTAACATCACCCCAATAAAGAAAAAGAAAAGGAATGACTGGATATTAAGCGAAGAAGATTGATTAATTCATCGGCTATATCACATCATCACCAGACATTAAGTAAAATTGTTTTTGGCTGGTGAAAAATTCTTCAATCTACAGAATGCTTTTAAGAAGGGGAGGATCTTGAAGAAATGCCAAATGAGGGTAAAAGATTTCCATGTTCGACCACTCGCTGTGATTTGCGAATAAATTTATTGCGATTTCAATGTCCTGAAGCGAATCGATGAAACATTTCTTTTTGTTGTAGCTATTCGGAAGAATATGAGAATGATTTCAATCGATGTCACTGCGTGAAACATTTACAACATCAATCAATCAATCGCTTGTTAAATGGTGATTCCATAAAAACAACAACACGACGACACGTCACAACATTGCGAAAGAAAAATGAAGCGAAAGTTTTTTTTTCTGTCTTTACAATCCATTAAACAATTTCTGTGTTTCTTTTCCAAGCTGCTGAATGTGACTGCGAACGGTAGAAGGAAAGATTTTTGATTCACTTTTAATGCAAAGTGATTTATTTTCGCTTGGTTTGCTTGAAAGAATCACTCCACTTGAGAATTTAGTCTGAAACATGACAGATTTTTCTTCCGAGAAGAGTAAAAAAGGGGTGGAGTTGGGAGATTTATGCTCGTTCCCCCTTTTTTCACTTACAACATCGATGCAGTTCTTCAAAAAACAAAAATGCTGATGATTTATGAATGCAAACAATTTCTTTTATTGAAATATTTTCCTATTTCTCGAGCTTGCTTAAAATGTAATAAATTAACAGAAATATTTTGAACTAAGTCAGGCGTTTACAGGGTTGTTAGTTTATAATGTCAATCATGGTAATCTAGTTGCATAAAATATTTTTGGAGACATGCTTTAAAGATGTTGGAATGAATTCTCAAACAGAAGAAAATTCCATTCAACATAAAAATTTCTACACTTCCAAATCTGTGAAAATAATTCCTAAATTTTCTGTCGATGAAAAGTCGTCTTCATTGACAGTTTTATAAACTAAATCGTAAGTTCTTTGAAGTGAAAGTGCCACTGGTAATTGTTCAGCCATGACAGAATGATGCGTGACCAGTGAAGTGATTGTTGAAAAGTTTTTGGTTGCTCCTTTAAGTCTATAACCTCGCTTCGATTGAACTATTAGATGATGCACAACTTTGGATGTTTTGGAAGGAACACGAAGAGATAAAATAAAGTTTGCAGACTTATGTGAAGCTTTATGAATTATGAATGATCCTGGACTTTGGTGATGAAGAATTTCTTCGGAAAACTTGCCAATTATTCGACTATGATACCAGCTGGCGGAAGTTAAATCTTCAGCTTCAACTTCTTGCTTCACTGGCTCGTATTGTTTTAAAGATTCTGTACAAGAGTTTCCAAATTTATCGTAAATTCCTGATCTAAGATAAGCATCGTCAGATTTGGTTTTGTTCTGTTGAAGATAAGAAAACTTCATTAATTCAAGATCCAAAACTTAACCAACGACAACAACATACCTCGTCGACATCTTGAAGTTGTTCATGCATGCAGTGATTTTTGCTTAAAATTTTCCTCAAGCGTTTGTTGAGACTCTTTCGGTTTTCGTCAGCTTCTCGTTTCTTGTCCTTAAGATTTCTTATAAGTTTTTCTTCCATCTTGACACTTGGAGAATCATTAACCGTCAGTTTTTTTGCCTCCACATGCTGCTTCATCACGAGTTTCTGGTAACATTTCTGCAAATGAATGAATGGGAAAGAAGAAGTTGTTAGAAACGAAATAAAAATAAAAAGTTTTTGTCTCTTGCAATTCACTCTTGTTAAATCAAGAATTATGTGGCGAATTCCAGAAGTTTTGGAAAAGGAATTTCCTTCTATCTCTTGAAATCTTCTCACTCCCACGATTATATAAATCATAAAACCATCCCTAGACATCATAAAAATTATGTGCTGAGACTTCTTACGAATGAAAACCGAGAAAAAAAATTAAATGGTTGATTAACTTTTAAATGAAACTTTTTAAATAATCAGTCTGTTATTCACATGCCGACAGCGGATGGAGAACAGTGAAAGATGAAGCGTTTGTTATGGAAAATAGAAAAAGGATTGGTAATGTGCCAGATGAATCATAAAACTTGAAAATTCTTTTATTTCATTTTTTCTTATGGTTTACAAAAGATGCCACGACAAAAAAAAATTGTTTTGTTTATCGTTAGTTGATTTGAATGCACAAGACCATGCTTGGCATTCCAATAAACCATTGAATGGATTGTGAGAATTACCATGAGTATCTAAATAAATATGAATAGAGAAACTTTTATGTTACAAATTCAATACAACAAATAGTTGGTCGCAATAATAAAAAAGAATTAAACTTTATTCCATAAATTTATTACTTTCATTTATTTTCCCATCAGCTTAATCACATATCGCTCGAATGACATAAGAAAATATTTCTGCTTTCATAAGAAAATAAAAAAAGCAAAGCAGAAGAAGATAAAGATGAAGGAAGAAAATCAATCTGAGATAGTGCACTAAGTTATGTTGTATGTTAGTTATTTGTATCTTTGTTGGCGCATTAAGATAAATGAGTTCCATAAGAATGTGTTATTGTTGTTTGAACAAGAAAATTTATTAGAATTCATTGGATGTAGCTATCCAAAGTATCTTCTATAATCAGCATGATGATTACACATTAGATGAAACAAACGTTTCCACTTGCAAACGCAAGCGAGAGATTTATAAAGTGTAATGAGAAGAAGAACCAACTTAATATCCATGATTGGATACTAACGACGGCCCATTTTATTAGGTTCATATTGTTACTAATTTTTTCCTAATGTTCTATCATTTTCAACCTGATTCGTGTGGGTATAAAATGAGAATGATTTGAAAAGCCATTGTGGAAGAAAAAAAAAAAGAAAAAGAAATTGCTGGTCATTTCCACAACATGAGATAAATGGTGATGAATCCGATGTCAACTAAGCTTTACATGTCCGAGATTCTTTCAATCGAATATTCTTCTTTCATTTTTTATTATCTGCAGAAGAATCAAAATTTATAGTTTCTGATTCACTAGGAACTCAATGGATGATATGACACTCATAACTCCTTTCGATCCCACTCAATATCCATTCGACACAAAGACAGACAACAACAGAGAAAAAAGTCCATGACATCATCATCAGTTTTGTTTTCATCCACAGACATCATATCAATTCAATGGCATGTAAAAAGTTTATTGTTGGAAGGGTGTTAAATCTTCAAAATGTAAAGCGATATGGAATGACGAGATATTTCGTTATTTATTTTATGCTCTTTTCCATGCCTTTTATTTCTCTTCATATCGCATCATAATAAATTATTCGATGTAACCAGAACGAATTTTTCTTTCTTTCTTTTTTTATTTTTTTCTTATTCTTCGAAAATATCTAACAAATTCTTTCCATCCCAATAAAGATTACACATTTTTGTGGAGATGAGAAGCAAGACTATGGCAATAGAAGAACAAGAAGAAGAACTTCGTTTTAGATGCTTTTTAATGGCTTTTCATGTTGTCAACGATATTGCTTGGTAATGTTCTATCTCCAAGGGTTACCATAACGCTGAACATGGCTGAACAATCAACAAAAACCCAAACATCAGACAACTCCAACGTTATGACATTGTTTTCTTTCTTTTTTTGTATAAATATCATTTCATTAGTCCGCGATAGCATCGTTTGCAAGGAGAGAGGGTCGATCGTGTCTTGTTTCCATTCTGAACTGCATATTTCATTCTACAAATGACTAACGCACTTTAAGCGATCCCCAGAAAACAGAGAAACAACATTCTCATGTCTAGTCAATGAATCACAACATTGTTTATGTTGTTTTTTACAGAAAATTAATTTAACCATGTTTTTATGTTCTTTTTTTTCTCGTTCGGCGATTAAACTTCTTTGGGACCTTTCCTCGCGTCGCTTATCTGCTTCAACGTCGTTGTTCACTGCACTCTAACGTTTTTCATTAGATATCTCTACCAACAACGTAAATGTAAGAAGAAAGGGGAACAAGTTTGTATAATTTTCTTTAAAATTAGTCTCTCGAGAAATGTTTTTTCGATTACACCAGCCACGACCTATGCATAGTGCGTGTTGAAAACGAATAAAATGTAACAGCGCGTAGAATCATAAACCAATTTGGTAGATAAGAGACAAACGGGGGGATCTTATCGTACTTGAACTCCTTCTACGAACGTCTGTAGTCGTTACATAACGCAATAAATTTATTTGCATTTCAAAAAAAAAAAGAGAGGAAGAAAAGGAAGGGTCAGTATCACGTAGAGCAGTTTTATCAAACATGAAGCAGACAAGAAAGGAAGAAACATATGAGAACTCATCAGAATCGTTTCTTCAATTTTCAACACTCTCATCTGTTCACATCATGAATTTAAATTCTTTAGTACTTGGTCAGTTGAATATTAAATAGTGTAAGGTTTGGTTTCCTTCTTGTCGATGTTAGTAAAATTGCCAGTGATTGAGATTATATTAGGATTTGGATTTGAGTTTGTGATTGAAAATTGCAAACAACTTCAGAATTGACAATGCAAAAATATTTAAGATCGAAGGGAAATTTCAATCTCTGGAAAAATTCAAAGAAGCTTCTCATTGTCTCTTCATGACTTCCGGATGAATGTTGAGCATGAAAACATAAACATAAATGAACAATATGACGATAACGTATTATGTTGTTTTTTTCTTCTCGTTCTTGCTCTCATTCCATGGCAGTTCATATTCAAAATGGACAATGACATTAATATGTCACGAAGCTGAGAGTTTTTCTATGTCTCCCGGCCTTTGGCCTCAAACTTATGACACATTCTATGCAAATGATCCCGTTGAGAGATTGGGGGATATATTTTTGTCGTCACTCGACACTTGGCACTTAAACCGAAAGTGAATTGTCGAGTGTTCTCGGGGAATTGTCATGAGAAGCAAGAAAGAAGGAAAATTGAAGCGATAACCCCGACAAAATGATGATGGATTTGTTGGATGTGTGACGAAGAAAAATATTTATCACGTTCACAGTTCAACTCAGTAATTCTCAATGCCATTCAAATGTTATGTGAAGCTGAAAATCCCTTTTTGCATGTATCATGCAAGTGATTACGGAACTTCTTTGTTAGACAAATGAAGTTGCTGCTTTTCACTAAATATTCACCATTTGTTCTTCATTTTCTCATCTTCTTTCCTTTTAAAAGAATTAGAATGTAATTACGGTTCAATGATCTTATTCAATAAGCATTTCTTTCCGATAATCTCCCTTTCTCAAATTTCTTTTCTTAATCATAAGGATTTTCTATTCAAAAATAAGATAATTCCCATTCTTCTTGTGCATCTTATTATTTCATCACTATCGTCAAGAGACTCTCTCAGTGAAGAAAGCGGCATTCATGAGAAATAAAAGGCGTAATCATTGGCTTACTAGGTGATGTAAGAAGTTGCTTGAACATTTCATCCTACCTCTAGTTAGCCTTCCATTTGGGGATGAGATTATCATTCACTTTTAAAAAGCATTGAGAATGAATACGAATACAATAGCGGAAAATTATGAATGGCGTAATGAGATAAAAGTTTCAATGGGGATTACTCAACAGTCGTGTGGTGGAATGGAAATTTGCGTAGATATCTAACAGTAATCCAAAGGTGCTTTAAGGTATTAAAAATTTTTACTGAGGAATCTGTTTTTTGTCAATTGTTGAGCTTCATTCATGTGTTGACTTCGAGTGGAAGTAAAAAAGGCCGACAGCCATCATTATAACGACGATGACAATGAATAGAATCGATGTCGGCTGTTTCCACTTCAATCTCGTTTTTATATTTCTCATGTTGGCATAGAATGATATCGAGGAAATCGAAATAATGATCATGTTACGTTTTACGTGCTTTCCTGATGTGAGGTCGACGTTGAAAGTCAGAAAGGCTGGTGAAATGTCGGAATTTCTTTTATTTTTCTCTTTCTTTTTAAGGTTGGGAATTGAATAAGAAAAAAAAATCTGAAATTTATGACCACAATGGATTTAATAAATATTAAAAGCCGGCAAACCATCAAAGAGACTAATTCATATGTCACGTCACAAGTGCAAGTCAATGGTCGATTGGTTGGTTGTTGACAGTCAACCCTCCGGTATTAAAAATCATCCCCAATGTCATGTCACGTTCATTGATAGCGTATATAGCTTCATACAATTTTTCCTCTGTTTATTTAATCGAAACCAACACCGAACGTGCATTTAAAATAATTAAAATTTCTCTCAATTCCTTCAATTATTAAATTCATGTTTGAATATTCCGCAACATTTCATGGAAATTCAATTAAACATTCCGAGATTTCGTCTGACATGAAAGAATTATTATATAAAAATCAATTTGAGTAAATATTCCATATGCGCAACATTATGTTGTTATATTCAACAACAAATATTGAGCTGCTATGAAAACATGTAATTAAATTTTTACAACATTTGAGCAGTCAACTCGTGCGGATTCGTCAGATAATTCAATTGATTTTTATTTTCATATTTTTTTTGCCCTCTTAAATCGTGAATGCGGTGAGATTAAATTGGATTTGAGTCAAAATTCTGCGATGTTTAAAAAACGCGAAACATAATTCGGATATCCTGACCCACGCTCCCTAACAGTAATCAAATAAAAATTAAAAAAGTTTTTTTCTACGGAAATAAAAAGAAAAAAAAGCAGAAGTTTGATCGGATAAATTGAAAAGGCGAAGGAGGCTGAAATGGGTCAAGTTGTCTCTAATTACAAACTCGAGAAAAAGTTTTTCCTGTCTTACAAATTGATCTTAAATTTCAATTAAAATGTTTCGAAATCCGTTTGGAAATCCTTTAACCTTTTAAGCCGAAAGGAGAAAACTTTCCTTTAGAATCATCAACAAGCATCGTTTTTCAAGATTTTTCTTTTTTCCATAAGAGGAAATTTTTTTTGAATGGAATATTTTGAAGGGAGAGGGAAAATCAATTTGAAAAGTTGTCATGACATTCGACCGGCATGTTTTAAATCCCATCAAAGCTTAATTAGCCGACAAGATATTTCAATATAAAGTATCAAATTTCTCTCTAAGTTGTCCGCCCTTTGTCGGATATTTTTTGTATACAAAAATGAAATTTCTTTCATCCCGCTGATTTTCAATGAAAAAGGAATCTTTTTTCATCATTTTAGGAATTTCAGCATAGAACAAAGAGAAGAAGAGTTTATCGCATGAAAATATTTTTCCTTCATCGGCACACAGCACAAAGATGAACCTCAATTAAAAAGAAGGATGTTTATGAGAGAGAAATTCTTAGTTAATTGGGAGTATTAATTAGCCAAATGGAATGTTCTCGGTCTCCAAGGAGGCGAGGAATTTTCTGCTGATAAGGCTTTTCCTTTCCTTAATATACGGAAACGCAATTAGTAAATTGAGCAGGGAAATCTTCGTATATTATGCCACGTTAATGTTAATAAACATTCATTGACTTATCTATCTCTCCATGAACGCTTTCAGTGTGTCTTGTAGAAGTTTCACAAACTAAAACGTAACGTTGAGATCGTCCACAGCCCTTTCGTGCTCTTTATTTCGTTACCACGCTACCGTGTGGTTCTTTTCTTTCCTGAATAGGAAAATAAGTAAGAAGCCTCTCAACTCTGTCTTCTTCTCCCACAATAAATCATCAAAGAAAATCATTGTCGTGCGAAACGACAACCGCAAATGCTTCTGATACATGTAATCATCTCGACAATGGGTTGGTTAAACAGAAAAGGACTTAAAAATTGTTTTCTTTCTTTTTCTATACGCAATCTTATAATTATAAGTTGCTTTTCTCGGGGTTCGAACAAAGTCACAATCAAAGAAGATTATTTATTTGTGTTTGTCTTCTTCTTGACTTTTTTCCTTTTAGCTTTCAGACTCATTGCACCCCTCGAATGAAAGTAGTAATTACAAGAGCAATACGAGACCCTAAGTAGGGCAAGAGTCTTGTCATAATCTTATGTTTTATGATCTTCTTTCTCTTTTAATTTCTTTCCCAACAAAAAGCGCAGTCTGCAGGCTTCATCTTATTTCTTTATATTTTTTTATTACTTATTTTGTGGATGGGATTTAAAAAGATACTCGCTTGCTTATTTGACAAAAATATTTCATCCAACTGTCGAGTTTCTTATGGTTATGAGAAAGAAAACCATTAAAAAACTCTCATAGATTTAAAGATTTAAACAGACATTGTAATTTCATTTTTCATTCAACATCATCATTGAATCATTTTTTAAACTAATATCTACAACAATTTTTCTTCTTGCCTTCGTCCTCAACCAACTCCGCCCAAAAATTTCTCTTAAATCTCCCCATAAAAAGGAATTAATCATAAAAATTATTTTAATTTCATTCACCAGAAGAAGCATGAGGGGAATGAAGAAAAAAAACAAAAATCGTTCAATTTTCGGGGCAAGTCTAATGGGATAATTAATTTTTTATTAATTTAACTTCTTTTCTTGTTTTTAAGTCGAGTGAAAAACTGTTTTTGTTTGCTTTGACGTCGCAATTCATTCAAAAACCCCCCACTCGATGGCAGCAAACACAAAATTTTCATTTTGAATTATCTCGTCTTTGATGAGAATTCCCCGAACAGAGAAAGTGGAAGACTGTTAAGCACTTATCATTTTTTAACTGGCAATAGCCCGAAAAATGTTTTTATTTCATTAATTTTAAGAGCTTCAACGATAATCCCACTTGAAGTAAAGAAAGCTTCTTTCTCATTTCTCCTTGAATTTCTTTCAGCCTTTGACGAGAATCACATCTGCATGTTCTCAACAAAGATGAGAAATGGCAAGGAATTCATCAAACGTAGTCCTTTTTGTATCAATTTAAATGAAATATCTACACGCTTAGATAGCTTTCCAAGCCAAACTGCTGTTCATCAATGTGAAAGCTGTGAAGGCTCTTGAGATTCTTCACGCTTTAGTGTCACAGAAATTACTGTGACGAATCGTCTCTCACAAGATGACAGTTTATGACTTTTTTTAGCACGAAAACATATCTCGACCCTTGAAGAAACATTTCATCTTCATTCCCTCATCATACCTTTCTCTACTCTCTTCTTCATAGAATTGAATTCTTCCCTCGTTAAAATCATCTTTGATCGATACAAAAGAAAAGAAAAGAAAAAAAAGGAACACGAAAAATATTTGAAACATAAAAGTTTCCTTCGTTACGCTCCTTCGATGAATGAAATAATTGTCAATACATTATGAATTTATGGCAATATTGAATCCCTTTTCGACCTTCTTTCTCCGCTCTGAACTTTTTCGGATCAGTATGAAAACCACTCGACAATGTTTCGCTTTGTTGTGTGTCTAACGAATTCGTTTGTGGCACATGAAGAGAGCGAACTTGTTTATTGCGAAATAATGAAACCCTTGAACAGAAATCAAATTTGATTTTAAAGGTTCGTTCAGGTAAAAACATCAACAGAGTTATATTGTTGAGATATATGATCAGGAATGAAGAGAATGTTCAACTAACTGGAGAGAAGATGATTTACCAACAATGAAAATCTCATTTTTCAAGGTTTTTCATCTTTTCTTTCTTGTATCCTTTTTTTTTACTTGGATGGAAAGAAACATTCTTAAATGTTGTCACTGAACTTGCAAACAAAATCCTTGAAAATTCTTTTGATTATGAACTGTCCCCTTCACATCTTAAGTTGTCCCCAGGACGTCTCGCTTCATTCTTTAAGAATCTTCTTAAAAACTTTTTAATATATTTGAAATCTCCTTTTTCTTCTCTCTTTGATGATCATCGAAAAATATTTACAAAGAAGGAAAAAAATTCTGCTCTCAGCTTTTGTTTGCATTAACGAGAATCTGATGCAGTTTCGATGAATAGAAGAAGTCGACATTTCAAAAGAATGCATTTTAATGGACTTCGGATGAAATAAAGAAGGACTTGAAAAGGTCTAATATGTGACAAAGGCATGGGCAGCTGAAGTTAATAAGAAATGTATGATTTTTATGATGTTTGAACTTGTGAAAAATGACATTCTCATTGTTTGATGAAGAGAAGTTGTCAAAAGTTGCAACAAAAGAAATAAAATTCGTTATTATTAACACGATACTGCCGAATGTTGATGATCTCACATTCCTAATCTTTCTGACGACCCATCGAGTTAGAAGCAAACAAAATCCTTTCATTTGTCTCCAAGATAATCCTTTTAAGTTTTTCTTCCTTCCCAAACTTATTGAACACATCATGGATGATGAATTTATGTATGAACGTGTGGGAGAGAGATGGAATGAATATGTTTTTATGCTGTTAGATGATGGAAGGAGTCGTTAAGATAAAAAGATTATAATTTTCTTGTTGTTAGGAAGCATGTCATGAAGCGATCATGATGTTAATCCTTAAACAACAATCAACCATGTCTGATTGTTATGTCGAGGGAAATACGGGAAATGAGAAAATATTTCTTGTATTTTTTCTCTTGTTTTCCTTCGAACGATATCGTTCCTTACATCGCCGTCGTCGTCATCATCTTCATCATTCCAGCTGGTAAATCTTGTGTGTCTCGTGCAATTCGGGAGATGTCAGGAAAGCTTCTTGACAACCTGATTATTATTTACGTATTGCCATGCGATATTTCTTTCTATTTACGTCAACTCATGATTCATGAAACTCCCAACACATTGTCTTTGTTGCGCATTTATGTTTGTTATCTTTCTATGAATACTTTATAGCTTCATGTTGATGGAAATAAAGGAACAAGGCGGATAGATGAAGATGGAAAACAGCATAGCACATTGTTTGCATATCCATGGGATGATTGACAGTTTTAAACAAAAGCGTGAACGAATTTTTCTTACTTACACGATATGAAAATCATTCGTATGAAGAAAAAGAACTTTTTGTTTCATTCATCACACAATGACGATGAATCAGCAACGATGGCAAGTAAACAAGAAACATGGATTTGCAATTTTCCTCGTACGAATATTTTCCCACATGCATTAAACGTTAATTTTACTTCCAACAAGCGTCTTGCTCGTTGCTTTCGTAAACAATGAGACGCGTTCTACGTCGAAACCACCACCGACCGAGATAATGACTATCATGCTTGTTGTGTGAAAATTTCATTAGCAGAAATGTGGAAAAAGAGATATGAAAAATGAAAATTGTTTTTCTCACATTAACAATTAAACGAGCTTTTCAACAACAACAACAACAATTATTTTCCTTTTTATTCCATTGCAAATTTTTCTAATGAAAATTTTAATTAATTCAGTGAAAACTGATTTTAAATTGAATGGAAAATTTCCTTTTGAAAACAATTGAAGAGGAAAATTGATTTTAATAAAAATTACGATTATCATAATTGATAAGTGATGGCTACACTTCCTATTATCGTTAGTTAAATTTAATCGCCATAGTTTTTGATGAAATGACTGATCAAATTGACAATGCAACGAGGGATGAAAAACATCGAAAGTTCATTAAATAATGTTAATCAAATTAAAACGATACTTGACTCAGAATGGAATAAAATAAAGTTTTCAAATATTGACACGCTTGTTTGAAACGAACTGGGAAAATCCATTAAGAAGACGAGACGAGCAGAGCGGAAGCTAATCACTTGCCATCAACTTCCATTAAGAGTCAGCACCAGACTCAGTAGGAATCATGCTTAGTGAATTTTTTTTGGCTGATGATGCTTCATGAATCGTTGGTAAAATCTTAACATTCTGTCGTTTGAGTTTTTCCTTCTTTTTCAATCTGAAGTTCTATAAAAATCACTAAGTGGTTCTTAAGTGCTTTTCCAATTCCATATTTTTATTTTCTTGTGGTTCGATGAATCTCGTTTGGGAAAATTGATACTCTTTGCATGACATTTTCATGATAAATGCTGTTTGCGCTTTGATATATCGAAATGCATTTCTGTTTTTGGTGGAAAATCTTTTATTAATCTAAAGTGCATTCAATTTATGCTCGACGATGCAGAAAGTATTCGCCACTTAATAATTATTTGTTAACCAACATTGCCTAGAAGAACCCTCGAAAATTAAGTCATAGAAATTCATTCTCGTATTGATTCATTCAACCAACCACAACATTCTCGATTAAGAAGAGTCAATTGAATTTCACAGCTCAACGAATTTTTTTTTCCTTTCTTTCTCCGTTTTTTAACATTTTATTATTCTTGTCGTTACCGCAACCATTGACACACATTGCTTTTGGGTTCGCTTTTGATGATGAATATTTCTTTTTATTTTTCTCCGGGTTATCGAATTACTTAACATTCATTCGGGGACACAGAATGAACATTGCTTGAATATGATAGAAAACATATGTTTTAACTGTTTCAAATCCATTTTCATTCTCGTCATCAACAACATAAGAAAGACAAGAAAAAAATTTCTTTCCTTCATTTCTGGTCGATGTGCTGGGCGACTTTCTACCCAATTAATTTTGATTTATGGAAATTGAAGGCGAAACGGGAACGAAACGACAACAGCGAAATTCTGTTGTGGACGAATGAATGCCTTTTAATTAAAAACATGACCTTTATCATATATCAGAATGAGTCTAAAGGCATTGCAATGCGACTCTCTCCCTTTGCGACCATTAATTTACATAAAAAAATTACAGTTTTTATTTTTCTTTTTCATCAACCATGGTGTTTGGGGAAATGGTTTGTGTATTTAAATATTTTTATTCTCGAAATGGTGTGAGATGAGAAGAATCCCAAATCGTTGTGGTCGCCCGTCTGCTTTCTTGCCAGGATTCTGGGAAAACTTTTCCAACCACAATACGTGGCAAGAAGATTTAAATACTAAACAAATGAAAACTTTTTCAAAATAAAATGTTTCGGGAAGTTTATAACAACTTTGACTTTATCGAAACGACTTTGTGTATCTTGACGAGCTAATCTCAATCTTCATCAGAAACCACGGAAGCCGTAAACGTCTTCAGCAATTTCTTTCATATTAAAATTTCATAAAAATCCCAAAGTTCAACATGAAAAACGAGCAGGAAAACTTCAAGTGTCACTCAAGATTAAAAACTTTTTTTCTCTGTTCTGTTTTTTGTTCCATCCACGAAATTCTTGAAGCAAATATTGACTTACGTCTTGGGAGAAGGAAGTTATCGGAGGGATTTATTGTTTGTCTCTGAGTGTACAAAACAAAAAAGAAAGAAAGACGAGAAGCAGCAGCATCAGCATAGCTGTAACATTGGATATGAAGAAGTTCATTAATAATTAATTTGTTAGCTACTTGGATGGGGCTGCTGCTTGACTGACATTGTGAGAGAGCGCGTTGAATGCATTGTTAGACGAAGAAAAAATAAATAAAGTTAAGAAGATTATAAAAGAAGTCTCTTACCTTTATATTCCTTTTCAATTTGAAGCATGAATTATAATCCTCGTCGTCTGAATACTTCTCGATGACTTTTTCATCCTTGACATTTTCATTAGTCAGCTTTCTGTATCTCCACAATCTTAACCGTTCCATTGTTTGTAACGCAATGTTCTCTTTCAATGACAATAAATATTTTAAATTTGTTACTTTAATGTCTGATCTGCCACTGATAACTTTTACTTTAAAAAGCAAAAGTTTTGCCCTCGGTAATTATTCACTGTAATTAAGTTTTAATTACACTCTTAATGTTGTGTTTCTCACTCTTCACACTTTATAAAAAATTCAATTTGAGCCAATTAAAATGTTCTTGTCACGAAACTTTCTTTCTTCTTCTTTCGTTTTTTTTATCTTTTGTCTTGAAGACGTTAAAAAATGTCACAAAGATTTTAATCTTATCTTAAGCAGCAGGAACGTCAATGAAAGTAATTTTTAGTGGTTGTGAAATGGCGTCGAAGAAACTAGTCAGATATTTTATCTCATTGATAAAATCACTGTCACATTGAGTAAAAGGCCAATTTGTTGCATCCCCCAAGCGTCTCGCAACGGTGAAATAAATTATCCTTGATTCAAGAGACACTCACAAGACAAAAACAAAAGAAACAAGAACACGACTGAAACATAAATCGTGTCGAGGAAGAGATGATGAGGCTTTTGTGTGTGAGAGGCTGAAAGAAGGTGTCACAAAATAGCGATTTTATCACTTTTCGAGGATCTTGTGTTTATACGTCTCAACCACTTGTTAGGCTTTACACAACTAATGTCCCTTCTTCTCTCTTCTCGTTTTCGTGTTGATCCTTTTTAATACACGAAGGCACTTGAGATGGATATTTTTCTTCTTCTGCCCTTTCCTTCTTAGGTCAAAATAAATTCTCTTCTTTCTCAAGTAACAACAACGAATCTTCTTTATGTTTAAACAGAAATCTCTTTTAAGCTACACAACCGACAACGACCCTTCTCCGATCAACTTTGTTGATGAACTAAACGAATTTATATTTTTTATTTTATATTTTCTGTTTTAGGTTTTTTTTTTCAAAACAAACTGTTCTTGTTCTTCTTTCTCTCTAAACATTCAACTCACTCTCTTCATCTTTTTTACGTTTCATTTTGATGATGTTTTCACTTTCCTTTCGCTTCACTCTGTTGATTCTTCTTCTACTCAGATCTATAAACTAAACTACCTACATCAGAATAGGATAAAATTATATTCACAAAATAAACTTTAACACATGCTTTCAATCTTTGATAAAGTGTTGCCTGATTTCATGTCTTTTAAGTACAAATAGAAAAAAGAAATGATGAAAAAAAAGTCACGATAGGAAAAAAGGAAAAGTCATCAATCAATCTGACAAGACCAACCAATAATGAAAAGCTGAAAAACATTTTATACATTTTATCCCCTCTTTCTAAGATATTAATGTAAACTAAACTAACACACCACTATCAAAGTAGAAACATCATATAATCCCCTTCATCATTCTGATTGTACAACAACGATGCAAACAAACAATGACTCAGAGCGAAAGAGAATCACTAAATAAGCATGGATAGAGAACGTGTAATAAAATTTCCCTTCTTCGATAGATATTTAAGTGTTTGCTTGTGAGTAAGAAGAATATCGACGGAGATCTATTCAGCTAAGTGAAGGAAGAAAAATTGTTACATTCGTTACACACTTAAAGGATGATTCGAAGTCTGAAGAAGAGAAGCAACAACGGCTATTAAGCAACAATGCAAAGGACACATTTGTGTTGTGCTGTAATAAAATTAACCCTCATCATCTTTAAACAATAAGTTGGGAATCTTTTAGACTTTTACGAAGTACTCATTGTTTTACAACGGTCATAGAAGTGTCGTAAGACTTAGGTGAACCTTTTTCACGGACATGACTTGACAATTTATTACTTGATGGGCATCGTATATCTCTTCTACACCCTGCCATACTTTCGTCTACAAACAAAAGTCAATAATCCTTTCTGCTTTTATTATAGATAGCGAAGTAGACGTAAAAATTCGTCTTCAAGTGTCATAAAGATTTATGTTGCAACATGACATTTATTTAAATTTAACAAGTAAACTTTCAGTTTCTCTGATGAAATTTCTGCTACATAAAATTAGTTTCTCAACAAGATGCGCAAAGATATCTCTTGTAATTTAATCTGCGATATCAAAACCAGCTCAGATGTTACAAATCGTTTTAAAGAGTAAACATTCATCGATGCATAACACGAGAATTGCTTTCCTTTTCACTGAGTCATCATCGCGATATGACAACAAATGACAGAAAACGACGCACGCGATCTTTTCAAAGGAGTGCATTGTTGACACACTTTCTACGTTTCCTTTGATGCTTCTTCGTTTGCAAACGACACGAGATAAGAACTTTTAAGTATTTAGAAAACAACACTTTAAGTAATTGAGTTTCAATTTGTCACTTGAGATTAAATAAATAAGTATAGAGAATGCATCAGAAGCTCTGCTTCAAATTGCATTAAATTTCCATTATTACAATGCTGCTGCTGCTGTCGTCGTTGTAGTTGATGATGATGATGCTTGAATAGGACAAGAGAGAAGGGGAAGTTCATAAATATCTGTTTACTTTCTTTGCTTCCTCTTGCTTGGTTGTTTACTTGTGCCATTATCGATAATGCATTGACGATTTGCCAGAGGGTCGAGAGTTTATTTACAATAAACGTGATGCATTTTATGATGACAAAATAACAAATTTTTATTGTTTTCTCATTTAATGTTATGATTGGTTGATTGTTTGTGTTACAAGATAATTCATTTCATCACGTTCTTACACAATATCACAACAAAGTTAAATCAGTTTAACAATTCAATTAGATAATGAAGATATTTTAACAGTTGTTGCTTTGGATCAGCAATTATGAATTTTCAGTGAGGTTTTAACATTCAACACGTATACGAACCGCGATCTTCAAGATGAAACTTTGTAGTAAATACGAGTGTGAGTGACTTTCAAGGTTTATATGTGGAACATAAATATTTACTTACAATCGTCAAATGATTTCAAATTTTCAAACTCCGCATAAGTAACAAAGTCATGGAAGTTGTCGGTTTAATTTTTGTCACTTGCATTTTTCTTTTGTTGATCATCGAAATTATATTTCGGTGGTTGATGAGACTTAACTATGTTTAAGAAGGGAATAACATACGTCAGCTTTCTGCATCAAAGCGCATGACAGCGGCGAAGATTAAATATCACACACACAATCCATTAAATGACGTCTAAACATTTTATTAAAAATTATGAAAATCATCGTGGCATAAATATCATGGAAGGGAAGAAAAAAGAATGAAAGAATGAAAAGGAACGTGAAGTGTAAAGAGTGCTTTTAATTATGAATAAATTTGATCCTGCAAGCCAAAGAAATTCTTCATTTCTTTCAACCCCAATGGAAAAAAAGAAGAACAGAAACAAAATTGAGGAATGATGAATGTTCAAATTTTTCATAAATGAGTTTTAATAACACGAGCTTCGTGGATAGGATAAGGCTCATCATTAATTTATATTAACGCAGGCGAAAGCCGTTTCTTCCAGAGATTGGCGTCGATCTTTATCAGTTTGATGTTAAACCAACATTTGATCATCAAAATTTTAACTTGAAACAAATTTTCATAGTAACAAAATGAAGAAATAAATTGAAGTTTATCAACACCCACCACTGGATTATTCTTTGTTTAGATTTCGTAGCGTGTAAAAGAAATTTTCAAAATGATACACAAAAAAAAAGCGATTCGAATAATGTAACTGAAACATTCCAAGCTTTAAATGTGATTAATCGAAAATTATTAATTTATGTTCGATCATTTGAGGCAACAATAAATATAATTAATAATAATTCTTTACACTTTCTACACCACATCTTCGTTTGATTAACCCCTGAACTAAGAAAAAGAGTTGTGTTGGCGTTAGCGTGCATGGAATGTTGATATATTAATCATACAACGCTGCGGGATGCCATCATCAACACCCAAGAGATTCTAATGTGAAAAGTGATACTTTAGATGTGAACGAAAATTGATACTTTAAACAACTTCTGATTTCACTGATTTCAGAGCGTCGCTGTTCCTTGTTGTTGCATAATTTAAAACTCATTCTATTTTCCAAAAATATCTTTGAACATCGTCGATCATGCAACCACAAAATTGTTTATTTTTAATGCCAGCGCCAACACCGTCACTCTACTTACTCCGCTCATCGAACCACACCGCATGAAAGTCAACAAGAAACATAAAAAATGTTTTATGATTAAATGTAGAAATTGATTGACACGTTAATGGATTTTCGAGACTTTAGAAGTACGAAGAAAATTTCCACGGCCGAGCGGTATTGATGACATGAAGGAAAATATTATTTTTCCATAGAAAATTCTTCTCAGAAGCACTTTAATTCAGGGATTGAAGTTTGAAGTAAAAGAGAAGTCGAATAAATCATTTCAAGCCCTGAGACAAATTAAAGCAAAACAAGTGAAAAAGTCTGAAATGCTTTTTAACTTTTCTAAAATTCTTTATCGAGACGTTTACACATAACACTGACAATGTTGTTTGTTTTTTTAGAGGGTTTTTCCATCGTCGAAGTTTGTTTTTGGAAATGGATCCATCAATTTTCATCACTCTTCAGTCTTCAAGCGTCTCGTACCGTTGGCTCTACTCTCATTTCCGAAATTCATTCGGCAAATAGAATTATAACACATTCAACTTACGTGTTATCTTAGAGGCTTTTGTTAAGTGGTTACAATTCAATTTCCTAAGGAACTTCCCTTCCATCTCTGCCACCATCACTCTCTCAGCCATGAATTATTTAGTTTTTCTCGAGCAAATATTATCTTAGCAATTTCCGAATGGGATAACTTTATTCAAGATAATCTCTCGAATGGAGCGGAAAAGATGCTGCAAAGTGATAAGAAAAGCAAATCTTTACATTTTCTTCTTTTTTTAGCCTTTTATTATGTTTAAACTCATAATTTAGAATATTTTTCATTTTCTTTTAATATTAATTTAATTTAATTTATCTTCCATCAAAATGTTTTTTTCTTTTCTTTTCTTTTATCAATGAAATTTCAAAGACTTAAAATTAGGATCATTAAATGATTTTCTCTTTTTATTTTACATAATACGCATAAAAAATAAATGAAAGCGCCCACACTGGCGAAATAACTCGCTATACTTATAACATTTTCCTTAAGGATTAATTTTTTTTTCTTGGGAGAATAAAGAAAAGCGAGAAAATAAATATGAGCCGTGAACGACTCGACGAGTTTAAGTTTCAAAGAAAAATATTTTATTTTTTTATTTTTATCGTATGAAATGCTAGACAAAAGCAAACAACTTCCTAAAGCATAAGTAGATATCTAAGATTTTGGTATGAGTTTGTGATAAGTAAGCTCAGCTTTTAAGCGAAATAAAATAAAATGAAAGACTTTATCAGAGACTTCTTCAGAACCTTAAATTGATTTGTTTTTTGCTGCGTTGGAATATTTTCACGCCACAATTATTTGTTTGAATACTCGATGCGATGATGCAGAAACATAAAATTATTTTTTAATTAAAAAACTGTTATAACAGTTTTATAACAAGTTCCAAACATAAGACGAAACCCTTTAAAATGCATTTATCTTGCAAAGGCTCTCATAATATCTCTATTGACTCATTATCATCGACATCGCTGTTATCATCATCATTTCGCGCACAAATGAAGGCACATGAACATGTTTTATTGTTTATTTGTTTTCTATTAGCGTCGCTGTCTATTTGGTGGGTGAACATAAATGAAGCACTTTTTTTGTTTGCTTTGAATTGTTTTTTGTTTCTTTAAAAGGTGGAATGTTTCTATAAATTTCACCCAGATACGATGACAACATCTAATGATGATGGAAATTTCGTTTTTCAGCTAATAACAAAACGTTGATAAATTATAATTGAAGCTTTGGAGGCGAATGGCGAATCTGGCAACTAATCAACGCCTGCGAAGCCTTGCGATCCTTCAATTGCTTTAATGAGTTTGTCTTTAAGTTGTAGATAACTTTCATAAGGAGGCAGATCAAGTCGATTAAAACTGAAATGAGATAAAAAAATATGGATTAGGATTAAACATATTAAATAGGATTAATCTAATCTAATCTAATCTTGATGTTAAATCTAACTCTTCAACAAATGCATCAAAAATGATGAACGCGAAATTGAAGAAAAAATAAAGTGGAAGTGAAGAAAAGAAAAGTCATTGCGGGAGACGACTTCTCTTAGCATTATTCTCTGTCACTTAGCGAACAGAACTGTCTCGCTCTCTGCTTTATTTCAGTGCTGACATTTTTCTACTCCCGTCAAGTCGCATTTTATGCGAAGTGCCAGATTAATTGTCTTGAACTCTAATTTTGTGGAATAAATAATTAAAAGTTAAAATGAATTTGAAAAGACTTGAAAGTTATAATAAGATTCAGGAGTTTCTTGAAGGTTTGAAAATGAACTTCTTAAATGTTTTTCCTTGAATATTCAAATTTTCTAAAACTTGAAGACATTGCGATAAAAATGATTCATACAATGAAAAATTAATTAAGCTTAATTGATGCAGATATCTACATGTATTTAAACAACAACAACAGCACGACACAATCGCACGACGAAATCGAACACCAAAAATTGAATGAGAAACGCAAAGAGTTAATTGACAATTGTAAGCACATACGAAGCATATTCGAAGCTGAATTTCATCCCCACGACGATGTTGATTCATCGTCGTACCTCGACATGAATGGTGCTGGTATGAACAGAAATCGTCATCGACAGATGATTGTCGATGGAAACAAAAATGGTTTGTTTGTTATTTCGTGACGGAATTTTTTGATTTCTTTTGACAAACGCAACAAAACTTTTTTATTTTTGTTTTCAGAATCAACTAAAGAAGATTACATCAACATGTCGGAGAAAATAAAAGCCGAAAATGCTTATGACATTTACGAGACAACATCATCGCTTGAACAACAAAAGAACAACGATAAATGTCCCTACACCGGCCTTCCAGCAGCTCATCTGAAGATTATGAACTCGACGCAAGTTGGCCTCCTAATTCGAATTGAAAAACGTTTATTTTTAACACAAACCAAAGATTTTTATGTTGGCATCTTAGAAAAGTGGATTTTACTTTATCCAAGCAAGGCAAACGACATGAAACCTTCAGAATGTTTTTATCCGACAAAGATTGAGAATGATAAAGGAGAAAATCAGTTTAATGTTGTGACAAATGTTGGAAAACGTTTTCACTTTCAAGCAGCAAATGCTGAAGAATTTCACGATTGGATGAAGAATATTCAAAAGATTATTGAAGATGGCGAAACTTCAACAGTTCGCGACTCTCCAAGCAGTCAATTGTCATTCAGAAAACTTCCATCGCCACCACTTCATGACAACGAAAGTGATGAAGATGAATACGAAAGTCGAGGAGAAGAAGAAATTCACGATTGTCGTTCATCAAGTGAAAATTATTATGGATTTAATCGCAGCTCGAATCAAACTGTTATAAACACTGATGAAAGATTGTATGAAGTTCCAAGTGCATCCACAAGATGTGAAGAAATTAAAAATGATGAAGAAAAGCCGCCAATGCTTCCAATTAAAACAGGCAAAAGAGTTGAAGATGACGTCGTTCATTGCTATGACGTTCCAAAGTCAAGAAAACCTTTTTCAGAACATTCGTTATCGTCATCACCATCACCAGAACCATCAGGGACAGTTAACATGGAAACTTCCGATAAATCAAGGACCAAAGTCAGTGAAATGACGGCAATCTTATCAACAATAAATCTCGTTTCACCCGAAGAGAAAAGAAAATCCACCCACGTCTCGAAAAAGATTCAAACACCAGATAAGAATGAAACCGAAAAACGAATGTCACCCATGAAAACTTGGTTCTCGAAGCAAATCAATAGAAGCAAAAAACGCTTATCAAGACGTGAGAAAACACCTGAAGTAGTTGATGACATTACAACTCCTGTGAAAGGATCAAAAGTCAACATGATAATAAACCAACTTGAGAAGAATGGACAGTTGAAAGTTCTTTCGAAAAGTTTGAAGAATCGGAAAAGTTTGATATCAAATGATGGAGAAGATTATGAAACTGTTTGTGTTAGGGATTAATGTCACTCAATTTAAGAAAGAAAAGTTTAAATAAAATTGTGAATTCTTACCATGTATGAGCACGAGGAAAGTTTTCTGGCGTTCCCCATTTTTCAATTGTAAACATTTGTGGTCCATTCGATCCGTATAACTCTTTAAATCCATTCATCGGTACGCGACTCGTTCCTGTCACAAATTGCAAAAGACGAGCACGAATCTCATTGGAGAATGAGAGAACAGCACGCCAAAACCATTGCACGATGACATGATTTGCATAATAATCTCCTTTGTACAAAGTATTTCTCTTCCAATCTTTCACATCAATATTCTGAATTCCGCACATCAACAACTCGAGTTCGTTCTCATCGAAGATCTTCAAATGATTAAGTGGAACAATTGAGCCGAAACCTTCAAGTAATGCTTGCATTTGATCTTTCACACGTGATTCAAAACGCCATTGAATCACTAACCGAATGTACTCATCTTTGTTGTCATTTGTTACATCAATTTGATTGCCATTTGGCTTCAGCTCTCTGTTAATATGATTAAATATATTTTTAATTAAGTTTCAAAGTCAATTTATTAATAGAAATTACCTTTGACTAGTATGTCCGAATGTTTCTTCATCAACACAAAATGTCAACATCAACTCACTTGGATCGTTTTCTTTTATCCAACTGGAAAATAATTTTAGTTTAATTAAATAAAACACAAAGAAATGTTTTAAAAGCTTACAGTAATGAGTTATAGTATTCCATATCCACGGATTCCATATCTTTCAAATCAATCGGCTTTTCGAGCATCATCTTGTAAAATGGACGAATGAAAAAGGCATCAAGAAGCTTCCCATGATAAACAGCCATACCAGCAACACGACCAATGAATCTTCAACGAATTTCAATCAAAATTCAGTTTTGAAAAACAGAAAATTTACTCACTTGAAATAATTTAAATGCTCTTCGTTACAGAGTCCACTAAATGGATTAATTTGAAGCGTGTAATTGTCCATCGCACTGTATTCAAACAATCCTAGAAAATTAAAAGTTTGAACTAAACTGACATTAAATTTAATTACACAACTCACCATAATAAGGATTAAACATTTGCTTCGATAACAAAAAGAACCATTCACGTGCCAATCCACCGTAATCAAGGCCTTGATTAAAGAAACATAAATTAAAATTCATAAAAATGATGGAAAGTTAAAAAAATTTCTTACCAGCTTCGCCTTCAAATTCCACCCACAATTTTGTCTTCAACAGATCCGTTTTTGTAACAGAATTAATAATACGATAAGAATCTTCCAAAATCGATTCACGTCGCACTTTAATTTCAATTTTATTGGGCACATTTGTCTAGAAGAGAAATTTTAAATGATTAAAGTTTAAGCGAAATTCAAAGAAAATCTGCTTTACCGGCTTTCTAAGTTGACTCTTCAGATACTCGTACTTTTGTTTGTAGTCACGAGAATATGGCACCGCTTGTCCAGCGATATTTGGATTTGACAGTCGTGGATCTTCCCACTTAAATAACAAAGAAAAGTTAATCAAAGTTTAATTAAATTTAATTTCATACAAACCTGCGTTGTTCTTGTGTTGTGGTCGATAAAGAAGATTCTACCATCTGAATGAACTCTTTCTTCCCAGCCTTCTGGCAGTGGACCCAAATCATCTTCATGTCTCTCTTCAGCTGAACTTTGAGCATTTGGCATTGGACTCGCACAACCTGTACGTGGATCCACCCACGATGTTGTTTTCTCAGCATGATCAATGAAGAAAATTCGACCATTTGGCGCCACTTGCATTGACCAACCTGCTGGAAGACCAGCGTCAGATAATTGTTGTTGAGTTGAAGACTGTTGTCGATTTATTGGACTTTCTAAGGAATTTTGTCGCGATTGCGATGAGCTTGGTGTTACTGATGCATTTGAACGATGATTCGATGACATCGATGAAGTCTCAGAATGATCAACATCGTCACCCTAAAATCATTTGGGAAAAGTTTAATTTAAAAACATTTTTGTAAACATATTTCTGAATATTGTTAATGTATCTCAATTAAATAAATAATCAAGCAAAGCAAGTAAGCGTGAACTCCGCGCCCATCACCAAAAAAGTTCTTTCGTCCTTTGTTTGTTAGTAGTTCAACAACATTCACTTAAAAACTTATGCAATTTCTTCTTACAGTGTAACTTGTGTTATCTTCTACCGATGGTTGACGATTCAATCCCGTAGTAGTTTGCGATGGAGCCGTCGTTGTTGCTCTTGATGTTGATCTTAATGGAGGTTCTGGGGCCGATCGACGAGTTCCACTTCGACTTAATCCAGTCGGGATGGAAGGCGCTGGACGTACTGGGCGGATTCTACCATTCTCAGATGTTGGCGTTGCTGGTGTCACCGATTGTTCTGATCTTATTGAAAGATTATCAACATTGGAGTCATCGGAGTGCATGCTTACTTCATCAGGCTATAATGTGGTTTAGGAAATTGGATTTTAAAGTTGAAAGCAAAGTCGAGTTATTGACATTTATTGATTTTAAATCATCATGTTAAATGTCAATAGTCGAGAACAAAATCATAATTAATTAATGTTGGTGTGGAGAGAAAATTCTTCTCAATTCAATGCGAAATCATAAAAGTGAAGGAAAGCAAAAACGACAGGGAACAGCAACTAAACCAACTCAATTTGGCCTTACAACATCTTCAGTCGCTTCGACAGCTTCAAAAACGTCTTCAAAATTAGATGAGCTCGAATCACAGTCAACATTTTCTCCAAGATCTTCCAAGACAATGTCATCGTCATTCGGATGCATTGACATAAGATCATTGATAAAAGTCTCGTCTTCATCGATCTCGTCAAGCGTTCCCATTGTCTGCAATTGCGGTTGTGGCGTTTCACTCGTCACAACAACTTCTGGTACGATCGTTTCAGATTCATTAACGTCTTCAACAAAAGTTTCATCATTTGATTCATCGTGATACTAATTTCATTCCCATCATTATAATTTATCAAAGTGCGAAGCAACAAAAGTAAGAATAAAAAAAATTTCCACCAACGAAGCATGCAAAAATAATTTTGAGGGTCGGCCAGAAAAATGTTGTCAATTAAGTCGATATTAACATAATTTAAACTTACGTTGTTTTGTTCTGACTCGTCAACACTGATATGAAATCTTCGTTGGAAAGCTGTGGCAATTTCATTGTCCACTCTGTTACTATCAACTGTTGATTGCGAAATTGTTCCCCTAAAAATAAAGTAATTAAAGTTATGAATCATTCGCTTAAATTTCGATGGAAATTACGTCATTTATACTTACAATGTTGGTCTTTCCCATTGTGTTGTTCTTGCAACGTGATTGACATAATATGTTCGACCATTTGCATCTTGTCGTTCTTCCCAACCACTTGGAAGTGGCTCAATAGCCGCCGTTTGGTTCATGATCTGCTGAAGATCGAATTTCAAGTGGAAATCATTAATATTTTCCTTCCACACACAAATGTTGAATATTTTTGAAGGAAAGATTGTGAGTAATGTCACAAGTTTTAAATAAAATTTAACTGAGATTATGAATTAACGGTAAATGGTCAATGAAGTGTTACATCACTCATGAACGTTGCGTAATTTATTATTGATAAGAAACTGAATATTTTTTCCTTCATCTGTATTTGTTTTTTTTCTTTTTCATTGAAAAAATTTGCTTATAGTAAGAAATAAAGTGATAAGATAAACTCACCGACACAGGCGTCGTATTATTGTCTAAAGACATCTCCCAATCAGCATCTGCTGGTGATGTTTCCGAGTCACGAATATAAGCATGATAGATTTCTAATGTTCCACGGACTTTAGATCGTGCACTAAATTGAACGCGAAGAAAACATTTTAGAGATTAATAAAACGAAATTATTTCTAAACAACTTCACAAACATCACACAATTCAGAGATGAGATTCGATCATTTTTACGTAACTTAGGGTTGTGTTTATACCCATTGACATTTACGTCAACGTAACTTTAAATGACAAACATCACAACCCTGCGTAACTTACGTCAGTTTACGTTCTCAAATGATCAAATTTCCTCTGACACATTGAAGATGAAAGAATGGATTGAAAAATTAAAGTTCAATCCACACCAACATCATTCTAACATCAATAAATGAATCAACATAAACTTTAAGTTCATTATACCCGAAGCCCATCTTCCAACTTAGCCAATTTGTTAACAAATACTTTTGCATGTATTTAATTATAAACTTTTGTGACAATAAAATATTCTTCAATAAAAAAAATATGTAAATGAGAACACAATCTATCGCTAAACACATAGGAAAGAAAAACAAACAAATTTCCACCTGCATGTGATGATAAATAGAAAGAAAATTATATGTGACATAAAAAACGTCTACAGAGACTATAAGGAAATTATTTGGCTGGTTGGAACGTCTCGTCGAACGCGATTTAACCTACCCAACTGACCTGCGCGGTCGAAGTTGATAACTTTTTGGAGCGATTGTTCGCCCGTCCTGTTCCTTTGGCAAATTAACAAGTGTCAGTTCGACCATGCCGAGAAAATCGTCACGAGTGAAACGATTCTCATCGAAGACTTGAAAGACGAACTTATGCTCGTTTGGTTTCACACGAAAGATGAACTCTTCATTCCACAACGGGTTCAATGTCTAGAAAATGAGAAACGTCATTGAAATTGCATTCTAATCATTCATTCATCGTACAATTTTTATTTGTTCTCACCTTTTTCTTCGTTTTCGTAAGTACAGAGTCAATATTTACATCGCCATTTAATGTGTTTAAGTCGATTCGTACGTAAGGATCGCTGGCGCCAAAAATATCTTTTTTGGCTAACGATTTACCCGCAATAATCTTGATTCGTATCTGACTAGATCCTTCATCATTCTGCAATGAAACATTAAGGAATGCAAAATATATCTTAAAATCTACAAACATAAACGTAGCAAGTGTTAAATGGCATCCAATGACATGACAACAATTCTCCATGATCCACAAGAAAGATTTCTTTTCATTTTTATGAATTAAATGTTGACAATAACATTTTTAATGATAAATTTCTCATTTAGATTGTTCGTTGCTGAAGTGTTTCTTGTCTTAAATATATTTAACAACAAACACTGCAGATACGATCATCCATTTCCTCGACTACGCACATGAACAATAAAAAGTTTGTAAATGTAAATATCAATTCATGAACTTGATCTTTAACTGAAAAACTTTATGCTAAAAATAACTTAAAGTAAACAACAAACACCCACATATTAAAGTATGCAACAAGCTTACTGAATGACCATGCCACAAGATTAATGCACAGATAATTGAATTTTATTTCAGTATTATTGACAGCAAGAAATAAGCGAAGCGAGGAAAAGCTTCAAGTGTTAGACATTAAACTAATAATTGAATTTATTTAATAAAGTGAAGTAAACAATAAAATTATTTTCCTATTCAATTGATTAAATAATTAAATAACCGCTTTCAATCCATTACTTAAACTGATATGATAGAAGTTTTGCCAACTCATGCAATTTTTTTGTTTTTGCTGATAAAAGCTTAATAAATATTTCAATTGTTAATCCTACCGACAACGGTCGTTTTTCATTTAATGACGACACTAAAATAACTGCGTAGAACAAAATAATTAACATAACAATTAATAAAATTATGCGCGGAATTTCAATGAGTTCTGGTTTGAGAAACTCACAAAATGAAGCTTGCAACAATAACTAACCGAGGAATGTTTGCTTACATTCTTTTATAAACAAAGAATAAAAAATGTTGGAAGAATCATCGTTAGAAATTCTTTATTATCAAATTATATTTTAAATTATTGCAATGATTGTCTGGAAAGGATTTTCGTCTTTAACAAGGAAATAATTGAAATTTCAATAAACATCATAAATCTTGCAACAATTCTCTAATCCAGACCAACATTCTAATCAATAAACAAGGAAAAAATGTAAAAATATTTACAAGCATTCAAGAAACTTCATCCAAAAGCAATTAAATAATGTTTTCAAAGTCATCAACCTTTAAAATTAGTTTCATTTCTTATTTCTTATAAAGCAAAAGAAGCAATTTTATATCAAGACGTCATACGTAACGAAAAAATTCAGACAAAGTTAAGACTTAAGACCAAAACAAGCCAATTTTAAAAATGGAAGAAGTTAAAAAGTCTTCACATATTGCAGTCGTGTTTATGTTCAAAAGTGTTCTCTGCATCGACGATTGCACATGTGAAAACTTTATAACAACAGGTGAAGAAAAAGAATTTTTAAATTAAAAAGAAATCGAATTTATTATATTTACAACTCACATTTAACAATTGTGATCCTGTGAGGTAGCCGTACGCGTTGCCAGCCATTTGTATAGATTTTTTTAATTTTGTTTTGTTTGTGCTTCTACTTAATTATTCGAGTTGAGGTGTAAATGCCAATTTTCGTGTTTTTGTTTCAGATTTTCTTATTTTTCAAAAATTGATACTTTGAATGTTATCTTTCTCTCTTCAATCTATCTACTATGTACGCCAAAAATAGTTTCAGTTTCTTCTTGGATTTTCAAGGTTTCGAATTTTTCTGTATCGCAAATAAACATTCAAATGATGATACTTATAAAGAAAAATTATGTAAATTATAAATATGATGTCATGATTCATGCCGGTAGAACTGAAAATCTAACACAAAAATAGCATATCGGCTTTTCTTTCTTTTTTTCTAATTGGATCAGCCAAGTCGATTTGGTCAAGGAAGAAAAAGAAATAAACAGAACAACTGATTTTAATTACATGTTGTTTAGATAGTTTCATTATCTTTTTCTTACTGACATTGAAATGTTTGAAATGTTAACAAATTTCTGTTTTTTGTTTTATCAAGCATTATTGTTAGTCAATCAACGAGTGAAATGCACTCATTTAAATGCCCAAAGCATTTAAAATCGTGTTTCATTTTACTTTATCGTTGATATCTTAAATATGTAAATAAATATTCTATACACATAGTCATGGTCAGGTTTCTACTGTTGTATCATATATATTTGAAAGCAGATGCTAATCATTACCGCTTTTGTGACGTGTATGCAAAGATTAAAATTAACATTGCGCGAACTTTCCGCAACGCCTCACAATTACACAACTTGTGATAATCCTTGTTGAGTAAGGAAGATATTTTTCGATAAAGAAAGTACATTTTGTTCGTCTTATCAACAGTTAAAGCAAACTCGTGAGAGCTTGCTAATTGAAAAAACGCGACCAACTCACATGTTGATTGCTTTTGAACTGACAAAACTTCGAACCGAAAATTCAAGTTATATTTTTATTATTTCTTCTCGCTTTTGCCATCCAAACAACATATGAGCGAGAAAAAAAAAAGAATTCTTTACTCGTGTCTTTCCTACAACCATCCGATTTGTGTGTGTAAATGTTTGCATATGTGTCTCGGACCATGAACAAAAAAATGTCAATTAGAATTAAAAAAAACTAAATTTCCTCTGTGATGTCATCATGGGATTGCGAAATTGCAATGTTCTTGTCATTATCGCTTTTTGGAGACATTTATAGGTAATCATTACTACAATCAAAAGTATTGAGGGTCGCGATAAGGCAAACGATATGGAAAGTCAAAAGATTGGGAAAATTTTCCGAGCTAAAGTGGGTAATTATACTTAGTTGTTGTAAGAAATATGTATGGGGAAGAGAGAGTATAAAACCTGGACTACGGGCGGATGATTCATCACGAAAAATAACTTTGTGGAGTTTCAACTCACGTTAGACTCGAATAGCGACACACGACGATGGGCAATGGCCTCGGCAGATACTCCTTGTACTGCGACTGATTGAGCTCTTCGTCTTGTTCTTATTGGTGCTTGCGGTGAATTTGTGTTACTTCCAACTATTGTTGAGTTGCTTATTGGTGATTGCATTATAAACTTTTAGGGCAAACTTTTGGTTTTTTTCTTTTCACTCTTTTTCAATTAATTAAATTTCCAATTCGCATGTTTTTAAAATTGAGTTTTCAAGCGATTTAATGAATATTTTGATGTTACAACTGCATGTAGTTGAACAATAGACACTAATTAGTCAAATTTTTTATAAAAAATTGTGGTCAAACCTTGACTAACTTATGAAATAGTTAAAAATCCTGAAGAACTCTTCTTAAGATTAAAGACTTTAAAAGGTTAATGTTTTCAACACTAGAGCGGCGCTCTATGCCATTCAAATAAATAAAACCGTTAAATTTGTGTAAAGTTTCTTTTCCTTTCTAATGTTTTTATTTTGCAATTTCATTCATTTCTTTTGTACATAGCCAGTTGTATTTGTAAAATTAAAATGAATTCATTAAATATAAATAGATTAATTGTAAAAGATGTAAATTTTGGCTATCTTAAAATAATAAAGTCAAATGTAAATAAGTTTGTTAATTACACGTGATCCATAATATTGCGCCAATATGTTAAACTATTTAAAGGATTATTAATTTAAGAAATCTATTGCAAAGAATAATGAGAACCTTTTAATTTGACAAAGTTGTTTGAAATCATGTCTTAAAACTTTTACTCAATTACATCTTATGGATATGATTTAATATTCTCGTTATATATTTTACAGTTTCTATACTTAATATCTAACGTTTTTGTTAATAATATTAATCTCCTCGTGGCAATAAAATTTTGAAGAAAGAAACTTAAAATCATTATTAGAAATAAATTCTCTTTTGATTTCAAACAAAGTTCACAATTTTTTTCCTGTTTTCCAGTGCATGTTAAAATGCAATCAATCAAATTTTTTAAAGTTTTTCAAATTCAATGTCAACAGAAACAAATTGCTACACGATTTAGTTAAAGTATCGATGATTTATATTACTTAAAGAATGTTTAAGATGTCGTTTGCGAAGATTGAAAGATTCACGCCGCGTTCTAATTTTTGTTGTTCTTTTAATTATATCTCATGATCGTTTGTTTCCTGCACCTTTATTCTTCTTTTTTGAATTAGAAATTGTTGCATTAACTGTTCTTGGACGACCTCTTTTCTTAGGCTGAATATCCTTTACTTGTTTCTTCTTAATTTGAATCTTTACAGATGTTGTCAATTTAATGTTTTTTGAAGATTTTTTTATATTCCGAAGATTTAAATTCGTTTTGGATCTTGAGATCATTTTACTTTTTTCCGCAATTTTAGTTTGTTTTGTTCGAGGCCGGAGTGATCGATTAGTATTAGAAACTTGACGTGTTTTCGATTCGTCTTCTTTCCTTGCTTTAGCAAGTTTCACACTCAGCGGTGCAGGAGTTTTGCTTCCTTTTGTTTTGTTATTAAAGCTCTCATTATTAACGAGACCGTTTATGGACACCATTGGAACTTCACTTGACTGCACAGTTATCACGGAAACAGCTTCACTGGTATTTGAAGGTGAAGATGTCATTGCGGGACTTGGTTCTTTAAACTCATCAGGATCAACAGGTTCGACCTTGATCTGAATTGGTCTCACAACTGGACGAGGATGAACAAAGTTATTTGTGGAATTATTTTGAATTGCATCATTTTCACGCCCATTAATGATCATTGTCGAAATCCCCGATGTTGACGACGTTGTAGAATTTCTTCGAATTTCTGGAGGTAAAAGATGGCGATAGCGATTTGTTCTTATGACATTGTGTTGAATCTGATGAATTTCAAGAGCTGTTGTTGCTTCAATTGGATCATCATCGTCTTTTGATAAGTTCATCCCATTTTCGATCATATAATTTCGTATTTGAAAGTCATTTTTCAACGCAAGCTTCTTGAAATTATATGAAACGTTGAGTTGTACGATGCATAAGTCACATATTTGTTGAGGAAGGTTTTCCTTTGGGTTGATCTGTCAGAATGCAATAAAAGCTTTTTTTAATATAATATTCAACTCAATATTCGAACGTATTAAAAAATTTATAAAAATTATTTCATTAAATATTTGATGCTGTAAACTTTTCATGTGTGTAGCGGAATTCCTGTCAATAACAAAAATAATTCTCTGTGTGAGCTTTTCTTCATTGATTCATTTCACACAAATGAAAAAATGGAAATAATAATAAACATTAAATCACGAACTGCATTTAAAACACATCCACTTTACTAATAGACCTTGACTCGAAATGAAACAAAAACTTTTTCCTTGCATTTATTGTGTTTCATTCTAAGAAAATTCTGTGACGTTGTTGGAAAAGTAAAATGACGTTGCAGATGATATCTTTGTTTATCGCACAACATAAAAAATATTGCGTCGTTTATTTCACCTATGTGAAATGTAGAAAAGAAAAAACGAAGGATTGTCAACTAACTTGTCCCTGACCTGGATACATAAATTCACAAAATCTGCGCGAATGACCTAGAAAGTGAAAACAAAAAACTTTTATTCTTCGTTTCGTTTATTTATCCTTCGCGATCGTGCTTTCTTTCTATGAACTCATATTTACATAGCATACATAAAAGGAAAAAAAATTATACGTTCTGCTACATCGCATTAAACTATAGAAAATCATAATTTTCTTTAGAAATATTCTAAAAGGAATTTTACGATGAAAGAAAACAAGAAGAAAAATCGTCGAACTGATAACAATCGCTACAGGTTATTTTGTTCGCGCTTTAAAAAGTTTAAGGAATCCTAGTCATGAGATTTTCTCTCCTTTTCAAAACTGATTTTACCTTCAACATTGTCACAAAACGAAGCTTTTCTGCTATTCTAGATAAATCATCGCGAGTTATTTGCAAATTTGATCCCAAAGTTTGCTCGAAAATATTGCGAGAACCTTGTCCAAGGCATATACGACACATTTTATAAATATCACGCATTTTAATGTTCACTTTTTTCTTCCTTTTTGATTCACGAAAATTGTGGAAAATGAAGAAAATAGATTCACGAATTTTGCGCTCCCGTTAAAAGGGGAAACCAACTGTGAAGTGGCGAAAACGGACAAAAATTGCGAGAGGAAAATTGAGATTGCGCAACTATGTCGGAATGACAATTAACGATTGTTAATTTGCCGTAAATTTGGCATTAATGTTGTTTTATGAGTTTGTTATATTCTTTTATTGTTGCTTCTCGTTCTAAAATCCTTTCGTTTCTTGTTTAAAGTTCATTGATTACATTATTTCCATCTTTGTAACTTTCGCAATTTTTTTTCTACTTGTCGGCCCCCTCAAAAGCTACAACAAAAATTTCCCCTCCATGAATCAGAATCAGGAAATCAAAAAACTCGCTGTCAACAAAATTTTTAATCAAAATATTGCAGAAAAAGTGGATTCTTGAAAACAAAAGCATGTCGGATTTCATAGCAAAGGATGTTAGTATCAAACTCAAACGTGATTTGGGAATTTTTCAAGGTACATTCTTCAATTTCATTAAATTTTCTTGCATCTAATTTAATTTGCGTGTCATCAGGTAAAATCGTTCGTGCTGAACAAAATAGCATAACAATCACTAACGCATTTCATAATGGCATGAAAATGAAAAAGTTCACAGCAGAAGTAACAATTGGAAAAGATGAAATTGAAGAATTAAAGTTTGTTAAAGTTGCTGATCCAACGGAAGTTGCTCGAAGTGTACAAAATACTCCGTCGGCGTCATCGAATTCCACAAAAAATCTCATGGTCTTGCCAAAATCTGATAATAATCACATGTCGTCGAAATCTCTTCCTAACTTTACAAATAAAAGTCCTTTCATCAAACCGGTGAAGCCTGTTGATAACCGGCAAAAAACAACAAAGCCAATTACAATATTGAAGAGACCGACAGCTTCTACTTCCAACAACGCCTTATCATCATCATCATCCGGTCCTCAACCTTTAATTAAACAGGATAACAATGGAAGTGTCAAGAAAAATAAGAAGCGAACTGCTAGAAATTACGATTTGATGCAACCTGATGACTTCAGTGAAGAAGATTTCGATTTTGAAGGAAATTTGGCTTTGTTTGATAAGAAAGAAATATTTAAGAAGATCGACAATGAAAACGATATTTGTACAAAGCCTGATCTCGTGCGACAAATTAAGACTGAGGGAAAGTTTCGTCATGACGAGAATGTTTTAGATTCGATGCTCATGCAATTCAGAAACGTACAATTAGAATTTAAGCCAAAGCAAGAGTACACCACCGATGAGCCTGGAATAATCATCCCATCAATTCCTCAATCATTGCGCAATCGAATTCAAAATTTGGCATGTGATCATGGACATTTAATTGAACGACAAAATGATTTTCTTGCTCGCGGAGCTACAGAACTTGCCTTGAATCTTTTAGGAGGCTCACGACGTCTCTCACCAAAGAATCTCCATCAATGGCCGCGTGTCACAGTCATTTGTGATGAACCTTACAACATGCGTCAAAGTGAGATTGGACTATCAGTTGCACGTCAATTGGCATCGCATGGTCTCAAAGTTATGGTTTATGTCAAGACTTCATCGCACTCTGACAAGCCTTCTAAGGAACTTGAATTATTTACAGCAACTGGAAATGATTTCACTGGAAATATTCGAGACTTAACAAATTCCGATCTTGTCATCATGTCGGTCACAAATATGAATCAAAACTCACAAATTATCAGATATATTCAGAACAATCGTGCACCAGTGATGGCAATCGATCCTCCAGCTACGGGAATTTCTGAAATCTCAATTCGAAATGCTGTTTTGCCAATTTTACCTCTCGATGATATTCACAACACATGCGGAAAACTTCATCTCGTTAACATTTGCATTTCTGAGAAATTCTTTAAAGATGCTGGGATTAAATATTCACCGATATTTGGATCGAAATTCATCATTCCATTACATTTGAAGAATTGAAATAACAAGAATGGTTGATGTGAAATTGTTACAGAAATTTAATCAATTATTTTAATATGTAAAAGAAAAATTTAAATCAGAGTTGCAAAAAGTAATTAAAGTAAATTGAATGATTTTTTTAAAATGAAAAGTAATAAAATGGAAAGTCAATAAATCACCAAGCAATGAAAGTTGCCACAAAGACAGGAAAATTTTCTCGTTTTAATTTTTATTTGACGTTTTTTGAAACTTTATACAACAGAAATTAAAAAAAAAATTACTTTCGTTTTGATGATTTCAGCGATGCCACCCACTGACGATAAGGATTAGCGGAAACTTTTGTTAATCGTGATGTGAATGGTTCCTTAGCTTCAGCTTTTGTTTGCTCTGCAATGTGCGTAATTATGTGATCAAATGCCTGGCCTGGACTCGTTCCAAATTGTTCACGCCAAACTAATTCGTCGAGGAATTGCTGAATTATCTGACGACTCAACAAACTTAAAGTATTTTGGAACATTCGAGGGACAATTCGACGTAAATAATCCATAATGCTGGCATTGCTGTTAGCGACACGAGTCTGATCTTGTGGTGAAACTTGCACAATATTTTTAAATCCCATTTGATGTAAAACATTCTTGTCGACAGTCAGATCAGTGAGAATCGTGGAGTCCCGCGACACCCACTCACCAAGAGGCTCCAAAATTTTAGCAAATCTTTTCTTGTGATTCTGTTCTCCATCTGACAACGGCTCAACAGCACGCAGTCTCACTAATTTCTGTTCTGGATCGAGAATTCCTAAAACTTCCACTTTAACTTGTCGTTGCTTTCCATCTTGTGTCGTCGTTCCTAACGAAATGACTCCCATTTCAATCTTCTTGTTGTATCCACCCATTTTTCCCATGTGTGTTTGAAGTGCCAACGTGCAAACCGATCGAAGCCAACTGTAAAAGTTCTTCAAATATAAATTGTCAACTTTCACCCATTGCACGACATTTGTGACGTTTGTTTGGCATGTCCAATGATAAATCAGTTTAAGTAAAACTGTTGGAGCGTAAGGTGCACCTTCAAAGATTGACCTGTTGAAGACAGAGACAAAGCGTGTTGGACAACATTGCGAGATCCAAACATATCCTCCTGAATATGGAAACTTTCCAGCATCCGAATACATCCCAAGCTTCAAATTTCGACCATTGTGAACTTGACATTGTTGTTCTGATTTAACAAGTCCTTGTTGGATGAGCCATTCAGTGAATTTCACAGCTGGATGCATAAGCACAGTTTTCACTTTACTATCCAATGACGAACGATCATTCTTGAATGTTTCTTTGACACGAAGTGACGGACGTGCAACGACAACAAGCGATGGGAAAGTTTTGCCGTTTAACTTATTAAATGAAACTTCTGTTGCGTCGCTGGTCATGTCTTTGTCATCTTTCGTGAGATCAACGACTGCACTTGGTTTCCTCTTAGCAGCTTCCGTGCCAACAACAAGACCCCCAACTGCTGTCGCTTCCGTTGGTCGCACATTGCTGACACTTGTAATGCTTGGAGCTTTTTCATGTCGACTTCTCTTTTCTCTCTTCTTTTCTTTAGCTTTACGTTTTGATAAGGGAACAGTGTCTTCATCCTCTTCTGAATCATCAACAGCATGGAACGATTCTCGTTCACGTTTCCTTCCACGGTCTCTCTTCGGTTCTTTTTTATTAAACGATGAAATTGGTTTAGAGAATTCATCAAGCCCAGGCACTGGCCCTAAAATCTCATAAGCCGAGAAAATTTCACCAGAAAATATGTTTTGAGCTCCCCCAACAACTTCTTGTATTTTTGCTTTGATGTCGTTGTGTTCTTTTACGCCTTTCTCGTAAAATGCTTTTTGAAATTCAGACAACTCTTCATCCCAACAATCAAGTTGCAATGTTTGATTAGGGTCAGCTGGTGTTGCTACTACAATAACTGAATCGTCGTCAGTTTCAGTTTCTGTAACTGATGTAACCATTCTGGGAAACAAAAATATTTTTTTAAGATAATTTTTGTAAGAAAAAGTTTTCTAATCTAAAATTACGTTGAAATACATTAAAAATGTTCATAAATTATTACTTACTTGATTTATTAACACAAAATGAAGATGTTTATTACTAATTCGATTTGTTTGCAACAAAATGTGAAGGGGAAAATATAAAATTGTTTGCAAAATTCCGGGCTTGTTTATGTGTCGAGGGGAACGTAAGTTACGGAATTAAATCGTTCATCAGCTCCATCTACCGGAAATATTATGGAATCATGTTAGCGGGAATTTCGAATTTCACATAAATTTTATGATTGTATAAAACAAATCGATGCAGTAATTATAATTCAGAATGAAATTATACGCTCCGTCCGCACCTTCCTTTTTGGTTCGAACCTTTGAAACGAAACTAAAACGGACCAGTTAAATGGGTTCACTTCGGGTTTTTTCCTGTCACACTATTTTATATAAAATTAAAAATAATTTAATGTTTGGTCCCATGGTCTCAAAATAACTTTATTTCTTCAAACATAAAATTAACAAAGACAAGGAAAATAGTTCCAAAACAAAAAAATCTTAAGTTTCAAATTCAATCGATATAACTTCCAATCCGTCTTGTTCTCCAAAATTGAAAATTCCGAATGGTACTATTTCTGACTCTTCATCGGTTTCCGGAGTGGAGTAAGAACATGTACAATTTTCATCATTTTCCGATTGGTTCTTTTGCATTTCCTTTAATTTGTTCTCACAATTTTTATATTTATAATACAATTTTAACGCTTTCTTTCTTTTTTCTTGGTCACAATCCCTTCGTTTAAAACCAAACGGACCTTTAGCTCCATTTTTCAACCATTCGTCAAATCTTTTTTTATCCTTTTCTGATAGCATGTCCCTCCATGCTTTCAGAAGTTGTTTTTTCAGTTCGCATATATCGCAAGGACAATCAGGTTCTTCTTCGGTACTAGGTTCACCTGGAGTAGTAGGTCCACCTGTGGTAGTAGGTCCACCTGTGGTGGAAGGTCCATTTGTGGTAGTAGGTCCACCTGCGGTAGTAGGTCCACCTGTGGTAGTAGGTCCACCTGTGGTAGTAGGTCCACCTGTGGTGGTAGGTCCATTTGTGGTAGTAGGTCCACCTGTGGTAGTAGGTCCACTTGTGGTAGTAGGTCCCCCTGTGGTAGTAGCTCCAACTGCGGTATTAGATGCATGTGTGGTATTATGTAGTTGAAAATAAGAAAATTATATTATTCTTATGTACAATAACTAACCCATTTTCCCAAAACAGAAAAAACGTTAAAACTTGTATTTAAATAATATTTACGAACATACAAGTAAGATTAAACACATAAAATATCCTGATTCAATAATGGTTGATTTTTGTAAAATTACAACTTTTAGAGAAACATTTTACTTACGGGTTTCACTGCAAACTAATTAGAATTAGATACATTAAATAAAATTTATTAAAAAATGAAGTTTGAAAAACTTACCTGTAATAAGAACAGTAATGAAAATTGCTATCAACACTTTCTTCATATTTAACTGCAAAATGTGTTCGTGTCACCTTCCCAAAGTTAACAATATGAATGAGCCGAATGAATATTAAATTCCAACTTATTTTAATTCTCATAAAAACATCTTTTTATTCTGCTGGATATTTGATGGTATCATTGCTTAAAAGCTCCGCCTCGAAAACAAAATGTGCAGAACTCTATTCTTTTTCTTTATTTGATGATCTTATTGACGTGTTGTATTTAAGTTATCGATCTGTTTTTCTCCTTTCCAACGCACGTTTTAATTTTGAGACTTCAAATTTCGATGGTGATGTCTGATAAGTAACAAATAATAATTCGATAGTATGTCAATTTATTGAACATACCTATTTACAAATGAGATCATCCACATCTGTTGTCAAGTTCTTTGAAATTGATAATATTAAGCGCATGATATACAACAAAGTCTAGGAAAGTTCTAGAACAAAGTGCTACTGAAACTAAGATTCAAAATTAATCATAAGCAAGGTTATGAAATTTTATTAATATTTGAATTGAATCAAGCTCCTTGAGAAGTTTTTTTTTCTACAAATTGTTAGATAATCTCTTTAATTTTCATAGCAGTAAACAGTTTTATTTCAAATATTGGTCGCATAATGATTAATCAAGTACCAAGTGTTTTCAAAGCTATTAAAAATAGAAGAAAAATAAGCCGGTGATCACATGTTGGAAGCCGCCACTGGAATGTTGAAGCATGCGCAATAATATTTCATTCACATGTTTAGATTTCCCACACGGCACTTTGTATGGGAAACAAAAATATATCTCTCAGTTGGAAAATTGATTTTCCTCATTCTCACTTTTCTCCCTTACGTCGACAAACGAGAAATTTTTGTTTTAGAAATCTTATTTAATTATTTGAAAAGTTTCACTTGGGCGACACATTATCTAATAGCTTGTGGAAATATTATTGAAAAAGAATTTCGTCCGTGAAGGCCGCGTGTAAACAAAAGACATTTTCTCATTTAAAATCTGTCATTGCGGAGAAAAAATAAATATTTTCGTGGTCGGAAATGCAATTCAATCATTGAGTGATTTTGCTGGCCCGGGTAATTGTATCAAAAAAGAAAAACTTGTTGGCTGAGAAATCATCATCTGACGTGGTGCAAAAGAATTTGACTGAAGAACTCGAGTGTTGTGAAAAGAAAAATTTTCACTCAGACGACAAAAGAAAATGACTTCGATAGTATTAAAAAGTGTGTGATATCGTGGAAGTTTTCCAGGTTGACTAATTTTAATTTTTCCTTCTTTCTTTAAGGTCTGTCAATTCTTCTTGGCTGCTTTTTCATCTTTATGGGTTTCATGAAAATCAGCCCATACGTAAGCAAAGAATTGCACAGAGATTTGGTGAGTTTTTGTATTATTTAAACTTGGGAGTTATAAAACATTCATTAATCATATGAGCTTCCAACACGACTGTGTTTATATCGAAAATTAAATGAAAATGTTTAACCAACACAGTGTGTCTGGTTTTAAAGTGTTGGCCAAAAACAAAACCTTCAGTGAATTGTTTTCCTTTCCATTAATTGACGGTCATGAAACACTTGACAAGAAAGCTTATGAGTCGTAAATATCCAACTTCCAATACATCCATCCATCACTCATCATTGTTGCTCATCAAAACGCAAGTTTCCAATTTGCCCTCCACGCAAAATTAGTCCGAAAAAGAAATTGCTTCTAAAAATAAACACCTTGCGAAAAACATCGCAAACCGAGTAAAGAAAATCTTTCAACGTGAATCTGTTCAAATGAGTTCAAAAACTGCATGAAACATTTCGTCATCGTTTACGCAAATAATGTTGAACTTCTTCTTTTAACTTGATCTGCTGTCGAAGAAAAACAACGAAGAGTAAATATTTGTGTAGGGAAGTTGAAACAAATGTTTTTTGAATAATCGAGACACTTAATATCTCTCCGCTCTTCTATAAACATTAAGACACCTGTTTTCATATTCCCAACTTGGTCTCCAATTAACTTAATAAATTTCATTTAATTTATAAGTTTTTCTCTCTCAATTTAATTTCTTTAATAGCGTAAACATTACGTAAAGTATGCTAAAGTGTTTCCTATGGCAAGTCTGTTTGACCTTCGTGTTCCTTCTAAATGGTATCGACGAGCGATTGGTGGAATTGAAATCATTTGTGGTGGATTACTTGCTGGATTTCCAAATCGTAAGTTGGCGTTTTAATTGATTTACTATTAAGATTAATTAATTGTTTCTTCTATTTTTAGATAAAGTTAAAAACACTGCAAATATCACACTTCTTATGTTGATGTTCTTATCAATTTATTCACAATGTGTCGTGAGTGATCCCTTCGAGAGAATCGGGCCAACAATGGTGTTTAGTTTTATGCTTATAGGACGTTTAGTAATTTTCTATCAGGTTTTTATATTAAATAGATCATCATTAAATATCTGAATTAAAATTTTCATTTAATTTTAGATTAACCGAAAAGAGAAACAGAAAGCTGAAGCAGCAACAGCTCAAACTAATGGGATTAAACAAGACTAAACATCAAAACAAGACTTTCATCTTTCTTTAAATCCCTCAAATTCAATAAAAGCAATTTTTCAATCCGATTTTAGAACATCCCTTCATCATCATATAAACTCAAGAAATTTAATCAGAGAAAGATGAATAACGAATTAATACTCTCAAGAAGCGTACACTAAATTAATTAATCTAAATATTTAAAAGTAAAAGTAATTGTAGACTTTTTTACAAGAGTATTCGCACATTGAAAACCAAATTTAAATACCTTAATTTCATTGATTAAAATAATTGATTGAATGAGTGAGTGAAAGAAATTTTCCATGTTTAATTAGTGACTGGAAATTCAAGTAAAAAAATTATCGTAAAATAAAAAAAAATCATTTTCAATTATGACGTAAAATTTTGTTTGATTTCTTTCATTGTAAACCCAGAAAAGTCATCGCCCCTGGTTTTATTATCGCTCAAAAGTAGAGGAAGAAGAGAAGCGATTGTTTATTTGCTGTTTTCTCGTTCTATTTTCTGACCTGCTGTTCTTTTTTTTCAAGCAATTCCCTCATTTGAGTGTCGACAGATAATCAGTCGTAAAAAGATTTTCAGAATGAGAAGTTGGATTTCGATTTTCTTTTTAATTTTCTTGTTATCTGAGTGTGTGTTTGGTTGGAGAATATTTTGGAAAGGAAGGAAGTTTGATGGAAATGTCGGACATCCAACAGATCGTCATGGATCTCTTAGAAGTGAAGCTGGAGAAGATTTATGGTTCAACCAGAAACTCGATCACTTTCAACCAATAAATGACAAAACATGGAAACAACGTTACTTCGTCAACGAAGAGTTTTTCACATCAAACGGCCCCGTCTTTATAATGATTGGTGGTGAAGGCGAAGCAACAGCGAAATGGATGCATGAAGGTGCTTGGATTCGCTACGCAAAACAATTTGGTGCACTTTGCTTTCAACTTGAACATCGCTTTTATGGAAAATCTCATCCAACTGAGTGAGTTCTTTGAATTGAAATAAATTATTTAATGAAATTGTTTTGTTTTTTAGAAATACGTCAACAGAGAATCTCAAATTTCTTTCATCGGAACAAGCTTTAGCTGATCTTGCTTATTTCATAACAAGCATGACAAAAACTTATAATTTGACAAACAACAATCGTTGGATAGCATTTGGTGGATCTTATCCTGGATCTCTTGCAGCCTGGCTACGTGAGAAGTATCCGCATCTTGTTCACGGGTCAATTTCCACTTCCGGGCCACTTCTTGCTAAAATGGACTTCATCGAATATTATCAAGTCGTCGTCGACTCTCTCGGAACTTATAAGAAAAACGATTGCGTGACACCAGTTCGTAAAGCGATTCAAGAAATTGACGTGTTGCTAAAGCACATGATTGGACAAAGAACTTTGACGGAGAAATATCAACTTTGTGATCCCATCGAGAAATCAATTTCCAATCCTTTGGACATTTCAAATCTCTATGAAAATCTTGCGAGTGATTTTGCTGGTGTTGTGCAATATAATAAAGATAATCGAGCCAGCAGTCACATCACAATTGACGATGTTTGTGACATAATGTGTAATCAAACGATTGGACCTTCAGTGACTCGTCTTGCAGCAGTCAACAGTTTAATATTAAAAGATGGCAAGCAAAAGTGTTTAGACTACAAATACGATAAAATGGTCAACGATATGAAGAACACTTCTTGGGATGCTGAAGTCGCTAATGGAATGCGTCAATGGACATATCAAACTTGCACTGAATTTGGATTTTATCAAACATCTGACAAAAGTGATTCAGTGTTTGGTGATAAATTTCCAGCTGACTTTTTTGTACGACAATGTACTGACATTTATGGAGATCGGTGAGAGATGAAAATGTTTTCTGTTCTAATTCGAAAATTAAGTTTTAAATTTCCAGATTCACTGAAGAAATTCTTGAAGACGGAGTTGATCGAACCAACATCATTTATGGCGCTTTAAAACCTACAACAACAAATGTTTTGTTTGTTCATGGCAGCATTGATCCTTGGCACGCTTTGGGATTGATAAAAACCGACGCAAACCAGCCACAACCAACAATTTACATTGAAGGAACTGCACATTGTGCTAACATGTACGAGCCAAGTGACAAAGACCTTCCACAATTAAAGAAAGCTCGCGAAGCTATTGTGAAGTTCATTGAAGCTTTGTTGAACTAAAGAATTGAGTGAAATTTAATTTGTTTAATTTTACTGTATTTTATGTCATAAAATTATAAAAATAAAATTCATTAGATAAACATTCTCATCCATTACCAGCGCGTTTATCTTTTAAAAACTTCAACATGAGATCATCATTTGAATCTGAATTTCTTTGACTATCTTGGATTCTTCCAATTAGAGATGATGTAAATCGATTTGAAGATCGACTTCGTGTGATGACTGAGTCCATGACATGTGATCGACAAACAAATAATCCAAAGATTACAAAACCATGAATGGAATTTGCTACGTCAGAAATGATGAAGAAGCTTGTTGAGTTGGTGTCGAAAATCCATGAAACTGCTTCCATCGACCAAGTCAAGCCTACAAAAATATTCTTAGCAGACATTTTTAAGACACAAAATTTATTTCCATTGTTTACCCATCAATAGAAAGAGTCGAAGATATAACAAAAATCTTATTCTAATAGGATTACAAGTCACTGGTCGTCTCCGTTCAACCTTCGAACTGATAATGAATTTGTCATTTTGAACTGTGTAAATTTTGTATGCTGTGATTGAGTAAAGTACCACATTGACAAGAAGTATTAAAGACATTGGAAGATAAAGATAAAAGAACTCAATGTGTCGTTCGTTGCGTAGAAAACATTCAAATTTTCCTATTTGTGGTCGCCATCGTTCAGGAAAAAGAGAAGTTTCATCAATGACAGCGAGAAACATCGTGATGATCGTCGGCAAGCCAAAGCCATAGAAAAGATATTTAAGAAACTTGTCGGTGCTGCTTGGATAACGCGGATTTCTCGTGCTTCTGAATGTCTTCCAGATGTCATAGCACATGACATTCAACCAGAAGATACAAAACAGAATTGAGATGTACATCATGTAGCCGGAAATTTCACAAAGCCACGGAATTTTCATGATCAAAATGTCCATTCGATCGAGAATGAGAAATGTGTAGAGTAGAATCAAACTCAGAATGTGGCACATTAAACATTTCCCATGGTTCGTTTTGAATTGTCGAAGTTGCCAAAGCACAATCAGCGTAATGATTAGCAGTGGAAGTGATATTGACGTGCCTGGAAATCGTTGACATTCATCTCAATCTTAACAACATCTTAATTTGCATTCGTCTCACCAATTACTCTCACTAAGCTCTTGTGCAATTGCTTTTCAATGTCTCCATTCAAGTAATCATCACAAAGGAAAAGCTTTGAGCCGGTATCATTGTTATCACTTGTAAGATGCAAACAATAGTTGGAATGATTTATTACAGCTTCTCGAGGTCCCTCAAAATGAATCGTTCCGTTCTTGAAATCGAAAATGATCGTTTGTTCAGTAATTAAATTGTGATCGTCTTGAAATTTCTATTCATGATTTCTAAATATTTAATTTCAGTTCGTTTACCTCAAGAAACCATTCGTCATCAGCTACAAGCTGCATATTCCCACATGAGTTGCTAATTTTAATTTCAACTTGTGAAAGTGTTAGATTTCTAAACTTTTCAATCAATTCCGCCTCCAAAAATTGTTCACACGCACCACCGTCAATCATCATCGCCTCTGAATTGCAACACAATCTTATACACTCATTTGAATTGTCACAAACTGAAATCGAATCGTTCAATGGATTTGTGCATGTTGAATGAATCAACAGAAGCAGCACAACTACTCTCGATCTCATTTTTAAAGTGACTGAAGTTCTGATGCCTCTGATAACAACTCAGAATTGTTCAATGATAACAATAGTAAGATAAAGATGCAAAATAAAGTTTTTTTTTTGTTAGTCAATTTACTTTTACGATCATCACGTTTTGGAGAGTTAATGATAGTATTGAAGTGACATATTTAATCGTGTGTTGTTCAGTTCGTCTTTTATAATCGTCAGAAGTAGACGACAAACTTTTGATATCAACTCACGATATTAACAAACTACAACTTTGTTATAATCCATGAAAAACATGTGAGAATTTTATTTCTTATAGTTTTGATTCGTTTTGTTTCGAGTTCACTTCATTTACATTAAAGTATTTCTTAGGAAAAAAGCTCTTAAAGTCAGTTTAAAAATTAATAATAAAGTTTTACAATTCTTTGACATCTTCATCCATGAATACTGATTGGAATAAAATTTGGCAGAATTTTTCCACACCTTTTGAAGCAACTTGGTACTGTCTCGGTTTGTTTTTCCATTTTACACAAAGGAAGTAGAATGGGACGCCACTTAATGTGATTGCAATGTTGATGCCTAAATTTCTAGGTTCATAATACGATGGTGTGAGGACAAGTGCCAAGCAAATGACCAGGAAAAGTATTGGGATGATCAAGTTGACTTTGATTGGCCGTGGTAGGTCAGGTCTGTGAATGAATGATGAAAAAATTATTTAGTTTAATTTATTGGCAATAATATATGACAAACTCACTTCGTCTTTCGCATCCACAATAGTCCAAAGACACAAGCAGCGATTGACAGCCAAAGTGCTTGACTGAAATAATTCACCAACTCAAAAGCATTTCCGAACAAAACCATGATCAAAGACATCGCACATGAAAAGATCAACGATGGAATTGGTGTTTGCTTTTCAACATGAAACAAAGCAAAGAATGAAGGCAAATGTCCTTCATAAGCTCCAGTTGCAAAGAGTCTTGCAGATGTAAAAATAACGCCATTGACACCACCAAATGTGCTTAATGCAACGAAAATTGGAATCAACCAACTGAACGATCCAAATACTTTATTTCCATAAGTCTGCAAAAAAAAATAGAAATCAAATAATCAATTAAAGATTTTTCGCGTAACAACAGCAACAAAACTTACAACCGCAACAGCAAGACTTGCTTTCATCTCATCGCCTGGTAAGACCACAAAATAAGCCAAATTTGTAAGCACGTAAATAACTGTAACGATAGGCATTCCAATGTATATCGCTCGCGGTAGATTTCTATTATTAAAAAAGAAAACGAAAATTAATTCATGTAAGTTTTAGAAATTTCAAATAATGAAAATTTACTTGTATGGATCTTGAAGTTCACCGACGACAAAATTAAGATAATTCCATCCGCCAAAAGCAAACAATCCTTGCATAAATGCGTAACAAATATTCATCGGCTCATAATTTCCCTCCCACGCATTCGAAAAATTATGAGAATCGCTCGTGAAGAATGAAATGACGCCCATGAAGATGATTGACACCAAAGCTATGAGTTTACCAGCAGTGAAGATATCTTGAACTTTCATCGAAAGCCTTGTCGATATGCAATTAATTGCTGTGAGTAAACATAAACAAATAGCGGCCAGTATCTTGACAATATCTTGCGGAATGTCACAGTTGGGAAAGAAAGGCTTTGCAGCATATTCAGCAAATGTCAATGCAACAATCGCCTAGAATTTGATAAATGAAATTTATTAAACACATGACATCATGTCAGATTCTCTATCGTCATCACAAATGGAATAACAACAGATGACGACAGAGAAATTCTCGTGAATGCAAAATTAATTTGTGCATATGGAAAACGAAGGCAGGTCATATGAATCAATAAGAAGAAAATTGTCTTAATTAAAGAAGAATTTACTAGTGAATGCCTTCCTTCAATTAAAAAAATCAAGAACAGAAAAAAAGTGTAACGAATGAAATAGAAATTAAGTTACCTGTGTTGTTGGTCGAATAATGAAAAGCGCGATCCACAAGCGTAAAAATCCGACTAATGGTCCAAATGCTACGAGTAAATAAGCGTAGTCACCTCCAGATTTGCTTATTAATGTGCCTAAAGCAAGAAATGAAGAATATTTTCAAGATAGAAATTTAATTTCATGGATTTTTAATTCTTTTTTGTTTCTTACCCAATTCCGCATAGCAGAGAGCACCGAGAGTTGAAAGAAAACCGGAGAAGCACCAAACAACAAGCGAAAAACCCACAGAACTATATAAAAAGAAGATCAAACAACTTAATAAATTTAAGGTGCAAGTGAACAACCACTAACAAGTCTTAAACATAAATTATGTGGTGATATTTTGAGTTTATCATTGAAAAATTATTCAAATAAAATTTATGACTTCAACCTTTGATTTATGATGGTCTTAAAAATAAAAATAATTAACCACGACGACATTAAACACCAGAAGCTCGTGTGTGATAAAACTTTTCACTAGTAAACTCAATAATTGTTAATTGTTGGTGAAAATATTTCAAACACTTGTTGCATAAAACAAACTCGAATGTCATCGAATTTCTTTCAATTATTTTCGTCAATTTTGTTTGTTATTTAAAACCAGTTTTGCAGAAAATTTGACAATGACATTGTACATGAAGTAAGAGAATTATTAACCGTATCATTTCTTGTTAGCAAATAAAGAAAAAAAAGCCAAAAAACATTTGAAATTCTGTATTGTGAGTGGCTTATCATTGTTCTTTAAATGACGGAGTCAGAAGTAAACAATCCGTGAAATTTATTATTATTTATCACTTACTCGGAATATTTGTAAACGCCAGAAGGAGACAAGAATATGCCCGATCCTTAAAGTGGAAGAAGAATCAATTTTATAATTAACAATTAAATCGGCTTCACTTTGTGTCTGGAGATGAAATTGACGGGCTTCCGTTCAATTCCACTCATCATAATTACCGATAATTGATCCGACAATGATGCCGACTCCGTTCATCAACGTTATTTTCCTTTCTAAAACCACTTTTTCTCCTTCCATCTCAGTCATCTTGTTAGATTTGAAATTATTTCTCAAGTGATTATCGAAAAAGAACGCACAAGAAGTTAATATGACGAAAGCAACACGTTTCGCACGTTTAATAAATTAAATCGATTTTTCTCCCTTTCTTTTACGTTTCGATTGTCATTTTTGCAAGTCCATTTTTTCAGCTTAACTCAACACAAATTTCAATTCTTAGCACACTGAATAGGAACTTCTGATAACTCAGCACAAAACTATTTGCTTAATGTCTTTGATTTTAAAAGTTAAACTTTGAATATTTTTAGGGAAAACTTAAAAAGAAATCAAAAAACTAAACATCAGATATGGAAGTGAACACGTTGAGTCGTTAGTTGGAGAATAACTGAAAAAAGGCATAAAAAGAATTTTTTTTCCATTCAATGATGTTGCTTTACAACAAAACTGCTTCTCGCAGCAGAGAATGGCAAGAGAGCCGAGACATGCGCACATTTTACGAACAATTTCCTCTCACTCGGTATTTTTTCTTTGAATTGTTTTATTCATAAGTCTCTTGTGGTGTTTTATTTCTTACTTAACAACTTTTCATCCCTTTCTGTGATTCTCTCTTTCTTTCCCTACCTACCATAATAACTAAGTTAGTGTCGAGAGTTTCTAATTTACTTTGCCTTATTCTTTCATTAGGAACTTCAACGATGACGCATCAAATTATGTGGAGATATTAGATGTTTACATTAGACCGGCTTTGTTTCTCTTCTTTGTAGCGTTTTTTAAGAAAAATTGTCTGTTGTAATCGCTCGTTACTATTTCAACGAGTTATCCAATTTTAGACAATGTGAATCAAAATTATTTTCATATAAAAATCATCAGACGACATTAATTATTTTTTTATTCCTTGTTTATTAATTTATTTAACCATCTGATGTTTACACACAATCATATGTAATTTAATTAACATTCAATAAAAATTGCTTCCGATGAAATTTAATCAACAAACAAAATTATTTTCATTATCGATTCATTCATTAATTAACATGTTGATTAATAAAATGTTTAACTATGAGAATACTTAAAATATTAAAGATATTGAAATTATTTGTAACTTTGTGTCAAATAATCGTCCGAAACTTCATTCCAAATGTCGATAACTTCAGCATCGGTTCGAGAGAAAAGATCTTCTAAAAGTTTCCATCCAATTGTTTGTGTTGTTAGTAAATAATTATTACTCTTATCAAATTGATGTGTATACAATCCAAGAACTAAACTTTGACATAATCTTAAACAAACACAAAGCTGAAATGAATTGATTAGAAACTTTTCTTAAGAATTGAGAACTCTTCAATTTCGATTACCTTCAAAATTTTCATCTCACTTTCTGGAATAAGTCTCGTCATTTTATAACCAGCAATGAAATACCCTCCGGTCGCAATTTCTCCAGTTATCAACATATTGTACGTCAAAGCGATTGCAAGATCAAACAACAAAGGGGAGTAATGCGTATCACCAAAATCCAAAAATCCAATCACTTTGTAATCGGCGCTGTTTCCACTCTTTTCGACAAGAACATTTTGCTCATTAAAATCTCCGTGGATTAATTGTTTGGGAAATTGATCGATATTTGCTAAGACTCGTTCTTTGAATTGTTTTATTATTGTTTCTACCATCCCGCGATTTGCTTCATTAACAATGTTCACGTATTCTTCAAAATGCGAAACTGATTGCATCATCCAAAGAGTTCTGTAATTGGTGTAACCATCATGTTGGAAATTCTAAATAAAATTTGATTAATCAAAGACTGCAAATTAAATAAATTGAATTTTCCAACCTTTAATGTCGCTTGCAGTTTTCCAAGATAAAGCCCGGCTTGATAAAAAAGATTGGGTGTGGGTGTAACATCGCATAATAATTTTCCAGGAATATATTCATACAACCGAACAATATTTTCTCCTTCAAGTGAATAATATTTTCCTTGCGCATTTTGTAATTGTCGTGGACATAAAACTTTCTGTGATGCTAAATCATTACAAAACAATCATTAAAAATATGTAAAAATATTCAAAAAATCACGGATTGAATCATTAATTTGATTAACTCTTGTCAATCACATTCAAATAGAAAACTTTTTTCTTCTTTCTCTTTTTTAACAACGATAGATAAAAAAATTGTTCAATCCTAATCTGAAAACAATTCCGTGATATGAATTTCATACTCACACAGGTAAAGCGATAACGCCGTTTGACCTTCAATGAAAGCAGATTTTTTAGAGTCAAATGAGTTTAGAAATTTCAAGACATATCCATGTGGGCAGAAATTTTTGATGAAAGGATTTTTAACGCTTCTGTAAATCAACAGCAGTGAAATGATTCACATTTGTCGGACGATTAAATTAATCAACTTACTTATCAGCGAAAATCAAAAAGTTTCGGTCGTCGTACGAGTTCAGTTCACAAACATCTAGAGCGTGTATTCCGTAAAGCTTTAGTGCATACTGTTTGGCTACGGAAGCGTCAATTTGTGGCTTAATTTTTGCACCTAAAATGTTAACACTTTTGTGTTAATTGATTTTTTTTTCTTCTTCAAAATGTTAATTTATTGACAATCCATACCAGGCTTCAAAATTGTACTCTCGTCAATTTTATCCATTTAATAAATCGTAAACAATCTTCTTACACGTCTTGCTATCTCAAAATATTCTTAACAAATGAACTACAAACGAAGAATAAGCGTTGATGCTTTTGTATTTCATGTCAGATGATAAGAAAAGATTTTTGTAATAATCTTATCACGCCTTAGGGTTGAAGAACGAAGCGTACTTTTATTGATAGTCTCTTTTCAATGATGACTCCAGTGAACTTAATTCAGTTAACTGATGTAAAATGAATGAAAAAAATCTGTTTTCACGGTCTCTTTAATTTATTTGAGACTCGTGTAGGTCATCGGCGTGAGAAATTTCAGCTCGATTCTTGTTTATTAGAATTCCAATCGATTTCCATCAATGAAAGTGGATTACAATGTAACTGACAATGCGATCAATAAAAACAAATTAATTATTGAATATGACACTCTTTATTGTTGGTATTCAGCTTCAAAGAGCCTTGAACTTAAACAAAAATATGTTACAAAACTGTTTGACACAAATTTAATTAAAATTATAAAAAAAGTACAGAAAATTGATAAAACTTTACATCACGTGAATCTCAAATAAAATCGAAGAAGATTAAAATAAAAGTAAAACATTTTAAAATTAATCAGCGAATGTTGTCTGTGCCAGAAATAAAGTCAAAAACATTTCTTGTTTTGTTTATCAATGAAATAAAAAGTAGAAAACATTTTGAGAGAGTTTTAGAGTTAGTTAAACATTTTACGGTCATTATATGACAATATTTCTGAACAGCCATGTACTTAAGCACTAAAAAAGCTATTAAAATTACTTTGCTATGGGTTTTGAGCAGCGGCTAATAAATTTTGTTCGAACTTTCATTCGAGGATTTCCGTTCGAGCACATAGTTTCAATGCTATAAATGTTACTGTTATCGTTATCGTTATCAGATAGCCAGGGCAGAGAAAAGTCTTTCGGTTGCAATTTTGGGATTTGTTCGCCAAAAGCGGATATGGGGAGATCATCAGAGATTTGTATGAATTTAATAGTTTCAATGTCTGGGAAGAATGAAATCATTGTTTTCGGGATTTTCGCGGTTGTGTTGATCATTTCTGCATATTCTTCTTTCAGATGACGTTTTTTCAACCGTTCAATATTCTTCTGTTCTCTGATCCTTTGTTGATCCCACTTTTTTCGTCTTCTCTCGTCAATTTCATATTTTAAATGACGTTTTAGAAAAGCTTCGTCACTTACATCTTCCACTGGTAAATTTTCAATCTCATTGGTAGGTGTTGTAGGCAAATTCACTTCAACCCACCGTGGAACTTCCAAATTAATATCGTCAAAGCCTTTCTGAATTTCTTCATCCTCTAAATCACAAACTTTCCAATCGTTGATGATGTAAGGTTTGTTGGTCATTAAAAATAAGTTTTTACTACTCAATTTAATGCTGATCGACTCTTGTGAATCGTCCAATGGTTTCTTCTTAAATATTTCATCTTCTGAAGTGTCGATGGACACTCTCTTGTCTTTAACTAAACCATCATTTTTCTTTTCATTCGGTTTATGTTTATGTGTAGCTACCGGTAAGTTGTTGTTGTTATTATTATTGTTTGTGGTGTTGTTCGAATCTTTATAAAAATCTGATTTCTTACTTGATCCTTTCGAGTGCTTATATCGTTGTAATCGTTGTTTCAAGCTCTCATTTTCTGCAAGAAGCTTAGCTATTAAACTATCACGTTCTTGCAATTGACTTTGCAATTCTTCAATCAGATTAATATTCGATAAAATAAAATTTTTCATTTTTTTCACTGTTTTGTCATCACCAATGAAGTTACTTTTATCAGAATAAGGCAATCCTTCCCTCGTAGTTATTTTATTACAATAAATATGATCAATATTTTCATTTTTAATTATCTTATCCATTTAATGTTTTACTTTCACAATCGTTTTATTTTATATTTTTGCATTCTACTCTGCTAAAACCAGACACCTCCCTAACTTTAATGTCGCCGTTATTTTTGTTTCTAGCAAATATTTATAAATGATGTCACCAGATATTCGTAGAAGTTGTGCAAGTTCCGGCACCAGATTTTGTAAATTTACACAACTTGTGAACATACTCTGATTGTCGAATGAATTTCGAAAAGGAAGTTCAAATAATTTTTCATCGTTAAACTTCCAAATGAGATTAAAAGTCATAATTTATTGCAATTTAATGGATTATTCCTTTGACATTAGATAAAAAACCTATAAGCAATTACTTTTAGTGTGAATGTAATGATCAGTGAACAACCTTAATTGGATAAAGGAAACCACATTTATCAATGAATGATTTAATTGGACCGCAACTTGCATCTGCAGCAACTTTATCTTTTGGACAATTCAAAAATATTTGAGCGTTTACACATCCAATTAAAAATCCTGAGGCCATATTGCAAACCTTCTCGCCAGGTGCTGCGGGCTGTTTTGCCATTTCATCAAATCCTGCTTTCTTCGTTTGATATTCTTTATCACAATGCTCAACAGCTTCATGTACAACCTGGAAATATTGAAAGCATTAGCTAGGGAATTCTTCTTCATTAAAAAAAATACTTTGATAGTTTCAGCATCACCCTCAAAATGCTTTGACAAAAACTTTAGAGCTTCGTCCTTGTTCATCTTTCCCTCAGCAAAGATTTTAGTTTCTGATAAAACGCATTCACTCATGCAGCATCCTCAATTTTCAAATTAATAAATTATACTTTTAATCAAATTTAAAATGTGAAATGTTTCTTACCTTTAGGATGTGACCCTGGAGGTGGGGGTGGAAAGAGACTCTTGCATTTTTCAAACAAAGCCATCGGTATCGCCTCCTTCAATTGACAACATTCGTGTGGTGATTTGCCATCTGGTTGGCCCTGCCAGCACTCTTCAGGAAGTTCGGCTAAAGCCTTTAAAATTGAATAGAGAAAAGTTTTTATTGAAATGTTTAAAGTATCAAAACTTTGTACATTTACCACTGCAATAAGAGAAAATATAACAAAGAACTTATTCATCTTCAGTTTTAGTTGACTTTTAACGACAGAAAGCTTTCCTAGTTACTTTTATACTGTCACCATAATGCGTATGGCATTGAAAAAAGTTTTTTAGGATATGAGATTCAATTTCAATGCTAATGTTTAAATAAACACTGAACACAGTATTTTGGATGAGTAATAAAGTAGAAATTTTTTTATTGTCACATTAATGATCATTAAGTTGTTAAATTGAGCTTTAAATTGGTAATATGATTCGGTGAAAAATCAACAATACAGATGAACTATAAGCTTAATGATAAAAGTGACTGAATTAAGTTGTGGCATGTGTTTCAGTCATAAATCAATGAGTTATATAAATTGCAGGGATGAGAGTTAAATTTGAATTGTGAGCCTATTTGATCATCTAAGACATTCCAATAACGACAGGTCGCAAATTATTTCTGATTCAAATAATATCCCTGAAAAAAATTTCATAATGCATCTGAATTTCCTGCTTAATTCTTAAATGCCCTTGACAAATCCTATGACAATGACAAACAGTTTTGAATAATTAAAAATTAATGCGCAAAAAATTCACCTACTGCATCAATTACGTGTAAAGATTTTCAATTCAGATTAATTGATAACACATCAATGAAGCTTTGAATAAAGAGATAAGAGAAAAATCTGAACTGAAGTACCCTAACGTAGAACAAAAACTATTTTTAATGAATTTATTCAAATCAATTTGAATTTCTCGATTGCCTGAACAGGAATAAAAAGAGTTGCACAATGATGCTTTTGCTTTTCCAATTTTTTCTATGCAAACAAGCTTTTGTATAAATTCAAGTTTTTTTCTGTTTTTATGTCAAAATAATGATTTATGATGCCGTTATGAATAAAACCTGACTAGTGTGGTCATTGATCCTAATCGAATTTATCGCTCGCATTTTTCTCATTGAAGATTTCAAAGTACCTATTTGAACGAATGTACAAGGAGAAATTTTTTTATTTATTCTTAATGTTGAACTGAATTTGTTTACATGTTAAAAGTATTTCCAATATCAACAATAAGTCATTTTTGTTATTGTTAATAAATTAAATTTATCAATGCTTCGATTTTTTTGCTTTTATTATTTGTTTCAATGACTCGACGTTGTCGCCGCACTCAGTAATCCATGTTCTGGCATCATTACACTTCTTCTCGTTAGCCCAAAGCTCCTTTGGACAGTTCTAATTAAAAACAGTTATTAAAATTATTATTAAAGTTTCAATGTTTTCCCAAACTTACCTCGAATGCTTCAAGTTGAATACAAGTCACAATTGACATGTAAATAGGATTGCATTCGTCACGTTTAATGTTAAACGGGTCGTCTTCTAATTCCTTCACAATCTCATCAGTTTTTCTAGAAACTCCTTTGTAGCATTCTTCAACAGCATTTTTCATGATCTAACAAATTAAATTGTAATGGAAATTTGAGATTGATGTTTAAAGTTGGACAATTAAAAGTTACTGGTTTCCAGATTGGTTCCAGCACTTTATTCTCGACATGATTCAAGAATGCTTCTTTATCAACTCCATCACCCTTTGTCAATTTATATTCTTTAAACATTTCTTCAGACATTTTCTGTAAAATATTCAAACTATTCATGATAATGTCAAGTGAAAACTTAAACTATTATCTTACACATTGCATCATTGCTGGAGGAAGTTTCTGGTCTTTAAATTCATCAAGCACTTTTTTGACTGTATCGTCTGCAGCAATTATTGAAAATTTGCAGCATCCCTTAAAAGATCAAGTTTTGATGTGAGTTATTAAAATAATTAATTAATAAAATTAAGTCTCACCTCAAGGTTTAAATTCTCTGGTAATTTATCACATTGTGCTGATGCTTTCGCCTACAAAATTTGTAGATATGTAAAATGAAAATATGTTAAATGAATTTTCCATTTCCATTAAGAAATTACATCGAAAATGATGAGAAAACAAATAAAACTCGCTGTCCAGATTTTCATGATAATTCAGTTGAAACTTTTTCCATCGAATGATGCTTCGATAAACTCAGCAAAGCCTTTAAAAGCTTTCAAAAGTTGTTTGTGTATTTGTATGAGGTTTTCATGAAATAATCATATCAACTTTTGGTTATTACTAGCCAGAGCTCGGTGAACTTTGTCTGCGCTTTATTTTTCAACAATTTGTTTCCTCAATATTATTAATTGAGAGTTGAAAAAAGTGATAACAGTTTATTACATGCTCCGATGGTTTCACCTCAACATACATAAAATTGAATGTTTGCTATCACTCCAATTTTGTTTAATATTTTTTTTCCGATCTCGGTAATGTCATGGTAATGATCTTGTTGATGTTACCACGAAGAGTTTAATTTTAATTCGTTTAACAATCAATGAATCATTTGAAAAGATTTCTTCTATTATCAATCATTTTAATTACACTTAATCAAGTAAATTATAATCATAATTTGAAAAAAGATTTTCCTTATTAAGATTTCTTCAATGCTCCCAATTCGTTCAACGAGTCGACCGTTTCACCACATTCTTCATTCCACTTACGAGCTTCATTACAACTTTCGCTATTAACCCAGTGATCTTGTGGACATTTCTGATGAAAAATAATAACAATTATCAATTAAAACATCGTGAATTTTAATTATTTTTGATTGCCTACATCAAATGCTTCAAGTTGAATGCATGTTAGAAGTGACATGTAAATCACATTACATTCATCACTTCCGATGTTGAAAGGCCTCATTTCTAATTCCTTTACAATTTCATCTCTTTCTTCCATAATATCTTCGTAACATTCTTCAGCAGCAGCTTTAATAATCTGATCAAAAACGAAAAGAACAATAAAAAAGTGAAAGAAAATCAATTTAGAAATTTACCGGCTTCCAAATTGGTTCCAACACTTTCTCTTCGATTGTTTTCAAGAGCGCTTCCTTATCAATGCCTTCATCTTTTGCAATGTTGTATTCTTTGAAAATTGCTTCAATTGATTTCTAAAGTTATCGAAATGTTATTAAAACATAAATAAATGGAAAAATATAACAAAAGTCATACACATTCGAACATAACTTCACTCATCCTTTGGTTTCTAAATTGATCAGTAATCAGCTTCACAGCGTAGTCTTTCTCCAATACCGGAAGTTTGCAACATTTCTAGATGAAGATGTTAAGTTAAAGCAAGAGATTAGTGAACATTAAAGCAATTTACCGCGAGATTGAAACCTTTTGGAACTTTATCGCAATCCGCTGCTAAATTATCCTGAAACTTTTACATTTTGTTATCACTCAATTCAATTAGATAAACAAATTTCATTAAAAAGTTACAATAAATAAGAGAATAATGAAACTGATCCAATCTTTCATGTTCGTTCTTTCAAATTTCTAATCAAATACTGTTTATTTAATGAAACATTGAACAGAGCTTTAAAGCTTTGTTGGAAAAAACTTTTTGTTCGTAAATAAATGACGAGTGACTTAAAGTAATGAAATTTATTACAATTCTGATTTTATAAATAATAATCATCATCTAAAATCAAGGAAAAAACTTGAACTCGTGCAAAGCCCGATATTAAATGTTGTGACCGATTTTCGGTAACAGACTTTTTTCATGTAGATACCTAAATATTTTAATACCTAGGTAAATTTTTTAAAATTCTACTTTTTATTTTCTTACCCCATTCACAGGGCCTTAGAATTTTAACAGTGGCGGTTTTGACTTTCAACAATTATTTTCCTTGAAATGTGTCGTTTCATGCGAATTGTTGGTGAAATTTTGAAACATTGATATGTATTTGTATGAAAGTTGAATGCAATGATTAATTTTTTATGGCTACAGAAATGAACAGCCTTAAACCCCTTGAACATTTCTTAACTTTCTGTACTAAATCTACTTAGGTAGATACATTTCTTTAGTACAAAACGATCTCAGAGAATTTTAATTCTCACTTTAAACCTTGAACTTGACCAGTTAACATCGTCTAAAAATTAATTAATTCAAGTTTGATGAATTGTGGTCATTTTAATTACGTTGCTGTTTTATTTTATATTGACGACGATGCATCGCGATGTAAGAGTGAAAGTTTTTGGTTTTTATTAGGTCCTTTGTGAAGTAGAAGTGCAGTGAAAAGTTTTAGTCAAATGAAAATTAAAAAAACGTGTGGAAAAATCATAGGTTGCTGTGATTTGAAGAAATTTTGGTTAACTAGACCATTTCAAGCACTAGCTACCTAGTTCCTTTGAATTGGGTTACTGTGGAAATAAGAAGCTCCAAATGAAAATAGGTAACTTCATAATTAAGAGAATTTTTGATTGACGAATGAATTTTAATCTTTTTGGTTACTAATTTTAAGGTTACTGCGATGACAATGCATAAATCCAATTTCTTTCCTACAATTGAAATCATGTGCTGGTGTGAGATCTCATCATCTTCTGCGATTGTTCAATAAGAGTTTGAAGCTGTTTAATGAGACTGAATTCCTTCATTTCTCAAGGTAAGGACTTCCAAGAAAAAACGAAATCTTTCATCAAGGTTATCGATGAATTTGATTTCATTTCGTGTAATTTTTTATAAGTCCCTTTCGTTTTGAACCATGACAAAAGATTTAAGGCACTTCTTTCTGGGATAAAACTTTCTTCTGCTGCTAAGGAAGCTATTTTTGCAATATTATAGAGCGAAGAAAACGTTGCAGATTCATCATGAAACATGCCAGCTACACATTCATCAGTTGAACCAACAGTCACACCAAGTCCACAATCTTCAGCAGTTGTAATACTCTCCATACAGAAAGCAGTATAATTAAAGTAATAATATAAAGTGCCTTGCACTTCTCAACCACCTCCGTGTACCTCTGTTCTGTGTATATGTCAGTTTTCAATGGGTTAAGAATTTTTTTACTGACGGAGATCTCAATCAAATTGATGAGTAGCATAACCTTTCTTTTATCTTTCGTGATCTCATTTAAATGATGTCATTAGCGATGGCATAGTTCACATGGTTCAGTTGATTTAGTTGTTGTAGATGATTCTTCACAAACTGCACTCTGTTCATTTGCTTTCTTCTTTAACATGGCAATTCGATTATTAAGAATTATAACCTCCATTTTCAATGCCTCTATGGTTTCAGACTCATCCTTGCTTTCTTCACAGTTTTTGTTCCTCACATGACGCTGCAAATTATACTTCTCAGTGAAAACAGAAGGACAGTTTATTTTCTGCGGAAATTCATAATTAGCATTTAACAATATTTAAATATATCAAGAATTAAAGACAAATGTTTTTTAATTTCTCTTCCCAACTGTTAATTACTCAAATGCTTTCGTTGCATGTGAATTTTTAAATTATATTGTGTTGTCACCTTCCTTCCGCAAATGTCACAGCTGAAATATGTTGGTGCAGTGTGTCTGTTCATGTGCCGTATATAATTGGAGAGCCAAGTAAAAGACTTTCCACATTTATCACAAGTAATATAACATCATTACACAAATGAATTCTAAATTCATCGATAATCTTTTTGTAAATATTTTGAGTTTTAAATAATTTTTCTTGTTGTCCTTAGGTGATCCAAATTGAATCTGATGTTGGCTGCAAAAGTTTTGAATGGCTACCTAAATGAAAACACAATATGAAAAATTTTTTTTTTTCACTTGTTTTTCACTTTTTTTTCTAATATTTAGGTACTTACCTTTATTTTATCTGCTGAGCTTCCTTTTAATACGATTTGATTTGTTTGATTTTTTTCTCCGTCACCCGAGGGTGGGGCCTCCGTAAACGAGTAAATTACAAACATTTAATGATGATTGTCCTTGGATTATAAGTTTGACGTCAAACATTTGAAATTAGTTTTGCATGTTGCGTCGCATCGAAAGTTCTTTGAAGAAATAAATTTCAATTACACAACTAACATTCAATTCAAATAATTTCAAAGCTTTCTGACATTCCTAATTGACATCTAAAATATATTTTATCGCATTTAACATTAAATTGTTTGGAAACTTCAATTTGATTGAAAGTCAACATGTTGACGTGAAATTCTTCTTTAAATCAAATGAATTGTTGAATGTTTTGCTAGTTTGTAGTTTTCCTCTCTAATTAAGGAAAATTTAATAATAAGTTCAGCAATGCAAGCTTAAATTCTATAAATTAATGTTAAAGTTCATGTATTAATTCCTTAACAACAACAACAACTGGTGCGTGGTTACATTCAATCGATAAAGCTTCATTGATATGCTGTGAAGGGGAGAAGTATAAAAATTGATGTAGTCAGATAAACGAACAATAAAAATAGAAATTTAAATATCTATTCGATAAACAACAACAAAAAAGCCCCATGAATTTAAATTGGTTAACCATTTTCCAGTTATCCAGTAGATCGTTAGTCTAAACCAGCAGTAGAATGAAATTTTAACTGCGAGTGAAAATGAACAATAAGCGAGCGCTTTAAATAATATTTGAACTGAAATATCCACAATTAAAACCATAGAAAATTGTTAAAATTTTAAATAAGATCGAAGCTCACGAATAGATAAAACATTTCAATAATTTATGAGGTGATTTCAATGTAATCTCAAAGTTGTATTTCAGATTGATTTTTGAATCAACAATATTGATAATTGCAGAGAGGAAATTATAAATTAATGAAAATCGACGAAAGTCATAACTCAGCATAATTTTTTCGACTCATTGAAATGGCAAATTGTGTTTTGTCATCTTATTTGAATTTTGATTTGCTATTTGATGAAAAATCGAAACAATATCTCAATCAAACTTTTTCAAAATGAGAATCTTTTCAAAAGCTTTAATGTTTTTAAAGCAAACATTCTGGGAAATAAATAACAACATCTAATAAGCAAAAAATTAGTTGAATAAATTACATGAAAATGTTCAAGAAAGATGAGAATCTTGAAAAATCTTCAAACTGTTCGCATAAATCAACATGAAAATGAAGGAAAATCTCAACAATTGGGTTAAGATAGCAAACATGATAGATATTCATTAATTTTTGTTTATTCTTTTAAAAAGCGTAACTTGGGATCGAGACAAAATTATGTTAATATTTTTAATCATCTATGAAACAATTTTAAAGATTTTTGATTTCATGGAGCGAGAATATCTTAAAGTTTAGAAATATTTCAACATAACTTAAATTCCTTCATTTATAGAAATTCCGCTTTGAAGTTTTCTTGCAAATTCTCATAACTTCTTTCAAGCTTCATCAGTCATAAAAGGCTGCAAACATCATTCATTTCATAACAAATGGTATAAATATATATTAATAAGATTTCAAATCTCAAGAGGAAACCATAATTCATCAGCTGCAAAACAAAATTTCAACTCGAAATTTAATTTGGAAAATTTTCGCGGCTTCAACACATAAAGTTGATTGCTACTTAGAGCTTGAATGGAAGAGAACAATTTCGCTTAGAATTTAATTGCGGTAAGCAATCAAAATGATTCCTAATTGAACCTTAATTTATGTCACATAAATGTTATTTAATAACATTCCATTTAGAGCTTCAAATTATTTAATGCTCAGAGAGATGATTAAAAACATTCGAATAAGTAGGAAGTTCTCAATCTCAACAAACATAACGAAATCTTTCTGGATGTTCTGATAAAAAAGGGTTAAAGTTCCAAGAAAATCTTCTCTAAATAATTCATAAAATAAAATCAATAGGAAAGGAAATTGAGCATAAAACCTGATTGCTTTCAAATCCAAAACTTTCATTTTCCTTCTAAGAAATATCAGCGGATGTTTCCAATTCCTTTTTCCTCAAGAGAAAAATCTCAACCAGAAATGTTGTGTATATGTGATTGAACTGAAGGTAATTTATTATTTGGGAGTAAGTAAGATACCTGAAAACTTTTCATGAAAATGAAACATAAATATTGAGCTGATGTTTACAATAAAAAAGAAGAAAATGTAAACAAACATCGGGAAAATTTTCCTTAAGGAAAACAAATTTTGGAAATTGTGATGCAAGTTTATTTGAGATATGAAAATAAAATCAATTTATGTTTCACATATTATTGCACACGAAACATTAATAAAATTGAATTGTTATCTAAATTATTTGTTCACGTTTTGTACACAATGTCTTCGACGTAATGTAATTTAATGTGATCAATAAAGCCACGCTTCACAAATTTTAAATTGCCTTATAATGAAATAAAGTGATCGAGTAAAATTTATTTGTGGTTTCATAATTGAAACAACGGAGTAGATTGTTGTGAAAGAGAAAAGTGAGAAATGAACGAAATTTCAACTTTATATTTGAGAGGAATTCTCTGTCATGAACTTTCAGTTGATATTGAGTCGCCATCACGACAGACGAATAGCAATTTCATGTTCATTTCATTTCATTCAATTAGTTGTTGAAGTGCGACTACTTAAATGAAACTCTGAATCGCATCAATTTGTCGACTGTGATAATAGAATTTTGTGAATAAAAATTGACATATTCATGTGTTATGTTGTTATCAGTTAAATAAAAGTAATCAGGTGAATTACTCGTTAAATGAATAACTTTATCACTCCAAGTATGTTACAGTTTTGCATTAATCTCTGAAAGAATGTAAACAAAAATAGAATGAACATTCTCGTAGTCAATTCTTTATGTCATCGGGTCAACAATTCATCACTGTGTATTTATGTTAGTGAAAATATTTTCAACAGAAAGCTTGTCTTTATTATTGTTGGCAACACGAGATGCAAATTCTGTCGAGATTTCTGAATAAAATCTGATTTGATAGTCAAAAAAGAATTCACATAAAAATGTTAATTCAGATTGTGTGTCAACTGACCGGTTCATCAATGAACCATTAAAACTTCTGTTTTTATTTTATGATAAAAACTTAGAAAAAGTCAGTGCCACTCGAACATTATTCACGGTCTATTGAATTTAATTATAACTTCAATTTGAAGCATACATTTTATCGCAAATTAAGTTTTTTTCTTCTTTTTATGTTATGTATAATCTTTTTTTCGTGACAGGTATAAGTGTTTCTATTACTTAATAAAAAAAATTATCAAAAGTGATAAGAACAGCAGAAGATAGCGAAAATGTTGTCGCATAGAATAATTTTGTTCAGTGTGATTCTATCGTCGGTTCAGTGCTATCAAACGGGAAACAGATCGGATATGGAAGCTTCAAGCAGACCAAGTTTCATAAAGTATGAAGCAATTCGAAGTGAAATGCTTGCTCGACATCTCGGTAGAGCTTTAGGCTCTGATATCGTGCTCAACGAAAAGGAAGAGCAGTTTAATTCAATCCTAATGGATCTAAAGACAGATGAACTTATGCGTGGCTTTCAAAATCCTTACAATTTCACCCCATCACGTCATTTCTTTGAAGTTCTTAACGCGATGGAAAGTTCACCTCTGTTTAAACTCATGCGGAAAATGCCTAAAGGTATTTTCACTTTCCTTTAAATGAAAAATATTAAAAATATAAAAAATGATAGAAGCTTCTTATGTTATAAATTCTTTTTTCTTAATATTATTTATGTCTTCCGTGTTTGACTTAGGCAGTATTCTTCACTCACATGATACTGCAATTTGTAAGTATAGCGTAACTTTTTACACAAAATCCTTCCGTCTTCCACACATGACCCCAATTTAATTTTTTTTCCTTTCCATCTCTCATTTCTTCTTTTAGGTTCAACTGACTATGTCGTATCTCTGACGAGATGGGATAATTTGTGGCAATGGGGTGGTATAGAAGACGATGAATTGCCGAAATTTGTGTTCAGTAACAAAAAGCCGACAAGCATCGATGACGTTGAATGGAGATTAGTTGGTGAAATAAGAAAAGAGATGGGAGACGAAGCTTACGATGTGAAAATTAGACGGCTGTTTACGTTGATTGTTAATGATCCTTTGATACGGTATAGCGACATAAATTCGGTGTGGAGCAAGTTCAATGAGATTTTCATGGTTTTTGGTTCCATTGTAACGTACACAGAAGTTTGGAAGGATTACTTCAGACAAGCTTTACAAGAGATTTACGATGATGGTGTACAGTATCTTGAGTTTCGTGGTGTTTTACCTGAGGTTAAGCGAGAGAATTCTTCATGTTCAATTTAATAATAAATTTCTTGCTTTATTATTCAGACTTATGATCTGGAAGGAAACAAATATGGACCGATCGAGACTTGTGGAATGTACGTAGATGTGCTTAAAGAATTCAATGAGAATCATCCTGACTTTGGTGGAGCCAAATTTATTTATGCGCCCATTCGAAAAGTTGACGATGACACTTTTGAATCATATCTGGCAATTATGCAAAAGTTATTGAAAACGTTTCCAGATTTCATTGCTGGTTTTGATTTAGTCGGTCAAGAGGATCGTGGTAACTTTTCTCTTATTTATTTTCTCTTGAATTATTTAATTAATTGTTGTACAAAAAATTTTGAAGGAAGACCCTTGATTGAATATGCTGAGCGGCTGCTGAAGTATCCGGAAAACATAAAGTTTTTCTTTCACGCTGCCGAGACTAATTGGTTGGGAACTACTTCAGATGAAAATTTGGTAAACTTCTTTGGATAAATAATTAATTTTTTCCATCAATCAAGATCTCATAATTCACTTGAACTTTTAAGATAGATGCTGTGTTGTTAGGAACAAAGCGCATTGGACATGGCTATGGTATTGTGAAGTATCCAAACCTCTTGAAAGTCGTGAAGGAGAAGAAAATTGGAATTGAAATTAATCCAATTTCGAATCAAGTGTTGAAGCTTGTCGATGATTTGAGAAATCATCCAGCAACAATTTTGTTCTCCGATGACTATCCTGTCGTCATCAGCAGGTAACATTAACATTTCACAGTTGGTTGAAGAATTTTTCTCTGCTTTTTCTTCATGACTGCTTCTTCTTCTTTTCGCTCGAATAATTACAGTGATGATCCGTCTTTCTGGGGGGCACTGCCACTCACCCATGATTTCTATCTTGCATTTCTTGGGATTGCATCCGCAAAACAAGACTTGAAATGCATCAAGAAACTCATCTTGAATTCATTCGACTTGAGTGCGCTTGATGAACGTCAAAAAAGCAGAGCGAAAGAAATATGGATGAAGAAATGGACTTCCTTCATTGAAGATGCTTTAAGAGATCAAAAATCGACGATTCTGATAGAAAGCAAATAGAAAGGAAATGAAAAATGTTCAAATGATTGACAACTTTTGATGTTCAAAATCATAATCTGATTAAAATTGAATTTATAAACTCACACACATACACAAACAAGGAAGTCGACCACGAAATCGGTTTAATTTTTTTAATTCTGATTGATTAAATGTCTGATTAAAACAATAAATCACCACTTCATTCTATCTTCTCATCAATCAACATTCAGCAATGCCACCCACGCAACAACAATAAAAGATAACAAAGACAAATAAATATTTTTTTTACACAGACATTTTATCAAATAAAAAAATAGAAGTTTACATTCACATCAATTTTCGCTTATCGAGTTGTGACTCGTCTCAACTTACTCAAGAATAGAGAATAAAGAAATGAATTTAAATCGGTAATAAATAAAAAAGGGCTGAATAATGTTCAACTAAGTAGAAAGCTTTTTTCGTTTCCTTTCAGCATAGATTTGAATAATGTTTTTTTAGTTACAAAAGTTGTTGGCAGCGCAAGAAATTAAAGTCCTAATCAATTTTATCTACGTTGACTGCAAAATTATTTCTTTTTGTTTAATTAAAAATTTGTTGAGTAAAAGAAAGAATTATTTAATTTCTAACTATCATCATTTCATGTTGTAAGCTGTTGTTGTCTTAGTTTATTGTGCCTGGTCTTCTATTCACTATTTTTCTTCGATTTAATAAACCTGAGAAGAAGGAATTTAATAATTTTAAATATTTTGCGACATTTGTTTTAGACATAAATTACCTAATCCTCTTGCTGGCTGTTCTGACGTTGCTTCAGCAGCTTGCGTTGTTTCATCATCTTTCACTTCTTCACTTTCACTTCCACCTTCTTTACCATTGTTATTATCACTTTCTGTTTCTGCTGATTTGTCGTCTTCAGCAGTTGCTTCTGTAATAAAAGAATTATTAAAATCTTTGACATTGACATTGGCAGTCGAGTGAATAATTTTAAGAAAGGGAAATTTTGGAATTATGAAAATCGCATCATTAAACTGAAACACAAAAGCATGTTCATAATAATCTAAATGATGATGAAACTTAAACAAATTTGAATAGTTTACATTAATAATCACATGCTAATATGCAAAAAAAAATTGTTTTCATACCCGTGGTTGATGTAACACCAAACTTTCGCTTTGAGATTAATGGATTGACTTTTCTATTGACGACGACCGCGTTCGAGGTTTTCTTTGCTTTCGAGTCGCCATTGATTTGAATGCGTGGTCGGCTCTTTAATTTATTCAAGTTATTTGGAGTCGTTGTCTCGGGATCACTTTCATTTTCGTTCTCTAATTTATTGCCATCATTATTTTCATCATTTGTTGTTACTCGGCGTGCGTTTAATGGTGAAGTGCGTGCCTTTTGGCCTGGTAATAGTCGACTTCCTGGCCGATTTATGTTCAATCTCGATGTAGGCCGTGGAACAATTGATGTTGCCTTCTCAACTGCCTTCTCTTCCTTCTCTTCTGTGTCCTCGCTGACATCAGTAGCTTCAGTTGTTGTCGTTGTTTGACTATTTCGGCCACGATTACGTAAACTAAACTGAGGCCTTGGCTTAACCAAACGAGATGCAGTTGTGCTGCTTTCAGTGTCAGTTGTTTTCTCAGTTGTGGTTGTTGATTCTTTGTTACGTAGACTGAAACGATTTCTCGATTTAGATCCTAATCTTGATGAAGATAATGAAGGTGCTTCAGTCTTTTCGACATTCTCTTTAACTTCTTCTGGTGCACTTGTGGTCTTTGAGGTTCTTGCAGCAGAGTTTCTTGATCCGAAAGACGATGATGGTCTGCTGAATCGATTCTTCGGTTTTGTTGTTTCAGTTGACGCTTCTGGTGAAGTTTCTGATGAAGCTTCAGTTGGTTTTGCCTTTCCTTGGAACTTGAATCGATTACGGCCAGCTGTCAAACCACCACGACCTCTTGGTGCTTCAGTTGTTGTGGTTGTTGTCGTAGTTGGAGCTTCTGTCGTCGTTGTGGTTGTTGTTGTAGTCGTTGTTGTCGTCGTAGTTGGAGCAGCGCTTGATTTTTCAGTCTCTGATTCATCTCCTTCAACAGTTGTTACTTCTTCATCGTTTACAATTGTTGTTTCATCGTATTCACTGTTCTTCTTGTCATCTTCTCTTGCATTTTCATTTGCAAGAATGGCGTACAAATCAATTGCAAATTTCTCCATTAATGGCGTTGTATCTTCTTCTTCGTCTTCATTATCGAACGATGATTCAGTAGTGCTTGAAGCATATTCAAAAGTAGATTTTGAAACAGTTTCTGTGAGTTCAGATCTGCTTAATTCAGATTCGACAATTCGTGGACCTTTAGAACTCTTTTCATCGGTGACAAAGCTGTGACTATCAACAAGTTCAAGACTTGGACGTTTAACGTGTTGTTTTTTACTTGTTTCTGGAGCATTCTCCGATGGATTAGCAGATTTTGCACGTTGCGGGAAACGGGTGGCTTGTGGGAGTCTTTCTTCCACCTACGAAATCGTAATGTTAATTAAAAACTTTCATCACGTAATCCATGATAGGAAATAAACTTTACTTACAATTTCTTCAACAACGGGAGCAGGTAAAGCTTGTGCACGTGCTTTGCCACGTGATTGGATTTCATTACGCTCTGGGGCGGATGTTGACGATCCCCGTTCAATGTTTGAATATCGACTTTTACCAGATGAAGCTTGAGTTGTCGTTGAAGATGGGCCTTTACGGCTGCCAATTATGATGTCGTCATCTTCGGGATTCTTCTCATCATCATCGTAATAATAATAAACATATTCGTATTCATAATCTTGTCCATTCGGTCCTTTCTTAATTTGAATGCGTGAAGTTTGTTTGTTCTCTGTTCCAGCTTCTTCGAGAATCGAGAAATCGTCAATGAGTCCTTCATTGACTCGTTGTGCAACTGTAGATGTTGTTGTAAGAACAGGCTTTTCAGTTGTCGTTGCCAATGGTTCAACGACATAATGTTCATATTCACTCAGACGTTTCGTTTCAATGTTATTCTTGATATCTGCAGCAATTAACTCTCCAAGTTGTTCATTCAATTCTGGCTTCTCTTTCGATCGCATCGATTGATGAAGGTCTTGTTGTTGATGTTGTTTTAATGCTTCATCAGATATTCTATGTGACGTTTGGAACTCATGGTGTATTTTATGTGATGTCTCAAAAGGATGCTCTGAGGGAGTTGAAAGAAGGTTGATATTAGGAATACATTAAAATGTAAAGTGCGTAATATTTACGTACCTGCACCATTCACTTCTTCACTTGATGACACCTACACGATATCAAGAAGAAACATAAGTTAATATTTATAACAACATCCATCAATTTATACGGAAATAGAAATATCTACTTATAACAATTTTCAGATTTCCATAATCATAATCCAATTTGGAAATGGCTTGGGGTTGAAGTAGAAAAATGAATATGATGATGGAGCGGGATTAAATATTTTAGATTATTTTCAAGCATAGAAAGTCACTAATAAAAAAACATTAAGTCTTCTCTATAAACCTATTGACATGTAAAGATGTCAATGATTATAAATGAGAAGCTTTTAAAATTAAAAAAAAAAGCTTTCAAAGCTTATGTGCTTAAATTATAAATTCAATTTATTCTATTGAATGTCAATGAACTGACAAAGTTTCGCTATGCATTATAAAGAAGAAAACATTTCAATAACAAATTTCTTCCCTTATTTACATTCTCACAACATGAGCTACAACATTGTACTTTTTAATGGTGATCAATTTATCGTGCTGTTACGAGAAATTGACTTTAACATTTTATCCATGTTTGTAAATTCTCTAGAGAGAGGGAAAGAAGTGTAAAAGGAAGTTTTCTTTAGCCATACCACAGACTACTAGATACAACATACAAGAGAGTGACATTTTCACATACATCAACATTTATTTATTTTCCGGAATATAATCAAGGGAAAAGTAGTCGACTCGGTTTAGTGAACGCCTTTAAATTCCTTCTTGGGAAATATTAAAGAGATCTTTATGCTGCTTGCTTTTGTAATATTCATTTATTTCAGCAGAACAGCAGACAATTGATGTCGTGAGTGAGGATTAACATTTGAGTTCATAAGCATTGCAAGTCTATCAAAGAGAAAATTACAAATTCTGATTCATATGAATGTGAGACACAACAATGACTAAGGTGTGTCGCTTGAGTGGTTTGGGAATAAATTTCATATGCAAAAAGCATATCAGAATTAATTTAGTTGTAAGAAATCTACTTCGTGAGCTTTTTACCTTCACTGATGTCTCTGTTGAGGTTGATTGTGTTGACAGCTTAGAAGCTTCTATCGTCTCACCATCAGTTGCTGCTCTAATTGATGCGATGCATAATAAACTGCACAGAAAGCTGTAAGAAAATAGAATGGCAATTAAAACCAGTTTAAAGAAAGATTAATTTTGAAGGACGTCGTAAAATTTTCCCTTAAATGCTTAAATGAACAAACAAGACTTGAAAGCTTTCTGATGGTTGAAATTTACACTTTGTTATGATTCATGAAAAGCCTTTTAATTGCTTTAGAAGTGTCCAAGTAATTAAAGTATCTTTGGATATATTTCTTGACTTAAACTCTAGACAAGTTAAGTAAAACGAAAAACTGAAACTCGTTCGTAATAAAAAATAATTTTTCAAGTCGGAATCTTGACATTCTTTCGTTTCAATTCAAACACATAAGAAATATCGCTCGAGGTTGGTAACAGTAAGAAAACAGCTATGGATAAGATTGCGTAATGAAATATAACCAGATGTGGATTCTTAAGCGTCGTAATGATGAAGAAATATTTTAATTTTATTACAAAGTATTTAAATATCGCCATTGATTGACTTTAGCAGGACATAAAATATTGAATACTCTCCAATTTTAAATGCCGCACCGTGTCTACCTTCACCGTCTAAAATAAAATGTAAAAAGTATCGTTTTCACTTTTCATTATATTTGAATTCATTTTCGATGAAATTTTAAATTTTTTTTTTCCACCATCGGAACGAAAATGAAATTTGCCGTCTGTGTGATGAGCGAGTAAATTTTTTTCAGTGATGTGTCGAATCAAAGGTGCGAGCGTTTAATAAAATATAAATAAAAGAAACCGTTGGAAGATCTGCCAACAACCTAGCATGAGCTGAAGATGAAAGTGAAATTATCGATGGCATAACATCAAAAACTTGAGCAGTGAAATCATTTCAATTTTTTTTCGTTAAAAATATATTTTTGGTGTTGGGTTGTTGCTGCACCTTTATTTCTCTTCTCGAATGTCAGCACACAACATGAAGCTGGGAAAGGATTACGACTGCTGCTTTGCGGGTTGAACAATACGAACATTTTGTGAATTGAATGATAAATCATTTTTAATGAACTGTTGACGAGTCATAAAATAAAAAAGAAAAGACTTTAGAAGGTGGAAACGAAAAGAAAAATCTCAGAAGAATTACGAGAAATAAGAAATTGGCAAACAAAAGAAACGAGGAAAGTTGTACGTGAAATGAAATCGAAAATTAATTTAACTTTAAAGAAGAAACATCGTAAATACCAACAATAAAGTGAAAGAAGAGTAAATCATGGCATTTGAAAACGATTTCTGCATTCTGATGAGGTTTGTTGACCTTTCTAACAATTCGAGTTTGCCTTGAACTTGTCACGGCTTCACTTCCATTTTAAGAAGAAAAAAAAAAACCCGTGAATGAGTAAGTTTGATTCAAGAAGTTTTCCTAGAAAAGTTTAAGCGAATTCTTCCTTGTTCTGGTTACAAATAGTTTCAGCTTTGACAAGGTTGTCCAAGACTGTTCATTTTAGTTCCGTGTTCGCAAAACGCAAAACCTGTTTAAGGCTAAACTTTTTTCTCTCATGAGTTATGCGTGCAATGGAGGCATAAATTATATAATTGAAAATCATTTTTAATGCTTCTGGTTCAACATGGAAGATCATGAAAGTCACAATTAAAGGTTAAGGCCAGTCAAAAGCGAAAATTGAAATTGGAAAGCAATTTTTTTAATTGCGATCGAGAAATTAAATCACGGAAAAACAAATTTCTACTTTTTTTCTGTTCAATCATCACGAATTCATTTAATTTGTCTTGATGTCGGCGCATTGCTTCTGCTTCTCCCTTGCTAGCGGTCGATTCGCTCGCCTTGACCAGATAATTTTAGTATGAAATTTTTCAAGCGCGCAGAAATTAAAGTTGAAAGAAAAGTTTTACGGTTGCAAAATTTTTCGTGCCATTACAAACAAAAAGAGCAACGGAGGCTTTAAATTTGTTTTGAGAGATCATTAATTAAAATAATGAACTCAAATTTAGCTTCTTATATTTAAAACATGAAAGTTCAATGCTTCAAAACGTGATTATTTCGCGAAAAAAAAAGATTCATTTAGATAATCAGAAAGTCTGCTTAAAATTTCATTAAACTAAAACGTGAAGGTGTCATAAGCACGCGGTAATCTTAGACAACAATCAAGAAAGAAAGAAAAGTTGAAGTGCACTCAACGATAAGCAGCTGAAAACATGTTGTTAATGTTACGTTAGAATATCTCACAACTTGCATAACAGTCGCGCAAAAACCAGAATTCATTAAAAATTGTCTCGCTTCGAGCCAGTCAGTTGGTAAATGGGTGACACCACAAATACTTACATAAATCGAAATTGATGCATCATTGAAACAAACATAAACTTTGCTCGGCTGAATTAAAAATGCGGTGATCCTCCTTCTTCTTGTCGTTCAAGCTTTTTTTATCTCAGTTATAAGTTTTCAACAGACACACTCTGGTATTTAAATTTATCGATTACAAAATACTTTCACTTTTTTTCTCTTATTTCTCAAAGATATAATTTTAAACTTATGATTGCTTGCAAGCTCTGGTTGTTGGCACTTTCTTGGTTTCTGTATGCGAAACGTAGAAATAATTTAGGAAGTTAATTAATCCTGTTTTTCTTTTCTTTTTTTTTGGTTCAATTATTTTTTTCCTCGAATAAACTCGTCGGAAACGACTTGAAATAATTTTTTTATACAGAAAGTTTCATAATTGACGTAATAAGATACTCCAGTGGGTGGATAGAAATGTCAGACAACGAAATATTTTCTGTCTGGTGCAAGAACAGCAGCAACTATGGCAACTGAAATAATCTTACAACGCGCGCGCACCGAACTTAACAGCCGAAGAAATAACCGTAGACTAAACAAAAAACTAATATGACACGATGAATTAAAAACTAAAAACTAAAAAATGTTACGAAAAATTCGTAAAACTGTTTTTTTTTCTCCGCTTTAGGTTTACGAGACTTCTTAAATGAAAATAATTTTTTTTTATTTTTTACTCTCTTTTGGTTACGTTTCTCAACTCAACTTCTTTTCGGTGTCGATCGTTTGAGACTGAGCGTTGTTAGCTTGTCTTGGGCAGTTGCAAATTTGGTTGAGCTTTAACTTAACTTACATGGGGAAGTTTAAGTAGACAAAGAGAGCAAACAAGCTTCATCTCCTTTCACTTTGCAACATTAAAAGCGAGATTAAAACTGCATGATGAATGAGAGAGTGGGGCCTTTAAGTGTAGTGGAATATAAGACCCCACCAAATTAAATAATTTCGTGAGGTTGTTTCTCTTAATTTAAAGAGAGATAAATGTTGTACACCTTTGTTAAATTACAAGTTTAATTTAATTTAATACTTAAATCCTACTTAAAAAAACAAGGAAATCTCATGTCTCCCTTACAAATGTGAATGTTATGGCAAGAACATAAAAAATGTTTTCAAAGTTTTATTAACCAACCCAAGAATGAGTTGAGAGCTTTTTTTATTTGAAAATTTAACATTCGTATTGTCATTTAGAAGGAATAAAAGAAGCTTTGCGTTGTTGCATTAAAAAAAATGTTGACATCATGGGAATGAATCTGATGTACGTTTTTATGTCGTTACATCAAAGGTTTGAATTTTTTAACAATTGAAATATATTCGACAATGGTGACTTTGTCCATGGGTGCGAAATCATTAATTCAACATAAACGGTGTACATTGAAATCCTATTTAAATGTTTTATTACATAAATCAAACAACTGTAGATATTTGATTGTTGGTTAAAATGAAGCTGGAGATGGAAAAGAAAATGAAACAGAAAATTGACATTGAATTGTAAAAGCAAAACGAATTTGTTTCTCTTTCTGTTTCCAAATACCGTTTAAGTCAACAGTTGACTAAATGCATAACGTCATACAACTCTAGTTTATTTATTGGAAAAATTATGTCGAGATATTTTAGTCCATTTACAAAATTCTAGTTTATCAAGTTATGAATCATCAAGTGGTGAGAGAAAAGAGTGAAAGAATGAATAACAAAACGAAGTAAAATTGTGACAGCTTTGATATTTATAGCAAACGTTAATGGTTGTTTACCTTTAGCATTAGATTATCTCATATGGAATGAAATAACAATAGCAGCGAAGTGTTACAAAAGTTATAATACTTACTCTGATTAAAATCTCTTCAAAGCTTCCTTTAACAAGTATCGATAACCTTTGTCACCATCAAACATTCAAGTTTCACTTAAATTGAGATCAATGTAAAATGATTTTGAAATATTCTCGTAGAGAATTGAAATTTTGTGGGCAATTGAGATTTGTAGTGTCGCTATGTTCGTCATCTAAGACACGATGATAATTCATAAACACCAAGAAGACAGCATAACGACTCTCTTTGTTGATCCAGCAAACAAGTAAATTTCGTCACTGTTAGTTTTTATTTTTGAACTATGAAAAATGTTTATTTATTAACATTTGAAATTTGAAAGCAATGAGTATGCAATGTTGAATGCAGAAAGTTGAAGTTCTCGTGTCTGACGCTTATGCAAAATGTCATTGTGCAATCAAATTGATATTTAAAACATTTTTGTAGTAATGCAAAACACCTGCCCAACATGATATTTAAATATTTAATGTTAAAGAAGATGAATTGTAATAAAATGAACTTTTACTTGTAAATCCTCCGCAACATTTCATGATAATTTTTCAAGCAGAATAAGCATGAAAAATGATTTCTGGAATATTTTTATATCTTTTTTTAAGGTATAATAAACAAGCACATTTGGCTGCAACGTTAAACCTCGAGAAATAATATTATTAATAATTTAAGCCTTGTCTCATCAGCGTCAAAGCTGCAAGACATTTAACATGAGTCAAAAGAAATTTATTCCTCGTGTATGAGCATTGACATTTATGATTTGTCAAGGTAGCGATTAAGTGTTTCTATTGATCTTTTTATTTTGATTAAGTTTAAAGTTGTGTTGTCTTGTCTGTGCGGTGTTGACTGCCAGCAGCTTATTCAAATGTGCGTTTATCTCGATGAAAGGCCGATGATCGCAAGACCCAGATAACTAAACAAGCTTTCGAATTTTCATTGAGAATTAAAGTGATAAAAAAAAATTGTTTAATATCTGTTAATCCATGTTATCTGCAGTCGATTGACTAAGATGAAATGTTGAGATAAAATTCATTTGATTTCTTCTCATGACACTTCAAGTCGACAGTCATTAACAGTTTTTCGATGGTGGGATGGATGTGAGAATGTTTATACTTGTTTAAAAAGCTTTTATGTTTCAATCTTTAAGCTTTTCATTTCTTCTGAAAAAGAATTTCTTGCAATTAAGAAGAAATCAATCCAAACCATCATCAACCGACTACCTATTTATGTTCAAATTGATAATTAAGCTTAATAGACTTTTCACAATATATCAAATTTCAATCGTAAAAACGATATGACGAGTAGATATTTAAAATTAGAAATCCATTCAGCGAAACGTTTGTATCTTTGATAGCAAGCAGTAAAGCACTTGGAATTGGAAAACAACTTGAAGATTATGACATAAGAAGAAAAGAAATTCGAAGGTCAAAGACAGGTCTCGAATGAAAGTTTTTTGTCTTCTTCTGCTTCTTCACTCTTCAATCTTCCTCGTGATTACGGTATTGGCGTGGCCTCAAAGCGAAGATATGAAGATACGAAGATGGGAAGAAACCAAAAAAATGTGATATGGTGACAAAAATAAAAGTTTCCGTCTGTAATGAATGATATAATCTGGAAAGTAGTCAATTGTGTTCATTTTCATCGCAGCCTCGAGTTAAGCTCAGATTTGAATTTAAAACGGTATTTATGGTAATGTTGGAGATAAACGAACTCACTGGATCAGAGCGGAGCAATCTGAACATGAGATGAAGAAGAAAACGTCATAATAAATTGCTCGATTATTGATGAAAGTGAAAATTTCTCTCGACAACACACCAGCCACAGTGATTGAATTATTTTATGTGGAAATAACAAGTGTTGCATATACAAACATACAACAATAAAAGAATGTTGTCATTTCATCGATAAAATATGCTTTTGATGATTTGAATCACAATAAATATTCAACACGATTTCTTTCAGTTGACTTGACTCAACAAACGAAACTTTAATCTTCGAGATTTAATGATACACGATTAAAACATAATAAAAAAGGAATTCCTAGAGAGCACTTGTCACTTGTCAGCCTACCAATTAAATTATTATTTATCGTTCGATAAGATAATAATTGATTATTCACAACAATTGTCGGCTTTTACATTATAATTTTCAACTCGATCTGCCATTATGTAATATTGACCTGAAAACTAAATTAATTAATTAAAATGTGAATTATGTTTTTATTGTTCATGCAAATTATCATTTATTGGAATTCTTTTCACAATAAAATTAAAATCGCTACAAACTAATGCAATTTTCTATGTGAATTTTATGAGAAATTATTTTTCTTTCACATACATTTCAAATGAAAATTCTTTTTAATGATTTCAATTTTCATCACCTGAAAGATAAAGAACATCGTCATCAATGTTATTTGTTGAATAAATAAATTATTATAACATTTAAATTGGTGATATGATGTGGGTGCTGGTTAGTTGTTAGGGAACTAACTTGTGATAAAATCGGCCTCTTTCTGTCGTCATAAACTGAAGGTTCTCATGAAAAGAGTTAAAGTCAATATGCTTCCATGTTAGTAGCATTAAATCAAATTTAGGAAAAGATGTTCTTCTCATACTCAAGTTTTATGATCGAGTCAGTGAACCTTTTGTGAGACCGCAGACATCAGAATAAAAGGATTTTCGTTTTATTTTACATTACAACAATTTCAAAATCAATATGCAAACGCCATTCAGATAAAATTGAATAAAAATAATGTTCACTACACATTTTTTTTTTCTTGGTCGCATTTCTTATACAAATTCACGATTTTCTTGTTCGCTTTTGTGTAAAAAGACGTTCTTTATTGATACCATTTGCAAATGGCTTTTGCTGCTTCCATTTATACTTATTATTCAAGTTCATTTGCTTTTCCCCCGGGTGATTTTTTTATATATTTCAAATTCATTTTATTTCTTCTGACATACTGTGTGTTACGATGTGCAGTTTGGTTATCTTAAAGTTAGTGGATTTACACTAAAAGAACTCGTTTCAAACGCCTGTTCATAATCAAATATGTCAAGTCTAACCTATGTGGTAAGGTCACAATGTTTAAGCAATAGCAAGTATTTCATGCAGGTTCGCTACTGTTTGCATTTGTCGCGATTATGTCCGATGTACTCGTCTAAGAAGCTCGATGGAGTTATCGTTACGTGGTAGTGACGTGCAGTTCTTTCCCTGCAAAAAAGGAGAAGATATTAAAGTTCATTATACAATTGAAACACTTTCCAAAGTCCTTTGACTTCAACAGTCAATAAAAATTGAAATAAAATGGCAAGCAAAAGTTTCCTTTGACCTTTTCTTTCTACGATATTTCTTCTTGTCTTCCAGATCCATTAAAATAATAAAATATTACTCAAAAAATTATAAACTTTCTTTTTTCAGGAGAAGGAAGGAGAGAAAAATCTTTGGCTAATGAAATTTTCATGTAATTTTAAAACTTTAAGGAACCTTAAACAAGAATCGAAAAATTTATTTTTTATGATTCTTATCGGAAAAATGTGATTTAAAGATTTGATTCCTTTACATTTTCTACATGAATTCAATCTGAAGTATGAAAATTTAATGATTATCTGAAAGTTTCAATAAAAAGGAATAAATTTCTGATTAACTTAATCAATGATCTTAATTGATGTTCAATGCAATTTGCAGAATTAAAAATTTTTATGTCATAAAATTGTTGGAAGAAAGTTTCTTATCATCAATATCTCCGAATAATTTGTTAATTAAATAAAGCTTATTCTTCTTCATTTGGTTTAATTAATTTAATACTTAAGAGAGAAATTTAATGATATGTATTAATAATGATTAACATTTATGGATATCCAACTATATAATTTCTGTTGGTTAAAGACTCATTTAGATACCAAAAAGAAATTTAAATTGTTTGGCAAGCAAGACAAAGATATTTATAGAAAATGATGAGGAAAATTATCAACTTGAAAATTTGAATATTCGAAGGCGAAGAAGAAGATTCTCTCAAGATATGCAAATATCATTAGAACATCTTCTTCCATCATAATTTTGCAAGCTTCGTCCTTAATTCGCTGTAATATTCTTCCGCGATCAAATTAAATGAAAAGTATTTTCGCGCGTCCCGAAATGAGATTACTCAAATTATCCTTAAAGGTTGGAGTGGCATTTATATCTACAGGTTGAAAAAAAGAAAAAGGTGCGACACGACAAGGGATTATCGCACCTTTGCGCTTTGTCGTTTTCATCGCAAAAGCTTTTTGACTTTCATTTCAAATGAAAATGTTAAGTTATGAAATTAAACATTTGCTTTCCGCAATTATACCAATTTTGAGGATAAATTTTTAATTAGAAAAAGGCGGTTTATGAATAAATTTTCCATTTTCTCTGCCGCTTTTCTCTTCTCCTGAGGGTTAATTGGGTGTGAAATGGAAAATATTTAGTGGCGTTAAAAAAGCGGCAATAGTTGATTTTACATAGAATCACTGAGGTGAAAAGAAGAAAATTCGATAGCAGGCGATGGAAAACTTTCAGTTCATGTAAAAACATGAATATTAAATTTTCTCTCCATCAAATTCCTCTGAAAATTACTCAAAGGATTTTCCTCAAGCAATTCCTAGACATTCATTTAACTTTGCGTAAATTTTAGTTAATGAAAACTTTCAAAAGATTAGGAATTAAATTTTAAATTAAACAACTTGAGGCGCGACTGAAAATCATAAGACATAACTTCAACTTAACCCGTTTTATTTAATTACTTGGGTCACCTTGCTTTAGGGAAGATTTCAAGTAATTTCAACTAAAGTCTTGCTAAGTCAACTTTGTAAATGATCTTAATCAACATAACAATCAGATTAAGTGACATGAGTCGCATAAATTGTCCAATGAAAGAAAATTTGTTTCTTACCCTGTAAGCACACTGACATTTAACCACCCACTCAACATCGATGAATTTGTTCTCGATATGAATTTGTCGTGAGTTGAGAAGCTCTTGATCCAATGGATCGATTGAATTGCTATCCCACAAATCATATCCATACTCTATGAAATCAAATAGGCTGCCCGAATTTAAGGGACAAAGTAATTCTACCTGTAAAGCGACACATATAAATTACAATCCATCAATCAATCTCCATAATAAGTGATAGCTTACTTGTATAGTTGAAGATACTAAAGGCACACAACACATGCTTTTGCTTCGACATTGTCCGCATACTTTTGGTCGAAATAGTTTGCGTGATACGCAAGGTCCAAGACGAAGTCTTGACGGACCTTTTCTTTGGGAACTACGGCATTCATGGCCCTTCTGTTTAATTTGAGTATTATTGAAATGAATTAAATGTTGAGTTAAGTCAAACTCACTCTAATTCTATGCTCCTTGACTAGAAAATTCTTTTTATCGTAAAACAAGTCTTCATTCGTATCGGTGATCAAGTTATTGTCAACGAAACTGCCGCACCGATGATTCTGACATAGACGAATATTACTAAGCTCCGTACATCCAGGAGTTGTTGATACATTACGTGTTGATAACCCAATGCCACAATTTTCTGAACATGACGACCACGGTGTGGTGGAAGCGTTGAAACATGTCGCATTTACTGTAATATTTTAAGCATATTTATGTATGAGTAGAGAGTCGTGATAATAAATTTTAATAAATAACAAAAAGGTTCACAAAGTAATTACCGTCAGTCGTGGGCGTTTCACACAGCCAAACACGACAACAGTGGTCCGGCAATTGAACCAATTTGGGTGCTATGCAAATCGCTGTGTCGACTGGAGGTGGCAGATTCTCGTGTGGACATAACGACGAACAGGCATGGTGACCATTCTAAAAAAGAGAATGAAAATGAAGCGAGAGAAAGAAATTATTTTTAATTACGACCATTTTTTATCTACGAAGGGATACAAAAAGTAAACTTAAGAAGCTTTTTCCATGAAAAAAATAAAAGAAGCGACAAATTGAAATAAAGAAAAAGAAAATCTCATGTTCATCAATTTAATTCTCACCTGACAAACGCATTGAGTCCGACAATCGAGCTTAAATGTTTCACCATGATGGTAACTTGAATTGCCAACAAAGCAGCTTGCTGTAAAATATATTAAAGATTTTATTTTTTAATTGGCATACTCTCGGGGGATAATTGAAACAAGTTGAATCAAATTTTAATGAGTAAACAAAGCTGTTACTTGAATGAATAAATAATCTGTGATTTACTACGTGATGAAGTTCACATAAGTAACAATTCCCAAGAAAATTTTCTTAAATAATGAAGGGAAAGGCAACATGAAGTTGAAATAAATCGAATCTACGTTGTTAGTGTTACATTATTTATGCATGAATATCTTTTCTTCCAAAAACTCGAAAGCATCGAATTTCCCCTTAAAAGCTCTGTTAAGTTGCCTCCAATTCTTCCTCGTTAATCTTTTTCAATAAATAATTAAAAGTGAAAAGCACCATGGAAACTCATATCCCGAAGCGCACCTGAAATAATAGACGACACAGCTTCATTAACAAACGCTGAATGGGAATTTTCTAATCTTAGGATAAGAGAATGATGATGAGAGAAACAAAACACAAAGCGCTTAATGATTATTATTATCATCGTTGGACGCTTTTGAGGCTTATCTCTTGTGCTTCTTTGTTCATTAATTTGGTTAATTAAATTGATTATTATGTTCGTGTTTTTTTTTTTCTTTTTCGCATTCAAATTGGGAGTCGTTTTCTCAAGTCTCGTCTTACTACCTTATTTTATTTTCTCTTAAACTCACTTTTGGAAACAAATAATTATTATCCTCTTCATTTTAAATGAAGCTTTCATGTCATTCCTTTCCTAAGTTTAAGTGAAACAATTATTTTTAGAATGTCGACCATTTGAATCTGACAAAAACTGAAAGCGTTGAGGGTGGTTGGGTACATAAAGCTTCTTTTTTTATAAATAGAAAAGATTATTTACTTGGTAAGCACAAACCTTCTGTTGTCATTTTCATTTAACCCACAAGATCAATATTTCCACTTCCAAAAGGAGGAAAGATACATTAATTTCATGTAATCATTTAAACATATTATGATTTCCATGAATTTCCATAAAAGAAAAGCTCTTTAAAACTTAGTAAATAAATATTTGAATTCTACGCAATGAGATCGAATGAAAAACTTTTAATGCTCCTTGAAAGCATATCTGGGATCCCCTAGCAGTAAAAAAAATGGAAAAATGGAAGGAAACAAATTTCCTGTTCTGTTCATTCGCCTTTTATTCTCCTTTGTCTCCTCAAATAATGATTTTGTTAGGGATTCTATCTGGATTCTCTTTTTTTGTTGGAGTTTCCCCTTAATTTATGTCATGACATAATTAAATTATTTTTTTCGGGTATTTTTATTTTTTGTATTCTTTTCTTCTACTTGTTTTCATTCGCCGTGTTCTTTGACTACATAAATTGTCTGGCATCCTTTCAATGTAGCTTGAAGCAATCTGCTTTTCGGTGTGGGTGTAGGGAGAAGGTAATCAATACAAAACATGCATTATACATTACTGTAGAGAACGACAAAATGACTTTTTCTCATTCAACTAAAAAGAGTTTCACAACTTTTTTCGGTTTGTGTTTGTGAATGAGAACATCGAGAGAAGGGTCGTCGAGTGAAAATGGAAAACTAAGCGAAATTTATTGCCTTATCCATTTTATCGTCTCACTCAACAGTGGCAGCAGCAGCAGCAGTAGCAGTAGTAGATGTAAAAAAGGGTTTTATAGAAGGATGATCTCACGTTTGAAACTATTACATTCTCATGAAGCCGGCATTATCACGACAAAGTAAATTGTGAGAAAAGAAGACTAATCTTATATGGTGTTAAAGTGTTCAATGAAACATATTCCGCTCGTTTTTCCTTGTTGAAGATAGAGATAGAAATAAGGGCCTTTCACTTAAAGAGATGGGGCAGGAATAAGTGGCGAGATAAGTCACGTACTGGTTGAGTAGCGTAATAGAAACAGCACATTCACTTGAAGACCAACAAAGCCAAGACTTGCTTTTCTTAACATTATCTTTGTAAACGCTATTCAAGCAATATTTGAGATGGGATAACAACCTTCATTACTCATTCAAAGCCGACAAATATTTTTGAGGTTTTGACTACTTCTACAAGGAAATCGAAATTCTTCGACCATCATTTCACATAAGAGCTTCTTAAAAGCATCTTTTGTCAGTGAAATTTCTTTTTAAACCTTAATGTATTTTGGGAGAATATAAAAATGTTGGCCTAGAATGTTAAAAGAAGAGAAAGAAGATGGAAAAACATTTTCAGTATTGCATTAGAAATGTGAAAATGTCTTTCCCCAAAGTCAAAAAAAACATCTTTATAAATTTTTGAACGTATATCATCTGCTTCTTAGTATTTTATGTCTTGTTACATTTGAAACAGTTGTACAGGGAAAAATATGATCGTCACTTACGCTTAATAAATCATGAAATAAGAAACATTGATGATTCCTTCCCATTTTTTTAGTTAAAGTTGGAATGAAGCATTTAATGTTTGTGTTTATGAAACAATGAGAAAATATCGTGTGAGAATTTTCCTTTTTTTCTTGCTTTTAATGTTGTTCTGATTAAAAGAGATTTTCACATTCTTTCGTTGTTTATGTTATAAATTTTTTATTTCTCATTGTTTCTCTAACAGAAATTTTAGAAAACATAAATTTCTTTTGTTCTGTTTAAATTCTCAACATAAAAGTTTTATTTTAACACGAAAAGTGCAAGATGAAAATGCTTTTCGAGTTAGACGCTAGCAATAAAAACTTAAAATAAGCTTCACGTAGACGAGACATTCTTTTGTAAGAAACATGAACAAAGGTTTATTTCAGTAAAATGTTAACTCACCACCATAATGTCGAGGATTTAAAAGCTGCAATAGAACAAAATTTAAAAGTCGAGCATGTCGTATGAATGTTGAAATGGTTTTAAAAATCTCTTACCTGTTGGTTTTCTGTGTTTATTGAGAAGGCCGAAGTATCAAACAGAGAGCTTAAAACCAAGCCAAATGATATGAAGATCCACATAATCTGAAGATGAGATAAAAGAATTACAAAAATAAATTTCACTATCAAGTCGAGCTATGAAACTCGACAAGTGTGTGTATGTGCGAGAAAAGATGCTGAAGAAAATAATTTAAAACAATTTCCCCATATCAGACTCCTACATCAGACTATATAACATTCTCAAAGTTCATGAAATTCTTCCGCAAGTTTGAACAGTGATGTTCTGTTTCTTTACTGGAAATTCCACAATTTCATTCCACAAGTGGTTTTTCCATTTTCATCTGAAGCTTAACTTTTTCCTCCTCTTCATTCTTTTTTTTCTTTTCATATGAAACTTAGTTGTGAAGTTCTTCATCTAAGAAATTTATCACATTTTAAAATACCAAATGAGACTTTTGAGACATCAATCGTAAAAGGATTTGACGTGAAATCATTTTCATCTTCAGATTTGCTCGAAGCAACTTTTTAGTTTCAATAAACATTTAGAAAAATGTCCTTCATTGTTTTATTATTAAATTCATTGTGTTCCTAAATCATAACACGCTTTCAGTTTCATTCAATAATTTTAAAAACAACCAAAACGATTTTAAATTTCATGAGACAACATCATTTATAAAGTTTCCCATGACAATAAATCTAAAATGGATCGAGAAAGTTTTAGAAATCAAATCAAAAAACTTTTCGCTTGATTCTTCATTTTCACAAATATTTTATTTCCGCATTACCACAGACATTTCAGGTTCTGTCAGCATCCAACCAAAGTCATAAAACAATTTTCCTCATCACGGAAATTTATCGAGAGTCGTAGAATCTAATAAAATTTTTTATTTCTCAAATTAATTGTTTTTGTTTATGATTTTTTGTTTTGTTCTGTTCTTTGTTTGCTAACATTTTTTTATTATTTTTTATTTTTTTATCGAGATCGTTTCTCGCCCTCACGAGACCAATTTCATTCCTTTCCGTCTGTTGACTGAAGACATTCAAGAGAACGAAAAAAAAAGAAAAATATTTGAATGGAATGAAATCGAAAGGGAAGGAAAGACTTTTGAGATTCGAGGACTTTACGCCTAACGCTTTAAGGAAAAATCAATGTTTTGATTTCGCAGAAGGGTCTCAAGTGAAGCGACAGGCAAATTATTTTTTTATTTTCGACTTCTTCTGTTACGCACCCTTGGTTTTTCATCTCGTCAGAGGATTTTCATCTTTTCTCTTTTCCACAATCGATTTTCCTGTGATAAAATAACAAATAGTCGCTCTATCTTTCAACGTTTATCTTTCGAATTCGTGCACGCCGTCCCATGGGATGAATATTTCAATTTTTTATGGGGATTCTTTTATTCAATAAAAGTTCTTTCTATGGAATTACTATAGAAAATGAAATAAGAAGGAAGAAAAGTTCATTCATGTTTTAAAAAACGTTACGGTACCGGAACTTGCTTTCAAAGGTTTAAATAAAATTTTTGTTTAAAGGGTTGGTTGTGAAGAAAACTGAAAAAGTAGATAACTTGTGTATGTCTTCATTACATAAAAAAGATCGCTCAGATTTCTTTATCAAACTTGAAACTTCCTTTCTTCTATCTTCCTATCTCTCTCTAAAAGGTCTTCAGAAAAAGATAATCCATTGAATTGAATTAAGAGATGAATTTACCTTTAATGCTTGATGAACACAAAATTTCAAGACTCGTTAAATCAACCACAAAAGCATTTGAATAACGCTTCACATTTGCTTGCCTGACTTTGAAAATACTAAAAGGTTGAATTTTATGTGATTTTTTTTTATATCTTTCTCTCATCGACATCGATTCAACCATCAAACCTTTATCATTGGTAAATGAAGCTTTCAGAGAGACTTAAACTATTTCTTCGATAGAAAAATATATTTATTGACATTTTGAAATGGATAATCTGAGCTTAGAATGATAACAACAAATATACAACAAAGGCTTAAAGCAATTGACTGCTTGTACGAGAAATTCATTTTTATTGAGCCACTTGAAGGCAATGGAATCTTTTCATACACACTCTCGTTTATGTAGGTCATAATAATTGAGTTATTTATTTTATGCTTTCTCTTAGTAGCAAAATTCCTTTTATGGGAAAATCGATTATCAAGAAACATTTCTTCATGCTTTATTTCTTTCAAGAAATTCTCAACATTTTTATATGCCGAAGAAAGCAGAAGAAAAACCGCAATGAATCATTTCATTCAAGTCTTGTGCCTTCCCCAAAAATTATCATACATTATTATAGTGAATAACTATCGCTCAAGGAAAACAATTTTTCTTTCATGAAGAATCATAAAGAAAAGCGAATAAGAAAAAAATTGTGATTGTTACACATTTTAGCTATTTATTCGTCTACAATCAATAAAATGTAGAACAAGCTTATGATGTTGTTTATGTGGGAAGAAATTTATCGATTTTTTTTCTCCTCTTCTCCAGTTTACTTTTATTTCATTTTCAAACCACAAAGTAGCACGAAATGAATGAATGAAGAAAGGAAAAGCTGATATCAGGCTATGAAACAACGAGGGAGTGTAAATCAACATAAATTAAAACTTTCCTCGTCAACATTGCGTGCAGCAAATGATTGCAAGGAGAATTATGAACATACGTCTAGAAACTGAAATAAAAACAGAAAACTTTGGCCTACGTTAAATTTCCATGGCATAACTGAGTAGAAATAACGAAACTTTAAATAATTAAAATGAGCTGTTTCCTCTCACGAGTCGTCTGTCGAGTGAACTGTAGAGAAATTAAACTTCAACTAAAAGTAACAAAAAAGAAGTTTTTATGAATATATTTTTATACTCATATGAATTACATAAGAAATGTTTATTTTGCGGAGTGGCAGTGAATATTTCATTTGCGAAACAGACATTTAAAAGAATCTCGTGCAGTGTAATTCTTAAGCAGAGAAATGTTTTAAAACGAGAAACTATTTTAATGTAAATAACTTTTTTTTTATCAACATGGCGTCAAGGCGGAACATAATCTGAATAGTTAAACGAAAATAAATGTTGAAAGAAAATCTAAATCATTACAATCTTGATTACAATTTCTTTCAAAATAATTTCCCGTTTTTATATTCTGAAACAAAGAAAGAGAGAAATAATTAAAAATTCATTAGTTTCTTCATCAGATTTTTATACATGTTGAAGATTCTTTTTATCCTTTAAAATGTAATGCTGAGTCTTGTTTAAGGCGAGAAAAGAAAGAAAGAATGAATGGAAATCCGTTTTATGTAGACATTTATTTTATACATAAATATCCACATTTAAAATAACATGCAAAATATGTTTATTGGATATGAACATTACTTGAAGGTTCATTCGTTAGTTAAACCATTCTCTGTACGTTTACGTTATTATTGCTTTGACATGAGAGAAAACATTTAGAAAAGAATGAAAGGAAAAAAGAAGCAGAAAAAATCTTATGTTGTATAACGAGAAAATAAACATAAGGTGAAGATTTTATCTCATGGAAACAGCAACCCTGTGACAGTTTTTCTCCGAGACAAGCTTTTTTATTTCATTTTAGCAAACGTAAACCGTAACAGAAAAGTCTGACGGATCTCAACCTAATGATATTCTTCTTGTTTTCTCAAGTCGCTTGTTCAAGTGATAAGATGATGCATGGATGGGATGATCGTGAGTCAGTAAGGGCCAAAATTGTCATTAAATATTCATAAACTTTTTGTTTTGAATCTTCTTAAGTCTTCCTAGAAAGCAATAAATCAAAACGTAACCAACACCACATATTTTTTACTTTGTCTTGTCTTTCCTTTTTTCTTCATCATATTTTCTCGTAGACGAAACTAATTTCTTTTTATCACATTACCATCTTATTCGTTAGAAAGTATTCCAGTCTGTTTCTGTCTCTCGTAGCATCCATCAAGCGTAAAAGGAAGAAGGAATAAATGTTGAACTTCTTTCAAAGTCGAATTTCCATTGGACTGTAAAATATCATCACTTGATATCACAATTTACCGCCTCAGTCTCTTTGCTTTTGTTAGAAAGATCTCATTTTCACTTGGTTTCGCTTGTCGGAATTGAAATTATTTTATCAAGCGCAAAAAGCATTTCATAAATTATCCAATTTAGTCTACTGACTTCTTTAAGAGACGTTCGGGAGATTTGTGATGGAAATTTATTAGATAATCACATTCGATTGATGTTTTTCTTTATCTCTTTAACTTTCCTTAATATCCGAAAAGCTTGAAACTGGACACACGAATACCTAAACTAGTTTCTTGGGAAGTATTTATCACTTTGTTATTTATAACATTAAATAATTAAGTATTACTTTAGCAAACACAGTGAAGACTAGACAGGGGGTTGCTTTTCACAATGTTTGCTTCATTTTTTACTTTCACAGTTTGTGTCACACGTTCATATGCTTTTACCACATTAAACATAAATAAATCGAGACAATTTCTTATCACATTAATTTGATTCAACACTGGTGATTATTTCTTGATTTGATATGCTTAAACAATTATTTGAAAACTTTTCTTCCCTTCTATGGGCGTACGTGAATTGAAGGAATCAACCAGAGAATCCGTCCAACTTGATTGAATCCTAAGCGACGACTGAACATTTGAAATGTAAAAAAAATATTTTTCCTTTCTCTCCTGTTTCTGTTGCATGTGTTGGTGAGAATTGAGCTTTTCATACATTTATGAACGTGGAAATTTCTAGCAGTTCAGCACTAACACATGTACACAAGTAAATTATTAGGGAGAAGAATTGTAAGTTAGAGAGAAGATTCAAACGTAAATCAACAGCAATTTACATGCAACATTTTCCTTTTTCTTCACACAACATGAAAAATATTTTCATTCAAGCCAAGCCGGAAAAGAAAACTCACCGATTTTCATATTTAGCGAAAACGGGAAAAATATTTCTTTCGCTTTCCCGTTAATTCGGTAAATGTTTCAGCTGCTCGGCTTAATTGGAAATTATTTTCTCGCCCTTTTGAATGCCGTCGCGGTGTTGGCATGGAAAATGAATCAAGTATAAGAAACATTTGTGTAATGACTCTTAAACGAAAATAATTTATCCTTGAGAAATCTCATTAGTTGTGATTCCTTATCGCATTTATATTTGGAGAGAAATGAATTTGTAAGGAAAGAAGTGTTTTAAAGCTTTAGTTCTTTGAGAGAAGTTTTCAGCTCAGTAATTATGTATTTTGACACCTCCTTAAGGGCGAAGGTAAAATTATACCTGTCTGTTGTCTCTCCCAAGCAACGTTTTGGGACAAGTTGTAGTAACAATATGCCTCCAGAAAAAGGGTTAAGATATAAAATACTTTTGTTATCTAGAGCAAAGATTTGGATGATTTTTCTGTAAAAAAGGATTAAAATGAATCAAAACTGAAATTTTAAATCAGATTTAAATGTGTCAGGGGATGGAGTGTAAGCAAAAGATGCTTTAAATTTATGAAATTGGGGGAGTTATGAAAAATATGCCAGCTTTTAAAGCGAAAGAAGAAATAATAAAATATGAAATGAAGCGTTGTGTGTTGAAAGCTAAACAAAGAAATAAAAAACATATTTATGTCTACATATTGATGACGGTGCGATAACAGAAGCTCTTTAATATAATATCACATAAATAAAGTCATCACCATTTTATGAAACGGCGGATTTGTAAACTGGTAAGGAATTTCCCAGGAAAAACTCTTGTGATGTGTATGAGAAGAAATATAACACAAAGTTGTTTAGGTCGCTAATGTTACGACATGTTTATGAACTTCTTTAGTAACGCATATAAATGAAAACGATGAAAACATTTCATTTTAATGATATGAAATTATATTCAAAAGCTTCCTTTTCACTTTAACCTCAATAAAAATGAGTCTTTGGAATTTAAAGATCGGTCGTTTCGTTACATGTATCAGTTGAATGTCCAAACATAAAAAATAATAAATAAAGAGTTTTGTAATTTAGAAGACGGGAGATAAAAGATATGAAAAATAAAGAACCAAGCATATAAAAAGTCATAAAAGTTCATTTGGCATAAATGTTATAATGATGGAAAATGTATTATTCATAAAGAATGGAAAGGAAAGAACTCAAGCGTTATGATTTATCACCACTTGAAAATGTTTTCGGCAATGTTACCTTAATGTATACACATTCTATTGCTTTGTTGCCTGCCTCCTTTCTTGCAGTAATTTTATTTACATTCAATGCTTTTTTTCTTCTTCTTCTCATTCTCATATCGATTTAGCATGTCGCTTAATGTTCAAGTACTTGTTCTACATTGAACTCTCTGAAGCGTGACGGTTTTTCATTGTGAATGAAATATAAAAAAGGAAAGATAAGCCTCGATTATATTTCAAAACGAGAAGCTTTGTGTTTTTGGTCAACATCTTGCTGTGTAATCACAAAAAAACGAAGATTATCACTTAAAGTCCATCAACATTCATGTCCATCAACTGGAAATAATTTGAAGCTTCTTCGTCAGTTGATGACATGATTTAAGAGTTTTGCATGAAATCGATTTTGTCGGTAACAAGCTGTGTAAATTCTTCATTATCGTAACAAAGCAATGCGAGAAACTTTACTCCACTTGAAGGCGTTTAGTGTTGTGAATAGTTATTGACAAAATACTGTGCAGAATATCTGATTAGATTTACTACTTGAGGAACTGCATGAAATCGTCGAGGAAATTGGATTCTGGGTGCACAACAAAAAAAGAAAAAACTTTTTTGTCATCCTCTCTTCCAATTCGTATTCTTTCTTCATGAAGACGAGATTCTAAAATGAAAAATTTGTTATAATGAAAGCTTGATTCGATTCGGATGAAAAAGTTTTTTTTTCTGTCGCTTTTACTGTGTAAATGAAAATTTCCCAACATTAATCGACCAGAAAATCAACAGTAAAAATGAGTTTCTTTAGCGAAGTTGCGAAGCGATTACTGTGCAGTTTGTGTTTGTCAACATTGATGACAAAGAAAAGAATTATCTGCTTGTTCATTGAAAGCTTTAAATAATCTCACGGTTTGAATTTTAAATCATAGAAAATTACTTTAGAAATTTTGTCTCACGCATAAAATTGATTACTTTTTGATTCGCGTTGTTGCTGTTTTGCATTTTCCACCCACACAAAATACGCAAGCTAACGCATGTATTTATGGAGTGGAAAAACTTTTTCGATTTCTGTGGGTGGAAATATCTTAATGAGATTGTAAACGAGTGGTTTAAAATGCTTCAGTTGCAGTCATTTCAATCGATCCATTGGCTTATGAATTCACGATTATTTAATGTCGAATTATGAAAATCTAACTGAACTTAAGAGCAATTTAATAATCTAAAAATATTTGGATTTAAACATTTTTATAAATGAATGTGCTCAAACATTGAACTTTCGTTCCACGACTCATCAATCATGAATTTTAAATGTCAAAAACAAATGGAGATTCTATGAAAAACTTTAAATTGCTTTCTGCTTTCATTTTCTTTCATCATCCAACTTTAATTGATCAAGTGTTGATATGGAAAAGATTGAAGCGTAAGAGTGCAACAAAAAGATCATCAATCAAATATTTTCTATCGTCAATGATACAATATGACTCTTGATGTGGGTGGGTTGACTATGAAGAAGACGATGATAAATACAAAACATAAACTCTGCTGACACAATGACAAAAATAAATCAAAATCAAGTGACCATCGTAAATCCAATTTATTGTCTCTAAAAACTGTCAATTGCTGCCATTTTCAAAGCTTTCAAAAAGAAATTTCTCGACCCAAATGCATTAAAAAGCTTTCGTTTTGTTTGCCTAAAAGCTTTTCTTGTTTTTATTTTCAATTCAAAAGATGTAAATCTATTGTTGAGACAAAAACACGAATGAATATTGAAGGTCAATGTTTTCCATCCAAACAGAGCTCTGTGAATGCTGTTTGCGTTATCATAAAATGTTATTATCAAGTCATTTCATTTCATCCTCCATCGTTTGTTCACCATTAGAGTATTACTTCACTAACTCGCGTCATAATCATCGTCATCATCATCAGCTAGCAAGCAACAGCGGTTGGTCATTTAAATACAATAGAGATGAAAAATCTTCATTGAATAAACATTGTGTCTGGGTTTGAAAGGGTAAATTTATGTTACAAAGCATACCGCAACAAAGTGTTGAATGAATGTGCAGAAAATTCAATTAAAAATTATGACCGCAATCAGTCACCAATGTCACGAGTCATTGCGAGAATATTTGCAAAGAAACCATGAACGAGCACCATTGAATGTCGTTGTAATGCTTTCCATTTTCATCATCAAAGACATTTTTAATTTAACATGAGCACCAACAATTTTTCACACAATTAAATATTCAACACATGAGAAGCTGCTTTTTTCTTATCCATCGTCTCTCAGTCATAAATTACAAGTTGAAGTTCCGTTTTTATCTTGTTTCTTTTTTTTGCTTGAGAATTGACTTTATTATACTAAATCATTGGACGACAAGACAGCAAGAAAATGAATTGATTGCAAAAAGAACTTTTAGGGGGGAAAAATCAGAAAAAATTCACACAAACGGAAGACTAGAGAAGACGTAAAGCAACATTAGCTTTTTCGGTCAATGCAGTAAAATATAATTGTTCACGCTTAATTAAATCTTTGAGCGTGTATAAACTCTTAAAAGCTTTCAAGAACTAGAACGAAGCAAGGTTTAATCTCTGTTTTGTCTCATTACTCAAATGGTAATCTACATTGAACAATTATTGAGTCAGCGATTTCTTCGCTTATTTCATGAGTCAGCAAAAGCTTCATTTCACTCTACACGTTGACCATGTCTGGATAATTTTCGAGGGATTTTCATTCGTGTTCTCATATTCATGCTCAATTTACTCGAAAGGATTCGGTAAGTCTACGAATAATTGGGAAATGTTTAGTGAGATGGAATGATGGGATAATTGGAATTCTTTCTCACATTCACTTCACAAACGCCCTCAACTTATGATATTCAACCAAACCATTCACGGAAAGGGGTGAATCAACAAACAACAATGATGGAAGATCCTTCCTTTGTCAATAAATCAAAATTAAAATCTAATCACGACAGTAATGAAAGGTTGATGAGACTCTACAAACAAAAGCTTTCTCATTCGTCATATGAAAGTCACAATCAATCTCAGTCGCTAGTCAGAACATCGAAATGTTATCAGAAGAAGTTTTGTGGGAAGGAATAAATCGGAATGTCAATAAATCCCACAATAATGATTTCTTTATCATAAATAAGAAATTTACAAGCTTACAACTGTCACTACTCGCAATCACAACAACAGTCAAAGCCGTAAGGTTGGAATGCTTTTTCTGTTTGTTTTTCCCGATGAGCTTTGGAGGAGCTTGATTGGCATATTGATTTTCTTCTTTCTCTTCTTTCTTTTCGGTGCCATCGTCGTAACTCGTAACAAATTAAATCGATTCGGTTTGATGTTTTTTTGGAATAAATTCTGTGATTTATGCAGTTCCTGTCGGGCTTTTTCCATAATTTCTTAAAGACGAAACTTTTAAGGGTTTAAAAATATTATAAAAAGCTTTTTAAAATCGTTCATTTCAAGTTGAAAAGGAAGTTTTTATCCTGAGTGAAATATTCGTTTGAGTTCCATATTTATGTACTTTTATGATTTCGGATTTTGTGAAATTTAAATATTATTCCATGTGTGGATGTTTGAAATGAGTTTTAAAACTAACAAACATTGAAAGTTGGAAATTGTGTCGGATATCTCGGAAATGAAGGAAGTTTGTTATGAGTATTCATCATATGATAAAACTAGATTACAAAAGATAACATGATGCTCATCAATCAAGGTTTAAAGTGACAGTTTTTTGGGAGCTCGATGTTAAACAAACATTATCTGTCATGTGTTTGTGTGAAGAAAGCAGTTATCATGCTGATAAATCTTTCATAAATGAAAGCATGAGAGAACAAACAAATATTTAATCATCTCAAGTCATTCATTTTTCTTCTTTCTTTCTCGAAGATGAACTTTTACTTTTTAACACCTCAAAGCTTAGGATTATTGTTGTAAGGAAAATCCAATTTTCTCAAGCCTCAAAGATATGAATCTTCGGGATAATTGTGCCTATAAATATATTCCACCGCTTAAGACATAAATACGTAGGAAATTTTCATCAATTCGAGATTTTTATTAGACGCTTTTCTCATAAATTTTATTCTTCTTTGCTTAAGAGTCAACATGATAAACCTGTGTGCTCCTCTTGTTGCTGGTTGCTTGCTTATGGTGAAGAAAAACCATTTAATTTTATTCATGAAGATTAGGAGCGCTGCTATGGGCTAAGAAATTTATTGTTTTTGGTCAAAAAGTTCTCAAGCGACATTAATCTGCTTTTTTTCCTGGCTTTAAAAGTTCCAACGTGATGCCGGGAAATTTTTATATTGCTTCTGAATGGATTTTTAAACGAATAAATGCAAAAGCTAATGGAAGGTTTAGGTTTCTATGTTCAACATAGTCACTTTATAAATAATTTATGATGTTGGGAAATATTTTATTTCGTTCTACTTCCTGTCTTTCTTGTTGATTTGCTGTTTAAAATGAGACTGTCTGACATTTAATGCTTCACATCAACTCTTCTTTTGAACGCAATCTCTGAAAGATAAAATTTTGTTTTTTCAATCAAAATGTTTTTCCTATAAGAAAACTTATGAAGAGACACAAAAATATGTTGTCGTAACAACGTTAGAAAGGAATATTTTTATTACTTATTCATCTGCTGATACTTCACGATTTTAAATATTCATTTTCAATATAAAAAACTTCTTCGTTTGAAAATTCTTTTTCTCTTATATAAAAATGTCTATGACAGGTCGAATTGATTCAATTTAAGATGAAATATTTAATGAAATTCCATGATCAAATAAGGGCAAGTAGAATAGAATTTCAGAATCTGATTTCATTAAATTGCTACATGAAAAGCTGTCATTGATCTCTAGGATTGAGAATCAAAATCTACCTTTAGTAAATAAATACAAAAATAATTGAATTTTCAATCACCTGGAGATATTTTCACATATTTATTCATTTGTCTCTGTTGATTCCAATAGGTTTAGCATAATGAATTTAAATGAATTAAATTTGTAAAGCAAAATAACTAAGCATAAAAAAATTCTACTATCAAAAGAGTCGCATTCGTTATCCCCAATTTAATTAACTGTCATTTGAGAAATAAATTTGTTTGACTTTTGTTTGTACTTAAAAATTTTAAAACTCATGCTAACAATTCAATACAATAAAATTTCTATTCCATTAAAAGCAAAACATAAATCAAAAAGAAACAAACAAATTTATTTATTTGCGTTTAAATACCATAATTTATTTTTCATCGCTCACAAAAGTTTTTAATGAAAAATTCCGGAAAAATGAAACAATTCTTTAGTTGGGAAGTTTAACAATGTTCATGCACTTTCCACTTTCCACTTTCTAATAAATCAACACAAATCCGACTTTTCAATAGACAACAATGTAAAATGACATGTTAATGCGACCTCAACATAATAAAACAAGGATTTAACAATGAAAATGAGACTGCAAAGCCCTTTTATGTAATCTCTTTCTTCGCTATATCTAGGCAGCTTGTGCATACATGAAATGGTAGACGAAGCCGAAGGAGAAGTTGATGAAGTAGATTTAACAGGATATCACTTGAAAACAAATGGATAAAAACTTATTGTTCATTATTATCTAAATGAAAAGTTACAAATGTTTGCATCACATCATCAAATTGCAATCAAATCGAATTGAGCTTTCCTAAGCGCTTCAAAACATCCGATAAGTCGGTTATATTGAATGGAAACAAAAGTAGAAAAAGGACGAAAGGATATCAATATCAACAACACAAAACTTTTAATCGACTCGAGGCTTATAACTTTTCTTTTTGTGCTTATTTTCACTGATTAGCTTCTCTGTCGATTTTCCCTTCGAAAACTTTTTTCTCCTTTTTTTGTCTGACTTTCATTTGCCATTACAAAAAAAAAATAGAAATCCGAAGATACATTAGCAGTTTAGCAATAGATTGCTTATTGAGTTTTCCTTATTTTCGTTAACTGAAATACTCAATTTTCCATGGCAAATAAATAGCAAAACATCAATTCGCCAATCGTTTCCACAAAATGTACAAAATTGTTAATTAAAAACTGAATTAAATTGCCAATCATTTCTCTTCCATGTGCATTGCATCACTTCAGTCTATAGAATTTCCTTGTGTTCTCTTCCCCACTCCCCTATGCTGGGAATACATGCAGACAGAATTTTTTTCCTCAGTTCGTGTTGTTATTAAAACATAGAAAAATGATGAACAAAACATGCCTTTAATTACTGTCTTAAATTGGCAACAATTAAAAATTAAATAAATGCGAAGTTTAAAGTGGTGAATCATTCATTTATGAATTTCTCCAAAATCTATTGAATCATTTAACAAACTTTTTGCTTTTAGGGAAAATCTCATTAGTCAGTAATTAAACAATACGGAAATAGAATTTCAATTGGCATAGTTTTATTACTTTCTGTGGAATCAGCATGATGTCCGCCTTTTTTTTACTGCCAAGGAAGCGATCATTTGAAAGTTTATTTCAAATTAAAATCAACAATGTTTCATACAACATAAAAGCTTTTTCCTGTTTTCTGCTGCTTGTTGACTGACAAAAGCGAGAGAGTGAAAAATTATTGATGAGAGAAATAATTTCTCTCTCATTCTAGCACTCACACTACTACAAAAAAAACTCGATGATGAGATAATAATAATTTCCTTGAAAAACATGATAAATTCTCAAACATCAATTGTTGACTTCAACAGAAGAAAAAAATGAGCTCATAGAAAGCATAAATGGGAAAAATATGCTCATCGTAAATAATAGATGAGCAATGAGCATAGATGTGAAACATGAAGAACAAATATCGGAAAATATAAAAGATGCTAGCTTAATTATGCTTGAAAACAAAAGTTTTATTGTTCTCCTTAGATATTTACTTAAGTTCCCCTAATGAAATATAAAGAAAGCGAAAATAAAAAGGAAAATCATCTCATGTTACTGACAAGAAACAAGCAGTTTTCTTTAAATTAATTTATACACATTGAAAGAGAAAAAAATCATGATTTAAAGCTGAGAAAAGAAAAATGAAGGCCTGAAGCAAACAACAACATCATCAACACGAATTTTTACGAGAAATAATTTTTATCAATCATCTAAGAAAAAGCGGAGGAAGTTTTCACCTCGCACACTATCGTCGTTATCCTTTCTCATCGATAATCTAATAAAACAGGATCATTATTTGTTATTCCATCTTATCCATAGTAACAACATCATATAGAAATAACATTCATAGTCATAGCATCATGAAGGATACAAAACTGAACCCAAACACCGGCAATCGTCATTTGAACACACAGATTGCTTTGCCTCGAGGACTTTTACAGCCTTTTGGTCTTTAGCACCATTTCAATTCTCTCTCAACAATTTTATCAAAATGTTTAGCTTCATTTTCTTTATCAATTGGGCTTGTTATCGTAACGAAAGAATTTTTGAAGAAGAAAACGGAAATAGAATTTCATTCTAAGGGTGTTTAAGTATGTAAGTTCACTTGAAAGTTTCTTCGAGATCGTTTAAAGTGTCGACTTTGTCAACATATGTCATCAGAAATGTCTTCAACTGATAGGCGAGAATGTTTTCTCATGCAAATATTTACAAAGCTATAACAACATCTTAAGCGTGAGTTTAAATGAATTTCAAGCTTTGATTTTTTTTTCATATCCCTCATCTTCAAAAGGAAGCATTTTTAAATCCAATTTATAAAAAAAGTTTCACTCGTCTTCTCATCTCACATACATAATGTAAAAAGGAAAAAACTTTGACATGAAAATCTGTAAACATAAATTAAAGAGAAAAGTCTAATTAAGATATTTTCTTGAGCCCGACTTTTCACATTTAATTTGTTTCTAAGCAGTGAGAAAGTGACGAACATCAGAATTTGTTTTACATCATTCTTTGAGATTGAAAAGACTTAATGTGACAACATCAACGTTGAACTGTAACTTTTGATCACAAAGCACCCTCGTTATTGTTGCTTAATGGCGTAGCAGTACCATGAAAACTTCGTCTCGTCATCAACAGCGTAATTCACAATCGTTTCCTCCTATTAAACCTTCTTCCTTCTGTTTAAAATAAATAGACTTAGTATAGATGTTTTCAAACGATACTTTACAAGTTTTTGTACGTTCCTGACATTGCTTACATAGAAAGAGAGAGAAAAAAGAAGCTTTAGAGACATCCTTGGTAGATAAATCACTTGAAAAGTTCTTTTAAATTTGTTACCAAGGATTATATGAAACAATTTGTTTTTGATTCAATGAATAGATTTTCGCTTCAAGCTATCAACACGAACATAACTGCGGCTTCTGTTTCTAAAACTTCTCTGTTATGCGATCATCTTCAATGTTTAAGACAACAGGAAAACTCTCAATCGTGAAACTTTTAATTGCACGATATACTTGAAAGCTCAACTCACAATGAATAACGAGAAAGAATTTTTTACAATATTTTTGATTGTTGAAAATGTTTTTCAGTTTCCTTCTAAAGATGAAATTTTTATAATAAGAATGATGAACTTCAAACATTTGTTGAAATGTTTACTTTCAGAATTATGAATTCTTGTTATTTATTTGCAATCTTCTCTTCATATTTCTTGTTAATTTCCTCTATCAAAAAAAGTTCTCCGTTATGACTTTAAGCAGATTTATCGACATACTTAAAATACAAGCGAAGTCTGTTCTCATTCCATTTTCAAACTTTTATCGCATTCTTTGATATCTACTTAGACGCTTCTCAGAATGTTTCTTCCTTTTGTTGTGAGAAAAATGTTCAAAAATTCTCAAAAGCATTTAATTTGCTACCATGGAATGCTTGTTTGTTTCCTTCAGGGACTAATACAACACTTTTGTATGGGTGGAGCTATGAAGTCAATAATTCTATATTTATTGTACTGTTAGAAGAGGATTTAACTTGAAATTAATTTTGGAATATGTGACGTAACATTCATTTGCATCCATAAAGAATTCAGTGAAAAGTTTCCTTCGCGTTTTTCAGATTCTTTTATTTCTTTACCTTTCTCCACACCTCACAATAGATAAGTAGATGTATGCAATGGATTTGTTTTGCCAACGATCTTAGATTCATGTGTGTACTTTGCGTATTTGTCTGAGCTTTCAAACGTCTCCAGGATTTAAAAGTAGTATAGGAAGAAAAACCCTGAAAACGTGATTCAAATTCTACACTCGTTAGAATGAAAAAGCGAGAAATAAAATGAAAAGAAATCTCCTTTGAGACGACAGAAAGCAAGGAAAGATGTGAATGAAGAAATAAAAGTTTTAAGTGAAAGGCGAAAATTTGAAAGAAAGAAAAGAAATGAATGGAACATGGTTGAGTATAAACATCAACAGAAACATCGTCTTGTTATTTTCCTTCCATTGCATGAAACGCTTTAATATCTTGAAGCTTCTTATTAAGACGTGTGATGACTTCACAACGATCAATTAAGATTCATTCGTTACTTACTTTCTTATTTCGTTAAAGAACATCATGCAGACAAGGTCTAGGATAACACGAGTAAACGTCATTAGACAAAATGCGGTCAAGAGGCAAAACAATTTGTCATGCGAACATATTTTCTCGTGCCTCATATAAACAAAAGCAAAGCTGTCGGTCTTGTCTCATGAAAAAGAAATATTTTCAACAAACATCACTCATGAATAAATTATTTGATAACATATATGAATACAGAATAAAATGAAAACATGAGTTTTGGTTCTAAGTTGAATTGAGAGACGGAAAGAGAGATGAAGAAAAATTACAAAAGCATATTCTTATCAGTCGCTTTTATGCAAATCTCAGTAATTCTAAGAGAAATGTTGGAAGCAATTCAGAACCACAATTCATTCATGTTCTGTCGTTTATGTAATGAAGTGCGAGTGTGAGATTACACAAAGTTAAAGAAAGGAAAAAATGTTTGTTAAATTTGCAGTTCTTATAATTCTCATCGTGCCAAGTGGATTCTGTAAGAAATTTTCACATAAAGTTAATGATTATGGAATTCTAATTATGAAACCTTTCATTTAGCATTCCCTTACAGAGAGAATAAAAGAATTGCTTCACGTGGAAGATCAAGAGCTTGTTCGCCACCTCGACTTGTAAATGGCTTCGTGACTCCACTTTACAAGGGAAAAATGATGAGATTTGATTGTAATAAAGGCTACAGTAGATTAGGCGAACGTTATTCGGAATGTTTAGGTGGACGGTGGTCTGTGTACACATTCCCAATCTGCATTAGTAAGAATTTTATTATTTTCCCCAATCAATGACTCATTCATTCATTCAGAAATGCGAGAGAGAATCAGAAAAAAAGAACAATTACAAACACATATCTTTTGTCTTCTGTAACAGAAGCCGGATGTCCGATAATCAAAACGCCAGAGAATGGAAAAATTACTTATTTGAATGCCAAAGCTTCTGCGATGTTATTCTGCGAACCAAATTATGAAGCTGTCGGAAGCAGTTTTGCACATTGCAATGGAACGCAATGGGATCGAACTTTAGGATCATGTCGTGAAACAGACAATGGACCAGCAACGTTTTGTGATTTTGAAAGTGAGAATTTATCAACAAAAATGATGAAAATTTTATTTTTAAAAATATTTCTCACATCAAAGGCGAAAGCATTTGTGGATGGGTACATGACACGGATCATGATTTTGACTTTGAACGACGTAGTGGATTCAATAATAAAACAATTTCCATGGTGACCGGTCCACATGCCGATCACACAACTGGGATTCCTTTTCAAGGACATTACATGGTTATAAACACAAATACTGAGGTTTACACCAAGAGAACGCGACTTATTTCACCATTATATAAAATATCTGCAAAAACATTGTGCTTCAAGTTTTATTACCACATGTATGGCATCAACCTGGGGATTCTAAGAGTTTATGTTAAGCCCGAAAGTGCTGAGATGCAAAGCATTCTTCTCTTTGACGACATGGAAAGCGAAGCTAGAAATGATTTTGTCGTTTTTGAGATGAAAGGTAAGAGCGTAGGGCGTTTCTTGGAAAGAAACTTCTTTTTGAAACAAATTGAAAGGCTGATTTCGTTCTGACAACATAAAAACTCCGGGAAACCCCCCACGATAAATTCCCGACACAAAAATCCCTACACAAAAAGAGAGAGAAACGATTGCGGGTTGTTAAATAATTCTATGAGTCATTCACAGGTTCCCAAGGCAATTCATGGCGTGAAGGTAGTGGATTCATAAAACCACTCAATGAGAGCTTTCAGGTTTGATTAATAAATATTTATGAGAAGAAAATAGATGAAAAGTTTTCTCGTTCTTAGATCGTAATCGAAGCAATTTCAGGTCAGACGAGACTCTCTGACATAGCATTTGATGATGTGTCGATAATGTCAGATGACGAATGCATCGACGGTGATAGTGAAGATGATGATGAGAAAAATTTAAAAGGAAATGATGACGAAGACGACGATAACGATGGAATTCTATCTGTCGAGTCTTGTGTGAATCGATGCTTCGAAGACAGAAATTCCACAGTCCAATTAAATGCCAATCAATCGTTGAGTTGCAGTTGTGCTAGCGACTGTGAAGTAAATGTGTCATGTTGCCCAGATTTCCTTGGTAAAAATCAAAAGAAAACTGTTGATTGAACCATAAGTTAATTGTTTTGATGTTTTCTCTTTTAAGATGTCTGCTTTAGAAATTTGTCAACTTTAACAGCATCGACAACGGCAAGAATGATGGCAACGAAAACGACGAAGACTTCTACCGTGAAATTGACAACAACAAGACAAACATCAACTTCAATAACAAAAGCAAAGATCATGCCAACAGCCTCCAGTACGATTCGCAAAACCAATTTGAATGATGTCAAAAAATTCACTTCATCAACAAAAGAAACTGCGCCTCAAGTGACACCAACTGTAAAGGTCAATCAGAGAATGCCTCAACGAAATTCAATGTTCAATCAGACGGAAGAAGGTGAGATGAACCCGACACAAATGCTCAAGGACTACGATGATATTCTCGGAAATATTGAAAGTGAAGACGATCTTGAGTTAGAAAATGATTTTGAGTCTGACAACATCATGAATGAACGATTTATGATGAAAACAAATAGTGATGGCTTCGATATGTCATTTATAATTAAAGCTTCAGTCATAGTCATATCAACAATATCACTTTCGATTATTGTGTTCATTATAGTTGTGAAACAATACAAGAAGTCAACGAATCCTTTGAATTACAAGGAAAAGCAGGAAAGTGCTTCAAAGCAAGCAAATGAAGAGTTCAGTGAAATAAGATATTTAACTTCGGATGAAACATTAGATTTTAATCTTGCATCACCCGACAGTGTCACTGATTTGTAAGCGAAACATTTTTCTTACCTTTCATTGCAATTCAAACCTCTCATTAAGATTAAGAACGGAAAATGTTAGAATGGAAATGAAATTAATGTTCGCTTTTCATGCGATAATCGTGAAATTCCCTTTTGTTCCACCTTTAAATCTTATCGCTTTTCTCCTTTTGATAATATGAAAAATAAAAATATTTCTTTCGTGACAAAATTGAATTGTTTTAATAACATGACATTTTCACATTTGCATGTTTCAAGATTCATTCACCAGACGCTGCGTGCTGGTGGAGATTATGTCAACATTGATTATCAGTCAGTCTTTTTTTCTGACAAATTACATTTTTCTTTTTCTGTTACTCTGCTTCGTATTTTTTTTATTCTTTTCTCTCTCGCACAACGACGATGACGACGACGACGACGACATGTGTGAAAAAATGTGGTAAAAGTATTTGCGTTTTATGATTCATAAGAAAAATCCTTTGGGGCAAAAGCGTAAAGTGTCAAACCCAAACATATTTTTTATCAAGAAGCATAAAATATTGTTTCACTGTTTGAGATAAAAAATAATTCTAAATTTCGTTGTAAAAATACTTTTTTCTTGTTTTTGTAAATCCTTAAGTTGAGCTTGTGAAAATGAAACATTTTTCTGGTCTTTTGGGTTTGTTGTTCATTCAGCTGCTTAGTTAACTGAGTTACTGCTTTTGGCAGTGAATATCAAGTATGCTGTTCACATGCAAATTCCCAAGCAACTAATCTTTCACTCTCATATTTATTTAACTTTTTTTTTCTTTCCCTTCATTCTGTGTAGTGAATTTTATATTTTTGTTGACCATGTGGCTTCAACTTTGATAGCATGCATGCATGCATGAACATGCATTCGAGAACTTATTTAGTTTCCACTTTAATCTCTCATGTTGTGCATGTGGGTTATGAATTCAAATTGCTTAATGAATCTCATATATGCATAAAACTGAAGTGGTAGAACAAGATAACGTTGAAAGTGATGAAAGAACTTTCCAGAAGCATTGAAGTGTGAAAACCATGAGAAAAGATTCCATTTCAGTAAATAATTGCTGAATATTTCATCAAGAAACGTCCATTAATATAAATGCTCAATTTATTCTTTTAAATGATTTAATTTTCTTCGGCATTTTGCTTGCACAAACTTACTTTTCCGAGATTGAAAAATCAACAAGACGAAACTATCGCATCAGAAAGCTTTCAAAATAATTTACGTTTTGAATTGACTACAAGATTTGATTTATTAGAAATGATTTTAAAACAGAATTTATTTGACTTAGGAACAAAAAGTCTGATAATAAAAATAATTAAATTACCATCAACTCAAAGTATTTTATTTTCCTGATATATAAATAATTTTAATCAAATGCATCGATAGAAATTGGATTTTACTAATTTTCATGAGATTTGATATTTTTAAGAAAAATCTCAGTTTGCTTTTGAAGTGACACATTTTAACTCAAGAGTGAGATCTTTTGGGTTAAGATAAAAGTGAGAAAGCGTTAAAAAAAATGAAAAAATATTTAAATTTAGGATTATTTATTGTAACTGGTATAGTTTATGGAAGTAAACTCGTGGCGCTCGAATATCCGTAGCAAACCCACAACAGAAAATTAATAAAGAAGTTTCTCTTCATAATTAATAATTTGATGCATTAATGGCTCTTCCTTTCATCTCATTTCTTTTAACTACTTCTCACTTAAACTTACTTTTACGAAATTGAAAAATCAACAAGACTTTNAATACTTTTTTCTTGTTTTTGTAAATCCTTAAGTTGAGCTTGTGAAAATGAAACATTTTTCTGGTCTTTTGGGTTTGTTGTTCATTCAGCTGCTTAGTTAACTGAGTTACTGCTTTTGGCAGTGAATATCAAGTATGCTGTTCACATGCAAATTCCCAAGCAACTAATCTTTCACTCTCATATTTATTTAACTTTTTTTTTCTTTCCCTTCATTCTGTGTAGTGAATTTTATATTTTTGTTGACCATGTGGCTTCAACTTTGATAGCATGCATGCATGCATGAACATGCATTCGAGAACTTATTTAGTTTCCACTTTAATCTCTCATGTTGTGCATGTGGGTTATGAATTCAAATTGCTTAATGAATCTCATATATGCATGAAACTGGAGTGGTAGAACAAGATAACGTTGAAAGTGATGAAAGAACTTTCCAGAAGCATTGAAGTGTGAAAACCATGAGAAAAGATTCCATTTCAGTAGATAATTGCTGAATATTTCATCAAGAAACGTCCATTAATATAAATGCTCAATTTATTCTTTTAAATGATTTAATTTTCTTCGGCATTTTGCTTGCACTTTTCCGAGATTGAAAAATCAACAAGACGAAACTATCGCATCAGAAAGCTTAAAAAAATGAAAAAATATTTAAATTTAGGATTATTTATTGTAATTGGTATAGCTTATGGAAGTAAGTTATATGAATTATTGAAAAATAGTAAAAAAAGAATTAGAAATGTAAGTTTTAATTTAGATTGTAATGAAATATTTATTTATGATTTAGAAGATTTAGAATATTAAAAAAAAACTCGCTCAATGTGATGAAATAGTGAAGGTTCATGTGTTCAACTCATGCTTGTCTTCTTCATTATGAAAAAGTTTGCTAAGTTAGTAAAATTAATAATACTTCAATACGAATTTTTCAATTCAATTTAATTGCAAGAATTCCATCAAACTTTTTACCTTTTCTCATGTCTTCAATTGTGAATCCATCAGATGATGCAGCAAACCCGTAGCAAACCCACAACAGAAAATTAATAAAGAAGTTTCTCTTCATAATTAATAATTTGATGCATTAATGGCTCTTCCTTTCATCTCGTTACTTTTTACTACTTCTCACAAACTTACTTTTACGAAATTGATAAATCAACAAGACTTTTACATTCGAAATAATTTATGATTCTCTTCCTTTCTCATGTTATTAATTTTTTGAATTTGAAATGCAAAATGGAATCTTTCTGCAAGATATCTCGGATAGGTTTGGAATCCTATGAAATCTCAATCAAGTCAATTTATCAATCTTTAAGAATCTTCACTCACATACACACAATGATGGAATTGAAATCGAAAAAGGCTTCTCGTCGGTAAAATGGTTCATCATCATAGTAATTTCTCAACGAGTTCTTGAGCTTTTCTTTACATCTGAACTTTGTACAATCTTTGATGGTGCTTCTTTTTTAAATGGAATCACATTTCACTAAAGGTTCGATGAATGTAGGTCGAAATAAGAATGATATCGAAAGACGAACAAACACATAGAATAAGTATTTAGATTTTCTCAGGCACATTGAAAGTTTCTGCTGCAAAAATACCTATTTGAGTAGATTGATGAAAAGTTTAAAGAAGAATAAGAAAAGAAGAATTTCTCAAACAAATATGAAGCTTTTAGATGATGAAATTTTATTCGCTCGCTTGCTATCGAGAATCAGAATTTTAGACTTCAATGGATGAAGAAGGAAATTTTTTTTGAATTCATGATAGACGTCAGTGGGATGAATATAAACACGTAAACATCGGCATATTCAAGAAAAAGGATTTGTTAAATCGCTTGGCAAAAGGATGATTTAAATCGGATAAAAGTGTGCATAAAAAACCAAAATCAAATTTAATGTTGAACGTAAAAGTTAGCTTTCACAGATGGGATTAATGTAAGCTCATCATTTCGTTTTTGTGTTGCTCAATGAATTTCAGATTAATAAAAAAAGATTTTCCTTACACTTCTTGTGGAACAAAATAAAAAGGGAATAAAAATAATGTTTAGCCTCAAAGCAACGACAAAACTTGCGTACATTCGATTATGATTACTCACTGAATAAAAAAGAAGCCATTCTCACCCACGCAATTTATATCTACGTATTTATTCACAAACACTTAATATCAGAATCCGATATTGAAATGTAAATTTACATAAAAATCCTTCCATTTTATTCGAAAGCAATAACTCTCACTTCTTTCAATTTAAACATTTTTCCAAATCATGAATCACACACAATATTCGACGAGGTAAAATAAAAGATGCAAGAGTTATGTTACTCTTCCGTTGTGCTTAAACCACATTGTGTTAGAAAAACAAAAGCGATTTCTTGAAGCATGTGGAACATGTGTTTGACTTTTATGTATGTTGGTTGAGAGAGAGAGATGGAAAGGGAGAAGTTTAATCTTCATTTTGTATTGTTCTCTATTCATGATTGTTGTCTTGAAGTTGTGGAACCACATTTGTCGCATCATTAGTGTGAAAAGAATAATTAAAATAATGTTCTGATGTGGTTTAAGAATGTTCTAGTTATGATCTTAAGCTCAATATGCACTGTCAAGTTTCTCATAATTATGGTGTAGTTGAAATAAGAAAGAACTACGACAACTGCATTTGAAATGACAGTGAAGCTCATTAATGATCAACCTTAATCCTTCACTGTCTTTAAATATAAATCCTCGGAATTATTTTTGATGTGGGGGTGTTGAAAGCGTAAAATGAAACCTTGAAGAAAGAAATTCGTTTAGCGTATGATTTTTACTTTTGTCACTCTCGCATTAACCTTCTTGTATAGCTTTCACTCAAAGGTTTCCACTGATGAAGATTAAATTCTAGACAATTAATTAATTAGAGCAATTAATTAATTAACGTCAAAATACCAGCTAGTAGCTACTCGTCTTTTTCCTTTGGATTTATATGCAATTACTTTGCTGTAATGTCACGAGAATGAAAAAGAGATTTAAAACCACGAAAAACGAGAAACATGCAGTTAAATTAAATTAAAATGAAGAGCATTGTGGATGATGACAGATGATGAATATTTATGTGTTGGCATCATAAATATTTTATTCAACACTAATAGACGCTTTTCTTTTTCAGATATGGAATATCACAGCAAAACAGAAAAATTGTCTTCTTCTTTCCATCATAGATCTCAGATGAAATTTCCTAGCTAATTATGTTCTTAATGAAAAATTATTGCCGTTTGTTGTTGTGCCATTGCATAGTGAAAGGGAGAAGGGGAAGATGAATTAATATAATGAATGGTCGTTTTTAATTTACAGCAAACAACTTTCTGCTCTCATTACAACTCTTCATATATTTGCAGTAACGTTTTTTGGCTTTAAGCATTCTAATTATGTTGAGTGTGTACTCCAATGGGCAAAATCACAAAAGAATTTCTTACAAAAAGTAAAACGGAAAGAAGAAGGAAGAAGAAAGATTTCATTTCGCTTTTTGTTTCATTCCAATTTTTCAATTGATTTTCCGCCCATTATTTTCAACTTAAGCTCATATTACACAGCAATTTTCCTTTATTTCCGTTCTTTTCTCTCGTTCGATGATATTCCCATTACGCGACGCATTTACTTACTTCCAACATGAGAATAAATATTTCCTTTGCTTTCTTTCATCACCGTCACAATGCGAAGCTTACAAAAATCCGATATTTGGAAGCTGAGAAAGTAAAGAAAATGAATGTTTATGGAACAACAATATGCTTTCAATTTGCTTTTGTTTGTGAAATATTTATGACAAGATGAGGTAGAAAATTGATGATGACTAAATGATAAGATTGAATGCTTTGCTTTATGGTTTGTTTCATTGTTATGGTCATTTAGTATCTCATCTCATAGATAGAAATTGTATTTAGTGGAAGAACAAGAGTTGAATGAGTCTTCTCCATCATCAACCCGGAAGAACAATAAGTGAACTGGAAAAATTGTCACTTCCATCTTACACGAGTCATTTGCTTTCATTTCTCACTTTCAAACGCCTCGAAAACCTTCAATGACCTTGTTTATCGGATGAAGTTTATCAGATATCATGGACAAATCTTTCTTGATATTGAAAGTCGTCGACCCGTACCTTAAGCGGCATGACAACTTTCTGTAATAAATCTGAAGGTAATATGATAAGTTCAGCTGTGGTTTATTTATTTCGTAGAATATTTCTTGGTCAAAGAAGGAAAAATATCCAATTTCATTAAGCTTCAGACTAATTATAATGAGACATGAAATTTATAAGTTAATTTTAGTTTGTTTCCATGCAGATAGAAATTAAAAAGCAGAAGTCGAGTTGCTAGTCTAACAAACAGCAAAATAAAATTAATGTAGGTTGATGACGAAGATTTTTATGTTGCGCTTACGACACTTTTCTTAATGTAATTAAAACTCTAGAAAGTTGAATCTCGTTAAACGCAATAAATAATTTAATTCTAAAAGGAAAATAATGAAATTAGTTAGGAAATCAAATCACACTCGCTTGAAGATAATCTAAATTGCAACTCACCTGTCTGTTGAAGCATTCAATCACGGCATTAATTAAGTTGATTATATTTCTTTCTTCGAAAAGCTTTTAGCTTAATCTGAAAATTTGTTATGAAAAAGTTTGTTTTGTTTTTGTACATCGGTAGCAAGAATTTTTAAACGAGTTAAAAGTTCGGAACTGACAAAGTCTTCTTGGAATGAAAAGGAAAACACAATTTTAATTGAAAATATCCGCTGCAGGAAAACCGTCTGCATGTTTTTCTTCCTTTCTGACAATTTGACGAGCTTTTAGCTGGAAAAAAGCTTCAATTTGTTCTACTTAGTAGTTTTTCTGCAAGAGTTACTTCACCTTCTTTTCTCACATCAATAAATTTTCGCCCTTCCTGATATTTTTCCTACCGTGTTTTACCAAATTTACGATATTTATGTTGCTTAAGCACATAAATCAATCATCAATATTTTCTTATTTCCACTCAATGAACGGTCACACTTCAGCCTAAATAATTTTCTTCCTGTTTACCTTTTTCCATGTCTTCAAACAACTTCATCGTGCCACAAATTCATTTATCAATATTTTTTCATTCACGAATGAATGCCTATGTCTCAAATTTCCCACACCACCCACATGTATATACATTGACGGTGTCGTCGTCATCGTTGTTTTCTGTAATAAAAGTTTAGTGATAAAGAATGAGAGTTGTGATGAGAAAATATTTAGAAACATGTCGACGGTTGATTACTCTAATAAAAGCGGCATTAGCAAATTATTGAACTTTATCGTAAAAGAGCGAAACTTTTTCTATTAAAACACTTTTGTGTGGAAAATATCTTGGGTGCTGTGGTGTTTTAAGCATTCTTCAAGAGTCGTTGACTAAAAGTATTCTCGACATCGTTTTATTATCATCATTCAAACATCTCATTGCCTCAGCAGCCATTATGTTGTGTTCAATCTTCTAGAACTTTGTCAAATAGAAACAAATTAAAACTCAATGAAGCTTATCACGAAGCACATGATAAGACACATCATAAAAATGCGAAATTTATCATGAAGCAACTTGAATTTGTTGATGGACTTCGTAAGCACGTTCGCAAAATCTTCTGTAATAATGACTTCGGGCATTTGTAGAAAAACAACTTTTTTTTTATTATTTTATAGCTTATAGCGAAGAAGAAAACACAGCAAATTATTGCAACTGATACGTTTTTATTGTTCGAAAACGAACAGTTAGTTAAAGTTGCTATTTGTGATCGTAAAACGATAAAGACTTTTTAATATGGGCAACAATGGCCACCAATGTTATCGGAATAGTAACACCCTTTAGCTGCAACACAAACATATCCATGCTCCACAATCTGCTGTACATGATGATCCTCCAACTCGAAGTTGTCTTTCGTCCAATCTAACAATCCGGAAATGAAACCTTCAGGTGGTGGTGCCTGTTAAAGACATCAAATTAGTTTTAAGGATTTTAAAAGAAATCTTAAAGAAAACATCGACATTGTCATTTCTTTTTTCTCGTTTGTCATTTCCAATTATTTAACACACCATGAACTGTAATTGAACTGACAAAGTTTGAAGAAAAGCATCTTAAGTTTTATTGCAGACATGATGAACTGTGACTCAAGAGTTGAGCGTCTTAAGAAGTTGTTCAACTTTTTATTCGTCATTTCTGAGAGTTTCAAGGATTTTTGTTTTATTGAAGTTAAGATTAAAAAGGAAAGTTGAATTTGATGCAACTTTTCTTATCTTGAATAAATTGACTGAGACAAAAAAATTGATTTCAATTAAAAGTAAACAAAGTCGAATCATTTTTCGCTTTTATAGAGTAAGAAATTTGAGTAAGTTATGGTCTTAAACAATCTCATGAACTTTGCCACATGAACTTTTGATGTTTGACATTAAAAACTTTTGTTTTATTCCTCGGAAAAACTTTTCCTTTCCAAGAAAATTCTCTTTTATCACGATAAATATTTCTACATAGCTTAGTTAGATAACTGAAAGTTGAGTTTAACAAAGTTTTGCGAAAGTTTTTCTATTCAATTAACTTCAATTTATTTATTACTGTGATATCTGCTTGACTATTTATTTGCAAATAAGGAATAAATATTTATGATAAATTTTATTCAATCTTTTTTTTTTGTCTTTTCGAGTCAAGTTTCGAGTCATTCTAACAACTTTATCTTTCTCATAAATTCATGTAAAATAAACAGAAGGACATCGAGTAAACTCCCTGAATGTTAGTTTTTGAAGAATTTTGACGTTTAATTTATTATGCTTGGCATTAATGGAGCTTTTGGTAGCTTAAAAGACTAAGGTTTAGTTCGGAAAATTGTCATAATATTTATGTTGAAAAGTGTTGTTGACTTGCCCCTTTCGAGCCTTCTTAAAACGTTCGCAAATTTGTTGTTGCTGACTCAATATCTTCCCGGAAGTGTCTGGCGTTTCAAAACATTTTTCATTTTCTTCTTTCCATTTCAATCAGATTCCTTTAAGGTAAACTCATCTTGAGGTTATTCCCCTCTGAATTCAAATGTAATGTGAAGGGAAAATGTGAATTTAGATAAAGAAAGGAAATAAGAAAAATCCACAAAGAATAACGTGAGAATTGAAAATAAAATCTTAAATCTACTCGTGAAAGCTCACAACAATCGTAGTCAAATATCTAGTTAAATTATTTTCAATGCTTGTATGCTTTAGCAATGACTTGAAAAAGAGTTGTTTGGAAAGAAAACTTTTCCATGCTATCGAGTGAAGTGTCTTGGAGAAAGTTTGCTCAAACAAATTTCTTAATGCCGGATCTTTCTTATTAAATCTTCCTCGTGAGGATGAACATCTGTGCTTGCAATTCTCTTGAAATCTTCTATTCATACTTGTACCGGAATGAAGCAAGAAAAGGACAAACTACGGCCAAGATAAACTTTCTAGAAATTCGAGAAGAGAGATGAGAAAGAAAAAAAGATTTCACGATCTCATGTGGAACGTTTATTATGTTAAAAATTATATTTATCTGACGATAAAAAAGGAAAACAGAGCAAAGGTGGCGATGATGCAAGGTAACTTAATAGAGCTTTTGTTATTTCGTTATAATCACGTTCAGTTTCATTGTAAGGCTGAAAGATATGACTTAATTCGTTGATTCATTTATTTAACGATATTAAAGAGAAAAATGTTGAGCCTTGACTCACACACACAAAACATAAAATGAAAGCACTTGTTACACCGAGCGACTTTTCCATAACAAAAAACTTTTACAATAATGTCAAGGAGTGAAATAGAAAGCGTCAAGTTTTCGTATCCCAACCGAATAACTTTTTCATAAGCCGTGAAGAAAGAGTTGTTTGTGTTCTGGAAAGTGCGGAATGATTAAATGAGATGGAAAGAGTGAAATTGAACGCGTGTTGCTTATCTTATTCTTATTTTTGCTTGCTAGAATTTTCATGATTCTCACTTGACAACCCAAAACAAATTTTTCAACAATCAATCATGATAATAAGTGTTCTGTTCAACTCGAATGTGGATTGTGCGTGATCTTTATTGCATGAAACATATTTTCAAGATGTGACGTATCAAGTAACGAAATCGGCTGACTTTGTGTTTAATTTATATTCATTTATTCCAAATCAACTATGAACATTATGATGTTTATGAAAAAGCGCCTATTTTGCGTAAATTTTTCTCTCTTCTCTATTCTTTGGACTCTTAATAAAAAATTTATTCAAATTTTCTTTCTCGCTTTTCACGAAATTTCTTTTTCATAAACGCCGACTTAAGATTTTTCATCTAATACTGATGTTGAATTCCAATTGAGTTATAAAGAAAGAAAGATAAATCAATCTCGTGTTTCGTGTTTGTTTTAATTTTTATTTTTGTTCACTTAATTCAGACGCACGCACTTTGTTAAAGCTTCATCACAAATCGATTTTTCTTCTTTTTTTCACATTTCATCATGATAAACATTTAAACTTACCCCAAACTCTTGTTCAGCAATAATTCCGACCATTCGACCTGTTCTTTCTAACAGATTTCCTTGTTCCTTCAAAGCTTCACCAAGATAATATCTGATAAAAATCTCACGTTCTGCAATCACAGAAAGATTTCGTTTTAATTTTAAGACAGATTCAAGATTATCCAACATTAATTTAATTTTTTATAAACGTTTTTATAAAAGGTGCTTAAAGAAAATGTTTTTCTTTGTAAGGTTTGAATTAAAATGAAGATTAAAAGCCACAAAAGATAATCAAAGAAAGGCTTATAAAAAAGGATTTTCCATAATAAAATTTAATCATTTTTCTCTTGACATTAATTCGTTTAAAGCTTTTACTGAAAGCTTCTAAAACGAGCTTTTAAAATGCTTTTCATTTGAATTGTTTAACAATTGATATTTTTAAGTAATTTAATCACCGACATTCATTTTATCGCCTTTCAATTGATTCAATAAAAATTAAATTAATTAACTCACTTTCAACTGGGATTGTATCGTAGTACATTTGAGCATCAGTTTGTGGTGCATCGGGACGTCCAAATTCATCATCAGGTGGAATGCAGTTTGATATTTGAGCCAAAATAATTAACACAAAAATCGACAACAAACGATGAAATATTTTCACATTCATTGTTGAAAATTTTCCTTTCTTTTCTTTTTTTTTATTTGTTGAATGCGCGTAGAGAAAATTTCAATTTAATTCCTTCAATTTGATCACTTTCCCACCTCCTGCCAATGTGTATCGTGTTTCACTCTATTGTTGTATTAAAAACAATTTCAATTAAATTAAATTGGAGATCAATACACGTCGAAAGAATATTTGCGACAGAACAAAAAAGTTTATTGACAATTGCAGAAAGAGTTGAAACAACGGCTGGTGAAAATAAAAAATAATAAAAAAGATGGAAAGGTTGCAAAGAGTGAAAAATAATTTAATTTGCGCCTTTTACAGCATCAATTTCAATTCCATCAACTGAATAAAAAAACGCGAGTAAAATGTCCTTTTTATTGCCTTTCCCTACAGATGCTAGAGAACGGTAAATTCTAAAAGAATTTGGAGTGAGTTCTGCAGCAAAACTTCAGGAGGGATTCGTATCTTTTGTCTTCTATCCATTACGTTGTACTCAACTCGATTTATATTGTCACCAAATTGTAGAATAATAAAAAAAAGGAGCCAATTGTGTCGCAAGAACAAAGAACCTTGGGATCTTTCTTTTTTGTTTTCGTAAATTTTTTCAACTTTATGAAATCACCTACCGCGTGTAAAGTATAATAAAATCTAACAACAAGAAGCAAATGAGCACAATAAAATATGAACTGAATTATTTCGATAGAATTTTATGAATGACTGAAATGACACGAGTTTCAATGGTTTTATCAAATGATTTAGTATTTCAAAACTTTAAATCGCGCTTGATAATTTTTTTCCTTTATTTTCATGCTTTGATCGGAAGCCATGTGACTGACGACTTATGGTTTCTTAATTCATTTCAAACCGAAGTGAGGGTGAAAATTCTAAAATTAAGGCAAGATAGGAGCTTTATCTTGACGAGCTTATCTTAAGCTGCGATATTGGCGTTTCAAGTTATTTATCTTCCAATTATAGCTTAATCATCATTGAGGATTCGAGTTGATGATTATTGTCAATCGCACTTTATTGCGCTTTATGAAGAAAAAAATTCCAGTAGCCACGTGACTCACGAAAGTTCATAAAAGATGAATCAGATTTTATTGATGACAATTTCAGCTTCTTTAGGATGACAAAAAAAAACATTTTACAAGAATTGCAAACAATAAAGTTTTATAACCGTGACTCTCCAATAAAATCGTCACAGCACCTTTCGTCTCGAAGCTTTTTAAAGCGAAGTTGTCGAAATGTGGAGTGGAAGTGACAGGGAGCGAGCTATAAACTGATTGTCTGTGTAACATTCGTTTTCGTACTATAATAAAGTTTGGTAGCAGATGCCATGAGAGTTTTTTTTAAACGAGTCGACTTTTCTGAACTTCCATTCATTTGACTTCCTTTTGTTCGCAATTTGTAAGTAATAACAAGCTAGACTAGTTTTGTAAGGGAACTCAATAAAAATGAGATTCAATGACTCGAAACTTTTTTAATAAGAAAACTGGTTAATCAAATAATCATTCGAGAATTAAAAGCAAATGTTTTCAAAGCATTTACAGCAACTCATACCATTCAGATAAGTTGGGGATTCGAAAACAATACGAGTACAAAATAAAATAATTATTCGCATATCTCTTGAAAATGTCGAGATAAAGATTGCGTCATGGAAATACGAAAATACGGAAAAATTATTTAGCAAAATAATCGAAAACATTTAACGAATTAAAAAGGAAAATCGTTTCTTAGAAATTGAGAATCGAAGGAGAAAAACAAATTAAAACTTGACAGCGGATAATTCAATTAAAATCGCATTCGCTCGTACGGAAAAGACGATTAAATAATTCTTCCATTAAACTTCCATTAACAAGACATTTGCGGAAATTTGGATGAAAATTCGCCCATGCTTTTCCCGCTATCGACTCCTTCGATTGAAACTTCTTCTTATTTACTAAGAACAAAGCGCAAAGCAGAAAATTTTTGGGACTATTGCCAGTAATCTCAACCCCCATTTACTCCATGAATGAAGGTTGCTAGCCGATCGACTTTATTGAGATGTTATTTAAATATTTTTCTGCTTATTGGCTGGTGACGAGAACCTTTTAAGGTTTTGTTTCAAATGAGGGAGTTTAATCTGTAGCCAAGCAAATTGTTTCTGGAAGGTTAAAGCAAAGGCTATCGAAAATTCCTTCACTGAACTTTGAATTTTCCGAATGAAACTTTTAACCACAACAGAATTTTCCAAGAATTTTATTGTCTCTTGAAGCTAAAGCTGTTGATTGAGGGATGCGGTTTGTCACAAAATATTCTCGATAATCTTACTCAATGATTTAAATTACTAAATCCTAGCAACATTCTTTGGTCACTTGTTTACAACATGAAATGATTAAGAAATTCTCTCGACTTTCTATTAAGAGATTTATGAACCTTTTTAGGGCAATAAACTTCCCAAAGACGAGAGACTAATTAATTAAATTACATCCATTAAAGCATTTAAGAAGAATAACTTCCTTATTTACTTTCAAGATAAATTCATCAGGTTCTTGGCGTTCACTCTCTGATGATTTCACTTCGAGATTCCTCGCTGCAGCTGTCTCTTAATTAATTATCAATTTATAGCTTTGATTTTAATTAAATGAACTTCCGAAGCTTATTTAAAATCTTAAACTATTTTGATTAATTAAATTCAGTTCAAATAACTTTGCATGTCTTCAACCTGAGATTTTTCCTTCATTTCATGAACATCAATTCATGACTTCGTTTTCTTAATTATAATCATCAAGTTGTTCAATCATCATTAAATACTTGAAGTGTCTCTTGAGATGTAATCAAGATTCAGCTTCCAACCCTTTCTAACGTTCATATAAAAAGTGTGTGGTTAAATTAAGAACGTGTATGGGTGTGACTCGTTTTTTGCTAACAATGATGATTACTGACGTAAACTTAATTAAAAATCGATAAAAATTAGCGTGAAGGGGGGAGTGTTTACAGCTGAGTTAGAAATTCTTATGGCGTGTTAAATACGAAGACAATATTTGCGATATACCTAAATGAAATCGTTAATCAATTTGATGACGAGCTTAATCGGCCGACTTTTCAGTCAACAACACAATTGAAGACAATCTTTAAACCAAGCACTTTGTCTGCGTTCATCTTGTTATCATTAATTTATTGTGCTGATATTTGTTGATTTCCAATGGCAGTAAAGAAGGGCAAGAAAGGGAAAACGTTTTAATTTAATTTGAACGTTTGACCAGGAAAGATTGTCATTATTTGTGAGAGTGAATCTTTTATACGTAATTTAATTAAAAACGACGATGATGAAGACATTTTTAATCATTCTCGTTCTTTGCCACTGTGCAATGAGTAAAACGATTCAAAACACAAAAGCAGATGATTTAATGTCGACAGAGACTTCTTCAATTTCGGTTGTTAATGTTCTGAATATTGTGAAAACTGAAGCGCAAATCTTTTTTGAAAATATTCCATTTCAAGGTAAGGCATTGCCGGTACAAACAAAAAAAGACGCATGTTTATCATGGAATTAAATACTTCATTCATTCAACAACTGATGTTATCGTCAAGCACTAGAGCCGCTTGTTTACTACCATCGGATGTGACGATTTTATTTTCGTGATTAAACTTGCATTTCAGTCTAGTTGATAAAAAATATTTTTATATTAAAGTTATCTATGTCGATAAGCCAATAATAAGAAATTTAATCACAACTCTTTGTTAATTTTTTACTTTCAGATCAAGACGATTTTATTGCTTACTTTCTTGGGAGAGGTTTACAAATGAATCATATTGTAATTCCAGAAGAAATTCTCCAGAAAAACTTTTACATTGAAGCATTTGAACAACTCGTAAACCCACAAAGATTTTCTCAGGATCTCTTGGAAAGTACAAAAGAAGAATTTGAATTAGACAACGAGGAAATGACTGAACTTGTTTTATATAATCGAGTTTGCTTCAGCAGTGGAAGGTGCGTTAGTATAACTGATGTAGGCGTACATTGCTGCCTTGTCTAATAATAAAAATGCTTCAAATAACACGAATGTAAGAAAAAGCAAAAATATCTCGCGCGAATTAAAAATTAAACTGAAATGATAAGTTTTTTTACTACTGATTAGAGAGTGGCTTAAGTGGAGTTTCAGAATGAATGAAACGTGTTGAAATGTTTGCAATGCTATCACATTGTGCTGAATGATTATCAGATTTGAATTCGAGTCGATATTTCATTGTTGTTAAGCTATAGGCAATGACAGATAAACTTTATTTATTAAATTTTACTTCAAGTTAAGCAGATCACAAACGATAGTAGTCGAGGATTTTGTATAATTTCAATGAATAGTTTATTATAAGCAGATAAGATTTCCTCAACTTAATGAAGAGTTGCAAAGTTTTCAAAGTGAAAATAAGGAAAAAAGCCTCAGGCAACAAACTTTTTATATTGTGTAAGTTTTCTTTTCTTCGTCATAGGGCTCGGCATTAGAAATGGAATACTTACGATAATAATTTGTGAGTTTATGAAGTAGAAATTTCCCTTCTATAAAATAAAATTGAGAATATCAACAAATTCCAAACTCTGTTGCTTTATCCTTCTTATCGAACTTTATTAGAATCAAAATGAAGCTTCTTACAAAATAATTTCCTTGAGAGTCTGGCCTCAAACTCTGTTTGTTCGCAGATAATCAGGTTCGTCTTCGGGCTGCTCAAGATAAGTCTCGAAGAATTCTTGAACAGTGTCTGTGTTCCACTTTGTGATACTTAAAGTTTCAACGACGTTTCCTTTCTTATCGAGAAGTTTTATTTGCGGATCGAGTCCACGCAAATATTTGATTTGGAGATTTTTGAATTTGCTGGGTCTTTCTGACTTTATGAATGCTTGAATTTGTGGATAAGTTCCGAACTTACAAGTACAGACTTCGAGGATAGCTTTTGGATATTTTCGTGATACTGCGCCGGCAGATTCTTTTTGGCAACACTCCATACATTGAGATTTGATCTCTTCTAGACCAAAGTCTTTCAAGTTATCACACGAAGAACAAAGTAGTTGAGATTTGATAAATCCTAGTTCACGACAATCAGCATCCGTAAACTCAGAAATTGTGGCAGACTTGAAAAAAAAAGTTTTTTATTTGTAAACAAAAGCTTTTTTATATTTTAATAATCTTACAATGAAATAAGTAAACAAAAGAAACGCGACATGAATTAGACTATTCATTTTTCTTTGTTTTCCAAATATTTAGTATCTAAAATTCTTATAATTAACGTTATTTTTTTTATTTCAGTCAATTTGATTAACTATACGTGTTTTTTTTGCACAATAACAAAATTCGACACATATTGAGAACTGTTCAACAGCAGAGGTCGCGATAATTTTAAATTTTAAAAATTCGTTATTGTTTATAAAAGTGAAAATATTTTAATCTTTTGAAAAAGATGAGAATGCATCATGCATCTAAAGTTTCTCATGCACAAAAAAATCTTTTGAACATTTAAAATGTCTGATTCCTGGAATCAGATCTGAATAGTTATCATTATGATACTGATTATTGATATTAAATCTAAATAAAAATCATTTCTATTTGTACAATCATTGTCAGTGATGAATTTTGTTTTCGTCTTTTTTTATTGATTTAACCTTTTCTAATATTTTGATTGTGTCGCAAAAATTTTCTATTTTATATCGAATAAGTTTCTTTTTTTACTGATTACTGTTTCCAAATTAGAACATCATGACCATTTAATACTCATACATTTTGTTTATGATTTTATTCTCCATATCAATTCTTTACATGCGATCATTTCATTATTGCAAACCGCCAGTTTGAAAGAAGATTTTGCTTGATTAGGTACCTACCTAGTTCATTTACTTAACTTCAGTTCTTCGTTTTTATTTTACATATTCTAATTAGGTATTTGTGGCAGATATCTTTAATTGCAATTTTTTAGAATGACTTTTTCGGAAAGACTAAGTGAATGGTCGAAGTCTAAATATATATGGTAGAAATTAAAAGCTTAAGCTAACTGAGCTTAAATA